AGAAGATATCACCGAATACACAGACGTGCACCTTCGCATTGGAGATCACACAGAGAGGATTGATCTGATGGTCATGGACCTGGGAAATACCCCAACCTTCCTGGGGCATGACTGGTTACAAAAGCACAACCCCCTTATAGATTGGAAAATGGGATCAATCACGCTGGCCCAATGCGGGTGTCAAAAGATACCCTTCTCACTACCAGACAAGGATCCCTCTGCGCGGTGGGGCAAAGAGTATGAGGAAGGAGACACCATTTTGGTGGTAGACTTTGATGAGGCATTCCAAGTTCGGGCCATGGGAACAAAGGCAAATGATTTAGCGGCCAAGGCGAATGCGCAAAAAAGGGAGCAGTCATTTGAGGAGATTGTGCCAGAGGAGTACTGGGAGTTCTGAGATGTATTTGCCAAGGAAAGTTTTGACGAGCTGCCTCCCTGGAAACCATGGGACCATGCCATCGAGCTGATTCCCAACGCGAATGCTAGCCTGGATTGCAAGATCTATTCCCTTAATCCCATGGAGCAAGAGGAGCTAGATAAGTTCCTGGACGAGAACCTATCCACGGGCAGGATTCGCTCTTCCAAATCTCCCATGGCATCACCCTTTTTCTTCATCAAAAAGAAGGATGGAAAGCTAAGGCCAGTCCAAGACTACCGAAAGCTTAACGAAATGACCATTAAAAATTGTTACCCCCTGCCATTAATAGGAGAACTCATGGATAAATTGAAGGTGGCTAAATACTTCACCAAATTGGACGTGAGATGGGGATATAATAATGTTTGCATTAAACAAGGAGATGAGTGGAAGGCGGCATTCAGGACCAATCGAGGCCTATACAAACCCCTAGTGATGTTCTTCGGCCTTACCAACTCCCCTGCCACATTTCAATGGATGATGAACAACATATTCAAGGATCTGATAGTCGCCGGGGAAGTCACCATATACTTGGACGACATCCTCATCACATCCAAAACCAAGACGGAACACAAGCGCATCGTTCGAAAAGTCTTATGCATACTCCGCGAAAACAAATTATTCCTCAAGGTGGAGAAGTGCAAATTTGAAGTGGAGGAAACAGAGTATTTGGGGGTAATAATCAGCGAAGGGAAGATCTGAATGGACCCAGTCAAAATCGCAGGACTGCTGGAGTGGCCAGTCCCCTGAAAGAAGCAGGAGTTACAGTCCTTCTCAGGATTTTGTAACTTTTACTGACGCTTCATAAGGGACTACAGTAAACATGTAAAGCCCCTCACCATTCTAACTGGGAAAACGGAGTGGACGTGGGGGGCTGCACAACAGGCCACCTTCGATAAGCTCAAGGATATGTTCCGGGAAGACATGGTTCTAGCCATACCCCTCGACCGGGGTAAGTTCAGGGTGGAAGTGGACTCAAGTGAAGGAGCTGTGGGGGCAGTTCTCTCCCAGCAGCAAGAAGATAAATGGAGACCAGTGGTGTTTCTCTCCAAATCCCTATCCATCACAGAACGGAACTATGAGATCTACGACAAAGAGTTGTTGGCAATTATGATAGCCCTTGACAAGTGGAGACATTACCTCATGGGAGCTCGGGAGGACTTTGAAATATGGACGGATCACTCCAACCTCCAGTATTTCCGCAAACCCCAGAAACTCAACCACCGGCAAGCAAGATGGGTCACCGAGTTGGCCGAGTACCAATTCACCCTACATCATAAACCGGGGGCACAGAATCGAAAAGTGGATCTATTATTGAGGAGAGCCGATCATGACCAAGGGAAGGAGGACAATCATGATATAGTCATGCTCAAGGCAGAGCATTTTCGAGCTCTTGTCATGCCTACCTCGAAGCAGCTACACGAGAAAATCAAGCTAGTCATGCATGACATGAGGAAATGGGACAGAGGGATTTCCGACTCCCTCAATCATGAGAAGGGAGTTACTCGAGATGAAGGCCTCCTCTTCTACGATGGGAGGATATATGTTCCAATAGATCAACAACTCCGGGGGGAGATCATAGCCCTCAGACATGACCACGCTACCGTGGGACATCCAGAAATCAAAAAAACCAAGGAGCTCATCCTACGAGACTACTGGTGGCCCCGGATATGTCAAGACATAGAAGCGTATGTAAAGGGTTGTGAAACTTGTCAGTGAACCAAGACGGATTGGAGACCCAAACAGGCCCCTCTCCATCCTAATGAAGTACCTGTTAGGCCTTGGACTCACATCTCTGTGGACATGATCACCAAGCTTCCAAACTCCAAAGGGTATGACTCAATCCTAGTCATTGTCAATTGATTTTCGAAAACCATGATTCCGATAGCTTGTACCGAAGAGCTCACTTCCTTAGGATTCGCCAAGATCCTTCAGGATCACATCTATGTACCCTATGGGGTGTTACCGGAAAAGGTCATCTCAGACAGGGGAGCAATATTCATATCCAAGTTTATGAAGGAATTCTATGCTCTTCTCCAGATCACCGGTAATCCATCCACCACTTACCACCCCCAGACGGACAGGCAAACAGAACAAGTCAACCAAGAGATAGAAAATTATCTCCGAATGTTTGTAGGTTACAGACAAGATGACTGGAGTGAATGGTTGCCTTTAGCGGCTTTCACCCACAATAACCAAAAACATTCGGCAACAGGATTTTCACCCTACAAGGTGGTCTTCGGAAGGGACGGGCAAGTAATCACCATGGCCCAGCATCCTGGAAATGTCCCTGCCGCTTCCAAATTGATAGAGGGAATTCGAGAAGTTCAGGAGAAGACAAAGCAGTCTCTGGAGAAGGCCGCAGAAACAATGAAACGAAATTACGACAAGGGAAAGAGAGCGGCAATAGAGTATAAACCGGGTGATAAAGTCTGGTTGGATACTACCAACCTTCGACTCCCTCGACCTGCACACAAACTCGACGATTGACAAGTCGGACCATTTGAAATAACGGCAAAGAAAGGGGCATCATCCTACGAGTTGAAACTCCCAGATAAGTGGAAGATCCACAACCGATTCAATGAGGCCCTCCTCACACCATATCAACCTCCCAGCTTCCAGAACCAACCACGACCGGAACGGCTGCCCCCTGAGCTAATCGACGATGAGGAAGAATACAAAATAGAGGAGATAGTCAATGAGAGAGACAAGGTGGTCGGGCGGGGGCACAATCGCAAAACCATCATGGAATACCTCATCAAATGGAAAGGATACCCTACCGAAGAAAATTCCTGGGTAAAAAGATCTGACATGACCAATGCAGAAGCCCTAGTGAACGAGTACGAGGCTTGCATTCAAAAGGTTCAATGGACAGTCAATGACAAAGGGAAGACAGTTGGTATTGATAATAAGATACCACCTAATAACCTTGTCAAGTACCACAAACCGGACACTCCATGTATCTCAGACATAATCATGGTCTACTCATTGCAATGTTTGGCCCAAGCACACTCCGAGGAAGTCAACGTGGTGGGAGAGGTGGACGCATCGGATACAGGAAGAGGGAAAGGTCCAATATCGATCACATCTTCCTTCCAGGAATTGATTGAAGAGATCGCCCACTCCATGGACAGGGCCTTACAGGAAGAAAACAAAAAATGGAAAGACGAACATCCAAGTGAAGCCTATGACCCTACTCCACCTCGACCCCGATGTCAGGTAGACCCCTGACTGGATGATCCCCGAGTACGAAATTCCTATCTCAAACAATGCCAACTCGAAATTGAAAACTCTAGGAGAGAAAAGTGTCCATATAAAAATCCTCCTATCCTCTTCGATCCCCCAGAAGACGACTACTCAGATGTGGAAATGCTGCAACGTGTTACAGAAAATTGGGAGGACAAAAGTGAGAAGGGTGACCTAGACGATATCCGTCTGGAAAGCACTTCAGAATATGAGTCTGATGGCTCATTCGGGACGAATGAGTCTTAAGGAGCGGGTAATGTTATGGTTTATTCTTTCTTTTTCATTTTCTTACCTTTTTCTGCTTATGTTATATGCTTCTCTCATGCGATCACCACGGACGTCTTCTCACAGTACTATTATTAGCACTATCATTGTGTATTTAAGTAGAGCCTCAGCTGGTCTAAACCCCAGCTTCAGCTAAGGTTTAATCTACCCAACTTGAACTCCTTGTTTCACGTCTATCTAAGTTCGCTCCCACTCATTCCATACAGATTTAGGCCTGCGAGTGTATCAATCCACCGAAGTGCGAGTGGCGATCCTCGTTTGATCTAGTTTGTAGAGTTGGTGGCTAACAAATGAGGAATGTATGTGTCGAGCTACAGCTAAATATTAGCCACCAATCCAACAAATATGATCAAACAAGGCCTGCCACTCGCACTTTGGTGGATCGGAACACTTGCAGGTCGATATCTGAGTAATAGGATGGTGACGAGACTTAGATAGTCACATAGCAAGGAGTAAGACTGGGTAGATTAAACCTTAGCTGTAGCTGGGGTTTACACCAGTGTAGGCTCTACTTAAATACACAATGGGTAAGCTAATAATGGTACTGTGAGAATGAATGTCTGATGATATCGTATGATGAAAACATATGAGTAAGCAGGAATCAGTAAGAAAATTGGAAAATCATAACAGCAGACAAAGGCCTCATGCTCTCTCTCTCTCCAAGATTAGCGATCTAGATGTGCTGAGTCAACTTTAAGTCAAAAGACCTCATCTAGTTGAAGTAAAATAAGCCCTAGAATGCTTTAAGTTCAAACAATTGTCGAGTTCAAGGAACTCCAGAGTCTGTGTACTCTTTGCAAGTCTTGTACTTGAAGTCAGAACCCATGCATTCTTTGTAGAGTGATTTTGCACTCTTTGTAGACCTTGGAGTCTTTGGTTGTTTGATTATTTGAAGTGTCCGCTAGAAGCTCTTCTAGATGATGTCAAAACAAGTATAACTTGCTCAACTATACCTTACAAAACAAGTTCATAAACCCTGCTATCACGGACTAGTGTACTTTGTGTAAAATACATTGAAAGAAGAATTGAAGTTGTTTTCAGACAAAACCCCACTAGATTATCTAAATCTAAGTACATCACGAGTGCTTCTATCATACTCACCCTCAAACTTATATACATTGGTGATAGTGTGTGTGTGTGTGATTTAGTATTTAGATTGATGATCTAGATGCTAGTTTCATTTACATGCTGCCCATTACCAAGCACATCAATGTCAACCATGTTGTCTGCTTATCAATGTTGGAATTCTTCTGGGCATTGGAGGATGGAACTATTGGGTCATTTGGGGAGTATTTGAAGGAAGTAGAGGAGATTCAGAAGGTCTGGCTTGGGTATGTGGTCAAAGCCCAATTTTCTGCAGCCCACTCTACTCATCAGATGTCCCTACTACCTCAAGAGCCTCCTACTGCACTGACTGTCCCTCCGTCATCCTGGAAGTCACCACTTATGTCCATTCCCACTCCTGGTTCATCCCAGTCAACAGAGAGCTGCAACCACTCAACCACTCAACCACCAACTTCGTCACTGCCCCCCATGCTATCAGCTGCGGCTAAGACCTCGTGTTGCCTCACTGTTTGTGATCAAATATGGCAGAGAATGCAAGAATCAAACAAGCAAAAACTGAAAGCTAAGACCATCCTAAAAACCTCAGATGCAATTGTGCCTGGCTCACTGGTACTACCTGCATCTATAGCCCTAAAGATCCCACCAAAACCAGTGGATTCACCCCAACCAGCCCCACCACTGACACCAACCACCTGGCCTGTGCCTGCACAATGCACAAAATGTGGAACCACGATTCATGCCCACTCACCATCATGCTGTCATTGTCGTCAACGATGGTAGAGTGTCAACGACAGCAGAGTGTCTCATTGGGACGCATTTCTTTTCCACCCACCCCTCTCTCATCTAATTCATCTCCCTTGCCATCATGCTCTTATGCGCATGTCCTTTCTTCAGTATCTCACTCATTGCAGCTGGAATTCTATGCCATCCTTATTCTTCCACAGGGATAGCATCTCCTCTTTTTTTTGAGGGGGGAGGGGATCATAGTAGAACCCAGAGCATAATTTTGAGGGGGAGTATATGGGGTATACTGCTAAGGTAAGAGGAGACAAGATGGATGAGTCTATGAGTCCATTGAGTGGATGAAGACTTTGGCTATCCTGAAGGGATGGTATACCACACTGAGATGAGAGGAGTTGAGGCATCGAAGACCCTCAAGTCAAGGATAGAAAATTTTTTGAAGATGAGCATTTTTCTTTCAATTCTTATTCCATGGCCCACCCTCTATTACATACTTTTACATACATTTTTTTATGTGTCTATATTCATTGTTCATGGCTTACCATCTTTTGTTTGAAGATTCCTGTCATCCCAGACAGCAATCTTGAAGAGGGATATGTAATGGACCGGTTACTTATAGCATTATGTAGCACATGATAAGTAAGCTTCTTTCTTTATGCCATCATTGTGTACACCCATTCTCAGTGAATAGAAGGGGTTTGCACTCAACTGGCATGACTGAAAGCTTACCCCATATCTTTTACACCTTCATTCTCAATGACCACCATTCTTGCTACCACCATGGCACTGAAAGAGTGTGTCAGTGGCATACCCAAGAAGTCTATGTCTTTTGAAGAGAAGGATGCAATGAAGAGGTGAAAGGTATAAGTGCATTCCATCTTTTGTGCTCCCCTCTAATGCATATTTAGAGGTGGGCTGGTTTTGGGAGGTGGACAGAGGCTATGGAGGTGCTTCCAGAGGAATACAGAGTCACGGATCCTACCTGCCACCTGCCTGTCTTCCAATATGACTTTGGTCTCACCTTCCAGAAGTTTCTCAACTATGCACTTCAGCACAACCTTGTTTTGGTGCCCGAGAACCCAGAGAACAATGATCCCAAGGACATCAGAGGGGGTCTCATCATATCCTCCTTGTGTGATATAACCCAATATCTTCAATGTCTTTGTCGCTTGCCACTCAGATATGTGAATCCCATATCGCTCAACTATGATGTCATCATTGCAATGTACTCCAACTACATGAAGAAGGATGAGGATCACACTAAAGTCATGTGTCAGATGAGTGAGGAGCTCAGTTGCCCAAAGGATCCCATGTGGTATCAGGACTCTTGTTAAGTGGCACAGTTTTGTTGCTTCAAGATATTGGTCCATTCAAATATGCTGCCCACAGTAGGGACAAAGAAGGGGCTGACATGGACATTTTATTTCCCTTCCTTTTGATCAAACATCTGACTCTTCCTAACAACCTCTGATCCAGGTTCTTGATCAGGGACATCTGTTTCTGTATCAGTCCATCTTAACCCTGTGGATGTGCATAATTCACCAGGTTCGACTCCTGGAAGTGGAATAATGTATCAGTATCTTTTTTCTGGTGGAGCTCTTCCTACTTGAGTGTGCAGGGGTTTCTTGGGACTACACCTTCTGCTCAGTACTTTGCCACAGGATTGTGAGGTTTGATAAAATGATTAATAAATCAGGCATGGGTCACAAGAAACCACGTGGATGTTGAATGATCGGGAGAGGGGAGCCAGACACTCACTTTTGATTCAAAGAGATGGCAGTGTGTAATTGTGTGTAGTCCCCAGCTTGCTTATCTATAGGTTATTGTGCTTATGTTTCCCACAGACACTCACACCAATTGTGAGATTACTACGACTCTCTTGTCAATCTTCTCACACTTGAAACTCTATGTCACATCAATTGAAGTGAGCATTTCCCTCTGCTCCTTAGGTGTACACATTCGATTTGTAGTTCACAGAAATTTTCTGAAATGTACCTGTTTTAAATGCTGTCTCATTCATGAAGTTGATGGATATGAATTGTGCGTAGGTAGAGTTTGTTTACACAAATGCACTAGGTTTGAATCCTGAAGGTGAAATTTAGGATGGTAGGGGCACTTTTGCATGGCTGTACTGCCACCTTTTTCTCCCTCAGCATGACCAAATTTCCTTGTTTTGCAGCTTGATAATGGGATGGCACAGCAGTCAGTTTTTCAGGATGAAGAGCAATGGAAGTACAATTTAGTGCGTTTAGGCTTGACGCTAATTGAACTTGCTCCCTGTTTGCATTCATCCATCCAGCATGCATAAGGTTGATTCTACTGCGGCAATCCTCTGCATCCTCCTCAACCAGCGACACATATGTCTCCTCCCCTAAAGCATCATTGATGAATTGCAGTAAGAAAATGTATGGTTGTTTGGAGGCTAAATTTGTTTAAAGACTAGTGTTATGCACTTTTTCTCTCATTGATCTCTCACTCGACGCTTTGGACTTAACATGAGCATATCATTAGCAAGAAGCTCAGTTGCCCAAATGGTCCCATGTGGCATAGGCCCTAGCACATCCAAGTCTGCACAGGAAAAGAGATTAAGTAGTTAACGACACTACTTTCATTAAGGCTGCCCACAATTATTCCTCCAATAAATATTTCTAGTTGGCGACCATATGGTTTTATTGGAAAGTTATGTGATGTTTAGGGCTACTTTAAGTTGTTTAGCATGGCGTTTCATGAATCATTATTATTCAGCTTCTTCTACTCCTGGAAGATGAAGGATGTGGGAGAGCAGATTGCAGTATTAATGAAGGTTGACCCTGTTACTTCATCTGTCCTTCAAAGCAGGGCTGAATTCAGGAATAACAGATACAGATAGTCTAAGTAAACAATGAAGCTCTGCAGGGTTGCCAGGACACCACTTTCTTGCTCATCCACCTCTTTCCATTTAATATGACACCTGTCACATAAAATTCTTATTGAGACTGACACCATGCCATACGAACTCGTTGACATTGTTTTATGAGATCACATTGCCAGCTCATCAGAAACCAGTGCTGCTGTTGTATGCATGCCCATTGGCACCATTTCAACATTGTTAGAACTCGTCCATGGCATTCTTTTTGTCCAACTCATATTGAACTTGGCCATATGATTTGAAGCACTGATCAAATGAGCATGTGCCCTCACATACCACTGCAGCTCATATTGTTCATGTGATATCATGAGGTACCAGAAGATGATGATGCCTGTGGCTAATAATGTGCTGCCTACAATCATTCAGACCAATAAGCTGGAGGCAGTAAAACACATAAGGCAGAATGCCGCCAGGAAGAAAACCATCCTGTATTTAGGTTACTATGCCACCGAGAAGATAAAGTAATTTGGAGATACTCATGCCTACATGAGTAAAGCCCAAGGTAAGCTGTACATTATAGCCAGAGTCTCAAGGCCAAGTCTGTGTCCTAAGTCTGTGTTCTGTATGCCAAGGAAGTTTGCCTAGAATATACATTGAATGCTAAACCAAGTGATAGAAGGCATAACTTACTGGTGAGTCTATTAGTATGTAGACATGATTCTTATAACGATTATTCTGCAATAGAAGCAAGCCTAGACTTATACTGCTGATGCTTAGAACTGTTGAGACATAACTTGCTATCTGGGTGGGTGAATGTCCCTTATCATCACTAAAGTCATCAATGCTCTGAATGGCCAAGAAGGCAATGTTGGCGTTGAGCAAAACAGTAGCCTGCAGATATGTTAGACTAGTTCTAGAATTTATCATGGTCAATCCTCATATTGATGACAAACTCTTGCCACTCAGTACTGAGTTTCCAGATGAAAGCACTCCAATCTGCTTTCCTGAGATGAGTGTACCAGATTTCACGGAGGGCAGTGTACTGTATATCAGGTGCAAAGAATAAGAGTAATGATAATAGAACAATTAGTGGTGTGTGCAATGGTTTGAGTGCTTTACGTTCGCTGAGGGTGGAGCCAAGGAAAGGACTAGGTTTACCATAAAAGTCTAGATATCGTTTTCTAGCTAGGATAATATAAGATTTTACTTCACAATTACACGCAGATCAACTTACAACGACATTCCAGGATCAGAGCTTCTCCAGCTGCGTTAGCTTGTGGACTGTTTTCAATCAATACTTTGATATTCACCTATACTCTGGACCAAACCTGGACGAGAATATGACTTAGCAGGGTTATCTTTTGTTGAAACACAAACGCGCAGCATAACCCTTCGAGTTCTTGCTCTACTCGCTCGCTGCCGCCACCTGCTGCTTTACTGATAGCCCAACGTCGAGACCGTTGCAGCCCCTGAGACCTACGAGACCATCAGCCTAGCTACAAGAATGCTAAGGCTTACCGTTGACCCCCCTCATTTCACGAGACTCATTCCATCCATCCCCCTTCACCATGTCTTCTGATGACTCTTCCATTCACTTTCCTAAGCTCAATGACTCAAACTATGCGACCTGGAGCATCATGATGGAAGCTGAGCTCATTCGGAAGGGCTTGTGGACTGGCATTATCGAGATCCTAGTTGATGGAGATGGGAAGACTGCTGATGAGGTTGAGAAAGAGTACCTGACGAAGAAGACCAAGCGGGCAGCCTCGAAGATGGCTGAAGCTCGTGCAGAGATGATTTTGCAAGTTGACAGTGGTCAGCTGCCACACATGATTGCAAGAGACCTGATGGAGGTTTGGGAGATGCTGAGGAGTGTCCACCGAGCCAGAGGATTTGCGACTTCGCTGGCATTATGCAGGAAGTTCTTGACGACGAAGAAACGGAGCAATCAGTCGATTCAGTCTTGGGTTGGAGAGATTCGTGGGCAGGCGTTCGCCATGCAGATGTCGGGGATTGAAGTGAGTGATCAGGACGTGATCTTGGCACTTACTCTGGGCCTTCCTTCCTCTTATGACACCATCATCATTCATTTCGATGCCACTCCCCCCGACCAGCTCACTATCAACCACGTTATCACCTGACTGCTGAATGATGAGACTCGCCAGTCTATGAACCGCCACCGTTCCACCCAGAATGCCACAGCCACTGATGAGGCCCTTTCTGTTACTCAACGTCGTTCCCGCCCTGATGCATCTGAGATCATTTGCTTTTTCTGTGACCAGAAGGGTCATTACAAGGATGCTTGTCCTGAGAAGAAGCTGTGGGAATCCCACAAGCAGGAGGTTGCCGGAATGGTTGAAGGTGCTGATTCAGATGAAGAAAGTTTGCTGCTTGAAGAAGACTGATTTTTCGTGTGCCCTTTTTTGATTTATTTTGATATCACCTGAGTTTTCTGTGCTTCCCTTATATCCCTTTTAGACTGCTTAGCTTATGGGGGTGCCGTTCTTTCCACTGTTGCGTGCCGATTTGCGGGGGTGTGTTGAAATACCAAATGCGCCGCGCTTCCGACGGCCACCCCTCCTTTCCGTAGTATATTTTCTAAATTTAGCATTAGTATATAAAGTAGGATACCTTGTAATCGAGCCCCTCGCGCGTTTGCGAGGGTTCCCTGCTAATCCCGGAGTCCCGCTTATCTGAGCTGAACAGCGTACTCCAACATCTTTTGCACAAGGTGAGTACTTCTTCAGTGTTATAGTATTTCACCCTCACTCCTGATATTATTCATGATACTGAAATATTGTTGCAATTCTGGGAGGGTGAAGCTATGTCCTGATGTCGTGCAAGTCGGATCCAAGGTCACCTCTAAGATGTTCATCAGAATAAGCATCGTTTCTCTTGCCTTAAAAGCCTACCTGCAATACAACGAATGAGAAAATCATTGGCCTCTTCAATTGTATCGCTGGTCACTTGTTGTATGGGAAACAAGCTATAATGCAACCTGACTATTATTAGCCTCTACATGATCAAAATGATGAAGAGCATCACTGTAACAACGAACCAGTATTCAGCCTCTATCACATGAGCAAGATGGGATGGCTCAGAGGTGTCGTAATCTTTGACACCCAACAGCCCGCTAGCTTTAAAGCCATCCAACCAAAAGATAGAACAGTGCATGTGATCTACAAAGTAATATCCGCAAAAATGGGTGCCATCCTCAAGTTCCCGTCCGAAGCTCATAACAAGATCTACTTTGGGTGGGAGAGTAATTCCCTTGACGTGCATCTAACTGATGACATTATCCAGAAACCCGGTCAGTTCTCGCCAGACTTCTGGTAAGACAGTATCTTCGTAGGTAAAAATTCGTAGGAGAGAGCTGCAGGACGTCGACAATGCATTGACCGATGTATGAAATATCCTCTCGTGTACATAGTAGCGAACACCTAGAGGACTCGTGTGCAGTGACCAACCGCTGGGAACACCATGGCTAGACACGAACATCAAATATAAGAACCTGAATGAAGAAACAAAGACGTACAGAGTAAATGAGGTAGTTAAAGGAGCGATCCAGGGTACATTTGGAACGTATGGATTTCTTAGTCTGGTGCATGTCAGAAGAATAGGCAAGGATTACAATAAAAATGGACATACCTAGGCCCAACCTTGCGATGCATTCTGGGATGTAAGGGGAAGAAGAAAGGATGTACCTTCTGCAATGTGAAAAGATCTTGATTTTGCCCATCAGCGTGCTGTGCAGCAGTAGGTGGCAATGACATTGCTACCGCAGACGTCTCAACATCAGAGTCAGATGACAGTCCTCCCCTGCCAGACCTACGTCTGGCATGCGGCAAATGAGCATGCGATGGGTTCAGATGCGCGTCTGCGGCAGAGTTGAACACTGTACCGCTAGTATCTTGAGGTAAATTTGACGGATTGGAGCGGGCATACGAATTAAAGGAACCTTTAATTGGTGATCGCATGATCGATGAAGGACGAGGACCGTGGAGGGGTGGATGCCCATTCGATGGATTCAAATCGGTTTCGACTGCCAAACCGGTCTGGGAAGGGCTCGTCATGGACACTGGAGCCATATCATGGGAAAACCTTGCATTATTAGGTAGAGTGATAATCCGGCACACGACAGCTGGCACAGGCTCATCTTCGACCGCAAGTGACATCGCGCGGGTCTCCATATCTTGGGGTAAATAGGAAACTTGGTCAGGTATGTGCTGCGGCAGTTCATCAGGTGCTCCGTCATCTCGAGTACGCGAGAAACGTCGTAAGAAGCGCCAGAAGAAGCGCCAGAGAAGCAGAATGGCTTTCAAAGGCGAGAGACCTCCAGCGCGACTGCAAAGCACTCGCTGAAGGACCTTCAATAACCATCGAGGGAGAAACATGAGTTGCTGTCTAGCGACGAGGTCAAAATACAGAAGCAAGGTGCAAGGGCTGTTGTTCTCATACCCTTTCATGTGTGATACACCGCCTTACTCGGCTGTGCCCTACTTCATGAGATCAAATCAGAAGATTTCCGCGCTTTCTTCTTTTGCTCAGAGAGCACACCTTCTCCGGGCTTGATCTGGACGCATACGACAGACCATGATGAGCACGCTGTTCTACCTCTTTTGATATGTGCATTGACCTGCATGAACACTGAAAGCGGTCAGGCCAGATTGTCGCTCGAAGCTGCTATGCATTGTTGCGTTACGACATCAACAGCCTTTGGAACAGTGATGAGAAGGTGATTGACGCCAGATCATGACGGATTGAATACAGTAGGGTGGGTATAGCGAGACATGGCTAGCGCTGAAGCACCGAAAGTCTGGATAGACACACACTGGTGCCTGTACAAGGGAAATAAATCCTAAAATTAACAAGGATGCAATCAACCAGAAGCTCCATCATCGTCGTAGAGTCACAGCACGTTCTGTATTGCCCGACTGTTACGAGGGACACATAGTACCTAGATAACAGAATTCCACGACAAGTTATGACTGCACACAGGCCCAGCGAGACTCCCTCCCGCAGTTATCTTGGGTCTCTTTGACATTCGAACGGAACTTTGACGACAGCGTCTATTAGCTTTTGGTGTGTTGCGATGGCCCAGGATCATTCTCGATTACACAAACTATGCGAGGTTGTGGTCGGAGGAACAGGAATGGTGCGTATATTCTTGCAGCGTGGCTGGTTTCCATCGAATACAAGGGGGAGTCCAAAGGTTTGATCAATGCTCTATAATGACCTGGTCAGATTAAAGCAGTGAAGAACGATAGAAATAATACTTGCCATGAGTCTTGATCTTGAGTTTCGTGTACATCTTTCAAGAGCGACTGCAAGTTCCTCCTCAAGGTATATCGAACCCGAAGGTCCTAGAGTGCTGGCACCGCTACAACTGATGTCTGGATTTGAATACTTTCCCCAGCGGGAGCGAGACATCAAAACCACAAGTCGTCGTTCATCTCCCGTTCCCAATGAATGACTGGATCCACAGCCACGACAAGGAAGATTCAGGAAGAGCATGCACCGCTTACGTGGTCTGCTGGGAACGAGGTTTCTGTATCCTATCCGCACGATCTTCTTCTCTTACGCCGCCCCAGGTTTGCAGACACAGGATATATGGTTAAAGTCCAGGATTGGTAGGAAGGATAGCACAGGCGATCGAGGGTCCACGTAACTGTGTTTCAATGATGATCTGTCGTATATTTAGGTGCTTTCAGCCATTTTGGAACGCATAGAACCGAGGTTTTGTACTGTCAGGAGAAAGTCGATGAGAGAATTGATGAATCTCGGAAGCGCCTAACCAGAATAGCTGAAAATATGCGAATAAACTGTCGTCCTGCGTCCTCCGGTAGTGACTTCCTCAGTCTCACTTCAGCTCTTTACCAGTGGAAGTTCCCCAGCCTTCAAAGAGCACGAAATCGTAAAGGTACTACCTGTGCGACCACCAAATCCTTCACCGGCAGTTCCATACTTGATGACCAAGGTTGGTTCTACTTGACGATGGTCTCCATCGGTGTTGATACTTTGGACGTTCGTTCTCGCGAGGAAGGGTCTATATAATTAATAGGTCCATCGTCAAGGCCAGCGTAAATGTGGGGCATCTACAAGATCTTCCTAGTCAGCCTTCTTCGTAGCAAGTAGTTGAGAAAATTAAATGTACATAAGGGCAGTCAAATATCAAGGCAGAAAACGACAGATGGTAGGGAGACAGGTAGAAAAGTTGGTGAAGTGGAGATGGATGCCAGTGGCGCTGCTTCGGTGATCGGGCCGAGTGCCGGCCAACTCGAACGTTTGAACCCCGGCGGTTCCTGATTGGGACCTTGTCCGGCACCAACAACACCAACACCAGCACCGTTTACCTTCGTATCGATGCGCTAGATCATGATACCGCTGAGAGGTACCGCCACCATTCCTGTCGAAAAATTTCCATGCCTGTGGAAGAATTCTTTGAAGCGAAAGAAACACTTGCATGACAAAGCTGGATAATGGCAGTAGTATACCATGGTCGCCCTCGCAGGTAAGTTTTTGTGTTTCGTTTGGAGTGTTAACTTAGCCGACGGTTTCACTCTCGTCAGACGAGAGAGATATGATGTTTTCGTCCGGCTTCAATTTACCCCGGAGATCCTGAGGTGTGGGCGTCGTGAAGGGACATAAAATCGACGTGGACCCACGTAGCCTGCGATCCGGAAAGGCGATATGAACATCGAAAGAGCAAGATGCAACTATTCAGAGTCGGATGCAGGAGGAGGCTGAGTCTGGGCGTCGCACGAATCTATGGAAATGCGTGGATGACGAGAACAAGGAAGACCCACCGTTGTATGCGGGCGCTTTGCGATGGAAGTGTGGTCTAATGCCAGGTTCAGGACGCATAGTATTGGCGCCTTGATTGGTGGCACTCATCGCCAGATGCTCTATTATGATCGCTTGTCGATTATCGTATCGCAAGAGATCGACATAGAGGATGACCCGGACCCCCTCATCGCTATGCTAATCGGCTTGCATCGGCTCACGCTCGAAAAGCACGGTATCCACAGTATTGTTGAAGACCCCATGCTCAGCGACTACGCATAATACACACAGGAACATCGGGATAACACCGCGACGCTGTTCGAAGGGAGAAAGCTGACACTGAAGAAGGCGGATGGAAATCCGGTGGCCCTTACGCTGGGAAAAATCATCTTCCGACAACCTGGAATTATTGGACGGGATACGTGTTTCGTCGAGGCGACTGCTGAGGATTGCGGGGAGTGGAAAGGCATGGAAACGATCGTAAAGATTAGCTGGCAGGCTAAATCGCGTCCCTCGGAGAAGGACTTCATGGACGACGTGAAGAACGCGGTAGATGAACTGCCTAAGGACGGTACATCGCATCAGTGGGTCTTCGACCACCTTCCCAATATTCTCTTGTCCCAGGACTTTGAGATGGCAGAAGACTCCCCGCAGGCGAGACTCAAGGCGTACTTTGACACCGCCAGCTATGCGGATGGTGATTCATTTGAGTACGAGGAGCGGGTGTGTCGTATCATGGTACAAGAGAAGCTCTATTCGATCACGAGTCTCCGTGAACCTCGGCAGTACACTCAAGGAATATTTGACATCTTGCAAAGTTTGTTTTCCCAGCTATGCGATAACATAGTTTTTATGACCTGCGTGTAGTTCACAGATGGGTTTACGACCACGCAAGAATCATCCATCGGGATATCAGCATGATGAACCTCATGTGGCGGAGGAGGAATGGTGTCATTTATGGCGTTTTGAACGATTTCGACTTGTCCTCATACTGTGATTACAAAAGTGCATCAGCTCTACGTCGCACTACGAGACCATACTATGCATGCGATCTCCTCAAGACGGATCCACCAGTCCATATTTCATCCTCGTCCTTCTGTGTTGCCGCTACGAGAACAAGAAACACCGGAACCAGAAGGCAAAGACTAGCTCGTCCATGTACCAGATCTTCCATTTGAGAGCTGGTACGATATGACGTACCCGGAGCTCTACGACAAGACGTATAATTTCTTTATCGACTCAACCAAAAACCCCGATACACTCCTCCCAGTGTCCGTCAGCTTCTCTAACTTCCAATCCTGGCTTACGCTCTGCTTCGGTCTGATCAGCGCAGACTTTTTTGCTGAAAACGCATACCACCGGAGCAAGCCACAGAGTCTATTTACTCAGTTCTTATCTTCCCGGCCATCAGGATCAGTCGGAACACCCCTCAAAGAGTTTGATAATGCAACACTAGGAGGTTTCGTTGACTATTCGGCGTTCTTTCAGGTCATGTGCAAGTTTGCGGACCAAGATTTAGTCGTCAAATATGATCCAGATGGGGAGCCTACGCAACATCAGAGTTGACGTGGCTATGATTGAGAGGTCAGCCAAGATATTTATGGGCACGTCGAGCGGTGTCTCGCTAGTAGGGTGTTATATGTAGAGGACGAAGATGTCTGTGAAGAATTGCATGACGTTCAAGACTACATCAAGTTATTTGACAGGGCAATCAGTTGCAAAGAAGTCCGAGTTTTCATTTTGACTCTTCTGTGATGCAGTCACGTATACCCATAGCATCATCAGAATAGACGACTTTGTCTCCAAACGATGCCGCAATTTCTTCCAAAGTCTTGCCTTTGGTCCTATAGAGGTTCGATGCGACTTAATGACGTTTGTAGGCCAAAGCTCGAAGGACTTACTCGGGAAAATAAATGGATATAACGACTGCAGACACGAATGTCGTAGCAACAAAGACGTCTAAGAAGTACCATCAGGATTAATGCAGGTGAGTTATGAGAAGGCCTTACAATAAAAGTTTGCTCCGATGTTCGCGAGTGCCTGCGAGAAAATTCAGAATACAAGCGAAACCGACATTAGAGTGAAAAGAACCAACGATCGGACCAGACTCAGTGACAGCAACACTACAAGTATACTGAAGTACTAATCCCAGCGCCACACTGTCGGTGATTGATAAATCAAAGGTCCGACAATAGCAAATAGGCGAACGTACATCTTATTGCGCAAAGCAACAGGAAGAACCTCGGTGCTGTACAGCCAGATTGCGCTGTTTATACCCAGGTCTTGCACGATTCATCAGGATAGACAACACAAACGGCCAGGAAGAGACAGACGAAAGATGGCAGTGAACATATATATCCCAAGGACCGCCATTCCTTTGCCGATGTTGTTATCCGAGCCAGAAAAATAGCGGGTCATTAAAGCACAGTAAATCAGGTCTATGCACAATGCGACCATGCCCCACTTCAAAAGCTTGACGCGACCAAATCTGTCCAAGAGGTATATCTATAGATAAATCAGTATGCTCGCCTGCAAGATGAACGAGGTGCTAGTAGATACTGCGTACAGAGGGTAAATTCGCCATGAGTCCCACAGTCCCATAGATGCCTGCTAATACGAGTACCGTTTCGCTTTTTATTCCCAACTGGCTATAGAGCATCGGTTGATAGTAGTCTTGAATCCCGTATTAGAAAACTCATGAGACTGACATAAGGAAGAAGCGCCAGGCTAACTTACTGACGATGTTGATTCCAGAAAGGGCTGTCATAATGTGCACGAAAAGCAAAATGAGTATACGTTTCTTGTACTTCGACCAGGCCTCCAAGAACGTCCTCGTCCCCGTCGACTTGAGAGAATAAATCAGACTTGGTCAGCTTCAAGGACGGTTGCTCGACGTACCTTTTCGAAAAGTATCTGTTCTCGCATGTCATTGAACTCTTTAAGCAAAGCCACCTTGGGGTTGCACTCAATGTCAACAAAAGCCCGAAAATAGTAAACGAGCCTTACTTCAGACAGGTTGCCCTGGATTTGTCTAAAGGCTACACGTGCTTCGTCTTGGCGCCCTAAACTGATCAGCCATCTGGGAGACTCGGGGAGGAAAAATTGCAGGCCAAGGAAGAGTATGATGCTGAGTGGTATCTGAAGAGACGTAGGAAGTCGCCACTGAAATGTGCTCGTCGCCGGCATGTACCCACAAGCAAATCTACAAAAATTCTATCACCTGCAGTGCTAAAGCACTGACGCCTTACCCGACCCAATTAGCTAGTGACACTCGTGAGAAGTACAGTTCCAAAATCACATTTAGCAGAGCACCCCTACCAAGAAAGCTGCCAAAGGCGAACATAAATCCCGTGAGTCCTCCGATGAATCCGCGTGATACAGGCGGTCTGACAGGGTTGAAATTTTAAGTAGAATCGCTGAACGAACTCTAAACACACGATATTTCAGAGTTGTATATGGCAACAGTGCCGGAGAGGCCTCCCCTATGGATATGTTTCGTTAGAACTTGCACACTGTGTCAATAAATATTCTTACGTAGCGGCACCGATGACTATTCGTCCCACGAGGAACATGGTATAGCTCTGTGCCGCTGTCTGGAAGATAGTTCCAATGATAGCCTAAGCAATAAGCGTCATGACTCCCATAGTACACAGGCTTTGCCGCCAACCATACCGCAATGCACATTAGTTGCATGTAACGTCTTCTTCCAAAGAAGTCCCCCAGAAAGATCTGTACAATGTGCCCGACAGCTAATCCAGCAACGTATGCTGCCACGATCGCCCCCAGAGCTGCGTCGCTTGGATTTCCCATGTCTACAAAGCAGATTAAATAATGGAAAGAGCGAGGCGATGAACTCACATTCTCTAAAACTTTGATAGATAATGCTCGTGGCAATAATCACCATGGCATATCTTTCGTGTCCTTCAGTCTGCCGCTCTTGATAAGATTATAATTCCAACACACCCAAGGAGTAACAATCCTGTGCAACAGCAACTTGAATAAGAACACGTCAGAAAAATGAAGGATGCTCCCACCTATGCTTGCGAAAGCTCCAAAAAGTACAGCGTTGCTCTTCATGTGGAAGGACGAAACGACGAATGGTCGGTAGATGATTCCCATCGTAGGATTTCGCTTCAAACCCAGATCAAACTCCGTGGTCCTATACACTTGCGTCACAAGATGAATGTACATATATCCGGGACCAATACCTGAATTAGACAATCAATAAGAGTCTATATGATACCTCTGATTTAGCTGACAATGGCGGCTACACATGTTCTGATATAGTCTTTAGACTAGGCGCACCTTGGCCTAGTGGGCCCTCCATGTAGTCAGGTTACATCTTCGACACGTAATGAGTATGAAGGTAGAAACCCGGAGAGTTTGATGTGTAGTATTTCAATACCAGCAATTAGAAGGCTTTCGTGGGCACATGAGCGAGAATTCACAAGGAAAGTAGGCACAACAGGTACATACAGCTGTGCCACATCCGTAAGTAAGCGTTTTTGACGAGAACGCCAAAGAGACAGACACCAGCTTGTGGTAGACAGTTGAACATATGCCGTTTCTTCCAAGCTTTCGACAATGGAAGTGACCTTGAGAACCGGACCAAGGTTTGCGCAGCCCTCGCCGGCGCGTACGTTACGCCAGTTTTGTAGTGGTCAGGTATCCTGGTGTGATTGCCTTCATATATCAAAACATTTCAGATTGTTTCCTGCGAAGAACGCCAGTTACAGTCGATGGGTCGGTCCATCGTCAAGTAATACAAACGCAACGTGATCTCTAGTCAGCCCAACTTAGAATCAACCAGCAGCCTAGCGATAACGATGATCACGAGCTTGAAAGAACTCACGAGCAAGCAAGTCAAAAGGAACGGAAAGAAACTAGAAAATTTGGTCATCACGACGCGAAACCTCGCGAAACGTGCAAGGTGCAGTGTTGGCTTTCGATCGGGCCGGATACTGCCGATGTAAAACCGGGCCGCGACCAATTTCGACTCTTATGTGCCCGTCCACTGCCAGCAACTGGCGGTAGAGAGCTCAAGAATAGATTCTGGCTGTAAGCCCTTGCAGGGACGATAAAAATATAAAAGAATTAAATTACGATATTGTAGGTTTCCGTCCGACATAAAAATACATATCTGTCGTGAATATCGTGGTTTCGCGTGTACGGTGAAGCATCATAAGGGAAGGGGGTATCAACGTGTATGTGTGCATATAGACGCACGTCCTTCAATGTCCCAGAGAAACAAAACAAGGGTATCAGTCCTTCTGTATCTTGCTCCCACCCGGCGCGTTTAACAGCTTGCTATCCATGTTCTCTACAAATCGGCCTTTCTCTCCAGCCGCAGGTGCCTTCCGCCTCATCCAAGACTTGAAACTCTTCCTTCCAGTGCTCAAGGCACTGCCCGTTGTATTCTTCTCTGACGGTCCGGCGCTCGGGAGACCTGGGGACTCTCCACCAGCAGCACCGGGGTCCAGAGCTAGCGGAGTGGTACCTCCGCCGGTGGGTATCGTCTCCCCGGCAGCTTTGCCTGCACCAGGCTTGACTTGTTCAGCATCAGACTTCTTAACCCCAGCCTCCTTCGAGCCTTCCTCCGCTTCCGCCTGCAGCTTCAAAAGCTCTTCTCCCCGGATGCGCAGAAACTCTTCCAAGAGAGCTGCATTTCGTGAGTTGGCCTTCCAAATGGCGAGAAGAACATCGCCAACAAGAGGAACAAAACCGACAGTAGCACTGACGGCATTGTTCACCAACATGCGTTGCAGTAACCAGCTGGGTATCTCTGCTTGACGTGCTTTCCGTACGACGAGGAGATAGTTTAGCGCTACGTTGGCCACGTCACCTGCTCCTGGGATAATTCCGATGACAAAAGTCCAGCCAAATCTGAAACCGCAGATAGAGAAGCCCTTGTCGAGGTAATGAGCTCGGTGTTTGATGGATCGTAGTATCTTCATGTCGCGTTTCGATAGGCCAGGGGGCAGGTCGCGCTAGATATCCAGTTCAGCGTCGCTCCATTCTCCAAAAAAGGTAAATCCGCACCTTTTTCCTGCGCTGCTTACCTCGGTCGTCCGTATAATGCTCGTACAGGGGATCCACAGGTGCGTATTGCTCCAGGTGCTTCGCAAACAGTTTCTTGCCAGTCTTTTCGAACAATTTGGTTGTCATCGTAGATGGTGGGAGCGGTGAAGGGCGGTCAGGCGAGTGGAGGTGATATAGAAGAAGGATAAACAAAAGAGCCCTGATGTCGTCAAACCGCGTCAGGGCATTGCTTTGCACCGCTTTGCGGATCATAATTTCCACGGGTCCATTGGATTTCCAATTAAATAATTAAAACTAGGCTATACCCATACAACCCTACATATTACACCTGGAAAAATAATCTCAAAACAAACACAATTTTAATCACGTACCCCACCCTCTGTTTGCGCACACATTCCGCCGATTCGTTCGTCCATAGCAATCAACCTTTCCGCAGTCCCTGCACGCATTTAAACAGAAAGACCTTCCACCCTTGCCTTTACAATCCGCCGAACCGCATTTTGAACAGTGTCTTGGGTTCCGTTTCCGTGGACCATCAACAGAAGCTGACTCTTCGTCCAAGAAAGGATACGCTCGCTTAGCTGGGGGATTGGGCGGTTCATTCCCCAACGGCGGCGGCGGCTCAATCGGATTCGGATTACTGGGGCCAGTAGTAGTGACAGAGTTCGCAACCGCGGAGGATGAAGATTGACCTACTTTCGCGCTGGGTGCGAAATATGGCGGTACGCGGAAGGTAGAGGAGAAATGTCCTCCTTGGGGCTGTGGCTGTGGTTGAGGTTGAGGTTGAGGATACATATAAGCCGGTCCTGGGCCTGCTGATGAACCCGCTACTGAAGGCGTATCGGGTTCTGCAGAGGCTGAATGCCCTGCATGAGCTTTCCAAGCCTCAGCATATTCCGCAGGGGTCTAGCGTCCATCATCATCTCTAAGATTGGCATGAAAACTAGGGGAAGGCACTCACCCCCTGTGCCATCGGCGGGTGCTGCACAGTGTCTTCCATCATCTGATTTTGTTCTTGAGGTTCCTCCTCTTCCTCTTCCTCTGCCACTATAGTCGTTGGCTCTGCAACGCCGTGCTGGATAGAATGGATGATCTGCAGAATGACTTCTTTCCTGACACCGGATCGTAAAGATCCCTGGACCATATTCCAGAGTGCCTTGGAGACGCCTATCGCTTGCCAATTCCACACCTCGGGACCGCTTCCCAAGTCACCTTCAAACTGCCGCAGCCGAGCTGGAAACTCCTCCGCTAGTGTATTGGGAAGGGAGCGAAAAATGGCGGGATCAGTGCTAGCAAATTTGCGGCCTTCAGGACAAGCCGACATACAAGCTGGGCTATTGCAAACGTATTCGCACCCGATGACGAAGAACGGTCGCTCCAAGTCATAGATCTTGACCGGACCAGAAGTGATACGGCCCTTGTTGATGAGAGGAGTCGTACAGCTGGGGCAGGATATCCCGTTAAATACGAGGGGCTGGGGATCCCAGTACAAAAATCTGAACTCCAGCAGGGGACGACTAGTATTAGCACCAGTCAAACAAAAGTATGTGGGGGACATGGGGAGCCAGAAGGTCCTCAGCACCGAGTACAAGGAAGGTAAACTCTGGCTCTGGTTCCTTGGAGATACAAGAGAACCCAGGTGAGTCTTGAATGCATCCTCCACGGTACCGGCTGGGGAAACGGGGTTCGGCTCAGCGAGAAAACCGATGAGAGTGTTGATGAAAACGCCGGGCTTGGTGCGAGAAAGCTCCATCCAGTCCTCGCCGTCAAAGTTTGGGTCTTGAAGAGTCGGGAACATGGGTCGTTTCACATCCTGGCCGGGAAAGTAAGGGTTCTAAAGAAGAGTCAAGGACCGCGCATACAGAACCAGAGCAGCGTACGCACCCCGCTGGCAATGAGCGCCAGGACAGCAGAATCAGGTTGTGTAGGCTTGCGAGACGGTCGTGGTGGATTCACTGAGCCTGCTGGGAAGCCGTCTTTACGAGGCCGTCCTACAGGACGCTTGATCTTTGGAGGAGCACCGTCTGGATATTTCTTCCCGCTACCCTTCGGGCGCCCAGGCCTACGCTTTTCCTGCACAGGCGCCGACGCTCCTCCCTGCCCTTGGTTTTCTGCCGCCGCTGCAGTTATGTTCTCGTTCTGAAAGATGACCTGCTGGTGACCAGAAGAACCCGCCACTGAATCCATCGACTACTGCCTGTAATGTCATGATGAGCGTCCGTGGAAACGAAGACGTATAGATGGGAACGAATATATTCCGAGGTAAATCTCGAAAGTAAATCATTAAGATATCCTCAAGAACAGCCGAGGAAAATAGGGAAATAGGAGGTAAAATTGATTGAAAAACTGCTGGAAACTGATGGCTTACCTATTTGTCTCGAGATGCACCAATACTGGCGATAAAATGTAGATAAATGTATACAGTTCTCCACCGTCCGTCAAATAGACACAGAGAATCTGCTAGGAAATAGAGAGAGGTTGTTTGAAGGTAGTCGATGAGGGCGTGATTATGTGGGATTTATGGCGTGAGAATCTAGTCCTTCCATCTTGGGACACAATAACTCCATAATTAGACAAAATAATTCATGATAATGCCTCGTGCCACTCCCATCGCTCAAAAATCGTTATTTCTATTGTTAGCCGAATTCGCGGAGCTGAATATTGAATTCTTAAGTGTGCGACGTGATGAATTTTAAGAAGGTACTACAGGAGCGGTCGGAGTGCACATGTTATTTTATGCGGTACGTCTGCTTAATTTCCGATGACATGGCACGAGGCTAAAGAAAAGCCTAAGGGCTAGCTTGATACAAAAGACAGCGGTCTTTGTGAGTGCGTTATGCAGCTCGTGCGAAGATTAACTCAATCATGCGCATCCCATACCCGTCGGGGAACATGGGCTCAGGTGCGAACGCCCCAATGAATATCATAGGATCAATGAAGCCAGAAGCATAGGGAAGCACAAGTTAATCACCGATGCAAGCAGGAGATAAAGGGACTCGGCGAACAGTGAACACGGACCTCAAGGACGGCACCAGGGGAGAACAATCATGCTACTCCAGGAACTTGGGACAGGCTCAGTCAAAGATGAAACGGCGCGTACCATTTCTTGCCCCAAGGCAATAATCGGCTTAAATGCCCTAGATTAGTGGACACCATGTCACGGAGAAGGGATAGAATCAATTCAGACTCGACTTGCTTATTGCGTAGCAGAAACCATCTGTATTGATTTGGATCTGCGTACATATTAGAGCGATCCTTTGAATGAAAAGGGGAAAGAAAGTTCGCAGGGATTCCTTGAAACCAAAAGCAAAAACGTCCTCGTTTGTTGGGTTAGATTACATACCATACGAACTGAAAGATACCCATTTCTTCGTAAAACAGCTGAGACGGCACTCCCATAATGTCCTAACACAATCGTTATCCATCCCTTCAGCCAGATTTCTTCTTCAGTTCTTCATATCCAGCAGCCTTGAGGTCAGCATTGATCTCATCCAGATGGGTAATAAATTCTGGTGGGAAAGACAGTGGTTCGGATTCTGAAAGTTTAGATAAGTATCCATGCCCTGAGTAGTCATGAAGCACAAGCACGGACCTCTAACTGTTCCAGCACGATTCATGGCATAATCAGTCATCGCCAATACCATCGGAGTCTCAAACGCGATAGCTATTACTTGTGAGTAATATTCACTGTACCTGCGTGTGTACTCACCCATCGAATTCTTGGATACTCGCTCCGGTTTGAGCTCCGCTACGCTTGCAGCCTTGTGTACCTCAGGAGTCGCTAGAAGACGGACGTCAAAAACCACATCTCCACAATCATACGGAAGATCAAACTCACGTCCATGAGGACAGAAGACCGTCTGTAGACTGATGCCTCCAGGCTCAAATCGACCGCCACGTTCACCGAAGATTACACCTAGAATTTCAGTGGCGTTGTTCCGATGATAGTACTATCAAGACGTCAGTGAGCAAAGACTCAGGCATAGACGCACGACGAGACTTCATACTGGTGGCCGGAAACTGTCACTCGCAACATCCCACCTCTCAGAGACGGTAAGAACCTCGACGAGAGGAATCCCGGGAGCTTTGGACTTGGCCGTCAGGACCGTGAAGACTGAAGGGTCAATATGATCTTTGGACAGGCTTCCCACGAAAATGAACTTTTCCATCGCATACTTGTACGGGACATAGCTAAAGGCACAGTTAAACCCTGGCGGCGGCCGAAGTCAGAAAGCTAATGTTACTCACTTCCCTTGCCATGCCACCACATCAAAAGGTGTGTGATCTTGCGCGGCAGAGAAAAGTTGTCCCCCAATCCTATCAATTTGTCGGTCACGGTTCGACCTCCGTCATCGAAAGACTTACTTGTAAACAACTCGAAAGACGTCAGTAAAAGCAACCTGCGGACCTATGGCACAACTCACTCTCCCAGGACGTTTCGTCAATCTCAAAACTCGCCAATGGTACCTCGAAATCCCTCGGATTTGCCATTCCGTGTCCACCAATCGGCCCGAGATCGGGAAGCTCGAAGTGCGAACCAAAGATCTCCTGTACATCTGTGTCCGCGAGCTTCAGTAATGGCGCGCTTGAACGATTATCCGCGGCTCACATCCTCTGGAAGGTCCATCAGGTAACGAGACCTTGAACTTCATACCCTTTTGTACGACCATCAACTCCCCGGGCCGCACCATCATTCTGTCAGGACATTTAGGACCGGCAATACCGACAGACGGAAATACTCGCCTCCCAAACTCGGTCTGTACATCCAACCTCCCTTGGTGCGGCGCTACCAGCATGTCTCCATCGCTATTACAAAACGCTTAATTCTGCATACTCGCATTCGCCGAATAGAAATGCAGCGCTAGGCCCTCTCTGGACGTAGGCTCGCCGTTCCCTCCAATTGTCTTCAGACCCGCGATGAAGTCCACTTCATCGGACGACGAAGGGAGGGAAGGGGGACTCCAGTTCAACTGCGTGGGACTGATGTGCACCTTTGGATTGATAGGGAGGAAATTGGACTCCATCTTGAGAAATATCCATCAGCTTTCAGCTTTAGCCATCCGGATGGGCACGCACGTCTGGGCTGTCAGGTAGTCTGACAAATTTCTTGTGATCCAACGAAGGTCGAATGCGATACATGAACCTACAGACAATAAGGTCAGCCTCGGGGCAGTCTTAGGGAATATGCGGCTGTGCACGCACGCATGGAGATTCTGGGGTCGGGGCGCGACGAACGGGGAGCCCGTCATCTATAACGCGACGTTAGCGAGAACGTCCTTTCTTTCTCTCATTTGCACGTACCCCTTCCATGTATAACCCATACTTATTCTTCTGCGGGTGATTCTGTCCTTGCGGAAGGGTGCCTGGGCTATTGGTGGTTCGTCATTAACCCAACTTAAGGTCAAGAGGGCACAACAAGCAACTCACATAGCTTCGCTTGCAAAGCGATTCCCGAAACCCACTTGATACTTGTACGGGTCACCAGATGGCGAAGAGACAATACTCGCTGATGCACTGTATGTGTGGGACTGCATTGTCTGTTAGTGAGAAATGCTGGTGCTAGGGCAGGCCTTTTATTCCCTTCATCAACGGTCCCCGAGTGGATGATCCTCGTCACTGGGTGCTCGTCAGCCGTACCCTACGGCACTATTCTTGGTAATCAAGTTGAGTCCCGGGACCTTTTCAGTGAGAATGAATGCACTTCGTCAACGGAACCTCGTCAGCATTGAATGAAACTCACCTCACCGTCTATTCTTTGTCATCAAATTGTGTCTTGGGACCATCTCTGTGGGAAAGAACATAGAAAGCAACTGTGATTTCGTGACCATATGTCAGCCTTGCTGATAGATTCAGAAGGGCGATGATCGAAAGGTGGATATATGCGCAGATTATTATTCGCCAGTCACCAGCACTCACAAGGAAGACTCGAAGAGATGCTCCAGAGCTCCGTTTTCCCGTTATCAGTACGTTTCAGTGGGGAAAATGCGGCAAAGCAAGGTGAAAATGTGATTTGATATTGGTTGTACATACATAATTTCTGGTCTGCTCGTTTCTTGACTAGCGATGATCGAAATGCTAATTGAGATGGTGCTCTCATAATCATCGAAGTCAGTCGGATCTCTTCTTCAATTCTTCGTATCCAGCAGCCTTCAGGTCAGCGTTAATCTCATCCAGATGGGCAATAAAATCTGGCGGGAAAGACAGTGGTTCGGATTCTGAAAGTCTAAATGAGTGTCGTGTTTTGAACAACCATAAAAGCCTAAGCATGTACCAGCAACCGTCCCAGCCCGATTCATGGCATAATCAGTCATCGTCAACACCATTGGCGTCTCAGACAAAATACCTATTGCTTCTGAGCGACACAATCACTACCATGCCGAGGAGCCCACTCACCTATCGAGTCTTTGGTGGTTCGCTCCGGTTTGAGCTCTACCACGCTCGCAGCCTTGTGCACTTCAGGAGGCGCTAGAAGATCGATCAAGGTTAACAATCGCTTCTCTACAATGCAGATAATCAGATCGACCAACTCACGTCCATGAGGACAGAACACAGTCTGTAAACGGGTACCTCCAGGTACATATCGATCACCAATGTTCACCGAATATTACACCCACAATCTCGGTGGCATTGTTCCGATGATAGTACTGTAAAATGCCAATGAATTAGGGCTCTGGTGGATATGCAGGATACGACTACGTACTGGTGGTCGGAAAGTGTCAGTCGCAACATTCCACCTCTCAGCGAAGACGAGGACGTTGACGAGCGGAATGCCAGGAGCCTTGGACTTGGCCGTCAGGACCGTGAAGACTGAAGGGTCGATATGGTCCTTGGATGGGCTCCCCACGACATCAGCAATCTCACAATTGGTATAGGACGTATAGAGACATGCCTCCTATAGCACCCTATACCCTATAACACGGTATAGGGCTATAAGGGACATGCATGTTTCCTATAAACCCCATTCATAGGGCTATACCATCCCTATACAGCATCATTTGCCAGACTGTACCGGCAACGCAATTGATTCTGAATGCTATATCACTTAAATTTCTCAGGAATATAAAGAATTAGATATCTATTAGCAATGCGACAGGTACAGTGAGATACTAGGTACGTCAGGTTACATCTATGATACCACCAGCCTCTATCCACCGTCATCAATCCCGATCCTTCACTAAATACAACAGATGAAACGGCAATGACTAATAGAAAAGCTGTCAGTTGAAAATATTCATAACAGAAGGGGGGGCCACTCACGATGATAGTACGTCCTAAGCCTGGAAGAGGACTAACGATAAAGGACACTGCACCACTGATGCTAAGAAAAGGCTGAGAATCAGATTGTCACACACAATCAAGAAATAACACACCTCATATCACCACATCGTTCGTCGAGCTGAGGTATACCTCCGCTTCATCCCCACTGGCGTCTGACGCGTATTTATCCGGGCGGTCTTGTATTATATCTTCGACAGTTTGGATGACATCCAATGTGGGTGGGGTCGCAAATGAGATCCTATAGATGAGTATCTTGTAGCAAGGAGGATATGTAATAAAGTAAACTTACCAAGTGCCTGGTATCGCGCAGACACGAAAGGGAGATAGTACGAGTAAGTGGGAGAAAAGAGAGGAAGCAAAATCAGCGAAGTTCAATATACACGTGACCATATGCCGCGATTGTGCACAGACCACTTCCATTTTGGGGACGCTAGGCTTGACACCGGTCTTTTTCACACTTTTTCGCATTTTGTCTGTCAGTATGCACATCCTTAAAACTATAATCATAGGTATTTATTAATTGAAGGGCTACACTGATATCTTTATATAGATTTGATAGGACTTGTCTATAGATGTATAGTGGTATAGGTGATATAGATGACGTAGACTCAGGATACTTGCAAAATTCCCTATACTGTCTATACCACCTATACCCTCTATATGGATGTGAAATTGCTGATGGAAGATGAACTTTCCATTGTGTACTTGTACGGGACATAGCTAAAACCGCACTTAAATAGCAGTAGCAGAGAGTAAGGTGTCACTCACTTCCCCTGCCATGCTACCATGTCAAAGGGCATGTGGTCTTGTGCGGCAGAGAATAGTTGTCCTCCGATCCTGTAGTTTTTAGTCGATCAGAGCTGGACCTCTGTCGTCTTGAAAGGACTCACTTGTAAACAACTCGAAAGATGTCAGTACTACAAGCAACATGCAAAGCTAAGACAGCACTTACCCTCCCATGACGTTTCGTCAATCTCGAAACTCGCTAACGGTACCTCGAAATCTCTCGGGTTAGCCATTCCGTGTCCTCCGATGGGTCCGAGATCAGGAAGCTCGAAGTGCGAACCAAAGATCTCCTGCACATCTGTATGTCAATGAATGTCAGTAACGACACACTTTAATACTAGCAGGTGAGGGCCATCCCATACGTGTGGCAATTCCGAGTCCTATGTTTGTCAGATAGATCAATCACCTTACCCGGTGCATCATTTGTATATGAATGCATCCGGAGTTTTGCCGTTTGGATCAAGGGGCATATCAGTGATATCGATTCCACCTTCTCATATTGCACGTCTCCCTTGAATCATACCATCATTGAACCATATAACACAGTCGGGATCGACATACCTGGCTGTAAAATGACTGTTTCTGAAATATACGATACCCACTAGTTGATAACATGCATTTCCATTGACTGTGGATGTGGGATCGGGATATGCGCGAACGGAAGGTCGCATCACTGAGGATCGTGAGAGTCAAGGGAGAAGGGCAATGGAACGCATCAAGGCACAAAGGTCAATTGAGCCTTCACCCCCGGGGGTAAATACCATGACGACAAGCAAATGTCCAAAAGAATTGAAGGGGACTGCACAACACACAGAGAATACACTGATTGTCATAGAATCAAAAGAAGCAAAAAAAAATATAATGAAAAGAACATACGTAACACAGCAAATTAATAATGACATACATGAAACAAACGAATCGAAGCACACGGATGAGTGCATGGGCAACCCAGCATGGTAATAGAGACAACAAAAACACGAAAAAGGCTGCCACAACATATGAATAGAGTTGAGGGAAGCAGGTAAAACCAAGGATCAGATAGCACCGTAGGAGATGAACACAAGGTACAACAGGAGATATGATGGACAAAAGAAACGAAAACTCAACGAGAGTCAAGCCAGAAGACAACCATCAGTGCCATCGGACACAAACATTGTGACAGAGGTAGACGTCAGTAGACAACGGGGCGATAAGTAATAGAAGGATAAGAAATATAGAATGGCGAATGGGTACCAAATCCACAACCAGTTTGTTGTGAAAGGATCGATCGATTCTATGACAGAGACAAAGCAAGTAAGTAACAATTGAAACAGACTGGAGAAAATGACTAACATAGGCATGCACAGGCGACATGATCGAAGCACTCATAAACGAGAGGACGGCAAAAGACAAACTGCACCTGTCATGGGTTATGAAGGTAAGAATCAATTACGGCAAGGTAGAATCATACTGAAGAGACATATTAGGAACACAACGTTATCAAATCGGCAAGCATCAAGAGAGACGAGGATGCAGGTATGTGGAGGATCATCCGAAAGACTGCAGGAGAGGGCGCAATAGAAGAAGTGGTATTCACGATGACCGGTGCAATATACGCGATGGATCTACCACCCGTCACAAAGGAAACAAGGTGAGCAGATGATACAGTCCAAACGAATGCAGTGTACTCACGAAAGTCATGGTCAGGATGCAAAAAGAGAAAGTGAGATTCCTAAGCCAAATGGTACGACTTGTAGGTCTCAGGAGCAAGGGGTATGACGAAGCTGTATCTGCTATAAAGAGTCTGCAAATGATGGGAGAGAGTTCAGGGAGGGCGAGATGGAAGAATGGAAGCCAACGAAGGTAAAGAATCTGGACGTGGTGGAGCTGTCGAACCGATACTTCAGACCTCGGAACAACTCGAATGAGGAGGACATACCCTTTTCGCCTGACGTTGACCTGATGGGAATCCTAGTCAAGATAGCACAATGAAAATGGGTGCACACTGAGGACAACAAGATGGGATACTTCAGGGGTCTGATAGATGAAGCAGGCAAGAAAAGGTAAGCGAGATCAACACGTATGTGCTAAGAACGGAGCCGACCATACCTTGTGAATGCGTATGTGACGGTGAAGCCCCAAATGTTCAGAATAGGTGATATTGTGGAAGCCCAGTGTGCTATGGTGTTCATGAAGACCAATGACGGTGTCACAAAGACCACATTGATATTGAGAGCCATATTGCTCGTAAACTCAGACCATTCATCGGTGAGCATTTCAACATGTACGTCAAATGTTGCTGAAAAAGTCACAGAAGGTGAATGCAGAAAGAAGGAACACGGCCAATACACCGCCACAGTCGGTGGTGAAAACAAAGAGGAAGATAGGTTTTGAAGATGAGGAGGACGATATACAGACCACGGCAAAAAGGTTTAATAGGACAGAAACAGAGGAGGAGGAAGAGATCATGATGTCGACATGATACACAGATATATGTACGAATGAGAAACATGAATTCTGAATTAAGAAAAGTGCATGATGAAGAGACCGGGAGTGAAACGAGACAAGCAAGAAGGTGAAGGCCAGACATAAGATTGATCAAGACAGACACATCAATTAAAGAGAATACAGAATATAAATGATGGAAAACAAAATGTGAACAGGAAGCAGGCTAGAGAAATGCGATGTGGCACGAGGGCAAACCGCGGAGCATGAAAAAAAAACAGGAATAGCTGTCCATGAATAGAATTATTCCCACAAGAGACCCACAGAGGAAACAGGGATGGGACAGCAAACGCCGCCATCACTGATTCCATGAATAGAATTTCCCACAGGGTTTCATGACACCATAATAACCGATATCCTATATTCATAGGACTCGGAAAGGTCCATAGCTCACATCCTCTGGAAGGTCCATCGGGTAGTGACACCTTAAACTTCATACCCTTCTGGACAACCATCAGCTCCCCAGGTCGTACCATCATTCTACCATGTCAATTCAGAACTGGTGACACCTGTGGATGGAAGCACTGACCTCCCAAACTTGGTCTGTACATCCAACCTCCCCAGCTGTGGTAACACCAGCATGTCTCCATCGCTGTTACAAGATGCTTTACTCTTCATATCCACATTTGCTAAGTAGAAATGCACCACTAGTCCTCCCTGGACATAGGCTCGCCATTCCCTCCAATTGTCTTCAGACCTGCAATGAAGTCTACTTCATCTGACGATGAAGGGAGGGGAAAGGGTCCCCATACCAGCCATGTGGGACTGATATGCACCTGTGAATTGATAGGAAGGAAGTTGGATTCCATCTTAAAGATCATCATCAGCCTACAGTTCAGTTACACAGAGTATCGCAGCACGCACGTACATCTGGGTTGTCAGGGAGTCTGACGAGCTTCTTGTGGTCCAAAGAAGGCCAGATACGATACATGAATCTGTGTACGTTGAGATCAGTCCTATCACAATAATAGTAGAACTTGTAGCATACGTACGCATGGAGATTTTGATGTTGGGGTGCAATGAATGGGGAAGCCTGTCACCTACACTGACCGACAAAAATAAAGAAACACATGGTTTTTTTGATTGGAGTCGCAATAGCTCCTCAACACTGTGATATTTTTTCAGACTTTCAGTGAGAGAAATGTAGCTTAATTGATGTAGTTTATTGTTAGAAAAAGGATGAGGTATATACATGAAAAAAATGATGAGATATAAATATGTTAGCCGAGAGTGTCATTTTTAACAGTGTAAGTAAAATGAGAAAACAAGATAATTGACCTGACGAAAAGTCCAACAACCTAATATCTAGTATGCCTGCCCTTTGCCAATATCAAGGACCTCACTCATGATGGGATACTACCATATAACACATTGCAATACTCTTTTCCAAGTGCAGCCCACCCCTCCTGCAGAATGGCAAATAATGTGGCAGTCGTTGTTGGGTGATGTGGTCTGTTGTTCAGACGATGTTTGAGAGTAGCCCAAGCATTCTCTATGATGCTTTGGTTGGGGCTGTTTGGTGGCCAGTCCATTACAGAGATGTTTTGGTCGGCGAGCCACTTTTTCGTAAGCTGAGCTGTGTGCTTGGGGTCATTATCCTGCAGAAAAAGGACAATGTCGACTGAGAGTTCATAGTCCTGGAGGGTGCCAAGAAGTCCTTCATTAAGTATCTGGCAGTACTGGACAGCATTCATAGTGCCTTCCACCAAAATCAGCCGTCCGAAGCCCAAACTCATCATGCATCCTCAGATCATCACCCCCCACCTCCATGCTTCAACCAGGGCAACATGTTATGCACATCTAGTGCCTCACCAGGACCCCTATGACACCACTGCACTCTGTCTGACCCAAAGAAGTTGAATTTGGACTCATCTGAGTAGAGCACAGTACCCCATTTTTCTGCTCCCCATTCTGCATGTGTCTCTGCCCACACCCATCAGTAAGTTGACATCCGTATGGTTCGCATGGTGCCATGTAAACCATGCGAACTATACAGCTATACATGTGCATGGCTGTATAAGGTACCTATGTAATTTTATACACCGCGTATAGCACCTTATACACTGCCATGCACAATACACATCCATGCCATATACCACTCTCATCGCCAAAACCTGAGCCATGCAATCTTGGTCAGACCGATACCATCGCCTGCGATCAAGTCACCCTGACCTGATCTGGGCAATCTTTACGGATCTTGGCCGCCAACCACAGGTGTCCCAGACCTTTGACCCCCATATCGTCTGTTCTGGGTACGATCAGAGTGCGATCAGGGCACTTCTGTGGTGTTCTATGCGTTCTGCTACGATCTCGATCAGTATTGCGAGGCTTACTCGCTCGAGTAAGAAAGGCCGGATCCGATAGGAACTGACAGCTCACGGATGGGTAGACATATTGCTGCACACCCTCAGGTTCTCTTGCAGTTGACGTCACCAATGTATTAGAAAGTAATTTATTAACACAGCGAAATTTTAGACAGTACACTGAGTTATGAGCAGAGAAAGACAAAAGCATCAGATAAGCATACAGGTAAGCAGCAAGCGGAGCGAGAGCATTAAAGGGAGCAAACGAGTCATACAGCAGTCCATGCACCAGTGAGAGAAGCAAAGTCGGACAGAAACAGGGCCGAGTACCATAGTTGAAGCTAAGTAGAGTCGGAGATTAGCACAACGTCACTAGACTATACGAGCACAACTCACCTCTGAACCATCAAGGCATTGCGTTGGATTCGTTATCGCCAAGTTCTTCATCAGCAGCTGCAGCCACAGCCACTCGTTCTTTGATGCGTGCTTCGCGGTTCCTCTTCATTATCGATTCGTCATCATCATCGTCAACTTCTTCTTGGTCCTCGTCAGTCTTGGGTTTCAAGATCTCACTATAAAGAGACAATGTTGTAAACCAGAATTGATGAAGGAGTGGAGACGTACGTAGTGTAGAATTCAACAGTTTCTTGCGCCCATGTATCGCCATTTTCATTGATCGAATCCAGGAAAACTCTTGATAACTTGTGGTTATACTGTTTGAGGTTGAAGCCGTCACTCTGATCCCCCCATGTAGTGCAAGACGATAACGCGAATCGTGCCTAGCATAGCGAATGAGGATCATATTGATAACAGATCAAAAACGTACCTGTACAGCAGCATATACAATCATTTCCTCCGACGTGGTCTTGAGGTTCAGCTTTCCTTTGACAGTGCTGTGTAAGCCGGATGCATCGTGTTCTGCATTCCCTAGAAAAATTGCATGGAATGACTAGAAAGGCTTTAGTACCAGTTACAAATTAAGTGAGGAGCTCAAACCCGAATGCAAGTATGGCCTCGAAAGAGACCCTTACGAGGATCAGAAGGATCGACAAGCCCTGAATCATACAGATACGACGGAAGGTATCGCGTTGTTACCTTGGTCTGCAGCTTAACCATCATTGCACTATTATCAAGGGTAGAGTCAGGGTCATTAAGCAATGAGAAGGAACGAAATCAATACTGAGGATCTTCATCAAACTGATCTAACCAACACTGAGGGCATAGAAGGCGAGCCGTGTGGATGTGGTTGAATCCACATTGGTATTTCTTGAGAGTTGGGAGCAGCGTCTCATCGGTAAGGTCCTTGGTTGAAAGACGCATGATGTTATCACTGATTTTTGTCGTATCATCCAAGCAACCACTATGGGCTCCTGTGTTTATCTATCAACAGTCAGCTAGTGTACTTTAGAGGAAAAGACAAATACCGCTGCAAAAATCTCAAAGACTGCCCTCAATGGATCGTCTGACCCCAGGTCCTCTAGTTGACTGACGTGCATCTTGAAACATGGGAAGAGGAATGTCGTGATGTGCATATAGAAGTGCATAAATCGGAAATTTCTACACGGTTGTCAGTAATTTATATCAATATATGCACTTGGTACTCACTCTGGCGTCTCAGGTTCCTTCGTCTCACTGTCGCTATCGTCCTCAGCCTTTTCCTCCTCATCTTCAGCAAGCGATTCGAGAATCCCCTTAACCATAAATCCGTGGAGTACGATTCCCTGTACATTGGCCCAGGGATGGATAAATCGAGGAATGTTTCTTGACATGAGCCGGTAGTACTTCTTGAGGGCGGAAAAATTCCTGTATTTTTCGTCAAAGCCAGAACAATGTAGAGAGGAAGGATGACTACTTCACTGATTTAGGAGGAGACAGACCACGAATTGTTGGTGACCTCTTCCTCTTGCCTAGCCTCAGCGAATCTGCATCTTGAATCTCCACATCCTGTTCATCCTCGCTGTCATTCTCGTCCTCATCCTCGGATACTTGTTGTTGGTGGTGGGCGTCAACAGGGTCCTCATCATCAGAGGACACAACCTTGCGAGAATGGTTGGTCTTATGCACAGGCTGCCATGGTGGTGGTGTTGCTATCCTCGGCTGCTTGATAGGCTTTTTCGATTTTTTTTTGTTGGAAGATGTTGCAGGAGGTGGGTGAGTTGTCGTCTTGGCCTTTTTTGCCTTCAGAGGTGCCGGGAGAGGAGCAGGCTTCATGGTTGACTTCGAAGGAGGATGAAGTAAAAGGCAAGAAGGACAAGCGTGACAGTATATAACGCGTCGCGATGTGATTCTTGTAACACGTGATCTCCACCACCACCGCCATCACAGCGCTGACTCGCTCTCAGCTGTGGAGTCCAGTTACCTCTTGTGTTTCTCTCTCTTCCTGCATCTCTCCCTCTATTTCTCATTTTCACTGGGTAACACAACTTTTTATTTGTGGAAATTTAACTAAATCTGTTTTAGGCTATTATGGGAAGATGCTCTTTCTGCAATGCCTCCTTTCACAATGCTGTGGCCTGCAAAAACCACGAGCAAAGGTGCCCAAGGTGAAAGAATGTCCATATTCGGTCTCGAAAGCATGTCACATCCCCGTCCGATGTGGAGGAGAATCCAAACTCGGAGATGGTGCCAATTTCTGCTGGGACAAGACTGCAGGCAATTCATGAGCGTCTTTCACCCAAGAGGCGTCGTATCGACCTTAGCAGAGACAATGCACCTGTATGTAATGCCTATGATGTTCGTTGTACATCTCCCAGTCTAAATTTTGTTCTAGATACACGAAATTGATGCAACCATGAATGAAACAGCAAGGACCTTGCCGCATACTCCAACTGCAGGACCGTCTAGTTATGCTGCCATTCCAGACGAAGATGAGCAAGTTGCCAGCCCTCCTCCCATCCCTGTCATTTCAGAAGGCCGCCCGAAGCGAAATATCATCCTTCCAAAGTGCCTGCACGATCTATTACCATCTAAACCTACTGGATTTTGCCTATTTGCATCACTGGAGCAAAAACCACCTCTCCCACCTGCCATGCCTCAGCCGTCACCATCCAGGTCACCTTCTCCATCAGCCTCACCACCACCCGAACCTGTATATCTCGAGACAGCTCCAAATGAGATGGGTCTTTATCGGTGTTATAAGGAGTGGCCGACTGTTGACCCTACCATGGGAGGTGGTCTCGATGAAGTCTCTGATGCTTCAACATTCACTTCTCATGCCGACTGCCTCGCAAATGCACCTGAGAGCAGTACTGATCCATTTTATCCCTTCCCAAATGCGACTATCTTCCGCCTTTTTTTGTGGTTCTATCAGTCAACATCTAAATCTTTGTCAGACGTCACCTCCCTTGTCCGAACCGTTCTATGGGCACCAGATTTTGATCCCGAGCATCTTACCGATAACTTTGATGCTGCGAAGGAGATCAAGGTGCTCGATACTATTGGCGAACAACAAAATTGTCTTCCATTTTCTTTATCTGATGGCTGGCATGAGACTTCAGTAACCATCAAGCTGCCTCAAACCGGTGTTGAACACATCTCTGAGGAGTCTGCTCCCGAGTTCGAAGTCACAGGCATTTACCACTGGAACCTTTTGGACGTGATTGTATCCGCCTTCCAGAGCACCGCTTTCCTTGACTTTCATCTGAAAGGTTTCAAGGAAATGTGGGATCCTGGAAACGATGACCAGCCGGAACGAGTATATGGGGAGGTATATAGTTCAGATATCTTTCTTGAAATGGAAGACGAAGTTCGCCTGACACCTGACCCAAACGGATTGGAAACTGTTATTGCGCCATGCATGCTGTACTCAGATTCAACGCATCTTACTAATTTCAGGACAGCCACACTCTAGCCCATCTACCTGTTGTTCGGCCTACTCTCCAAGTACATGCGGGCTCGACCAACGTCAGGAGCATCACATCATATTGTGTACATGCCTACCGTTTGTTTTTACCTCGTCTTCTGCATTTAAAATACTGATTATATTGAATTATATCAATCAGATTCCGGATAAAATTCAAGATGCCTATCTGAAATACTTTGGACAGCGTGCATCCCCTGCAATCCTAACTTTTCTGAAACGGGAGCTCGTTCATGCTATCTGGGCAAAGCTTCTTTCACCAGAATTCATGGATGCGTATATAAATGGGGTTGTAATCTTCTGTGCTGATAATATTTACCACCATGTATACCCTCACTTTTTTCTATACTCAGCTGACTACCCTGAAAAGTATGTTAGTATTAGTTTCTATTATTACATTCTAATTCATCTATTTTACAGAGTCCTACTCGCAAGTATTAAGTCAATGGCTGAATTTCTATGCCCACGCTGCTTAGTAACCAAGGAAACAGCGTCAGAAATGGGTACCATCAATGACATGAAGCGCCGTGTAAAAAAAGCTAGAGTGGATACAACACAACGGCAAAGCTGGATTGAGAAAGTTCGCAGCTGGATTTATGAGGATGGCAATGTTGTTGATGGCAAGGCAGTGAGCGATGTACTGAACTGCCAGTCTCTATCACCAACACGAGTAAGTCAATAGTGGTCTCATCAGGATAATGCCATGCTAATGTTCTATTAGAATGCGTTCTCCTCAGTGTTTATTTCACTCTTCAACTTCTACCAGATGTTCGTCATTGATCCTCTGCATGAGATTGAACTCGGAACATGGAAGGCGCTCTTTATTCATCTTCTATGGCTTTGTCAGTTTTACGGAGGCGATATTATACAGGAATTAAATAGAAGGTATGTCTCTTTAGATGTTTCTAGTCATATCACTGTCTTTAATTCTGCTTGTAGGTTCCGAATGATGCCTACATTTGGACGAGGAACTATACGAAGGTTCAAGAATAATGTATCCGACCTTAAAAACTTTGCCGCTCATGATTTCGAAGATATTCTTCAGGTATATAGCTTATTATTCTAACATATCTCAGTGCTGACTCTGGATCTATCACTTGTAGTGCGCCATGCCATGCTTTGAAGGACTCTTTCCTCCGAAATTGGACAGGCTTGTCCTTGACTTGCTATTCTTGTTTGCTTGCTGGCATGTGAATGCTAAACTTCGGATGCATACTGAGTCATCACTCCGAGTGTTCGAACGTCTAACGTGGCTTTTCAGGTCCTTCATGAGAAAATTCAAGCAGGAGGTTGATGAAATTGATACACGTGAGATTCCAAAGGAACGTGAAGCTAGGGCACGGCGCGATATCAATAACATGAAGAAGAAAGGGAACAGCATGTCAAAAGGTAAAATTTCAACAGCGAAATTACAGAAAAGATTTAATCTTTCAACGTATAAATATCATGCCATGGGTGATTATCCTGGAATGATTCGTGCATTTGGAACCACAGATTCATATAGTACTCAGCTGGTAAGCCTCCAAATTTTCTATGCCACGCTAAGCTCATTTTATTTCAGGGAGAGCTTGAGCATCGGCGAGTCAAGCGTTTCTATGGGTGGACCAACAAGAACAAGACCTTTGCGAAGCAGATATCACATCATGTTCAACGCCAAGAACGCCTCCGAGAAATGCAACGAAAAATCAATCTCAAGGACCAAAAACACCGAAGTCACCCTATGCCTGCAAGGGATGGTTCTGAGGTGCTCCCATACACAGATCCAAGTCACCACCATCATATATCACCATCTACAAGTTCAAAAATATATCTGGCTCCATGGCTTCATGAGAATGGCAGCGACATTGCATGTAATGTGAGCTATCTAATCCTGGATCATCTAAACTCCCTGTAATAATGATCTGACATCACTTCTAGGGTTTTATTCGAAAGCTCAAGGACCATTTACTCTCTCGAATTCTCAATAGTAATGATGAATTCACGGATCTTCATCGCCAGAACCTCATCATTGTCGACAACTGCCTCTACTCACATCAAATTCTTCGTATCAATTATACTACCTATGATGCTCGTCGAAATCAAGATTCTATCAACCCTCGTACTCATTCCGATATTATGGCCCTTTCTCCTTCTACGCAGACTGATTTGGATAGCGATAACAATTCTCATCCTTATCTATATGCCAGAGTTATCGGTATCTTTCATGTGATGGTCCGTCATGTTGGCCTGCAGTCCATTGATCGCACCACAAAGAACCTTCAGTTTCTATGGGTCCGATGGTATGCATTTGATAGGAGCATCCCTTCTGGGTTTAGGGCAAAGCGCTTGCCATGCATTGGTTTTCTCCCAGGTGATGATCCTCAGGCGTTTGGGTTTGTAGATCCTAATGATGTTCTTCGTGCATCACATATTATGCCTGCCTATGTCTATGGTCAAACGTCGGACATCCTTCCACCCTCAATTTGTAGGAGATTCAACGAGAATGACATGGATTGGGCATGCTATTATGTGGATATGTAAGTCCATCCTCGAATTCTATCATTCTGTATCTATGATCTGACTGGAAATCAGAGAGCAGATTTGCTGATCGTGACATGTTCATGCGGTATTGCGGCAATGGCATCGGCCACAGCAATACACGAGAGTATACATGGGGATTGTGGGAAGAGCTTCTCGATGCTTTGGGGATCACTACATTGGAGAATACTTCTGAAGTCGCTGAATCGGATGCTGAAGAAGAAGAGGATGACGCTGAACCTGGCGCCAATACTTCGGAATTGGGTCATGCGCCAGCAGACTTAGCAGACTCGGATACCTCTGATGCTGAAATCGATGGTAGCATTGAGGATGAAGACAGTGACAGCTCATGGCATTCAGATGACTATGTCGAGCTAAATGAGCCTGAAGAAGATGATGAGTTTGATGATGATGAGCTTTTCAGATATTCCGCTCTGTAATTCTTACTAGACTGAAATTAAATTAACATAATTATAATTGATAAGGCTGATGCGACACAATTTGAGAGCCATTGACTGACTACTTCAGATCTCTTCTGGTTCAGGCCTCTTCTATGTAGGTCTATCTCCCCTTGAGTAGACCACACAGATCCTATCGAGGTCTGGAGTATTCTGATCAGACCAGCCCTGATCTGATCATATCAGACAGGGCACTTCAGATCATTGTTGGCTGGTACCGCTGCCCAGATAAGGCCGACCTGGACCAGAACACATGGCTGAGGTTTTGGTGATGCTATACCTGCATTTGCTGCACCAGAAATCCGACTCATATCTGTTCATTATGCTTGGTACAGAAAGAATAGCATTGAATATATATCCTACAACATAACATCATAAGTATACTACAGTAACAAGGCACCAGTGACCACTCTCTTCAAGCTTCGCTATCCAGCCCGAACGTCCTACCAGCAGACCCAGGATATTGAATGGATCTCATGTGCTCAACACAGAACTGTGAAATATATTAGGTGCCAAACACTGTTAGAAGGAAGACAACTCACCCGAACGCAGCGATACACCTTCTGGAACCGTATTCGGAAGTGAAAGATATTGCACATGCTACCAAAACAAAAATGAGGACCAAGAACAGCAGCAGCGAGTATGAACCACTCACCTTGTTCCATCAGATCCCTTTCGCAGGCCGTCCCAATACCTTAGCACATGGTGCACACCGCTATTTCCCACGTTTGTGGTCTTGATGGCATAAGTATAGCCTTGGCAGTACTGAGGTCATTGCGGAGGGGCAGGAAAAAATAAAGAGATTGCTCGACATATTAGAGTAGTCTGAGGTCCTGTGAAGGGTTTCCAATGGTAGGATATGAATAACATTTAAGAAAATACGTACCAGAAGGAGGACAGAAGTCTGAGCCGGCATGTCAAAGATGAGGGAGGGAAGGAAAAGACAAGAAGTCAGAGGATCCATTGCGACCGAAGTTCAACATGCACGTGATGCAATGATGTGATTGCGCTCGGACCTCATGCTATTTTGGGATCATGAAGCGAAATACTTATGTGAGATCTCCTGCTGACTGCCAGGGCCAACGCGATGTCAATTCCGGTGTCTGCAGGGATTGAATCAACCTCAAACATTCAGGAAAAAAATCTCCATGTCAACACCACTCCACCATACCACATCTGTATAGGTGCATGATCACTATAATGATATTTTGTGTGCATGGCTATGCATGGCATGACATGGCTCAAAATCTCATATACCTGTCATGCGTCCCATGCTCACCACATGGATGTGAACTTACTGATGCCCTTCACTTTCTAACATGAGCCTTCATGAGCATTGGTACCTTCCACCTCTTGTAACCCTTCAGGCCCTCATCTGAAAGCTTGCACTGCACAGTGCACTCTGAAAGATGGTCGAAATACCTCCGTTGAACATCGACTGCTGTCCGGCAGTCATGACTATGGATTTTTTGCATGGCAATTTTAATATCTGCATCGTCCATCTTGCACGGGTGGCCTCACCCTTCAATGCGAGCATAGTAGTTCTCCTTCCCTTCATATTTGTGGCCAGTTTTGCAGATGGTAGAGCGCAAACATCCAATGACATTGCTGATTTCAGTGCAGGTGTGGCCTTCATTGAGGAGAGTGCAAATATGGGCTGCTTTCATAGGGGTAATAGGCACATTTGGTTTGCAAGGAGGAGGTGAATACATGATAGGAATTTCAGTGCAATCGGCCCAGGTGGTGGTTCAGATTCAAGTTGGTTCCGACGTTGATGTGATGCCATTACATCATCAAAATTGGCATGTGGTTTTGCAGCCCTCTTACTTTGCTCACTGACTGGTATTTTTGCCTCATTCTTTTCATAATATTAAACTACAGATATCAAGCTACATTACACTCACTGGAAGTCCAAAGAAATATCGCAGCATTGAGGAGCTATTGCGACTCTGATCAAAAAAACCATGTGTTTCTTTATTTTTGTCGGTCAGTGTATGATACGACATAAACACAAATTTCCGATCTTCTCTTAGTCACACATACCCCTTCCATGTACAAACCATACTTATTCTTCTGAGAGTGATTCTGTCCTTGTGGGAAGGGTCCCAGGGCTGTTGATGCATCGCCATCAACTCCAGCTGAAAGTCATGCAACAAACCGCTCACATAGATTCGCTTGCAAACCGGTTTCCAGACCCTACCTGATACTTGTACGGGTCCCCAGTTGGTAAGGGTACGTAGCTGGCTGATGCGCTGTATGTATGGGACTGCATGTGAGGATGAGAACAGCGCCAGTAGTGTCACGCTCTTTATTCACTTCATCGCTCGACCATAACCTCCAATTTTAAATTACCCTCGTCAGCCATAAGCTACAGGTTCTGGCCTTTGTAATCAGATTGAGTGAGACCTTTGTAGTGGGAATGAATGTCATCTTACACACTTCGTCAGTCAACATTAAGTGTAAACTCACCTCACCGTCTGTTCTTTTTCGAGTCTTGGGCCAGTTCTGTGGGAAAGAATTGTCGAAACCACCTGCATATTCATGATCGAGTACGGCTAGCATGCTGATAGAACGATCGAAAAGCGGTCATTTGCAGAGGTTGATATCCGCTTAGTCACTACACCCTTCAGTTAAACGAAGGGGTACAATCGACATCCTTTTTTCCGTTGTCAAAGGGATCAGTTTAGTAAGGGAAAGACGAAGAGAAGCAAAGCGAAAAGATCTAATATTGGTTGTACATACATGAATCCGGGCCTGGTCAGCCCTACACTTCTCTAATCTTACACTACGATCTTCAACGCCGCTTAGTTGGCCAACACTACAATCTTCGCGGCAATCGCTAATATTTGAGGTCAGTTTGACAAGCGATGATCGAAAAGCTCTAGTCACGTACAATCCGAATCAAGACCCTGGTAGGGAATTTGCTCCCAAAGACCGCCACAGCCTAGGCATCGTCAACCGCAGAACATTCATTAGAAAATATAAACTCACCCTCTTTAGTCGTTCCCAGGTAGGCATACTTGGGAGCGAGCCTACGTTCGAGAAGCCACGTTCCAAACTTGGACCCAAGCTAATTTCGAGTCAGTTACGGAGATAGAACCCGAGAGAATGTGGATCTCACCCCAGTCTTCTGGTTGAAGGATTCCACAACGAGAACGAACGGGCTTGATCCAACCTTCTTGATGACCTGGTAAAATTATAAATAAACATCCAGTGGCGATCTTCTCTTACTCACCTCTTCATCCACTGAACTGAGCGTGGGCTTGTTGATCAAACCTACATCGATACCCTGCTGCCGGCAACGCAGCACGGCGTCGTAGGACCGGTAGAGCATCTCACCGAACGAAACCACGTATCCGGCTTTCCCTTCCACGATGACTTCGTCCTTACCCGGAACGAACTTGTAACCGTCGCCGAAGTACTTGGTCTTGCCGTCTTCTTTGAGAATATACGGGACCTTGGAACGAGTGGAGAAGACGAATCGAAGGCCGCGTTCGAAGAAGACGCGCTTCACGACAGCGATCATCTGGGCTGGGTCTGCGGGGAAGTACAAGAATGACTCGACATCTGAAAGGCCGTTGTCAGCGAAGAGGGAGTTAATTCCAAAGTGGCACGTGTTGTCCGCCTTTAATTTCAGTGAGCAAACAGTTCATAGAACACTCTGAAAGCGGATACATACCATTTCGTCGACGCCAGAATGGGAGAAATGGCACAACACATTACAGTGGTTAAGCCGAGCCATGGTAATTTCGGATACCAGCATCTCAAGGAATGCCGAGAAGGTTGAAAAGACACCAAACTTGTCATGTTCGAATCCAAATCCGGCAGCAGCAGAAAAGTTTCCGCGTTCCATGATACCGGATGGGACGAAGACCTCCGGGTGCTTTTGGTGAATAACCTTCAAGCCCGTCGATCCCTCTAAGTCGCCTGCGAGGACATGAGGCGAGACCGAGTAGAAACTCAACGCAACATACTGTCAATGACCATTACTTTCTTCGCTGCTTCTTCCTTGCTGAGACCATCTAGGACAAGGTTGACAGCATCACCAAAAATGGCCCGGTTGGCACCAGTCTCCTTGGTAGAGCCAATGTAAGAGAATGGCTGAGGGGCGCCCTTGATGTTGAGCAGGATTTCGCCAAATGTGCTGTATCCCCTGGACTCCAGGTACTTGATAGCGCTTTTGACGGGGATGACGTCGTGCCCATGGGTGCTGCCCTCAATGTCAGCAATACCTGGCGCCATGACGCGCTTAGAGATGACAGCCGCGGGTCCGGGAGTTGTGACAATGGAACTGATGGCACCCCACAAAGAATCGATGTCTTCTCCTTGAACGGTAATCACCTTAAGGCCGTGTCCTTCAAGCACCTTGGTAACATCGTAGCCCTTGAGGTAATCAGAAGGGTGACCGGCAATGGTGACATCGTTGTCGTCAATGAGTAACTTGACATTCAAGCCTTGAGCAACGGCAAGCCGGGCAGCCTCTGCGTCGTTCCCTTCTTGCTGCGAACCATCGGATCCTAAACAGAAGACGGTCTTGTCCTTGTTCGCGAGGGCAACACCGTTGACGAGAGGCCTAGACAAACGTTCGTCAGGAATAGTCGCGAAGCAAAAACTACCGTTACTCACCACATGTGGCCTAAACGTCCCGAAGAGAACTTTACTCCCGGAGTGAGACCGAGCTCAGGATGACCGGGAAGCTTGGAATTCGCTTCTCGGTAGTGTAGAAGCTGCTCAGCAGGCAATGCACCCTCTAAGACTGAGAGAATGTACTGAGTAGCAACACGGTGACCTTATGGCGGACGATCAGTAACAGCAAACCTTGAACAAGTTGTATACGAACCAGCCTCATCGAATACTATAGGGACATAGGTGTCCGAGTGATTGAACAGCGCAAGGAGGATGCAGACTTCAGGGACGGTATCGTAGGCGCCACCTGTTCGTTATCATTAGTCCTGATTAATGTCCAATGAATGGCCTTTACGCACCTGTATGTCCACTAACCCCACGGGCAGCACCGGTAGCGGTGAAAAGTACGATAGCATCGCGTAACAATTGAATGTTAGATTTCAATGCCGCTTTCTCCTCTTCAGAGAACTTAGGCTTAGACGGGTCCAAAGCGAGCCTGTAAAAGCGGCTTAGCGACATGCATGGCAAGGCCAATACTGATTTACTTCTTGAATTTGCTGAGGTCGATGGGGAAAGAGCTAGTCATGATGATGGTGGTAGTTGAGAAAGAGGAAACGTGGGGTAATCAGATTGGAAATGGCGACTCTTTTAACCGGCTGCTTAAAAACGCTTGCGTTGGAAGAATGTGACTTGCTGAATGAACATTAATGATCTTGGTGATTGATCACATGGAGATTTCATTGAGATAACTAACTTAAGGGTCCACGGTTCAAAATAGACGGCAACCGACTAGCCAGCAGCGAAGCAGGCCTGGTACCGAATTGAACCGTGATAGACCTGAATTGTTTACGTCGCAGCGGACTCGAGTTCGCTGGCTTTGTATAGAACTAGAAAATTTGAAGGTTCGACACTGCGATCACTACGGTGATGAGGACATACACTCAGCCCGCCGTTCTTCTTTAGAAGATGCCCTACAAAGTGGCCTGGAATGATATTTGTGAGAAAAGTGTCTGAAAGCGATGATACAGAGGGAGTAAAAAAAGTTTCAGAGAACCGGGACTCGACAAATCCAACTCCCAAAGGGAGAGATTCAGACGGCACTTCCTAATTGCATCGGTTTGAATCATCATGTGTATCATAGCAACAAGAGAGAAAGAGAGAGAAAAAGACAAATATGGCTTACCAGGGAATTCACGAAGAGCGAAGTCTTGGATGAAGTTGTAGTTGCGAAGAATTTTTTCAGAGGAAAAGGGCGGATTGGTTTAAAACACCGATTGACGCTCCGACTCAATATCGGAAATACCCGGTCCTTCGAAGATGCGTTCATCTCCCCCTCCGACTTCAGTGACTTAGCTTCTCTCGCTTGCAGCGTTGAAGACACTGTATTTCTTGGTGAAGATCCAGTATATGTATACTTACTCTTCATCGCCCTAATTACACCTGTACTTACCATTTCGTTTCGAATATTGGACATTCAACAATCTATCGCCACCATTCGGCCTTTCTTTCAATTTTCCATCCAGCAATACCTTGCTGAAAGTAATCGGGACCACTAATCCAGGTCGATTGAGAGGCCATCGTTTGATGCTTAGCATCTCTCCTACTCTGGACAAAGATCTGCCTCTTTAATGTTTGGAAAACAGTGTACCTTTCGCCTTACCTTAGTAGGAGCTCCGACAACCTAATCACGGTAACAAGTCCGATCTATTTACAGGAATTGTGTCAAGGTCTCAAAGCGAGCGACGGGACGGTTGAAATCGCATAATCTATCATCCAGCAGACAGTCGGACAGCGGGGATTACTTCCGTCTTCAGGTTGACAAAATCTAGATTCGAACGAGTTGTGCGACAAAACGTCCATGCAAGGTATGTTAACCCGGATGCATCTGTCTCTCACTTTGTTCATCAGGAACTTACAGCTCTCCGTTCAGCCGTACATTGGCAGTTCGTGCGCTATATCGTCGTTCAGCTCTGTAAGATACACCAATACGGCGTCTTGCGCAGCTCTTGGTGCTATAAAAATGTTACTTCTCAAAATTTCTCTAATTCCAATATACTGGTGTGTTACAATACTGCCCCATTTGGCGGGCCTTGGTCCTCATTTGGTTGCCGGTGTGTCTCCCCGTCATCTGACAAGGCCACACATATCCACAAGTGAACTTCTGAAGCTTGCCTTAGGCGGGGCCCGCATCCCGAAAGAGACTGATTTTCCCGCGACAACTCTTGTCAGGACTGAAGCATTCCATTGATTCGGCATTTCGTACACATATATAAGTGGGTTAGCACTCATGGTTCCTCTATCACCCACCATCTAGCATCCTCTGTGAAAGCAATGGCCACTGCCTCAGCAACCTTCTCTACGAACCCTAGCCAGGCAGACCCGTATAAATATCAGGTCGGCTTCGGCAATCGCTTTGCCAGTGAAGCTATGTAGGTGCCTTCGACAATACACTGAGCATTCCACTTTAAACCGTCCCGCTAGCCCAGGAACCCTCCCACATGCACAGAACCATCCTCAGAAATGCAAATATGAGCTGTATAACGAAGGCGTGCGTTGATCGCGTTTCATGTCCAAATTTATAAGTAACATCTCTACAGTTGACCGGTAACCCCTTCGTAGGCACTCGGCCGAATATTCTGAATGCGTAAGTATCGTTCCCTATACATTATCAACAAAAATTGACCATCCATATCTCAGATTCCTTTACCGCATCCGCCCATCTGTCGCACACCAAGGATTCACCTCACTGCCTTCAAACCCCGATGTGAGTCTACGCTCCCTATCATTCCGAACCTTATCTCACAAATGAATTCACTAGCTGGAATCAAACTTTCTCCCAATCAACCCCCGTGTACACGTAAGCCCTACACAGCTCGCATGGCGCCCTCTCGACATCCCGCCCAACTCCACCGAGGTGGATTTCATCGACGGTATAAAGACTATGGCGGGGAACGGCGACCCTACACTGCACGAAGGCTTAGCCGTGCATATATATGTTGCAAACGCATCCATGCAGAAAAGGGCGTTTTGTAATAACGATGGTGACATACTGATGATGCCCCAACAAGGGCGCCTGGATATACAAACCGAGTTCGGGAAGTAAGCGCCTTTTTGTTTCTCAGGCATCTACCTTTACTCATGTTTCTGCCAGGTTGATGGTCAGGCCTGGCGAGCTTGTGGTAATTCAACGGGGAATAAAGTTCAAAGTATTGCTCCCCGATGGACCCTCCCGCGGATGTAAGTAAACGGCGAACGTATCCCAGTGAACTATGATTGATAAAAAATAGATATTGAAGAAATTTACGGTTCTCACTATGAGCTTCCCGACCTGGGTCCGGTCGGAGGCCATGGTCTAGCCAATCCTCGCGACTTCGAATTCCCAGTAGCAAGTTTCGACCTCGACCAGTCCCCGTGGAAAAGTGCGGCTGTCCCTATGACTTAGTTTCGATCCCTACTGATTCATTTGACATTCACGTTCTAGTCACCTACAAGTCCGCCGTCAAATCTTTCTTCTCTACTCTCCTACTAACCAAAGTACACACACAGAGTCGGGGGTAAATTATTCTCCTGCTCCCAGCAACACACCCCATTTGACGTTGTCGCGTGGCATGGAAAGTACGTATGCCACCAAGTGTTTATATTATGCTTCATTCCCATCCTCTTTCCAGTTACGTACCGTACAAATACAATATGGAGAAGTTTATCTTCGTCGGAAGCATCTCCAAAGACCACATCGACCCTTCCATCTTCATTATACTCACCGCCAAGTCCAAGTGTCCTGGAGTTCCACTCACGGATGTGCTGCTCTTCTATGAACGGTGGGATGTCGCTTCAGGCACCTTCCGGCCTCCAGTACGACATTTACAATTACTGAATCCATTCCATCGCTGACTGCTTCGACGTAGTATTACCACCGTAACAACGCTTCGGAGGTCATGGGTCTGATCTATGGTAGTTATGAAGGACGAAGTGATGAGTTCATGCCTGGAAGTCTGAGTCACGAGACGGTGTTTTGTCCGCATGGAGGTGAGTGGGAACGTTTTGAGGTAGAGAAGACTTGACCAATTTGATGGTGATTAGTGTCCTATGAGACGCAAAAGGCTGCAAGTGAAGGCGAACTCAAGCCGGTCAAGATTCACGAAGGGACTATGGGTGCGTCAGGAGGAACAAGCATCCGGTTGATATACTAATTTTTCGAGAAGCTGTTATGTTCGAGACTGCGATGACGCTGACGCTCACAGATTACGCTGTGTACCGTTCTGGTAAAATTCATGGTAAGTCCTATCGTTTGAACAGAAAAATACTCCGAGCTGATGCCCTTGGGCAGAGCACGACGTGAAGATGTGGGATGGGCTGCAGGCGAGATTCATGAACCACCTTGACGAAATCAATACGGATCTGAAAGCAGCGGGATTACCAGAACTGGAGAAGTGAGTGCGTGGTTTGGTATGTGTGATAGTACAAATGTAACAGTATTGGGGACATCATGGTCATGACATGTACGTGTATATAACTATGAAAATTTCTCGACAACCGGGAACAGTAAGAGAGATTTCCCTCACGACCTCCTCTTTGAACTCTGTCCAAAACCTCCATGCTCATCCGAAGACCGCCTATGTTCGACGAAAGCCTTGAACCCGACCCTCTCTCCACAACATAAGTAGCTCCCATCTGGACCCCTGGGAGCATTCGTACCAAGAAATCTCTCCTGGTCGGGTGGGGACCACATATAAAAGGCTTCGGATACGACCAAAAAGGCTGCGTCAATGGGTTCAGTGGAGCAGGGAGCACCACCAATGGAGTCGCGAGACCCGGTGTACTCGAAAGAACTGTGATTTCCGTGGGGAGGCCGACTGCTTCTTTTCAGGGAGCCTGCACTATTGGAAGGGAACCAGCGCTTTGAAGGAGTGGTTTCACTGCCATCAAACTATAACTTCGAGGTCAGTACAGAGAGCCAATAAATAGCAGGGAATCGTCTTTACCGAGCGCCGCAGTTGTTGGCTCCAGGTCTCATACGCTGATTCTGGTGCGAGGTAGTCATTGCGCGACGGTGACTTCGGGGGGTGCGAGATGTAGTTGTGGGATGGATCTTTAGGGTAGGAGATCAGTATATACGTCCACGTTGAAGTCTTTTCAGAATCATACTTGTGTATCTAAGTTGTCAAAATTGCTCATCAAAGAGACTCCCGGAGAGGGAGGGGGGAGGTACGACCATTGACCAAAGGTATTGCGCCGGATGTGGGTTTTCAAGTATAGCTACACGTCAAAGACAGTTCAGCTGCCATTTTGTTAGACATGAGTAATTGAAGAATACTTTTTCTTCCTCAATGAGATCTTCAAGGTAGAGATCTGCCTCCTTCTGAAAACGAGGATTATGTTAGTTTCGTAGATTACTTGCATTAGCTTAGGTATCTGGTACCTTGGGTTCTGTTTGCTTCATAAGACCGTGAGCGATACAATAGTTGTAAACATCCTCCTGGGTTACACAGGGAGCCATCAACCCAGGAATCGATTTGTCCTTTAGAGTCATCTAGACAGCATGCAGCAGGTCAGTGACTATACGATGGCTACGCGCTAATAGGACACCTACGTCGGGAATAGGGAATCTCTTGGCCAGGCTTCGGGTGTTTAAACCGTAGGATGGAGTGTAATAGTTCTTAGAACTAGCCATGGTGGTCAAACAATGTCGGCGAAGCAAGAACAAGGGAGCTTTTAAACAGTGACGATCCTTATTATACCATTGAACTGCACGCCTTTGTTAGTCTTCGGAAAAGACAATTCTGAGATCCGTGCTTCGAAGAGGAGTGCGAAAGTCAAGTCAATTGTGCTATGGCACTGAAGCTCGATTTTCAGCGAGAAATTGATATTACATTAAACATAAATACAGGTGGCATGAAGGTCAATAATATTCATTGTTCACAAGCCGCCGAGGCCGTGACCTTTTGTGTCGCCTGAGAGGGGTATTCTATTATCAGCGGGAAGCTTGGACCTGAACAGAGAATGTCACGAACCAGGAGCGTTTAGACGCAGAACCTGAATTGTCAGCAACTTTGAGGACCGGCATCTGTGCGGTCGGTGAGGGCGTCGGAAGGGAATCATAAGAGTCTTCAAAGATATCGTCCTGGGAACCATCCAAAAAGTTATACAGATCGGTGTAAATGGGTGGTGAATAGGTGCCCTCGAACATCTAGAGCCCCTTGCATCAGCACCTAAGAAAGAAAGTAGAGATGGGACCGACATTATTTTGCTCCTGATTGAACCAGTAGAAAGGTTGTTTGGCCCCATGAGTACAATTCGCAGGGAAAGCAAATTGCTTGTTGTTGACGGGATCCGAACCACATCGCCTAGGGACCTGTGACTTGGCAAGGGCGACCGTTGATGTCGATTCCGTGATGTTGCACTTGAAGCCGTTCATATAATCTACGCGTCGGGTAAGTCAATTGTAGCACCAGAGCGCCTGACAAGGCGTGCTTACTCTGCTCGCCTCCACTGTCGGGCTAAACAATCGAGTAGTTGCAATGGTCAGATGTCACCTAGAACGCAACAGCGGGAAGAGAGCGTACCGAATGAATCCAAAAGAAAGCACAGGTACATCCACCGTCGGGACAAGGCGGCATGCGGGCCGGCACCTGGAAATCTGTGAACCGGGTCCACACACAGGTTTGGTTCACACTGAAAACTGTGAAGTCCTCCGGTACAACAGATCGAGCGTCACTCTTGTATGCGATGGCAAGTGCGCATCCCGTGAGATCGTCGATACCTGTCGTATGGTACTCCTCCATGCCGGCTCCCGGACATACGTTGTTCGGGTTGTCTGGTTCCCGAATGTCACCTCCATCGGATGAAGCGAAGTAGCTCGTGGCGCCCTTGTTACAGGCTATCTCAGCTGTTGCAGTTTGGCCTGCTGGGAGGTCGAAGATATCTCCATCATTGGGGGGATAATCGAGGTGACCATGGAACCACCACTGGTCAAAGGTCATGTCCATTAGAGGAGCGACGGGTCGGTTATCATAAGGGAATGTATCGCCTGTCACATTAAAGCCGCTGAGAAGGAAATTAGAAAGGATTTAACTTGATTTATGTATGGACATACTACATGCTCGGATGAAATAAAGCTAGAGGGGAAATCAGTTCAGCGCCACATACTGAGAACAAAACTAACCTGCATGACCTGCTGCATATTGCCCTGCACTGCATAACGTAGCAATAATTGTGAAGAATTTGAAGAGCGTCATTAGAATATTGTCGTAAAAAGCAGGCCACCAGGGCAAACGAAGAGGAAGAACAGTATCATCAACATCTTCGACTGTCCTTTTATACAAAATGCCCAGAACAATACCGCGAGGGTCAAATGTCGAACAATTTGCGAACAATAGCCCTTTGTTCCCAAAGCGGAAGGTGGATGGAACGCGTAATATCCGCGGTCACATGACTATTTCGTCGCCATTACCGTATTACGGCAACCCCGGCAACCGTCGAATTGCCTTTTTGATGTTCTCCAACCTTTCGCAGCGACGGTCAAAGCGACACATAGCTAACCGGACATTCTCATTTGTGGAGCGATTCATGCCTTGACAGCTATATTTCTTCTTTTTCATCCATCTGATTTGCGATTTCTGATAGTAACGCGGATGATGGGCCCGACGCTTGATCTGGAACGAGCAGGAAAGCCTCCGAAGCGACGGTGCTTGCAGGAAAAAATGGCTCCGTTGACGATAAATGTCTCTCAGGCGAAATGGGGAGGTTCGCAGGTGTTGCAGGTGAGTAGAGCATTCAATTCGAGATAATAAAGCCTGACTTCCCCAATGAAGGAGAGCACGAATTCGAGCAGCTGGACCTCTGCTTCAAGTTCGTCTTTCATCTAGTGAGTCGTCCTCTTAATTCTACTGAGCTAGCTAACCATTGTACAGCACTCCCGACCCAAATACCAGCTATACATTTGGTGTACCGAACCCAACCACCGTCCAGGTAGCTCCTCCTACTCCTCCATTGACGTCCCCTCTACGCCGAACGCGAGACGAAATAGCTCGTCAGCGCCGCTACTCCCAGGCCGAGGAAGCTCTTGCCCTCACTGCCCAGCTCACGCTTCAGGAAACTTCCCAGACGGAGCTACAAATCCGTACCCTCGAACAAGCTGCTTCCCTACTTAACTCCCGCTTGGAGGACGCACGGGAACGCTCAGCCAAACTTCGTTCACTGCTGAACGACCGGGAGACAGATCCTGCAACGTTCGAATCTCTCAAGCGGGAACGGTGGATGGAAGAACGTCGGAAGGCTTTGGCGGAGGAGGAATCCCGGGCTATACATATGCAACTAGCCTCCCTGACCAAAGGCAATGACGTTGTCTGTGAGAGCCCTGTCACTTCCTCGAGACACCAAGCAAACCTTCTTCGATACCTCCAATCCTCAAATACCAGACGGCCTATCCATCCAATGCATACCGCTGTCGAGGAACGTGCTGCCCGACGGATCACGCTTTGCGAAGCTTCGCCGGCGCGCCTCCGTATGTCCATCGGGTCGAGGCACGCTCGATCCTTGTCCATGGATCAGAAGCCCCGCGAGCGTTCAACTTCGCCGCTGGATTTCGAGCCGAAAATGCTGAAGAAGCACATCTCAACAGCAGATTCCCTGTCGTTAGACGTGCTGACTGAAGATGAGGACTCTGATACGTCAAACGAAATCAATCAAGTTACTCCAGTGACACCTAGCCACTCCCCATCCAATTCGCCACTATCACGCAGACTCAAATCTACCGTCAGGGAGACATGTGGTACAGCAACTATCCATACGCCAGTTGCTGTCAAAGTACGCACCACCGCCGACATATTGGCCGATCTTCCTCCGGTAGCACTCCCTGTGTACGCTGTTGACCTCCTTGGAGATTTTGAAGAGCATAGAACGCCCACTTTGAAGCTAACTCGAGATCAAGCAATGCGAATGTCCAGAGACAGCCGGCGGTCAAGGGACACCGCGCCACGACCGTCTCTGGCATTTTCGGAATGGGAAGTTCTTTCGACGACTTCATCTACCGTTGTAGATCCCTTTTCAGCTACATCCTCATCCTCATATATCGCCCCCTCCACCCCACGTGCACTATCGAAACCCCTTCCTCCTGTGATTGAATCATCCATCGATTCTGAACCATCCCCTTGCATCACCCCCGATCGACCAATCAAGGTCCTTCACCCCGCCACAGATCCAATACGCGAGCCTCCCCCCTCGCCTACTCCTCTTCCCCAGCATTCTGTCAAGTCTCTCTTAGACTCAAACGACATCCCCTCCCCCGTTCCTCGACGCTTAACAAGGTCTCGCTTATCAATAGGCGAGCCCGTCCTAGCGCCAGACGTCTTTACGAAGCGCATTCGCCGACCATTCTCGTTCGGTTTCTTCAAGCAGGGCGGGTCGACATCTCCCTCGCGGCTCTTGTCTGTGATACCTGAATCCGTGCCTTCGACACCCAAACATGAGTCTTCCCCATTGAAGAGGAGGCTGAAAATGTTCTTCTGATACTTCGGACAAAATTGCTTTTTACATACTGGTTATATTGTACATGCATGCTTAGATCTTGGTTGTATATGCTACTGTACATTGCTAGGTTGCTTTCTAATTGTTGTTTTCGTCATTGCCCACACCAGTTTTCCACTTATGGAATCAAATAATGGGCAAAGAGATACTGTGGGCTTCCTGGCGCAATGGTAGCGCGTTTGGCTTCGACTGCTGAATGGTACCAAAAGGTTGCAGGTTCGAGTCCTGCGGTGGTCATAATTTTTAGGTCATTCCATTTTCCTTGCGTCTTGCATCCTGAGGACCTGATTCCTGAATGTTTTTGGGCTGCTCCTGAAAGAGGAAGTTTTGATACTATAATTCGTTGTTACTCAACCGAACCCTAGTTCAAACTGAAAAGCATTCAACATTTGTTTTGCTGATGGAGACAGAGTAACTGAAGTAGCTTGGAGTTTGTTTCGATTTAAGGAGGCGACTGTAATGCCATCTGTGTTTGGGGACTAAAGAAAACAGGAATAGATGAAAGTTCGTTACTTCAGTTACTCATTTTGGGAGGGTAAAGAAGACATAAACCAGGTCCTAGGAAAGTGACTTCAATACCATCATCCTCGATTTGCTTTATGCGTTCCATCAGCGTCGGGCTCATCCTCTCGACCTCGAGCGAAGTAAGCGTCAACCGCTTTAACCTGTCCTTCCGTGCCTCAATCATCGCATCAAATGCCTCCGCGGCCACACCGAAGAATGACGTCTCCCCACTCTCAAGCTCAAACTCATCACGGATCGACAAATCGGAGAGCTGCGGCATCAACCTAGTGTCCCCTATGAGCCCGTACACTGTTGCAGATACCGCATATATCTCTAGGTGCGTAAGCGCAATCAACGAAGGCGAACCGAAGATCAACGGTAGAATCTTCGCGACACGATCATGGTACCCCAGACCCAGACGACGAAGGCGGCACTTAGATCGCTCCAAGAAGTCGGGTAGGACCCGCATCCTCTCTTCCATACGTATCTCGTTGCCGTCCTGATGATCGTCTTCATCCACAGTCAAACCTTCCAAAGCAGGAAGCGTGAGATGTTCTAGAGCTGAGAACCCTGTATCGAAGTAGGCCAATTTGTTGTGGGTGATTTTTTCAGCTACAGACCCAATAGGAGACATCGAGCTATAAGCTCCTGAAGGCCAAGCCTCTAACGACATCAAATCCTTCGCCCCTTTCAGTATGGCTGCGAGCTGATCATAAGAGTCTATGAACACCTGCGACAGTTCATGCAGTTCCGTGAAAGGAAGCTGGATCTCCCCCGGTACCCTGACTTCCATGAAGTGCACGCTTTGTAGTTGCGGCGATTGCATAAACATCTTGACGCTCGTAGTCAAATTATAGGAGTGAGGTTCGACATGTAATTCCAGTTGTTGAAGTAGGGGGAATGAGCAAGGGAGTCCCATCAACGTTGAGGCGGGGATGTCTAGCCTCAGCGACTTGCAGCGTGGTGCCGCTCGTTTAAGAATTTCCAAGGCAATCTCTTCACGATCTGCACCATCCAAATCCATCTGGAGACAGAGATCTAATGAGCAATTCTGCGAGCGAGAAAGGGCGGCTTGCACGAGAAACTGCTCCGATTTCACGTATTTTGACGCAACATAGATATGCGTCCATAGTGAGGGAGAAGCAAGAGACGTGGCACGCCAGAAGCTCGATACATGACTGAGTACCCATGGCATTTCCTGGGTGCCGGATGGACGCGAGGGTAGAGAGTATGAGAGATCGCGATCGCTAGGAGGACGCTCCGGAGGAAGGAAAGAGAATATTTTGAGTAAGAGTTCGATGGGGAGTCGGCGGATGGGTGCTATAAGTGATCGTCTAATGTCCAAAGCATTCTTTTTCTTCTCTCTGTCTTGGCAGTTAATGTGCGCCAGCTCCCTTTCTAAGAAAGCGATGTCATCAAGGACTCGAACCCCTTCATCATCTGCGGGGATGTAGTTGGATCGTAAGTAGGTGTAGATTTGGAGTTCATGCGTATCTGTATACGTTTGCTCCATGGTATGAGGAAGTATCAGCGGTAGGAAGGCTGCGACTGGAGTTAATAGATCATAGTGACACAAACAAAAAAGCGCACTTTCAAGCTTCGGTGGTGACCGGTGACCGGTAAAGGACCAAGAATATACAGTATACAGATAAACTGAACAGGCAATGGCAGTGTATATGTGTTCGAGTCGCTTCGGGTTGCTGAAATCAATGCTGGACGTGTAAGAGATGGTCGTCGATAGGAAAGTTATATTGACTCTATACCAACGATCACTGACCAATCAAACTGAGTCCGACAGAATGAATGTTCGATCACATCAGCATCAGTGATCATGGAGCTCCGGTAATGCGTCAGGTTGGGTGGACCCTGGGATTATATTATACGTAGCTTTTGGTTCGACGAAGGAAAATGGTCAAAGTTCAGTCGTGGTCGGGTCGTTGGTCGGTTTCCTGTTCCTGTCTAAGTAGAGGCCAACAGATAGTTAATAATCAACCTTCCAAGTAAAACTCAACACCAACTCTTCAAGTTTCAAGCTCTTCAAAGGCAAATTTTGGGTAAGCGCCAAAGAATGACGACGTTGAAGTACCGCCAAGTCGCACAGCCACCACTGGCTTTGTTTTCCTTTCCCATCATGACTTCCGTATTGGCGGGAGCCAGCGTCGAAAGTTGCAGTGCAAACAACCTACTCATCGACAAAACTGCACCAAAAGCCACGCTGCCTTTCATTTCTCTCCTTCCTCGCGATCTCCTGCTCGAGATTTTTATCTGGCTATCATGGAGTGCAGATAATCACGCCGATATCACTCAAGCGCCTTGGGTTCTCGGTCATGTCTGCAGGTCATGGAGAGACATAATAAAATCTGTCAAATGGCTGTGGTCCATGGTTATTTTACCTGTGCACAGCTATGACCGGAGAATTCTCCGTGTTCTGAAACATTTCCTCCGGCGCTCTGATCAGTCCCTCTTCAAAATTGACCTTACATTCGATGAAGAAGCCTCCAGAAAAGCCATACGAAGCGTCTTTCGCATACTCTCCCCCCACTTGCCTCGCTGTTCAGGCCTTAGCATCCTTATTCCGCAGAAAGGAGTCTGGGAGCTGATGGACCTCGCGCAGAACCTTCCCGAACTGCGGTTTCTGGATATTTACATCCCTTCATCGGATGATGAAGACGGTTTTGAAGAGGAGGACACGTTCAGCATATTTTCTTCTGCGCCGAAACTTACAGGTGTCAGTTTGTTCGGCCTGTACACCGTGGCAAACATCTCCCTCCCTGCTTCACAGATACGCGAATTTCATGGCGACTTCTATACCGCTGAGGAGCTGCACCGGTTTGTATCTAAAGCGCACAACCTTAATACCTTGGAAATGTCTTTCCACTTCCCAGCTTCAGATTCACTCGTGCAGCCCCTCACTCACAACAACCTCCGCCGACTCGTGGTTCTACAGTCTGAGTTGGCATGGGTGGAGACATTTAACTTCCCATCTCTGGAAGAATTGGAGATTTTCCAGCATTGCTCAGATTGCCACATTGCCAAAGATAGTGTCAACGAATTATCCGCCCTGGTCGAACGTTCCATGTGCAAGCTCCAGAAGCTCGTCCTGAGAGCCGTTCTCCCTGCATCGACGCTCATTCATATTCTCCGGTCCCAATCATCCCTGACCGAGCTTCATATTACCATCAACCTGGAAAATGCCAGGGACATATTCATCGCCCTCTCAGCACCCGACTTTCTGCCCATGTTAATGCGTTTGGAAATCATTGAGGAGTATCGTCCTTCCCAAAAGTTCTCTGTCTTTATGGACACGCACAACGAAGTCTTTGCGATGATTCGATCGAGATGGGCCAAAGCGTCGGGTTCCCGCCTCCGCTATCTCTGCTTGGAAGTCAGTAACGTGAGGGTGAAGGCCGTTCGAAAGATGGTGGATTTCTATTCATTCGATGCTGTCATTTCTGAAGCGAGGGTTCGAGGGTTAGATATCCGTTTGAATTGCTCAGGTGTTTTTATTCTTGATGGTCAATCAAAACGCTGAAATTACCTCACACATATGGGTAACCGATTCATATAATCGGCATGCATACTGGAACGATTTCACTCTACTTTGAACGACATGGTAACATCACATATTGGACATAAGATACATAAAATAGGACTTGTAGCGAAAGAAATAGCTGCTCAAGCTAGTGGACTCGGGCAACCAAAAGACTTTTCCTCGAATCATCACGGAAAGATACGACGACGGGTGGAGTAACTAACGCCAAAAAGTTCAACGGTGATGCCTCTTTCCTGAAGACGAGATACGTGTGCCTCCAGTTCAGGAGTCAGACTGTGCAATTCCCGTGAAAAGAGGGAAACAAAATTTAGCCTTGACCTCCGTGACCAAACCATCTCATAAAATGAACGGGAGTTCGGCCCCGGCCCAAAGAAGGTCGTCATGCCAGTGGGGACATAATCGGGCCAATCTTGTACGGATAGTTTCTGTAGATTGGGCATGAGTTCCAATCCGGGAGTTAATGTGAGGAGACGGTATATGTCCTGAGCGGTTCCCCACGGCACAGTGATAGCTAGCCGTGTCAACGTGTGCGACGAGTGCTCGAGTACTGCACGCAGAAGAGGGAATATATCCTGCGTATGCATGATAGTGAGATCGTCCAGTACACACCCCGACCTTCGGAGAAACTCAAGCAACGTCTCCATCCGACCATTCATGAACCCGCCCTCTTCAAGCGACAAACGCCGCAGTGCCGGAAGCTTCAGAGATGAGAGAATTTCGGAGGGCGTTGTTGACAAATGTAGTCGCCGCAGCCTATTGTGCGTAATCATCGGTAAACCTTCACACCGCGGTATGCTGAGGCCTGAGCCCATCTCGACGAACGAGAATTCTAGATGTTCCAGCTCCGGCGCGGCATTCACGATATCCTGTATTTGTTCAAACGTTGCCAATGGGACTCGGACGAGTGACCTGAGTTTAGTTAAAGGAAGGGAGAGTTCGACGAGGGAGAAGTCTGCATTAACGGCGCGAAGGTGGAGGGATTTCATGAATACGTTGACACGTTCATCATGCATCTTTGAATTGTCGGGCTGAGCTCCAGACACACGGCGAATCGTTAAAGTACGTAACGATGGTAAACCTGCAGGGTGGCAACACAAGGTCTCAATGATCGCCGTGTTAGGTGTGGCCAACTCGAGTGTAGCACAACGATGGAAAAGTGGAAAAAGGAGTGTTCTGAGATGTCCAATGTCCTCAGAATCGTACTCCTCAATTCGGAGTTGAAGGTGTAAGGGGCAGTCCTGCGAGCGAGCAAGCTGAAGTCGCACAAGCGCCTCCTGCTGGGGTGTTATGTCTGGCGTGAGCGATACAGTTGCCCACAAGGACGGGATGGAGATTGCAAGTTTTCGCCAATAGCTGGATACGTGCGTAAGGAGCCATGGTGAATCCATTGTCGTGATGTCCGAGTCCATCTCAGCGATCAAGTTTCCCTTAAAATCGAGGAAAGGAAGCGGCTCTGGGATGGCGTAAAGGAAGATCTCAGCCCATATTTCGAGAGGAATGCGACGTATGGGCGAGAGTAGAGACTGTCGAATTTCTTTCGCTTTCTCCCGCATCTGCTTTTCGTGCCAAAGTTTATCGAGAAGGGAGTTCAAATCCCGTATTTCCTCTTCAAGAAAAGTGATATCGGATTTCAGACGAGCAGCGTCCGTTTGTGAGGGAAATATATTGAGTCGTAGACGGTTGAAGATTTCTGCGTCTTCTGTATCGGTATAGGGGTAAATGGATGGACAGATGTTTCCACAGTGCGTGCACGAGTGCATCCTAAAAATTTGTACCTCAATAGGCAGCAAAAATATTATACAAGCTGAGAACTATACCTAGGAGGATGCAGTAATTTAAGGAGAGAAAGTTGGGCAGGTCGCAGAGCAAGGAGGTGTATGGTGGTGGTGGGAAGAGAGGTCTCGGCAATTACCGCGTCACTCAGATCGACGCTATGCCATTGGCATTGCTGACAGTCTTGGCGCGCTGTCTCGCTACACCCAAGCGTTACTATGTCGACGAACCAGCATTCTTTAGCTCTTGAAGCTTGAAGCACGGTAGACATTGGCTTTGTCGAGTTTTAGGGGAAGGCTGGCTTTTCTTGTCTGTCTCTATCTGTCACCTTTGTGTTCGAGACAAATTCGAGGAAATCTACGCTGATCAGGCACTCTTTTTCTGCCGCATGTCCGGTGCGAACGGTCGCGGGTCTTTGGATCCATATATTTTTCTTAAGACTTTTGCACGTCTAGCTGGTCAAGCTAGGGAAGGGGTCCAACGCAGAATCATCTTTCACGTTAACTGAGCTTCAGCTATCTATTTGCCTTTCGTTCTGGGTCTAGAGAGGACGGCACTATCCCGGAAGATGTGACCACTTCAATTCCATATAAAGAATTGACGGCTTAAAGGCAGCGTTGTATTACAGCTTCCGAAACTAGGAGATCGTACTTTCTTGTTCGAAGATGAAGCTTGGCATGTCAAATCCAAACAGCTTTCCTTTATATCGGCCAAACATTAACGTTCGTTGAAAAAGGGACACCATCTTAACTTGGCTTGAGTCGGAGAGCTTCCGTCTGATCTCAATACACTGCTCAAAAGATGATGGACCCTCTACCTTTCAACAGAGATCAGCGTATACAGTTTTCGGGTTCTATTCACTCAATGTGACGACCTTGAACTTTCGGCATAGCCTGCTTGATGTTTCTATTGGCCTAATGTGTCTATCTCTCCCCAATTTTCTCAGAGACACCCCTTATACCTTTTGTTGCGCTGCTCGCAAGATCCCCCAGGTCAACGCCCCTGACGAACTTCGCATTACAGTGATCATCGACCAGCAACATACACATGCAAGTCTTGTTTGGTATCTCCCCAATTGTCAGGATATAAAGAGCCTTGCCAGTCGATATTGTTCCGGATTTGAGGCTTCCCTCTGAACCCAGTTATGTCTGCTTCACCGATGCCTAGCTGAATGGAGAGCTTGTAATGATCAGAAGAAAGTTCGTTCATCAACGGGATTCATTGTTGATGCAAGGACATATCAGCGCTCAACGCCGCTTTAGAGACACGCGTGAGTAATAATCATTCACCGCTATCACCTATCAAAGATGTATGACAACCACACAGGTTTTCCCGTAGCTCTTTGGCTAATGATCATCCTGGAATGTGACGAGAGGTATTCACAGTCCCATGGAAATATCGGTATCACCTTCATGGTCCGCGCGTGAATGATAGATGGAGTTGGTACGTGATGCGAAAGTTCAACGACGCGATTAGCCCCGGCTTTCCTCCAGCGGCGGGACGGTAAGTTCCTTCGAGGTTGATTCGCCCTAACTGATTACAGGACATGGAAAGCACTGACTTTCAATCCAAGAGTGAGTACCAGAGCGGGAGAAGATTGATGATCGCCCGAGTCGCGATGCGTGGTTACGGATCAACTTCACATGGGCTTGTGCATTATACACCAGTAAAAAAGGTACCTCGATACTCGTGCGCGCCAATGGTTGTTCATTCACAAACAAAAGGTTGATCAAATACGTTAGCCAATCACGCAAGTCATATAGCCAGACCAGAAGTCTTCAGCGGCGCAAGTCACAGTCTTCTATTCGCGAAATCAACATTGATATCTCCAGTGCAGGACGGAGATATCACTGTCCACTACTCTTCATCGACAGATTCACAGTTCCACGCGAAAAAATACAAAGATAGAGCGTGGTGTAATGTATTCATCCAAAACAAGTCCAGAAAGAATAGCATGGATGCCCATCGGTAGTGATATGCCAGAAAATAGGCGGAAGGAAGAACTGCGGGCGTGCAATTAAGTATAGCAGTATCTGGCTCGCATCAGAAAAGTCTTGGAAGAACGTTATTTCTGTCAAGCCCCAGCCTTTCGTACGTACGTAGTGCAATCACTGGCTTGGTCGACATCCTGTATTGGCCATTTGTTGACCCGACGATATCCGACTCGGAACTGCTTCAAGTCGATCGAGAGTCAAAGCGCCTGTTCTAGTCGTCACCGGCTTATCCACAGTTTACGCATTCGCGATCAGAACAAGGACTGGCTGGAATTCGCCAATACGTATAGTTTGATGGTCGGGTACCGCCGCTTCAAGTCAGCTGAGAAATGAGGTTCAACGCCTCAGACCTAGTCTCGATATCTTCGTACCAGAAAATTCTGTTGTTTAGTCAAAGCCAGGTCCAAGGTAAGTAAGAGTATTATTCCCTTTAGATGGAGGTGAAAAAAATGCAATCAGTACACGTGTTTTGTGATGTTCTTGTGAATCACAACGTTGTAACAGTTCTCGAGAGTACTTACCCGGGACGGCTTTATCACCAATGAGATGATACTCGGGATCTGATAGTGACGAGTGAATCATCAATTGGTCGGCGTCAATACGGGACTCTCCTTCGTGACACCTTGTTCTGCATACGCGACCACAGACCGGCTGACGCATGGGGGTAGCTCCAAGCACTCCACACAGTTCTGTTAGCCTGATAAGCAGCAACGTTATACAGTCAGATGTGATTGCTGAGAAAGAAGTACAAGAGAGCAGTTTTCAACACAAAAGCATGCTGTGGTGATGCCAAGACTTGGTATAATGAGAGTTCTGAGTATGGTCCCGTCACCCATGAGGCTTCTCATGCAAGATCATGAATTCGAAGACAATAATGTTCGCGTGACCGATAATTTTCGAGAAGAAAGTTGGAACTTGGAAGAAACATCATCACAGAGAAAAAGAAGGATTTGGCACAGCCACTCGACGTCATTTCGAAGTTTGCTATGCGTCATAATTACAGATGCAGTGTTAGGCGATTCGTGCTCATGGCAAAGCATGCGCGCGCACGGACTACCACGAGGTAGATTATCAGAAATTTTGGAGGTTCGTCGTTGCGATACCCGATTCACAGACTTGGCATGAACGCGTTAGGATTTCATAAGTGCCGTAGATAAAGATGATTATCAAGGATTTCCTGTATATAGATCAAACATGAATAATGTTAGTGATAGTGACAGCACTGATTATGTGGGTCACGCAGATAAGTGGAGACGCGATAGGCGCGCAAGTAAATCATGTCGTTATTGAGATGTATGCCAAAGGAGATGGGAAATGCCGGACAGGTCTCGTATCAATAACGGACAGGACAAGTGGAGGCGATCATGCGTACAAGGGAAAGACGCGCATGGACACAAGATTCCAATCAGAGATATTATTCAACAATAGCATCACAGTCAAGTCTAATTCAGGAGAGTTGAAAGAGGAGGAAAAGGGAAAGATGACATCTTCCGACGTACAATTAATAGAAGTCAAGAATTTGACGAAGATTCATAAAAGTAGCTGCGGAGAGGCCGCAGACAAGAACCGCGAGTTCCAGTGTCATTTGACATAGGCTCAAAGAAGGGAAATCACTTTTTGGTCAATCCCTCTGTCACCATGATATCCAGGGCTCATTACCTGGTCAATGGGGTAACCTACTCGCCCGTTAACGACGCTGCTAGTCGATTATAAGGTATAGAGTAAATCCTAGTAAATCTGAAGGTCGATCGTATCGGACGTCAAGCCAAGGCCTGTTGCTAGGCGAATTCGGGGAAACACCAAGTAGAAGGACATTCAACGTGCATTTTGGACGTCAAGCATCTTCCAACCACGCTGAAGGAAAATTAAGAAGACATAGTTTTTCTTCCACAGCATCCATGCGCCTCACTGTCGTCCTGGATCAAGAAAAGAAGTGTGAGTCGGCGTGAATCGAAGATCAGGGATGGGGAGGAGTGCGGGGTAAGGGAAATGGTGGCGCGTCAATTTGAGCGGAGCGTCATGAAGGGTCTCCTATAATTCGGCGGATTCCGATGAGCATCCGCCTCCGGGTCTCATTTAATCCAGGGTAAATGACAAAGCTTGAAGGTCGGGCATTCTCGGAGAAGCCAGGAAACGAGGGAAACGAGTACGGTGTCGCACTGGTGTCGACGTCGAGCCCTTGGAGCGAGCTGTCGAAATGTCGAGGCCACCCTGGTTGTACCGTTCCGATTAACCAGTTTTTTTTCTCAGGAGTAGTCATGTGGGTAGAAAGAAGGCTCGCGACATGTTTTGTTTTTAAACAGGATAAATTAGACGCGGAACCGTCCAGAAGGACTGGACATGCGGATCCGTAAGAATTTAAGAAAGGAATCACTCCAGTCTCCATTCCGGATCCCACACTCAGGTACGAGGATGGTTCCGCAACAAAAGAGAACAAGCGAATGTGATGCGACATGGGATCGAGCCACGAGAAATTTTACTGAAACCAGAAAAATGAAGAGCTGTCTTCGAGTTCCGAACCTAAATTAAATATGAGATTCTAGAACGAGGTCAAATGGAATCCGGAGGAACGATGACGATATGTGAACGAGGCTCGACTGGCGTGGTACAATGCGAGGAGAGGAAAAGCACTAACAGAGCCAGATGAGGAAACGACGTCGTGGCTTGAAGGTGGAGAATGCAACAAGGTACAGTACGCCCACAAGAATAATCAAGACACCGCCGAATGGGGTCGACTCGGAGAAGATAGCACGAGAGAAAGGCTAATCGACATGAACTGTCCAATTGTTCCTCGATTGTTCCAGGACTTTCGTTCCTTGAGAAGATCAGCCTCGATGAAACACATCGACGATGAAATGGACGTAGGACCGAGAGCTAATGCTATGTGGCCTGACATCGACAAGCTCCAGCGTCGTAACAGAGGAAGAAACTGTGCCGTCTCGAGGACTAGAGGGTAATTTGTCTCGCGTCCTGACATGTTCCAGCCAGAAAGATTTGAAAAGAGGTAATTTATCGTCACCGTCTCGAGGACTTGGGGGAAGAATCCGGGGCGATGGTCTAGAACTTTAGCGTTGACAGGAAAACATGCGGACCCGCAAGGCCAAACTCGTGCAATGAGGTACGGTGTGAGGAAACACCCGAGCTGACATGGCCGGATCAGGCAAGCATACGGGACCGCGGTGTCTTTCCGAGTCCCGACAAGCCGGCCCCGTCATAGGAAGGCAGGGAACCAATCAAGGATGGTACATAGTGAGAAGTAGTACTCTCAGTAATCGGACGTATCAAAGAAGATTTTTATCCCGGGGGGAAGCCATGCAGCACTTCAGTAAGAGAGAAACATAATAATAGCTGAATTAGGAAAACGTAGACGAGACTACTAGTGGGCATGGGAGTGGCACGCCCGGTCCCGGTCACTGAAGGAAATGAAGGGGTGCTATTAGGTACAGGACGTCAGGAAGAGAAAGCTACTCACGATTATGAAGACAACAAATGAAGGTCGAGCTCATAATAGGAACCAACAAAGCCGGATATGGCGACTTCATCGTTCAGGTCTAGAGTCAAGCCGCCAGGGACCTAAAATCTGTTCTTCAGCTAAAGTGTAATGAGTCACCTCGATGTCCCAAATAGCTCGGTGGGGCCTCTCCAGCTACGCCACGATGTAAACACGTTTCCATGGTTGCCGGGCGAAAATCTTCCAACGAAACCTAACGGGGCGAGTCGTGCATTGATTATCGGCGAAAAACAAGTAAATGATGGTGCTAGAGTTTTCCATGGTTCGCGCAGATCATTCCGATAATCGCGTCGAGGATTGGGTGTGCTTTGGACAAAGGTTCCTGTTCTATGTTCCTGGGCTGGAGTGCTTGACTCTGGTAGCCAGAGTAGATACTGTGTTTGGTGGAGGGACTGGTCTTGGCCTGCAACGTGAGTCTCATAGCCATCGAAATAAATATATTTCTAGGAAGTTCAAAGACCAGTCAAGTGGTTTCCATGGTAGCAAGGTAAAAGGTTCTCGGGATGTACAGCTAACAAAACCTAACTGAGCGAGCGCATGATTATCGTGAAAACATACCCGTACAAGTGATGAAGTGTTTCCATTGTGTACTTGATCATTATGATAATCAAAGAGTCATATCTACTCCTTTGTAATGAACGTCCTTGTCGATAACGGTTCATTGATGTCCTATTCTATGTTCCTGGGTTGAAGTAATGGTGGCCAGAGTAGATACCGCGACAAGGAATCGAATGCAGGAACCCAGGTTGGAACTTGGGCTATGACTAGCGTGAATGTTTCAAGAACAGTTTAGTGATGGCAGTTGCTGTTGGACGTGCCTGGGATGGAGTAGCTAGCACGAGGCCAGAGTCGATAGCGCGGCAGGAGTTAAGGTCGGCCTGATCATAGAGAATGATTGTCAGGACTTTGTTGAGGTCGGGCTAATCTACGTAGCGTCCGGATGGTGGCGGTGTTTGCTGTGTGCGTATAGAGTCCGTCTAGAGGAACAGCATGTTTCGTCAACAACACTATCACAGCCAGCAATCAGGTTTCGACATCATGGATACGGGGGCATATGGTCCCGGGTTAGAATAGCCGGAGTACCGTCTATGCAGGGCGGGAGTGGTCGGTACTTCCGGGCTGCGCTTATTTGAAAGACGCGCTCCCACAGAATCCGTCCGTACTTCACCGAGTCCCATGGGTACCGGCTTCTATAGATATCCCCCCATCGTGGCAATATCATCGAGTGCCACGCAGTGCCTAGAAATGAGGACCAGCGGATGTCTTGAATCATTCATTTCACAAACATGTATCCATATGGTGAACAAGCGCCAAATATCAGGCGAATAGAGAAGCGGAACAAAAAAGAACGGAGGAGAACAAAGGAGATTCATCTAAGAGATCGATCTTGATACACAGCCACCCACGGGAAATGTCCGGATTATGTCATCCGGGATTACAGCAACCGTGGAATATAGAAATGGCTATAAATGTCGCAGGACGGGACAGCCCTTTCTCTCTGATGTCCACGTCTTTTTGCTCTTTCACTTCAACTACCACTACTGCTCCGCTGCCCAGCTATAACAAGCGCTTATTCCCTTCTTCTTCCACTACCACTACCATCTCTGAAGGCGAGCCACCCTACAAGAAGCAACGAAACATGTCCAGCCTCAGGAGAACTCATTCTTACCTCTCTCTTACGGACTTGCCCAACCAGCAGCAGCAGTCGATATACATAGCACCCACACGGGGAAGGTGTCGAGGACGGAAACTCAGCATGGCCCCGCCAGCAAATGCCGATTTTCGGGCTTCTCTGGAGGCGTCGATGGCCCTGAGCCTCGCGCCTATTACCGACCCTTACAACACTCAGCAGAAGCGAGCGCGACCAGCGCCGCCTGCTCCAGTCGCGTCAACATCGACGACGACATCCTCAGGGTCTTGCGCCACTCCTTCCCACCCTGTGTACTCCTCGGCGCCACGCGTCTCTTCCCCTCTGTCCCCCTCTTCGCGCCCCTCTTCATACACCACGCCGTTCTCACGTCCTCGGAAAGGAAAGGGGGAACCTGATCTCCACCGAATTGCCATCCAGACGTGTATGCGGTCGACAACCGAGGGTCAAAAGGTCCTTAATATGGGGCCGCGGATTGCTATGAGCATCGCGAATGCTACGCGAGAGCTCGAGCGAATTGTGACAGAGCAGGGGATGGAATCGCGAGCTTCAGACGAGGATATTGTCATGAGGGACTCGACGGCCGAACCATGGGTCAATGTGTCGAGAAGTGACGATTGGGAGATGATTCACTGCGGCGCGTAGGGCCTCGGAATTACCTGCATTCCTCGCGTTACGTCCACCGCCAAGCATTCGATTCTCCCCCTTTTCTTCGTTGCGCAATTATCTGGGTTTGGGGCTTCTTGGAATATTCATCTGTATTTTTGCATGCATCACTTTCGGGTTTCGTATCTATTCCTCTATCTATCTATGCTGTTGTTGCTTTCTCACTGCTGTAACGTTACTTGCACATACTACCAAATTACTGTAATGATACGTATACTTTTCGGGTTTAACGCGGTTTTCCCTTATTCAATTGCTTGAGCTTCTAAACAATATCAGGATCAAGATGCTGATGGCCATTGAAACTCGAACTCAACGGACAAACTATCTATAGAATCACAATACGGTCACTATCAACAGCGCCCGGCAGTTCGTTCCCATCGACCCCGTGGCACCGTGGCGGGACCACGCGCCTCTTCGAATTCATGTGCAGGCGGGCGTGTCCCATGTGAACTTTTTTTTTTATCCGCGTTCCGCTCCAGGGCGGACCGTCTCTTTTCCGCTTTCTTTTCCGCCTCCTGTCTATGCCGAGTTAGAGACCACGGCTCATTTTAATCCAGTGTATCCGCAGCACAACTCATGACTTGAGCCGACAGGCCGAGTGTGCCAAGCGGAGTCGGTTAGGAAATGCAACCGCCTGTCCGGCTATACCAAAAGTCCTCGTTCTTGTTAGCGCCAGTTTATCTTAGCACAATCTTGCCAGTATCTACTTCTTCAGTGGGTTTGGGACCCAGTCTAACCAACGCGAATAGCAATGGTGCCGCCAGCATCAAATTATTTAGTCGGCATCTCGGCAAGTCAATAATATCGAAGTACACACAAGCACGGAAATCGACTCAAGCTACTTTATGTAACATATTTGGGATACGTATGGGAATCATAAGTATCAGCGTCATCTTGGCTCAAGCCTTACTTGCACCCAGACGGGCTTTTGCTTGAAAGTGCTCGATGCATCGAACTTGACAACTCCGAGTCGAACACCGGCCTCTTCCGGCAATTGAATGGTAATTTCTCTCCTCGTCGTATCTCTTAGAAATTTCAGAGTAGTAGTGCTGAGATGCAGTACTCCACGGATACTAAAACTTTCGATGGAAATGACGTAGAAATGCGGCCACAGTCACGAATTCGCCAAACTAAGTAGAAGGTTTTCAATGCTGCCGGGATGGCGCACCACATGGTAGCTACTCCCCGCCTCATGAGCTGCACTCTTCAGCAGATCTTGGCCTCGTTGCATACACGTTGAATCCGCGTTGAAAGTTGGAAATGCTTTATCCAGGAAACTTGGGAGAACAGGCGTTCTTTATCTCTCTGTTCCTTTACGCCACAGGACCGACCCTGCGAAATTAAAATTTAAGATTCGCCTTTCTGTTGTGTACTCCACTGTGCCTTCATCAATCGATGCGTATCGATCGTCTGACTATGACAGACTAGACAGGCTCCCCTCGTCTCGCCATGGTCGCTTGTTGATCCGGTGTCCAAGGCTTAATCATGATCTATCATGATATCAGAGCTGAGAACTCCCGTCCGAGTCCCCTCCGGCTTACACATAATTCGCGATCAGGGGATCAGATAAGTTGGCGTTGGCAACTCACGAACGCAATCAAGATGTTCTTGATCTCGCAGACGCCCGTCGAGTCAGCCGAGATTGGCCTGTATTCTATGTGGTTGCTGCTATTTCTATCCAACTGGGTTTGTTGGTATGCGTAATGTTATTCGAATCTTTGCGCGCTATCAACTCCACTCTGGATAGAGCGCGGTGATGTCTCCGTTTATATTCATCTCAATACTGACTTGTTGAATCGAAGTCTCAGGGCGTACCCGCTTGTATGGACTGATTGGGCTTCTCATCTTTTCTCTCTCGGGCGGACAACGGTCGGCACTCCGTATGCTGTACTTTCTTCGTATTCCAAATCTGTGTGGGGAATCTCGCCATCTCAACTCGATTGGCCTATCTCTCGTTCTGGTGATCCAGTGTTAAGGTCGAACAACAGTCGCACATCCTGGGGCAGCCAGTCGGTCAATCTCTCATCTAATGTAAGAGATGCTGTTATGTTCCCACAATCTGATCCAGGGGGTTTTCATTAAGTCGATTGGGCTTCGCGAGTATTAACATCATTCGTTGGTGTATCTAAGAATTCATGGTGACAGTGATACTCCAGTACCATGGGACGTCATCATCGTCCGTTCCAGTTTATCTGTCATGGCTTCGAAATCTCTCAAGGTGATGATCTCGATCTCGCGGGCGCAGTTACTTCGACCATCCCGGTAGGACTTACTAAATTGTCGCTGCTCAAGTAGTGTTTCCATCAAACATGGATGGATTCATAGACATGCGCAGTACGTCTCCCGCGCGTAAATATCATACAGTGATATCTCCATTCAATACTGAAGTGTTTAGAGTTTAGAAAACCGGCATGTGGTTATCACCGCTGACTTTCGAATAGCGTGTCCTCGGAAGAAGCTCTATTTTACGACAGGGCTCGTGTGGCTGAATGCTTCCCATCTTTCTCTCTCGGGCGGACGACGGTCGGCACCATGCGAATCATGCGCCCTGTACCTCTTTCGTCTTATGAGTTCGTTCATGTAGGGGTTTGATCCGTTACCTCGCCATCTCGCTTCGGATGATTATCTTTCGTTCTGCTGATCATTGCCCAGAGACCATTGCTTTGCCGTCGGCGTCTTAAAGGCGAATTGTACGGTTCAATTCATGAAAAGATACGGCCAAAGTGAGTTCTAGATCAAGTTCTCAATCAATACAGGGCGAACTTTGTTCAAAATAACTGCTCCACCTCATTCTCGGAGGTTTTCATTATGTCGTCAAGGTATTGATACCATCCCGTCGACTCCATGTATCATTCATACATTAGATATTGAACGATGACAGTGATCATTCAGCTTCATGGGAACGAAATTTTATCCGTCATCATGGGGCTAGATGATGTAGGTAACAGCAGGAACAAAGGCTTGCGGTGGTGCTCCTAATAAATCATGGAGCATCTATATATTCATCCCTTGCATGTGAGTTTTCAAAGAACAAGTAGCCGGATCGAGCTAGACTCGGCGTAAAGTCGGATGTGGTAGCGACGCGAGACCGTGCAGCGCGATCTGGTGGCTGTGCACGAATTCTTCACTCTTCCTGAATTTTCATCATGAACATGTTTCTCCTAATCACAGTACCCGCTCGCGCGAACACCGACCAACAACATGGAATGAATGATATATGGGGTATCTGACAGGTCTCTTATCTTGAGCGGTTGTACTTGACTTTTCGTTGTTCGGGCTTTCGGGCAGTGAAACCGCTCTGAAACTCTCCTGCTCTTCCAAACAACTGTGTGGCTACCACCACTCTCTGCGCGTATACTCTAAATACTGGGTGAATACCTGCACCTACACCTGTTCGACGGGTACATGACCAAGTCACTCCCCGTTAATACTCCGAAAGAGGCGCTGCATGATACCAGACATTTGCTGGTGAGTACTTTTTCTCGGTCAGGTCATCTTCTTAGTACCCCCGTATTCCAATGTGGACTGTGCATCTAAAAAGACGTCCCGTTTTTTTAGTTCCGGTGTTGCCTGCTTTCCTCATCATGACAAATGATGGAAATGTATGATGTTTCTTCTGAATCGCATCGCACCTCATATGCCCTGACGTCTTGGTGAAACTTTGATAAATCTGTTGGGCATACTTTTAGAGTCACCGATTCTAGGCATTCACTGCCTTCCTTCGACTCTCCACTGACTTCGTATTCGACAGACCTTTAATAACCACAGCAAGTTCTCACATACGCTGGCGTGTCTCGGAGAATGATGCCCTGATTCTCCTCATCATCAATGATGTTAGCCTCTGCCCGCTTCTATAAATCCAATCCTGCGATATTAGCTCACATTCAATGCCGACGACTGCTATAATACGGCCTCTTGCTGAAAAATCGTCTGAATGATTTGCCAATAGATACAGGTTCAATTCAATAATTGTGATCGCAGTTTTGACGGCCTTGGCCAGTTATAAGTCCCTGCTGATGTCCATACGTCGTTAGCAATACGTCAATATGTCCACTGATTCTCTTACTCTCTTCTCGATGGGCACAACGCTTGGTGCAGTGCTTATTGGAGCAACATTGGCCTCGGCGTATGTGAAAAACGCTCTTTTCTTTGATTCTTTCTAATCTCTCATAGTCTATTCGGCGTGACCACCATGCTGTTTTTCGTGTATTACAAGCGGTACTCTCAGGATCGATGGTTTTATCGAATTTCCGTGCGTCTCATAATCAAGATATTGGTTTTCCACACTGATTAATTGTTAACAAGCTCGCTATACTCTGGTACGTGAAGTCCCAGATAGCAGTGGAAGCGCATATTCATATTTTCATGTGTATTTTAGGGTCTTTGATGCTCTACATTTTGCTTTAGCGCTTCACATCCTGTACTTCTATCTAGTTGACTCCTTTGGAGACTCTCCGGCTTTATTGAACATGGTGTGGTACGTCTTTTGCCTTCCGGATTCCGTTCAGTTATGACAAGTCCTTCCAGGAGTTTCAAGGTGCAGAGATTTATCAACCAGAAGCCTTACGTTTAACCGCTGACCGAGATACTTTCACAGCTTGACTTTTCTACTCACGTAAGGGACCTTTCTTCGAGCTAAAGCTTATCTTCATTTTCGACTTCCAGCTTGCAATTCTTATGGGTGTTGACATGTAGGTAAATCACTTCACGTAATTTCTTCCACGCTCAGATATCTCTTAGCGTCTGCGTTGTACGGTTATGGATCCGTAAGTAGCATCTTACGTAGCGTCTAAACTCACAGTAACGGAAACCCTACAAAGTCGGACGTTTCTTTCACCGAATCGTACCGTGGATTGTCGTAAGTTCCGTTCATTCACTTGAAGTCAAGGTACTGATGTACGATGTAGAGTTTTACAGTCGCGGGTGTCGTTGGTGGGTGTTGATTATTGTCAAAATCAGCGCGTCACTATTGACCCAACATGATACTCATTCTGATCAGCTGTTCTAATTTGTAAGTGCTGATAGCAGCGGCCGGTCTTGCTTGATGGCTCATGAAGCGCCTCAGTCTTGATTTATGAGGTGTACACCATTTCAAGCTTCCATCAATTCAGTGATATATCAGTGCGTCTGATATCTTGGCTTTGCTCCTAGTGCTCACTACGATATATAGAAGATAATGGACGGGGCATTGGCTGTCGGAGCAGCTGCTGACTTAGCCATATGTCTTGCAACGAGTTATTATTTATACAAGAGCAAAGCGGTTACCATATCTTCTAGGTTCGTTTTGTTGGTTATCGCAGTCCTGAGCTATCTAAGGTTTATAGAACGAGCGGACCTCTGCTCGTCTTGATGCGGCTCGTGTTGATATCCGGGCTGGCTAAAACGTAAGCATTATCTTAGTTACAAGCATCTTATAACGCCTGATAAATGAAACAGTGCCGCCTCGATTCTGATGCTAGTAGTAGTTCTGTCTTGATCATCCTCTGAAACGGAGTCTATTCTTACACTTGCGTAGTTTCTCACCTTTCCGAACACTTTGATTTTTGTTGCAATTGGTTTTCCCATACCAAGGCGTAAGCCCCTCGTTTTTGCAATGAAATAGTCTCGCTCATAATATTCTTTTTAGTATACATAATCACTCTGTTGACAATGTAACTGCAGTCTTCTTTCTTGGTGCTCCACTCGCTCTAACTTTCACCAGGCTTAATGCATGGACTCCTCGGCCGGGTGATAGATGCGGTCATGCAAACTTTTGCCTGCCATTGAAAACCAACGAAATGGTGTGTGCAAGCTTTTCTTTCAGGGAATCGTAGATTCTGAACTTGGATATGGCTTCTGTAGAGCAATCTACCTTTAAACTTTTCGGATGTCACTGTAGTTGACGAGCAATTGATGGTGGGATGGAGTCTTCATGACCAACCAGGCGGCAGTCCGAACATTTAGAACAATCTCCTGGTGATTTTGTCAGTTTTTTTCTACCAGAGTCACTAAGGTTAACTTACATAGGTGCCGTCGATTTACAATGTCGTTGATTGGCGTCGATAGTACCGGTAGGGCGATGGGTTCTATATAATATATATAAAACCATTTGTGAACTTGGGCTTGGACGTACAATTGTCCCCATTGTAAACACTGGTTAGGCCAGTATTAAAAGAGCGGCGGCAGCTTTGTTACCCTCGAGTACCTTTCCCATGTTTCCGTAAAGTCCTGCCATTGAAAGTATTAGATTCCTTGACCAAAGGTCGCGGGTCAGGATCCTGAACTGCGACGTCGCGATGAAAGCCTACATGATGTCCCAGACAAGCCCAGTTTCCCGGAGTTAAGTATACTAAAAGCATACCGTCGTCCTCTCATACCCATCGACGAATAGCATATGCGACAGGACGATCCGACCATACGCTAGCGTGTAGGATATACGTACAGTTCTGTATAAATGGAACCAAAAAAAAAAAACCATACAATCAAGGAAAAGTTACCTATAACGAGCCGCCGCCAGTAAAATTCAAGGAATGTATGCCTTTGTTGGATTCCTGGAGACTACGTTCCGTTCCGTTCTCGGGGTTGTCGCAGTCCTAGGGTCATTTCGTTTTGCATGGTGTCACAGAGAGGTAGTCACGAAGGAAACAAGGCTAGTTCAGTACTATTCCAACTGAGAATGCGTCGCAGAGTTGGCAGCAAGATTAAGTCATTGACGCTCTAGCCAGAGCCGCTACATACGGCTGGAATGAGGATCTATTCAGGCAACATTTAGGAATTGAGAACAAATTTCCAGCTTTTGAAAGAAATAACGGTCGGGAACATCGAACTTCGTCGAGGATACGGAAGAGGCTACTAGCCTTCGATGTGGCTGTGCTTCGCCCTTTCCTTTGCCGCGTCCAGGAGGCTCTCAGGCGACAAGGTACCGCCGAAGCAGCATTGAACACCGTTACGACCCAAGAGTTTCCGATATCTCTCGGGACGACTTTGTCAGTGCATTATTCTCGTTCTAGTGTGGTACTGGCGGAGATATTGGACAGCAGAGTGCCATAACCGGGAAACGAGCGATATTTTTTCCATCTTGCACGTTCAGAGAACGAGTGATGAGCTGGAGTAAAATCATTTTTACGTGAGGATAAGGAGCATGGGTCAGACGTCCCACCATTGCGTTTAGCATCAAGTGTTGGTTGTCGATACTGGCGGCTGCGGTACGCCTTCCCTATGCGTGAGTTATATTTCGTTTGTCGACCTTTCCAAGTCCCTCATCGCGAAGAATGGAAACGGGCTCTTTTGTCTTTAAAGCCAGCATTATCGGATGCCTCCGATGCATCAATGCAACAACTCTCGTACGGAACGGTCATACAGAGGGGCAGTACTATTCAAGCAGCTCGCACAGTGCCAATAACGTCAATTCGTATACTTAGACGGATTCTATACGCACACAGCAAGTACTGCCACCATCCGGACGGTACGCGAGCTCAACAAAGTCCTGACAATCATTCTCTAAGATCAGGCCGACCTGAACTCCTGCCGCGCTATCTACTCTGGCCTCGTGCTAGCTACTTCATGCCAGGCACGTCCAACAGCAACTGCCATCACTAAACTGTTCTTGCCGAAACATTCACGCTAGTCACGGACTCATAGCCCAAGTTCCAACCTGGGTTCCTGCATTCGATTCCTGGTCGCGGTATCTACTCTGGCCACCGGTACTTCAACCCAGGAACATAGATTAGGACATCAATGAACTGTTATCGACGAGGACGTTCATTACAAAGGAGTAGATATGACTCTTTGATTATCATAATGATCAAGTACACAATGGAAACACTTCAACTTCATCACCCGTACTGGTATGTTTTCATTCCGGTCACGATAATCATGCACTCGCTCAGTTAGGTTTTGTTAGCTGCACATCCCGGAGATCTTTTACCTTGCTACCATGGAAACCACTTGACTGATCTTTGAACTTCCTAGAAATATATTTATTTCGATGGCTATGAGACGCACGTTGCAGGCCAAGACCAGTCCCTCCACCAAACACAGTATCTACTCTGGCTACCAGAGTCAAGCACTCCAACCCAGGAACATAGAACAGGAACCTTTGTCCAAAGCACACCCAATCCTCGACGCGATTATCGGAATGATCTGCGCGAACCATGGAAAACTTTAGCGCCATCATTTACTTGTTTTTCGCCGATAATCAATGCACGACTCGCCCCGTTAGGTTTCGTTGGAAGATTTTCGCCCGGCAACCATGGAAACGTGTTTACATCGTGGCGTAGCTGGAGAGGCCCCACCGAGCTATTTGGGACATCGAGGTGACTCATTACACTTTAGCTGAAGAACAGATTTTAGGTCCCTGGCGGCTTGACTCTAGACCTGAACGATGAAGTCGCCATATCCGGCTTTGTTGGTTCCTACTATGAGCTCGACCTTCATTTGTTGTCTTAATAATCGTGAGCAGCTTTCTCTTCCTGACGTCCTGTACCTAGTAGCACCCCTTCATTTCCTTCAGTGACCGGGACCGGGCGTGCCACTCTCATGCCCACTTGTTGGGATAGCAATCCCGAGTTAGTGCTAGAATGCACTCGAAGCTTCGGCATGACTAAGCAGCATGAACGTTTAACCGCAAAAGTAGACACATATAGTAATCCGTAGTAAATTCTAGAAGTAGTACAACTTGTATTTAAGTACGATGCCTCTCCCTCGAGAGGCTAATTTAATTCTCTCTCTCACATACTCTCCTCTGTACTTCCAACACCACTAGTAGCCTCGTCTACATTTTCCTAATTCAGCTAGTAATTGTGTCCCTCTCTTACTGAAGTGCTGCATGTCCCTTCCCCCCAGGGTAAACATCTTCTTTGATACGTCCGATTACTGAGAGTACTACTTCTCACTCATACACCATCCTTGATTGGTTCCCTGCCTTCCTATGACGGGGCCGGCTTGTCGGGACTCGGGAAGACACCGCGGTCCCGTATGCTTGCCTGATCCGGCCATGTTAGCTCGGGTGTTTCCCCACGCCGTACCTCATTGCACGAGTTTGGCCTTGCGGGTCCGCATGTTTTCCTGTCAACGCTAAAGTTCTAGAACATCCCCCGGGTTCTTCCCCCAAGTCCTCGAGACGGTGACGATAAATTACCTCTTTTCAAATCTTTCTGGCTGGAACATGTCAGGACGTAGACAAATTACCCTCTAGTCCTCGAGACGGCGCAGTTTCTTCGTCTGTTACGGTGCTGGCTCTTTTCGATGTCAGGCCACATAGCATTAGCTCTCGGTCCTACGTCCATTTCATCGTCGATGTGTTTCATCGAGGCTGATCTTCTCAAGGAACGAAAGTCCTGGAACAATCGAGGAACAATATTGGACAGTTCATGTCGATTAGCGCTCCTTTCTCTCGTGCTATCTTCTCCGAGTCCACCCCATTCGGCAATGTCTTGATTATTCTTGTGGGCGTACTGTACCTTGTTGCATTCTCCACCTTCAAGCCACGACGTTTGTTTCCTCATCTGGCTCTGTTAGTGCTTTCCCTCTCCTCGCATTGTACCACGCCAGTCGAGCCTCGTTCACATATCGTCATCGTTCCTCCGGATTCCATTTGACTTCGTTCTAGAATATCGTGTTTAATTTAGGTTCGGAACTCGAAGACAACTCAACCTTCATTTTTCTGGTTTCAGTAAAATTTCTCGTGGCTGGATCTCGAGTCGCGCCACATTGTCTTATTCTCTTTTGTTGAGGAACCATCCTCGTACCTGACTGTGGGATCCGGAATGGAGACTGGAGTGATTCCTTTCTTAAATTCTTACGGATCCGCATGTCCCATTCCTTCTGGACGGTTCCGCGTCTAATTTATCCTGTTTAAAAACAAAACACGACCGCGAGCATTCTCTCTACCCACATGACTACTCCGGAATAAAAACTGGTTAATCGGAACGGTACAACCAGGGTGGTCTCGACGTTTCGGCAGTTCGCTCCAAGGGCTCGACACTAGTGCGACGCCGTCGTTGCTGTTTTACTCGTTTCCCGCGTTTCCTGGCTTCTCCGAGAATGCCGACTTTCAGGCTTGGCTATTTGTTCATTCGACCCTGGACTAAAATGAGACCTGGGGGCGGAAGATGTTCATCGGAATCCTCCGAATTATAGGAGGAATACTAACAAGACCCTTCATGACGCTCCGGGCGTATTGATGCGCCACCATTTCCCTTACCCCGCACTCCTCCCCATCCCTGATCTTCAATTCACGCCGACTCTCACTTCTTTTCTTGATCCGGGACGACAGTGAAGCGTATGGATGCTGTAGAGGAAAAACTATGTCTTCTTAATTTTCCTCCAGCGTGGTTGGAAGATGTTTGACGTCCAAAATGAACGTTGAATGTCCATCTACTTGGTGTTTCCCCGGATTTGCCTAGAAACGACCCTTGGCTTGACGTCCGATACGATCGACCGTCAAGTTTACTTTACGCCTTATAAACGACTAGCAGCGCCGTTAACGGGCGAGTTGGTTACTCCATTTACCAAGTGATGACCCCTGGATATCACGGTGACAGAGGGATTAGGTGAATCGTGATTACCAGAGACTCTCTCTTTAGAGTCTTCGTCAAATGACACTGGAACTCACGGTTCTTGTCTGCTGCGTCTCCGCAGCTACTTTTATGAATCTTCGTCAAATTCTTGGCTTCTATTAATTGTACGTCGGAAGAAGATGCCATCTTTTTCTTTTCCTCTTCTTTCAACTCTCCTGAATTAGACTTGGCTGTGATGCTATTGTTTGAGCAATATCTCTGATTGGAGTCTTGTGCCCATACGCGTCTTTCTCTTGTACGCGTGATCGCCTCCGCTTGTCCTGTCCGTTATTGATACGAGACCTGTCCGGCATTTCCCATCTCCTTTGGCATACATCTCAATAACGGTATGATTTACTTGCGCGCCTATCGCGTCTCCACTTATCTGCGCGACCCTCATAATTAGTACTGTCACTATCACCAACATTATTCTATGTTTGATCTAGATACAGGAAATCCCTGATAATCATCTTATCTACGTCACTTTGAATCCTGATGCATTTATGCCAAGTCTGTAAATCGAGTGTCGCAACGACGAACCTCCGAATGCCCCGATAATCTATCTCGTGGTAGTCCGTGCACGCGCATGCTTTGCCATGAGCACGAATCACATCTGTAATTATGACGCATAGCAAACTTCGAAATGACGTCGAGTGGCTGTGCCAAATCCTTCTTTTTCTCTGTGATGATGTTTCTTCCAAGTTCCAACTTTCTTCTCGAAAATTATCGGTCACGCGAACATTATTGTCTTCGAATTCATGATCTTGCATGAGAAGCCTCATGGGTGACGGGACCATACTCAGAACTCTCATTATACCAAGTCTTGGCATCACCACAGCATGCTTTTGTGTTGAAAACTGCTCTCTTGTACTTCTTTCTCAGCAATCACATCTGACTGTATAACGTTGCTGCTTATCAGGCTAACAGAACTGTGTGGAGTGCTTGGAGCTACCCCCATGCGTCAGCCGGTCTGTGGTCGCGTATGCAGAACAAGGTGTCACGAAGGAGAGTCCCGTATTGACGCCGACCAATTGATGATTCACTCGTCACTATCAGATCCCGAGTATCATCTCATTGGTGATAAGGCCGTCGTATTCTCGAGAACTATTACAACGTCGTGATCCACAAGAACACCACAAAACACGTGTACCGATTGCTCTTTTTTTACGTCTATCTAAAGGGAATAATACTATTACTCGCCTCGGAACAGCCTTTGACTAAACAACAAAATCCGTCGCGGAGATATCGAGACTAGGTCCGAGTCGCTTAACCTCATTTCTCAGCTGACTTGAAGCGGCGTTACCCGAACTCAAGCTATACGTATTGGCGAATTCCAGCCAGTCCTTGTTATCGCGAGTGCGTAAACTGTAGATAAGCCAGTGACGACTAGAACAGGCGCTCTGAGTCTCGATCGACTTGAAGCAGCTCCGAGTCGGATGTCGTCGGGTCAATAAATGGCCAAGACGAGATGTCGACTAAGTCTTAGTCAGTGCCTGCACTACATGTGTACGAAGGACTGGGGCTCGATAGAAATGCCACCCTTTCAGAGCATTGCCGATGTGAGCCAGATACTGCAATTACACGCCCGCAGTGCTTTCTTCCGCAGATTTTCTGGTGTATCGCTCCCGATGGGCATCCGTGCTATTCTTCCCAGACTTGTTTGGATGAATACATTACACCACGCTCTTTCTTTGTACCTTTTCGCGTAGACTGCAGTGAATCTGTCGATGAAGAGTAGTGGACGGTGATATCTCCGTCCTGCACTGGAAATGTCAATGTTGATTTCGCGAATAGAAGACTTGCGCCGCTGAAGACTTCTGGTCTGGCTATATGACTTGCGTGATTGGCTAACGTATTTGATCGACCTTTTGTTTGTGAATGAACAACCGCTGGTACATGCGAGCATCAGGGTACCTTTTTGACTGGTGTATAGCACGCAGGCCCAGAGTTGATCCGTAACCACGCTTCATCATCGCAACTCGCTCGATAATCTCCCGCACTGGTGTTCACTCCTGGATTGAAAGTCAGTGCTTTCCATGCCCTGTAACCAGTTGAGGCGAGTCAACTTCCAAGGAGCTTACCATCCCGCCGCTGGAGGAAAGCCGGGGCTAATCGCGTCGTTGAACTTTCGCATCACGTACCAACTCCATGTACCATCCACGCGCGGTCCACTAAGGTGATGCTGATATTCCCATGGGACTGTGAATACCTCTCGTCACATTCCAGGAGGATCATTAGCCGAAGAACTAAGCAAGGAAAAACCTGTGTAGTTGTAATGCATCTTTGATAGGTGATAGCGGTGAATGATTATTACTCACGCGTGTCTCTAAAGCCGCTGATATGACTTTGCATCAACAATGAATTTTCTATCTCGTTGATGAACGAACTTTCTTCTGATCATTACAAGCTCTCCATTGAGCTAAGCATCGGTGAAGCAGACCTGACTGGGTCCAGAGGGAAGCGGGAAGCCTCAAAACTGGAGCAACATCGACTGCCAGGGCTCTTTCTTCCTAATAATTGGGGAGATATCAAACAAGACATACATACGTGTTGCTGGTCGATGATCGTGATGCGAGCTTCGTCAGGGGCGTTGACCTGGGGTATCCTGCGAGAAGCGAAACAAAAGGGATAAGGAGCATCTCTGAGAAAATTGGGGAGATATACACATATCATGCCAACAGAAACATCAACCAGGCTATGCCGAAAGTTCCAGATCGTCGCATTGAGTGAATAGAACCCGAAAACAGTAGGCTGATTTCGGTTGAAACGTAGAACGACCATCATCCTTTGAGCAGTGTATTGAGATCAGACGGAAGTCTCCCAAGTCAAGCCAAGTCAAGATAGAATCTCTTTTTCAACGAACCAAAGGTCGCGGGTCCTAACGATGAAAGCCTACATGATGTCCCAGACAAACCCAGTATCCTAGAGTTATACCAAAAGCATCTCGTCGTTCTCTGGAGATCATACAGCCAAGGAAAAGTTGCCTATAACGAGTCGCCAGTAAAGTTCAAGGGATGTCTGCCTTTGTTGGATCGCCTTCTAGTCTGAAGACTAGCGTTACGTTCCGTGTTCGAAGTTGCCACAGTTGTAGGAACATTTCGTTTTGCATGTTGTCGCCGAGAGGTAGAAGAAAACAAGACTAGTTCAGCAATATTCCAACTGAGAATGCGTCGCGGATTTGGCAGCAAGGTTAAGCCATTGACGCTTCAGCCAGAGCTACATACGGCTGGAATGGAGACCCATTCAGGCAACATTTAGGAATTGAGAATGAATTTTACCTTCTGAAAGGAATAACGGCCGTCGAGGAGATGGAGGACGCTAGAGGACGCTAGCCCTTCATGTGGCTGTGCTTCACCCCTTCCTTTACTGCATTCAGGAGGCTCTCAGCTGCTGTCAGGCGACAAGGTGCCGCCGAGGCAGTATTGAGCACTATTACGACCCAGAAGTCTCCAATATTTTCCAGGACGGCTTCGTCAGTGCATCTTCCTCGTTCTAGCGTGGTACCGGCAGAGATACTGGACAGCAGAGCGCCATCGCTGGGAAACGAGTGATATCTTTCCCTTTTGCACGTTCGGAGAATGAGCATGGGCTAGAGAAAAATCATTGTTACGCGAGGATAAGGAACCTGGGTCAAGGCATCTCGCCATTGCGTTTAGCACCAAGTCCTGGTAGTCAGTACTGGCACGTCGACCTTTGTTTGAGCTATATTTCGTTTGTTGACCTTTCCAAGAAGTTCCCCAGTGTGATGTTGTCACCAAATAATGGAAACGGTCCCTACGGTCCCTTTTGTCTTCAACGCCAGCATTAGCGGATGTCTACGATGCAACGCTCGTGTAGGACGGCCGTACATACTGGATACCGGTTCGTCGAGGGGTAGTATTGTCCAGCAGTTCGCACAGTGGCAGTAACGCCAATTCGAGTGTCCTAATACCCAACCTTGACGTCCTTTCGCGCATTGCCGTTAACCTTCGTTTTAATAGCGCCTGCTTGATGATCTCTGCCTCTACTCCCTAGTCTCAATACCGCCCAGAACGGCCGAAGCGCGTACATGTGGATGATTTCCCTTTGATGACGTTTTCATCGCCGTTGTTCAAGCACTGACCGGGTTCCCGGACTGAGGCCGATGGATGACCTGAACTTAATGGCCGTCTTACTTTTGTAGGACCGATGATAACCTCATGTCATTCTTTACACATCCACTAGAGAATAACAATGCGGTTACACAGGAAACGATCCAGCGGCAGATCAACTACAGCCCTAAAACTCTTCCTCCTCCGAGAACGAGTCCTTATCATCTCTACATTTCCCTTTCATCGCCTGCGCATGTTTGTTCAGCTGGTCTCGTCTCTCAAAAACTCTTCCGCACGCATTACACCGGACTCTCGTTTCGAAAAGATGTTTCGTCTCCTTAAAGTGCGATCTCAAATAACCCGGTATGCGCTTGACCACGGTGCATCCAAAGTAGGGACACCGAACGAAAGGTGGCAGGGGGACGCAGTGGTTCCTGTCAAAGTGACCGATAGTGGCATCGAGAGAGTCTGACACGACGTCACAGTCGGGGTGCATGCATCGTACGCGGACTTTGGGGACTTCAGGTGAGAGATCGGGGACTGGCTGTGGTTTCGAGATGAGGGATTTGATGTTAAGGTTGAGGGCGAATTTGGAGGACGACATCGTGGGCGGCAGACTGAGGAAGGACAAAGCTGTGGAGGTTTATTATATACCTTGAACGGGTGGCATTTGTGCTGCCGACATTTGTCTTGCACACCAATATAAATGGAGAGGGAGATTGTCCTTGTTCCTAGTACTCGTTTGCTACATGCCGCTCTCATATATGGTCAGGACTGTCCGGTCCCTCGACGCCTTCAGAAGATACGAATTGCTCGAGTCCATAACCAACCTGGAGCTCATTCTGACAGTGTTCCCTCTGGTCGCGCCTGCTCGCCGATATCAGATATCCCTCGCGACTTCTTCATGTTAATTGTCCGCCTCCCTTAGCTCAGTGCCTTGCTAGTGAAGAGATATATCTTGACAACATCAAAGAACGACGCACATCAAAGGCTTTATAAAATACTTAATCGACAGGTATAGTCCAATTCCTCCAATGTCAGCTATCCGATAGATCATATGAGAATATCTATACTTTGGTTGACGAATCATTCGCATGAGCTGACTCCAACTCCAACTCCTCCATTTGCCGAGCCGTTGTGGCATTAGTTGACTTTCGCAGACTGTCAAATTGACGCCTAAGAACAAATGTCACCACGTACAGTAAATACGGCAAACACTGGATGCGAAGGTTGTGCCTCGTGTATCGACATTGACGGATCCAGCTTTTCTCGAAGGTAGTCTCTAGAATTAAGTCTAACGGATGATGATGTTACAAGCCTTACTCGAAGTGCGAAAGAATGTCAAGCTCACATGGCTAAAAATGAGTTCAAGTACGCTTGAAGAGATGAGAATCAGTGAATGGAAAGAAACTGAGGAAAGAAACCCTACATTTTGGAATCAAGAAAGATATTCCTCCGTAGACTGTAGCATCGGGAAGGACCAGGAACTGGAAGTATGCTTGTTGAGTACAGATGTAGACTTCGAATCGAAGTCATCCTACTGTAACCAGTGACCCTACTGAGAGTAAACTATCGGCGAGTCGAAACAGTTATGATATATATAGAGGCGACAGAAGTACTGACGTCGTGATGAGGTTCGTGTTGACAGTAAACAGTGTAAGGAAAGTGATAGTATGATCACTCCTGTACTGGAAATATCAATTGACCGTTCTTCGTGAGACCGACTACGCACTTGGTGATCCCTGATCGAGCTCGATGAAGACTTGTAACTATAAGACAGTTAGGTCGTCACTTGAAACAGACGAGACGAGCCACTCACTCATAACCAGTGTCATGATCACGTCAAAGGCCGTTCCACTTGAAGCTGAAAGTTCAGTTGCAAGCTGGAAGATGTTTGTTGTTCTGGTTTCTATAAATAACAATTGCTCACGGAAAACTCAGGCGCATTGGGAGTGTGTAGGTGGTGCTGGGAACCAAAGATGCCCATAGCTATGAAGCATCAGCGCCGGTTCTGATTTTTTAGACTGTATGACGGACCGACGTATGATGCTGAATTTAAAGAATGACAAGTAAGTTCAATGGCGGTGACAAGCATCATCCCACTGACCAAAGTTAAAAAATGCCAAAGGAATCTATCGTGGGACATGACGACGTCACATAGTAAAAGGGAATAGCACAATACACATACCGTGATAACCATAAAGGCGATTCGCATCCATAAATTCAGCGAAGAAGCGCTGAACCTCCATATGCGCCAACAGAAGAAGCTATGGACTGGCATAAATGAAACAAATTGATGATAAACGAATACTTACAGCTGCATGAGAAGTACAGAGCAGGCCTAGTCCTATGAGCACACTGAGAAAAGATCAAGAAACGACGCTGACCCCGACGACAGACTCCTCCTATCGTGACGTTAGTGTCATAAGTGCTCACGGTGTAAACAGTGAGACTTGCATACGTGACCAAGCTAGTTATTTTTCCAATGAGATGCGTCTAAGTGATCAGTGACGTATACGTACAGCGTGCCACTAACAGCCCCCCCTTCTTTAAGCGCAGCTGGATTGGCAAAGTCACTCACTAAATAGCGATACATGCCAGCCAAGATTATGCCATGGCTCACAGTATCTAATCCCTATTGCGGGATAGGTGAATGCATGACCTATGGGGTTGAACAAAGTACTTACACTACCAATCAGTTGAGTTATATTGCTGTTAGCGTATGTAGAATATCGCCACTTACACTATAACAAACACGAGAAGCTTCAACCACCAACGGTCAGATCGGGCCCGGTTTGAAGTTATGTAGAGGAACGTCTGGACGCAGATAACACCATACAATCTTCCGCACTATTAGAAGTAGTGATAACTCGCGAGAGAGACTTGGTACGTACAGCGTCAAGAGACAGGCGCCAATGTATAGCGCCCCGAGTGTGTTGTCTAGAGCAGGAAGTGGAGCGGGTAAAGCTGGTACTGCTGACATATTGGGTTCTGCGACAGTGTAAAACGACAAAGAGGGATCGTTTAAATAGCATCCTCTGGGTCAGAATATCACCAGATCACCTGCTACTTGACATGAGTCAATCACGCATCTGGAGCTGGTGAAGATGCGTGATGGGATCTAGTGATGGAGGCTCGATGAGCTTGAAGGATTCTGATTTTTAGAAGACTATTACGCTGAGCAAAGGATTTTCAACTTGGGACGAGAACCATGGGCACCTCCACTACCCTCTCGTGCTGTGGTGTAGCGCTGGTATGTATGGTCGCTGGCCCTCCAAGTCGGTAGAAAATTCTTGAGCTGACGCCGGTAAGAGTTACTACCGAATTGTCGGCTAAGATGTTCCACGAGCTATGAATAGATGTTGCTTCTCTTCATCGCCTCAGCGAACCGTAGGCTGAGTGAAAAATATCAGCATCAGTTCACATTTGCAACTCACGTTCTCATGCTCACCGGAACAGGCTAACGTGAGCATAGTTGATGTGATCTTGTTTCGAATGTACGTCTTCGCACTAACATTCCGGCTTCGCAAGTCGAGAATGCGCTACTCGAATTGTGTGGGTCCTTCCAACTAACGTCCTTATAATTGAGTGAGTTGATACATTTAACTTAAATGTAACCTCTGGCACTGCGACGACAGCCCTTAGCATGGCAGCAAAGACTTGGATTATCAAGTGCCATTTTACTTTTCGAACGGCGCCTTCAACCTCGGCATTTTTCTCTTCGCTCATGAACTTTCCCTGTAACGAACATAAACACTATTCGAAATCCCTCAAACTGACACTCACTCACATAAGCTTGCGGGCCTATGCCCAGGCTGCATAGGTTTAGCGGCGATCATTCTGCCTTTATTTTCGCTGTCAAGATATTCAGACATTGTGCGTCCTCGAAGCCTCTCGTACCTATATATATATATGTTGTTCGAATAAGGATGACTCCGTTAAGAGTAAGTATATCTCACCGACTTTTTGTTCAGATCCGTGCTTCCTTCTTTAATGCGACTATCGTCGTATTTGTTGCTTGCTCAACAGGCTTGGTAAAGAGAGCGTTGCCCAGGATCACCCTTGAACCTTACGAACAACGGGCCTATGGTTTCGTACTGCGGTATCCTGTAGCGGGAGTGTCGTTATCTGTGTCGACTTCTATTGGCGAGCCGGAGGCAGATCCTCCGGGACTCTGCATTTCAGTCTGACTTTCCGCATGGTCTGGGATTTTTAATTGGACAACTTTCCCATCATCACCGGTGCTGGGTGGTATTCCCGCTTGTATCGATAGCGCCGGCGCTTCCAGATTCGACCGGACTGAGGTCCCATATCGTCAGCAAGCCAGGCAATCGATAAAGTGTCGGAGGATTACCTGGTTTTGCTCGTCCATGAAGAAGTTGTGGTGGGGTTTCATATGCGATAGGAGAGAACCAGCTCTATCTCCGTATGCTCAAGAAACCGGGTATTTAACTTGTACCGTTACGAGACCAATCGAAACGGCCACTACAGCGTTGCGAACTGCAGAAATCGCCGCTACGGTTCCAAACAAGTGTCCAGCGACGGCGCGCGACGTTGCTAAACAATTCCCCTCGCACCCTGGAATCTGTCGCCTCAACCAGTTGGCTATAATCTCTTGTATGCCCATGCAGACATACCCTTTGACACATGCATAATGAATCGCACATTTGCCTCAGTGACCGCTTTCCGGACTGATGGATGTGAGAGCATCGGAAGCTGCAAGCCCAGCTAAACTTCCGGCGCTACAATATTGAAATCATATCGAAGACATACCGGGACGTTATCCATGAGTAGCGTAACAACACAGGAAATATAGTTCCTGTTCACGTTACCCCCATCACCGCCGGTAGCCGTCGGCTGTGGCTGTTTTCCGCAGCACATTATGCAAAGTCTCTCTGGTTGACTTGTCGAGAACTCCCGCCTCAAACAAGTTCTGTCACCGGTAGGTTTTGCCTGTGTATCACGGATACTGAATCGAAAAAACGAATCCGTCTTCCCATACACCTTGGTCCTTGTTAACCTCGACGCTTTTGCATCCGAGATTGCCATCTGATATTGCATATACTTTCCAGACCAAGTGACAGGATTTAGTGTTACGGCGATGTAGAGCTTCTCAGGACCGTCTCGTTCATAAGACTGTCGGAGGAGGATGTCGTCTTCGTTCCCGAGTTCACGTAACATAATGCACCTGAAACACAATAATGAGTGGATAAGTAAGTGTATGGAGGAGTAATATGGAGAACCCAAAGACAATTACATGCCACAAACACGTTTTGATAACCTGCCATCAATTAACAAGAAGCCAGATGGGTAAATATCCACCACATTCCCACAGACTTCTGGTATATGAGGTTGATCACATCGATAAGAATACTAGAGAAGGAACAGGTAGCCTCGGGGGAATAAAAGGCGTCGAGATGCTGTCGGGATACCGATAAGCAGTACTTCATCAAAATTCGATTGCAGGGCGTACCAAACAACGAAGACGTTACGGAGTCCACGATTCTGCCTGAGAGAAGATGTGACCAAATACAATGCATTCCTTGTCATAAGGTTCGATTAGGCGAGAACGCCAATCAGACCAAATCTTGTGAGAGATAAAGTTCCCCGTGGAAGCGCCGAACCACACAGTCCAAAAGTATGGGTAAAAATAGTTGGAGCTCTCGCTAAATATGTTCAACGTTTTCCGCATTTTTAGTACCGTACCGTTATATTATTCGTGAATGACTTTTTTTGGGTACCCCATGAAGAGCCTCTACTCCGCGCGACACACTCAAAAGCGTGATCACAACGGTATGAGCCTTCGTGGCCACAGCACATGGTTCGCCATGTCAGGGCTGTGGGCCCGGCCGTTCCTTATTGGGACCTTGTGCCGGTAACAACACCAACACCAACACCAGCCAGCGGTTTCATAATCGATGATTCCAGACACGGCACCACCGTGTATAAGTATATTCTCTGGACAAAAATCGCCATGACAGAACATGAGGTCGACGGACGTCGATATATGGTAGGTGCCTTTGAGCTTTTTCGGGGCGCATGCGACCGATCTTTTGTAACTTGGCAAGTAAGTCTGTGGTGGTACCGAGAGACTTTGGAAGTGAAGTTAATCGGGACGGCTGAAAGACTGCGAATACACCGTCCGTCCACTCTGGGAGACCGACAAGATCTCCGACAACGACCTGCCCAGTCTCATCCTCTCTTTCTACCAGCGGTTTTCCCAGATTAGCGAGCTGCTTGCCCTCTTCATTGTTCAAGGGGCGTAACGTCAGAGAGCTGTGCCAGGATACAACGCAGCTGTTCCGCGATCTGTAAGCCAATTGTTTCATCAAGGGCGTTGATGATTTCAGAGAGACGGATGCCTGGTAGCTTTCGTTGGACGATATATGTCATTTCTCCATCGTCAACAATAGAAATAACCTTCGGAAGTGGTATTGAGGTCTGCAGCCACGACTAGTGTTGCCGCAGCTCAGCTTATCTCGGCTTAACGCCGAAGTCGATTTTGAGCCGCCGAGGACAGAAGGATAGGATGAACAAGAACACAGTTGCTGATAATACCGATAAGTCTTGTGAGTAAATGCAGACATCAAATTGTCTGTCATTTTGAACATTGGTGCAGTCAGAGCAAACGACTCAAAACCGACTTCGGCGTTAAGCCGAGATAAGCTGAGCCGCGGCAACACTAGCCACGACATGCATCGCGACGCCTTCGCCTGCACGTACATCAGTTCCGTACTTGGTGATCAAGTCCCCCTTCCACTTCTGCCACCTTGACACGATTCCCTCGATCTACGTCGATAACTTGAACAATTTTCTCGCGAAGAAGGGTCTGTATAGTAGAGGTCCATTATCAAGTGTGGGAACCTACAGGCAGGACCCTAGTCAGCCCAAGTCAGCGAACAGCAAGAATAAGGAAAAAACATACAAGGAAGGTCAATAGAAAGCTGCAGATACCAGAGATGTAAATAGAAAGTAAATCGGCAATTGACAACCTGGTCACGGTTTCGATCGGCCCGGTCCCGGGCCTGCCGACCGGACAACATTGCTGGAGGAATTTTCAGCGAAGTAACTTACCTACCGTGTGACAGCCAATTGAGCATAGTAATTCAATACTTTTAGTTGTATATTCCGTTGACAGAGTATAGTCATAGACGAGCAATCTCTATAGGTGAATTGCATTTATCTAATGCCTCCCTTGGACTCTGGAGGTTTTCTATGAGTCCTAACTTGGCCTCTGGGCACTATATATGAATTATGCATTGCATAACAAATGCAATCACTGATTATATCAAAAACTGACGACACCAGCAGGATTTGAACCTGCGCACTCAGAGAGTAACAGATAATCGGGCATCCGAAGGTGCCAAATCTGTGGTCAGGACCCGCCCACCAACGACGCTGCGGTTGCAGCCGCGCGCCCAGCCGCTGGGCAACTCCACCAACCACATTCTAATCTGTCGCCTTAACCACTTGGCTATAGTGCCTTGTTTCTTACGTTCATAACATCTTAGAAGAACCCATCATGATGGGAAACCGGCCAAGCACAACTGAAGCTACAGAAGTACAGACAGCCCTCGATTCATGCGCAACGAAAGCATAGATTAATTTCTGAGATCAGATAGATGTACGAGCATGGTTCGTCGGGCTTGATGTCTAGTCCATTCGACGAGTAGACTGTAATAAGCATCATCGGAAAGAGTAAACGAATGAGGAAGACATGGCAAGGTCACCAACACAAGTAGGACATGTGCAGAATGATGGAGCTGTCATGATAGACGGTCGGACTTGGATGAAACTGAGGAGAAAAGGACACCGTAACCCACTCGAACTTTCGACTAAAGATGAAGTGTCGGACATAAGGAGGTCTCTTATGCGGTGCGATATCCCATAAAAAGCCTAAAGAAGGACGTCAGTACTCACGACAAGTATCCTTTACGTATCTTCACATCGGACGGAGAGCTACAATGTAATAAATAAGCAAGTCCTCATACAACGTTCGTATACTACACGGAGTCATAAAAAGCAAGATTACAGAAAAACATACACCTAAGGCTACACCGGATTTTCCTCATTGACGCCCCAAAGTCCGTGTAACAGATCTTTGTTCAATAAATCGGCAACCGAAAGAACTTCGTTGGCAAGCCGTCTCTTCTTTGCTTGCATCTATCGTTGTAAAGTACAGTGAGTGAAATATCTCAGATCCAGGTAGCGGTTTGGAAACGTACCCGAAGAACGCTGTCCTCGATCGTATCGGGAACGACAAGTTTATACACCTGGACAGGCTTTGTCTGGCCAATACGGTGTACCCGGTTGAAAGCTTGTTCCTATGCAAGTCATAGCCAACGTCAGTTGTGAGAGCAGAGAAAGCAAGCATTAATGTTCTCATACCTCGACAGCTGGATTCCACCAGAGGTCCATAAAGATGACGTTGTTACACGCAACCAGATTCAGGCCTGGGACGCCATCGTTAACAAGAATTCCATCTTAATGGAACGAAATCGCATACCAGTCCCGCCAGCCTTGAGTGATACCAGCATTACATCGGTATCAGATTCTGCTACAGTGATATCTTGAATCGCGAAGTCTTTCCCAGCTTTACCCATGCGCCCATCATCTGCAACTCAATGAGAAGACGGACTACTGAGGAAGGATCCAATGCTCACACATGACAGTCTTGAAGCGATGCTTGAGAAGAACCGGCTTAAGACGATCTAGAACACCCGTCCACTGAGAGAACACAATTGTCTTTTCCTTGATTTTCGTCCGTCTGCTTCGCTGGCGTATCTCGCGTAGAATCCTGAGCATCTCGATTACCTTCGTGGGATACGACTCGATGGGGGGGATATCGAGCACCTCAGGTTTAGACTGATGGCTTCGGAGAGTTTCTCGACGCGATGTTTCGAAGCTGACACAAAAAGACGTTAAAGTTAGGCGACAATATATGAACCACAACACATACACATCATCTCCAACCAGCTCATTTACATCAGCAAGGTTGATGTCATCTTCGACGCCATCAACAGGAACGCCATCGTCGTCCTTCTTATCTATGTCCTTACAGAGCGTGTCAGAGTGGGTGCAAGCTGAGAGGTAACGGAAATGAAATGCTGCAACGATGAAGTAGAATGCAAAACAGACATACCTTGAAGTAACCGGAGCAATTTAGTCAAGGGACAAGTAATCGGTTGTACATATTTGCCCCAGACTATGAAATCACCCTTTCGCCCCTCCACAGCGTTGTATAACTGCTCCTCAGCATCGCTGAACGGGCACTCGACGGTGATAATCTCGATGGGAGGAAGCTCAACCCACAAGTACTGGTCTTTCTTCGTCCGCCGGAGCATGACTTTGTACAAGTAGGCCTGAGAAAAGTATAAGTTACGCCCAAATGTTATCTTGTAAAGCTTACATGAAGCTCCTCCTTGAAACCTGGCGGTATAACAACTCCACGAGCAAGCCCGGGAGGAAGAGGCGGGGCTTGAATCTCCGTCGGTTGTAACGGCTTTGGTAACATACTGAGAAGAGAATATATGTCCTGCAGCCTGTTCTGTCTGTGGAAAAACGTAAGCGTATTTAATGCAAGAAGGGGTGTGAATTACACAGGAGTGCCTGTCACTGCCCAGACAAAGCCACACGACAACCCATAGCACGAGAGATATCTTCTTGTTTCGTTGTTATGAACCATCTGTGCTTCGTCTAGCATGCAAAACGTCAGATATAAAGATTGAAGGGTTGAAATCAAACACATACCCATAACAAGCCTGTTCCAAAGAACAGCATAAGGACCGGTCTCCGTTTTGCCAGGGATGTACTTCTTGCTCTTGCTCTTGCCCTTACCCTTTTCTTCGACCTTGCAGATTTTCGCGTATTCCGATCTCAGTGTGTCGTACGAAGTGATCACAACGTCATAAGCCTTCAGCTTGGAGGGATCTTGATTTATTAGTAACGCATCAGGTGAAGGTTTGCTCTGAGATAGAGAGTAACTGTACCTTGCTCTCTACTACTTCCATGATAGAGATAGTAGTTCAGCTTCCTAGAACCAGATACACGGAAACACTCCAATTCCCATACAAGCATCACAGACGCCGGGCATACAATACTGATGTCGATGAGGTTATGCCGCTCATCAAAGACAGGAGGACGTACAGTGTTGGGCCCTTATATGTTGCCTTGGGGTCCATCATATTATCAATGATCCTTACCAGAACCTGGAGTGTCTTGCCGAATCTAAACCAAAGATATTGATAAGCCAAAATTAGGAAAGGTGTTGAACACATACCCCATATCGTCGGCCAAGATTCCACCGCCGTACTTTGTCTCACACTCGTTCATCCATACGCGAGATATCTCCTGATGGGGCCGAAGGTCTATGCTGAAGTCAGGGCGGAGTGGCTCGGTACGCTTAGTCCACTCAGCCGGGATTGGAATGGATTGTGGCTCTGTCTCAGGTTTCTTCGCTGGTGGGCGTTTACTGGGGGGAGACGTTGGAAAGGAAGCAGCCGGCGCTGTTGCTCGACGCTGAGAGGGTGAAGCTGAAGCTGTGGCTGCTGCTGATGGCCGAGCAGAGACAAATCGGCCACCGTTCTTCCGGGAAGAGCTCGCAGGTGTCTGCAAGCCGGTCGACGGGCGACTCTGAGGAGTGGATAAGGGTGGGAACTTTGGGTATTTGGCGTCGCCGGTGGTAGACACGCTAATTGGTTTGGGATCGTCCCAGTCCAATTTTGACGCGTCTACGCCGAAAAGATTGGCTGAGGACGATGCATAACTGGAGGCCCTGTTTGTCTTTGGCCCGAGAAAGCGAGGTGGTGTCGGGAATGCTGGGCGTATCTCGTCCCACTCATCGCCAACTTCGGCCTTTGTCAAGGTTCTGGCACCTTTAAACGAGGGAGTTGGAGTCGCAGGAAATCCTGCACGAGAAGAGGCCGATGGGGTGACCCTGGGTGTTGGTAGATAAGAGGACGTAGTAGGCGGTTTGCTCTCAGGAATCTTCAAGTTTGACGCTGCTGGCTTTGGGGTCGACAGCTGGGTCGGTCGGCTACGACGAACATTGGCTGCGCCACTTTGGAAAACGTCGTCATTTGTAACGGAAGCGCCGATTCTCGAATTCCCTTTGCGACCGTTGCTTTTACGGGCCCTTGTGGTCGTTGCGGAGGGGTCTCGCGATGCCATGGCAAGAAGACACTAAGTATAGTAAAGCAGCCTATCTTAATGCAGTGAGTTGAGTTGTTGAAATATTGGGCAAAAACGTACAGCTTATATATGCAGGAGATTATTGTTGGGAGACTATTGTTAAGAGATTATTGTATAGGAAGACAAACCGTGAGTCACTTCGGCATGTCAAGCCCTTTTACCTGTTCCCAACAGCCTCCCGTGATATGTCTCCTCGCGGTGGTGAGGGAAAGATAGACGCGTCGTGAGAATTCAGCCAAAGGCGCCGCTCGAGTCAGCTGACTAAGTCTTTGTTCCCTTCAAGTTCAAATCAAAGTTTGATCAAAGTTTGACTAAGTCAATTTTCAGCAAAATCACAGGGAATTTCTCACAGCCTTGAAGTAGGGAGTTCCTCAATTGCTGGACATCTGTATGCTTGAACAAGTCTCGATAATATTTATCTTGTTGCTTTAGTATAGCCATGGCCGCCAGATGCCCATATGCCTATGACACATATACGAAGATGACCGCCACCGTCAGCTGTGCAAGGCGGTGCAAGGCCTACCATCAAGATGCCGAATGGAGGAGCTTTATCATTGGTGGACTTCATTTATTGAGAACTGGAGACCTGAGCACGTCAACTTTGAAAGGTGCGAAGGGGAGTTAAGGTGAAAACGCGTCACGTCCGTGCCGTTAATTGCATACGCAACTTCGGCGACACTTGCATTGGCAAGCAACTTAACTTGCAATATGTACAGTTACACACAAATAGATAATACATAATGTTCGATAAATCACACTTCTAGGTATACATCTCACCGGAATTGTCCTGAGAGAAGAATGCCGACGATTCTGATCCCATCCCCCCACCAAAGAAAGTCGACCAAAATTCCAGGTCCTGAAACATGTCGATATTCGCACTCTGGTCGCCAAGCCTGTCTGCTTCCGCCTTAGTTCCGAGAGAAAGACCTGACCCTACAGGCTGAGAATGCGCTCCCAGATAAACTTTCTCCAGCTCCGATCCCCTCCGCCTCTCCATCCACGAGGCATGCATAGCACCCATCAACACCGAACACCTTCCAGCAGCATGATCCGGAGAAATCGCCGCATCACCCAGCACCCGCACACTTTGCTCATACAAAGCATCTCCACATCCGAGGAACTCTATCCCATTCTTGTCCAGCATCAGCAATTTAGCCCCGACGATTAGTCCTCCCGCAAACGCCATCATGGTGAACAGGACATCCGGCGTCGTTGGAAGAAGGTTCTTGTCGCATTGTAGAAGCGACACCATGATAGCCTCCCCTATAGAGAAACATTCCTTTGACCAGATTGGGATGATATTTAGGTCGTATGGCTGAATCTCTAAAAACCATCTCCGTGCCGTACTGGTAACATGTCTCGCTATGAAGATAGCGTTGTAGAGAACTAGAAGCCGGCAACATTGAAGGAGCAGAAAAAGCATGTGATAGTGGAATCGGTCGTGATTCGAGACCACTGAAATGTACTATGAGCTCTGATTGGTGAAAGAAAAAAGGTATTCACCTGACAGCGGCGATATCAGTCTCGAGAGCCTATCCATGGCTGAGAGCACGTTTGTTACTTCGTTGAACCAAGTTTCCATGTCTGCGCGACTTGCGAACTGCACTTTTAAACCCTGTTCTGTTGAATCGAATATTTCTGCGAGCAGTCGTATCCGCAAATCGCGTCCATCGGATGAATTCGAGGGTGATATTATGGGAAATATCGTCCAGTCGAAAGCAGACCGACTGGTTAAGGGCGTACGGCGTGTCCCAACACAGAGCCTGAGACGTTTTCATATTGAGTAAACCAAGGTTGACCGTTAGCAGGACGTCGAATACTCACATAGACTCAGTCGTAGACAGTGTCATCCACTACAGTGGTGAACTGTAATGAGAAATGTCGTTCACTGTTCGACCATACACTTACTAGTCTAGCTTTATTGAGAGCTTTCTCCAAGGCTGCTTGGTCGCCCTCGCCTAGAAGTCTACTATTTCGCAGACTGATTGCGGTCGCAACCGCTTCGCCTAATCGAAGGTTCATGGCCATGGTGATAGCCATGCCTATTAACATCCTACCGTCACCACTTCCACCCTTCGTCGAACCGCAGATAGGAGCCCACAATGATAAAATGATGAGACCTTGTATTGTGTCTTCGGACTCAAACATTTCGGGATTGAAGACCACTCTAGCGATAGTGTCTTCCGTCAACTTTTGAAGCTGGGGTCCAACAACAGACCGGGTGGAAAGGTCAAGGTAGCGCGACGCAATCGTGCAGCAAACGAGGTCTAGAAATGGTGTAGGTCCGTCTTGGACTAAATAGAAGTTTAGCCAAGGAGAATAATTGACTGAAAATCTGTGCGAGGACACTGTTAACACCTCCAGAGACAATAGAAGCTTACGTCAGACGTACAATTTGAGGAGATGTTCAATTTCTACTCGAGTGAGAATATTGGAAAGAAGTAGGCTGTTTACAATGACAGGCACCGGCGACTGTTCTTGGGAAGGTTGTCTCGCCAGCTCCTGCATTGCCAAAATGGGTGCCGACCAGTCAAGGTTCTGACGGACGAACGACCAGATTACGGGCCGTATACCATTGCTACCAGCACCAGACGCGATGTCAGCATCAGGAGGCCGGTCTATCTCAAGTTGCCTAGTATCCACTCCTAAAGCGTAGACAACCTGGAGTGAAGGTTCCGTATTTAAGCCAGACGAATTTGAAGAATATTCTGGTGCAGGAGCCTTTTCCCCCCTAGATTCATAGGAACAAGATATCTTGAGAACATTGCAACGATGACATCGTACAGGACTGCGTTTGGGGTTGAGAATTTCGCATCGTGTTTTACATCTGCGACATGAGTCACATGACTGCACTTTGGATCGTTTTGTGCGCGTCTGCGACGCGCTCAGTGTGTTACCTGATGGTAGGGACTCCCCTGACTGCATGAGCGTGCAAGAATCCAGACGTCGTGGGTGTTTCGGTTCGAACTTCGGCACATAGCCTCGGCGCCACGTGGACACTAAGCCAACGATCCGGGCTACGGCCCGAGATGTTATCGCATCTTTCCCTTGTACGATAATCTGTTTCATTCTGGCGCTTTAGTACACCACGTCTGCCCTTGCATTACTTGATACCACGACTATGACTTCGATACTTCTTCGTGAGTCGAGACCTTAAGGCGACTCCACCATGGAGGTGCTCGTTCAATGGGTTCTGCACCCCGAGTCGCTCCAAGAATCAAGCGCCTGGTAATATGCTTTCGCCGTCACTTCGAGAAAGTTTATACACCGATTTTCGTCCGCTCTTTCACTGGGGCTCGAGGCGACACGAGTTACTGCTCGTCCTTCAACGATCCACTTGAGAATACACGGATGATCTGCGCTATGATCATCCTGGGTTCGAATGGGGGTAGATTCACTATTTCGGCCACTCGCTTATTGCTATCTATGATGCATTTTGAATGTAAATGATTCGTTCAAAGACCATATCTCTTCTTTGCCTGACATCTCGTTTACCCTCCTATTGAATTTGCCAGATCGACCCAATTTTTGAATGCCTGCAAATACCTGCGTGCGATTGCCAGTGTCCTTCTCTTATCTAGTTGTTAGTCATGCTGGACGAGTATAAAGTCTGTCGCGATTTACGGGTCTCATTAGCATTACAGTCTATCGCTTTCTCCTTCACGTTTACTTCTCAATGGCTTTTGCGTTCCTTCTGCTGCTATGTGTCGCTGCCGTTAGCAATGGCCATATTGTCGCTTTCGCGCAAGGCATGTATTGTCAAAACGTACATGCTATTTGACCCGTGTGGCGAGAATGCTGAACAGGGTATCCAGGGAGTTTCTGGGAACAACCAGAACGCTGCAGACGCTGTCAATCCTCTCTTCATGTTGGCCAAGGATCAATGGTGGAGTATGTGAATGTTGCCGTTTTAATTCATGCTATGATATTAATCTTGTTCTACAGTGCAACATTACTCCGACGTGTGTGCTACTTTCTAGTCCGCCATTATATATTGACTGAGGGCAGTGCGACGAACGACCTCCCTCCAAGGATGATTTTCTGGAAATGTAAGTTGTTTTCTCCGCGTTCTCTTGGTAATTTCAATGACAATCGCCGCAGACCCGCAGGTGGATCATTCACTGTGGAGCTGGCCACTAATCAAGCATTCACCACTTTGTCTTATGATGGGCGAATGGTCGGTACATTTGGCGATGGTCAAGAACATCCCGAATACAGTCGATACGTACGTCTGAAACCCTTCTTTTGTTCATCCCAGGACTTATTCCTGGACATAGCATGATACATGCATCACTTCTCCGAACTGTAGGGAGGGTCATATCACGCAACTCATTTCACTCTAACGCTCTGTTTTTCTTCTAGTACATACCCAAAACCAATTGATGGCAGCTGGGACTGCGTTTGCTATCTCTTATGAGGTACGAAAGTTTTATTCGTGGACTATCAAACAATCATTTAGCTGCTTTAGTCTGATCTTCGCAATGTCACGCCCGAAAACTTGGTGGTCTTCAGTGTTCTCGAGAAGTGGGTATACTCCTATCTTGTACTAACTTGGCGCATATTAAACACGATGCAGGACTCCCTGGCATCGTATCGCTATTTATGAGGTGCCGAAGGCACTGCCTGCGTGTCCGCCCGATGGATGTACATGCGCTGTAAGTTGTATAGTATCATCTGTTACTTGTAAGCAGTCATTCTAACCGCATGAACCATACAGTGGGGCTGGGTATGTTGCATGGCACCATGCTAGATGCGTTCATTCTCATTGGAATTTATTTACATGTGCAGATACCGAACGGGTAAGAAATTATCTCCTTTCTTTGTTTCCAATACCTTCTGACCTTCATTTTTCACGGAGTAGTTGCGGTGAACCTAATATGTACATGCTCCCTTACAAATGCAAAGTAACAGGCGCAACTAGCAGGATCTCGGTTGCGAAGGGCCAACCCCCAGTTTGGTGCGAAGACGATCGATCAAAATGCGTCTCTGGCCCTAAGCAGATGCTCTACTGGCATCAAGCCGAAGGTAACAACATCGAGGTCTCCGGTTACGACCTATCGGGTAGTCCAAAGTCGCCGGGATACAATACGAAATGCGGTTTTCTTTCTGGTGTGTAGTCTTGCGCTAATCCAGGTCACTGACTTTAATTCTCTCCAGGCGCGCAGAACGATATTTTTGAACGAAGACATCAGGGAGTGTTTAAGAAGGACGAGTGATGATAGAATGGAGAAGTTCCCACGAAAGAGTGTAATGTATAATGATGACTCTTGAATGCGTAACAAATGCCTAGGCCTGGCCATGGTGTTCTTTCCTCCACGACGCGCAGCCTCGAAACCCCCCAAAGATATTCCTGAGCGATCAATCCTGTCGTCCCCGGCTCCGAGCCCTAGTAAATGGCGTCATGACTGCACCGACCCCAGGAACAAACAGGATATTTCTCGGCCTCACCGGGGATCCCGCCATGGGCGGAATGTCTGTAAAAGGAGAGGATGCGTCATCCCGCTGGAATCGCTTACGGTGCTATCTGGAATGATAGATGTATATCCCCAAGGTCCATTTTTTTCGGTGAATGAAGGGCTGATATTATTTCACGTTGCATCGAAGTGACCGCCCAGATGCGCCCCGTCCGCAGGGGAATTATGTTGGATAATCTATGGCTGCGCGTGGAGTGCATCAGAAATACAGCAGTACTGCAGGGCGTTATCGGACACGAGGCAATCCATTCTTAGTTCACGAGGACATTCGAGGGTATGGTGCATTTCCCTGTTGGAGCTCTCGACACCCACAGGGCGGAACTCAATAATCGGATAAACCACTGGCCAGTTGTCTAGATATTGCCCAGAAGGAAGTTGGGTACCGCGTTGTAGGAATGGTCGGCTAACGAAGGATCCCCACAACGGCATCAGAAGAGCGCCACCGATGGCCTAGCTGAAAAGCTGGAGGGACAAGTATAGCCTCGTATTGCACAGTACTACTGCGCGAAGCGTCGAATAGGCCAAGAGCTCGACGTACGGACTATGACTCGACTGCGAAAGCGTCATGGCGGCTCCGAGAGTCTACAACCGAGGGGCTCGGTAGTCGGGGATTTAAGGATGAAGCGTCGCTTGTGCAGGTTGGAAGCGACGCTTGGGCAATGTGTAGGCAGCATAATCTCCGTGTATTGTTGATCGGCGGCGATTGTAACTGAGGGTGATAGAAAGGATTTCTGTATGACTGATACGCGGCGCTAGCTGCGAGGCCCTTGACTACTATTCGGAAACGCTGGACGCAAAACGTTGGGTGAAGTGTTGAATGCACATGACGGCCAGGTACTAGAGAGCCCGAGACGGGAGCTACTTGTAGGCGAAAAGCATTCTTACTAGGCATCCTATGTATGGGTATATTTCAGGCGATTTGAGGGGGGAGTCTTTCGCTTGAAGTCAGTGACTGCATCTGGCACATGCCAAAAACGATAAGTGATTGAAACTGAATGCATCGGGTTTGGAGTCCGTTGAAAAATTACAATTTTTATTAATTCTACACCCGGTTCCTACTTTACAATAGAAACATAAGCGGTCAGACTTCGTGTTATTTACGTTCGAAAAATAACGGGCTCGTACCACATTTTGTTCTTCTTCTTGCGACAGATACATACGTTTTTCATATCTACTTTTTCAAGCTTCGTCTCCTACTGCGCCAGGTATTCCGGGGCTCCCCGCAGCACGCCATGCGGCTAAAATGAGGTTCACGACATCATCGACGCCTGTACCTTCTTTGATGCTTGTAAACACAGTTGGACCGTCACCCCGCATAAGCTTCGAGTCGCGCTGCATGACCTCCAGGGATGCACCGACATACGGTGCCAAGTCCGTCTTGTTAGCGCGCATCAGATGCTTCATGAGAGATGTAATGGAAAGCGTATACACGGACCTTGTTAATGACGAGGAGATCAGATTGGGATATGCCCGGACCCCCTTTGCGTGGAATTTTGTCACCTCCCTTTGGAAAGTCATTAAGCGAGGCTAATTAGGACGGAATAACACTTACAGACACGTCTATGACGTAAATAATATAATCCGCAAGCTCTCTGGAGTAGTTAGCAGCAAGGTTGTCACCACCGCTCTCCACAAGAAGCAGCTGGCAGCCAAACTTCGCTTGAAGGGTTTCTAGAGCGCCCATATTCGCGCTTATATCTTCACGAATAGCTGCATGGGGACATCCTCCAGTTTCAATGGCAAGAATTCGCGAAACAGGAAGCGCCTTGTTCTTGATAAGAAATTCCTGATCTTCACGCGTAAAGATGTCGTTCGTGACCGTGCCTTCCAGATCATCAGACGATGGATTCAGCTACGAAGCACGAGTACCAACCCAAATTGAACTCCTTCCTGAACTTCTGACATAGCGCCAGCGTCAGAGCCGTCTTTCCTGAACCCACTGGACTAGAAGCAATGTCAATGGAAGTTTGATGGTCTCGAAATAGAACACAACTGACCCTCCGATGCCAATAGTGAAACCACGTTCTTCGAAATTTCTTGAAGAATAATCAGGCATATCTCGGTCAGAATATTTCCCTTATCTATCCTCAGGACCATCCCAATGAACGTAAATTCAAGGTGAGACAAGTACCGGCATCATTGTAATGTTCGTGGGTATGGCCATGCTCTCCGCCATGACCGTGTTCGTGGGATACACCTTCATGGGAATGAGTATGCTCTCCAGGTGCTGCTGAAGACGCCAGATTGTTGATGAATTGAACGTTCATGACGGCGCAGCGCAGAGATAAGCTGGTGAGTTAATTATAGCTTATCTCGGCCGGCGGGGATCACATAATTGAATCCACGTGGCTATCTCCTTTAAACGGACATTATCAATTGATTATTTAATCTCATCATTCTGTTCCGGACCTCCACGGCAGAATCACCTCATAACTCAAAACTCTGGGAATTTCGGAACTACCGCTGGTGTTGTCTTGGGAAATCATGCAAACGCCTTATGTTCATCTTTTTTCTCCGTGATTCGAACTAGGGGACCGACCCGTGGCGTGATCCTCGGTAGCTCGTTGGTAACGGGATCAGGGCCTCTTGTCTAGCCTGGGAGTACTCGCAAATAAGAATGTAAACCTGGACTCGAATTCCATCCCTTTTGGCGAAGACTTGTCCTTCTTAATGGTGGGGCCATGCAGTCTTTCCTACTAGGTTCCACTGCGGATTGAGGCTTGAAGCAGAATTTCTAGCCCTTCCTTGAATGCAGCCCTGGGCGCTGACGCCGTGACTTGTATGGGGGCATACGTATTGACGGTTGTTGTATAGATGGCAGGGGAAACCTATTCAGCGCCCTGTCACCGGTGTTCCATGGAGATACTTCCCACACCCGAGGTTGAGTCTTGAGTCACTCCTGTGGATGCCTTCTGGCTCTATCATGCATTCCTAGGCTTCAGAAGACCAATTGCTTGCCGACGTACGACTTCCTCGTCGTATGGTCGTGGTGTCGTGACCTGCACTTTCTGGTCATTGCTACTGGATTACTACCTTCCAAGGTTCCGTACCGCGCGGAGCAGCTGTGTAACGTTAACATTCAGACACTCTGAGCGTTAGCATTATTGACATCTTGCTACTCTCAGGCAAGACGGCTATACTTCTCGTTTCCCTCCACTATTTAATATAACACGCTGTGAAGGAAAGAACCTCTCAGGTGGCGTTTCTGACGTCTTGCGTGGGATTCGAAGTACCATTCTGATAATCTGCATCCAGCTTGAATCTATTTTCCTTGAATCTTCAGGCTAGAGCAACGATGTTTTCATGAAAATGGAATTCTTGATTTCATATGTGAATTCTGCATTCTACAAAGCGTAACCGCCGCAGTAATTAACGCTCATGGCATGTTGAACCCCTTCTGCACGGCTACAGCTATCGGAAGGATTGAATTGAATTGACTCATGGAGAAGACGCAGGCTCGGCGAAGATTAAAAGGCCATGATCCTTACCCAACACGTATCCTGGCCTGCCACGGTATGGCTTGGTACGGCAGTATACAGCATGAGTTCATCACCAACAAGGCACCAGGGTTGTAATGTTCGAAAATCGATTCCGATCTATGATGACTGTCAGTCGGAGACATAGCGACGATAGAAAACGGGCCTGGAAACCGGCTTTCTGGCTTTCGTTCGACGCAAATAGTGGCACACAACGGATCGCTTGAAATGGATTCTCTTCTGTCTCCTTCTGCCATCTGCTCCTCCTCCTTCTCCCCCTCCTTCTCTTATAAAACCTGACCCTCGCAATCTGCATAGGGCCGTCCATTCATTTTTGTTCACGTTCTCTAGGGCAGTTATGAAGTCTCTTTTCTTTCTCGCGACTTTGTCGTCGACCGTGAACGCCTACTGGCTCATGAGTGTTGGTGAGTTACTTTCGCCAACCTATGTTGCACTCGGATACTGACCGTTTACTTGCAGGAACATTAACGCCGGAGCCGCAGCGCGTGGACCCCATTCTTTCTCCCGGCGCAGTTTCATCTCATTCTCATTATGGTGAGCCTCGGTTTCTGTGGCGTTATCACTCCAAGGACAGGCGATTCTCCCCCTCGAGATCGCATAAAATTTCTCGATGATTCTGCGCGTTGAAATTGCGATCCGATCATTGGAACTGTTGGATTTCTGTACTGCAGGAATAGTTCGCATTTCGAATTCGAGTTGGAACAAGATATTCTGCAGAGGCCAACTGTGCGAGATGGGCCCTAGATGTGCCGTCTCTGCTGTGGTATCATTCGCCTGTCCTTGGACTCGAAGGTTGTTCGTTCTCGGTGTGGAAATATCACCTCCCCCGAGATTTTTTTGACCGCAGAACTGCCTGATCAATCATTATCTAAACGTATTTGTGTCTGTATTTTCTGACTGCTTTCCTAGTACTGGGCGGAAGCAACTTTAGGCAGACTACAGACACTGCTTCTCTTCGCTCGAGTGAATGTACTACTACCCCCATCGCAGAAGACAAGTCCAGTTATTGGTATCCTGTTCGTATGCCTATTTTCGGCATTCCCAGCATTGCTAACTCGGATTCAATCTAGAACTTGTATTTCGAGTACGGAATATGTTTTCCGCGTCGCAGCATTTGCTAACAGCGCAATTTCAGATGGGCCAATGGTTCCTTCAGCTCCCTTACCGGTGGCAACGTTATGTGCGTGATCTCGCTATACTTCTATTTTTGCTTGCTCATCGTCACCGCAGCTGTACGTAACTTGCGTGGTTCGCACACCGTGCAATGTTTCATTCCCATCTTCTACAGATTATTTGTTTGACGACGATGCCGCTGAGAAGAATGTTACTGCTTTCCCTGATGATGTCAGTGCTCGTCTCCACCGAATTTCCGATAGCGCTAATTCTATGATCCTAATGACAGTTCCGGATGATCTCTGGGACGCCCACTCTGCGCACATACAACGCCAGCAGCTACGCTCAACAGGCGGTCACCTTTTTGTGTCTCGATTTCACTGGCACCACTACCAAGTTCAACAGCATTCCTCCCCAGGCGTGTGCCAGCGGCATTCGGGCTCAGATCGTGAGAATACTTTCCCCGATGTTGTAAGACCTCCGGTTTTAAATCATAGTAGAACTTCCCCAGCTGCTGGGATGGCGTGAACACCGACTCCACGGACCACAAATCCCACGTCGCATTCCTTAGCGGTGGTCCCGATTCAGGAACTTGCGAGGACCCCAACTTCCCCGTTCGACTTCCCCGTATTTTCCTTGAGGTTTACTGGAGCTCTGGCGAATTTGATAGCTTCCGTGACCAAGCGAAGAACTCTACGCAGCCATTTGTGTATGTTTTTCTTCTTCAACAATGGTTAGTCCTTACGGCTAACGTTGACCGTCAGCTTCTCTTTCGGCGATCCCACCGGGTATGGGTACCACGCCGATTTCATCAACGGCTGGGATGACGGTGCCTTGCAGAAGGCCGTTGACAACTGTCATTGTGGTACGTGCTTTCGATAGTCGACCGAAGACCACTCTCATGATAGAGCGCTATTAGATGAGTACGGTAGCCCGCAATGCTGTGCCGATCAAGGTATCTTCACCTATCAAGAAGGCAAGGAATGTTACATTACGGACATCGTTGATGAGAAGAGTATGTTCATATATTTTTCAAGACGACGAAAAGTTTGCTTACTCCTCTATAGCGAGCGGATTATTGACCAAGCTTCCTGGCAACAACCCTGTGCAGCAAGCCGGCATCCAGGCAACTGTCTACACCGATGATGACGTACCCGGATTCTTGGAACCTGTCTATGTATACACTGGTTCATCTCCCACGGCTACCGCTACCGCTACGGAAGGTGGAAGCACTGCTGCAGGATCTACCGGATCAGCTGCTGCCTCTTCTGCTTCCTCGACTTTCACCAGCATTGGTAACGTTGGCGCTGTCATCCAGACAACTGCGTCGTCATCGTCTACGGAGTCGTCACCCTCGTCCACAGAAGTGACATCAGCCTCTGCAGAAGCGCCATCGTCAACGGAAGCGGCGTCTCAATCCACGGAATCGACATCAGCATCTACAGAGTCGTCTTCTGACGCATCGGAGTCGACATCGGTTGCAGCTCCTGCCGCATCCTCGTCTGCGTCGAGCACCAGTGCTGGTGGTCACGCTCATCACACTCACGACCACGCCGCTGCCTCCTCTTCCTCTTCTTCCTCTTCAGGCGCGTGCAGACGCGAATCACGCCGTGACGACTTTATTGATCATTCCTCTCGCTTCCGTCGTACCCACCGTCGTCATATGGATTACGACGCTTACACGTTCTGATTTACTGGATTTAAATGCTGTCTTTTCTGCTAGTTATACCCCACATTGTTTATAGTCGCTTAGGCCGATTGTACTTAGCTGTCATCATCGCTCTTGAATGTTACCTTGAAGGTAGATAGATACGGAGAGCTTGCTCTCGTTACCACTTGTCGTTTGTACAATTCATGTCGTTGCATATAGTCATTGAGATATACATGTATTTTTTTGAAGAGCGTCGGATCATCAAACGAAAGGTTCAAATCTGGAAAATGTACCTTGGCTAATGGACCTACAACATATAACTCTCTAAGTATATCCGCGTTTTAGCTGCATACATATGATCCTGCATAACGCTATGTAGCACCTGATAGCACCTATACCAGAGCGCTTTTTCCAGATAGGTTGTAATGAGAGGACCTTTAAAGAGTCTTGTTTCAAGTTGTTTGCATTCAACACGTGTATATACAAGACGTTGTGCGGCTTACGAGGCACTCGGAGTCGGAGAAGACGCATCCGAAGAAAATCGGTGCAAGTTTGTGACACCTGTATACGCAGAGGCAAGAAGACAGGAGAAAGACAGGCTGCTGGGAGCCGGAATTGCCGGACAAATCGAATATTGAAGATCTCTTCGTCCAGTGAATAAGAAATAATGAAAGAAATACACCAATCTCTAGTTGCAGGTGCAGTTACGCCTTCGAATTCAGCTACTTTACAGCGTCTTGTCTTGTACTGTACATGTGCAACTTTTTCGGATCCGTCAAGAGGAACTAGTTCGTAAAAGGCAAGAGCGCCCATCAGAAGAAAAACTTTGTGACTCGGAGCGATCTCCTTTCGTTTAAGAAAGTCCTCTCCAGTTAAAACCGCGATATCTGTCCAACCATGACTTCCGCAAGGTAAATTAAAAAATTCTAGCTGCCTAGCAATGCCGCCGAATCGGATACATGCTGGCACGGGCATTTCATTCTGACGTATTTCATTCAGCGATAAACCATGCGGAGATGCCGTCGGGGTAATTTCCCCAGGCTCTCAATCCCTGAAAACTGAGTCAGCTGGCATCTATTTAACTACATAATCGGTGCTTGTAGCCTTCTTGTCCTCTTACCACCATCTATGACTGCCAGCGAAGTCAGCGAGAGTGTCCAAACCACCGAGACCAAGCGAACTCCGCTTCCCAGATGGCAGTTGCTTATCGTGTTCCTTATCCAACTTGCGGAACCCATAACAGCGACGGTGATATTCCCCTTTGCTCCTGAGTTCATCCGTAGGACGGGGATCACTGGGGGGGATGAGAGCAAGACAGGGTACTATGCTGGGTTTATCGTGAGCTCTTTCTTTGGTTCTTTAATGGATTCGCCTGACGCGCTCGCGTGATCCAGGAATCTGCCTTCTTTCTGGCCGAATCCTTGACCGTGTTCTACTGGGGTCATTTATCTGATAGGTTCGGCCGAAAGCCCATCTTACTCTTGGGCCCTCTAGGGTTGACGTTTGCGATGCTCGGCTTTGGGGCCTCGAGTAACTTCTGGTCGTTGGTATTGTTCCGATGTGCTCAGGGTGTCTTCAATGGGAATATCGGTATGTCTTCTTTTCGATTTCTGGTTGTGGAAAATTCATGATGAGATCGGAGATAGGTGTTTCGAAGACCGTCCTGGCAGAGGTGTGTTATGCCATCCGGGTGGCATTAGATCGTATTGGACCGCTAAATGCTCTCACTAGATCACGGATTCTTCCAACATTGGAGAGGTATTTGCCTTGATACCATTAATGTGGGGACTGGGTGTTACTTTAGGGTAAGGACACTTTAGTGATCAGTGAAGACCGTTAATTCTGATTTTTTTTTCCCCCGCGTAGCCCTGTCATAGGCGGTCTTTTGGTGCATCCAGCAGATACATGGCCAAATACATTTGGACGAATCGCGTTATTCCGTGACCATCCATATTTCCTTCCTTGCGCTGTAGCCGGCCTGTTCTCTTTTGCGATTTTTCTACTTACTCTCATTGGTCTTGAAGAGGTAAATTGACTTATCAGCTCTCTTTTACATCAACTGCTCATTTTCGTTAATTCAGACACATCCTGCAACTATTGCACGTAAAAAATCTAAATGCTTGCGACCCACACAGGAAACTTGCCTGATTGCGAATAGCACAGGGGCAGACTATGGATCCACCTCCACCACAACTGTCGCACCAGATGACGCAGTGCCTGATTACATCCCCAGCAAACCTCCTAGCATGCGAGAAGTTCTAGGGACCCAGTTCTTACTCGTCTTGATGAACTACATGTTCATCTCTTTCGTTGAAACCGCGTACGATGCGCTCATTCCCCTGATGTATTCGACATCCATACCGGTTGGTGGTCTTGGCTTTAGCCCTTTCCAGATTGGCCAAATCTTGTCAGCATGGGGGCTGACAAACGCTATCGTGCAAACTGTTTTTACGGGAAGATTGCTGAGGATGTTCGGTGCTCGTAGGATGTTTATAGTCTCTATCGGCTTCATGTTTGTTGCCATATTAGCCTTCTCTTTCGAGAGTTACTTCGCAAGGCTAGCGGGTCGCGTTGACGGGAGAGTAATCGCGCTTTTAATTATCCAACTGACCTGTAATCTCATGGTCTTCGTTGCTTTTGGTATGTTCACTCCTTGATCTTACGCCCTTTGTTTCACTTATCATGCTGCAGCTGCGACCCATGTTCTCGTTGTTCAAAGCGCTACAAGCAGGGCTGCGCTCGGTTCGACAAACGGTTTTGCACAGATGGCCGGCTCTGGCATTCGCGGCTTCGCACCATATTTCGCCTCTTCCATGTTCTCGATCTCCCTTGAAAGCCAACTCGCAGGAGGATTCTTGGTGTACATCATCATTCTGGTTCTGACCTTGGTCCTGCTTTGGTTGGGCTTCAAAATTCCAAAACGCTTCAAATCAGCGGATAATTAGACGGAAAATGTACTAAACATATACTTAGACGATGTAGCGGTATGACAATTTCTACTTTCTTTTGGCAGCGGGATGAAGTGTCCTTCCTGTCATTCAACGCTCGGGTAACTTGCACAGCCTTGGGGGCCGTTCCACTGATGACCGTGCCCGTATGAACTTGATATGTCTGTATTCCTATTTATTCGCTTTTGCATTAATATTTTTACACTGACAGCTGCCATGGCATGTCTGGACTCTGAAGCGGCGGACCGACATGACACCTCACTCCCATTTGTCTGCCACGATCAATTCGCTGCCTAGTGCCGACGCAAATGTCTCTCGACGCCACAGATATGAATATCGGCGTCTCGCCATCGGAAATACAGACAGGCATAAGAGGGGCGCTGTGAGCGGCAAGAGTGCGAACCGGTACTTGGTACATACCGATTTTCGAGACGTGAAACATAGGAAGGTGCGTAGCCTACAGGTTTTTTTCCGGTTTCACCTTCCACCGAGTTGTGACTACGGATTTAGTGTTAAGAACATAAAAATAGTCACTTGAGATGTTGTGCCGAGTGCCGAATATACGGAAAGGGATATTTAAGACTCCGAGGATCGGCACTACCCGCAGGGAAGCGAAAAACAAACCCCGACAAGCCTTGCCGCTTTCCCATCATCGAGAACAGTTCATCTCTGATAGTTATTGTTGAAACGACATGAGATGCCTGCTAACTTCGTGGATACGACCAGGATACTCAGGCTTGCTGCTCCACAGTTTTGCTAAAATTAAACTGGTCCCCGCCAAACTGATGAAAAGTACCATCGTTTCCGTCGTTCTGTGCTTGCCTGGTCGCTAAGCTCTGAGATGCGATACCCATCACCAAGACGAACAGGAATCCAAGGCTCCCAACACTGCTTGACTTGTGCACATATGTTCTTGCCTCTTCCGGTCTCATTTCCGAACGACAATGTATAAAAGCCATGGATATGCGAGCTTTATACCCCAGCTGTGCTCACCCATCCAACTCTTCTCTAGACGCAGGTAGTCTAGAGTTAATAATACCACAAAACTCTCTTCTTATTCTATCTCATCATGTTCAACAAGTCTTCCATCTTTCTCGTCGCCACATTGGCTCTTAGCGCCGCAACTGCTGTAAGCGCCAGCACCAACGGGTATGACATATCCAATCTCTCTTATTTTCGCTAACTTACCATCTCTTCTCGCAGCGCACAATCTCGCTCTGTCGGCCGTCGTGGCGCTGACAACAACGACTTGAACGCCCGTCAAGTTTCCGGAATGCGTCTCCCACAGAGGCGTGCCGTCTCCACATCCGAAAAGAAACGCCGCGCTGAGCTCGTAAAAGCACTTCGTACTATTGACAGTCGCTCCCTCGAAGAAATTCGTCGCGCTGTTAACGGTATCTCTCGTCGTCAAGTGGCGGATACGTCTGCAAGTGGCGATGCTACGGGCGCATCTGGCACTGGTTCAGCATCGGCTGGTGCACCAACGCCCACCAACAGTCTGGATGGTGATTCAGACACGGATGGTGCCGGTGGGCCTCCTGATGGCGATTCGGATGACTCGGACGCCACTGGAGGTCCTGACTCCGATCAGTATTCAGCTAGTAGCTCTGGTCAGGGTGGCCAAGGTGGCCAAGACGGTGGTCATGGTGGCCAAGACGGTGGTCATGGTGGACATGGACATGGATGCTGCTGCTGCTGCGGTGGTGGGGGAGGAGGTAATCAACAAAGTGAGATCATGATTCTCTCTTCCTTACCTCGGTTGGTGCTAATGAAATATTTCAGTGGGAATGGGCGGTGGACCTGGAGGACAACAGAATGCACCCGCAATGGATTCCGCAAGCTCGACAAGCTCAGCAGGCATTCCTTCATCAACCGGTGGTTCTACTGACTCTACCACTGGTTCCGATGGTACAGACCCGAGCACAGACTCGAGCACAGATCCTAGCGCGGACCCATCTGCGGACCCATCTACCGACTCATCTACAGACCCAGCTACAAGTACTGGAGACACTGCTACAGATTCAAGCGCTGACACCAGCGCAACTTCTGATACTTCGGATGGTGCCACCGCCGACGGGTCTGACGGTGCGGCTGTCAAGAGAGGAACCTACGGACGATGGCTCGGTCGCCGCAGGCTATAAATTTCCCCATAGCATCTAAAGTCGTTGGCTCTTTACGTCGGAATATGTAGTTCGTTAGTCTGTATTCAATCAGAAGTGCCGAGCTGTTAAGTAAAACATTTGTGTCATTATGTCCTCCAAAATGTACAAGGTATATATTTATAAGAAACTTTACAACGTGAGGTCTATGCCGTGGTATCGAGACTCTGCTTCAGCACACCCTGAACAATCTGCTCCTGCTGAGCAAGCCAAAGTCCAAAAGACGGTGTTTTGAGCCATCTACGAACATTCAAAACCAAGCACTTCCTCGAATAAACGGATACTCACCTTTCATAAAAGTCCTTCCGCTTACTCGTTGAGCGAAACGGCAGGGTACTTCCATGAATCTTCAATGAAGCGAAGAACGCAGACGTATTGAACGGTTTGAGTCGAAGAGGACCTAAACGTGAGTTATGCTGATGTCCAGCGACCTCCGAGGGCGTAGGTATCAGAGTATTCAGATATCTCGTTAGAGGGATCAAAAGCTCGTTTGAGCGCGAATAGAAATGTCTCCGCAAAGCCCATGATACGGACATTCCTGCTGTAACGATCAGAGGTGTGAGTAAACGAAAGGCGGCGCTCGTACGTTCTTGCTCGGTACCACGACATGCCGATTCAAGCTGTTTCAACAGGGCATGGTCTTTCGATATATACCGTTTATGTACTTTGGTCTTCCAGCCCGGAGAAGGTCCAGGAGTAACGTTCGACATGGCGCTTTTCGTTGCTGTGTTGGGTCTGCAATGAGATCAGCACTAATGCTGACCTACGTCGGAGACGTGTACATACGGAATTCGTCGTCCTAGACTTAAAACATGCGGCCAGTGCAAACACGATCGTTCAAAGAAGGGATTTGTCACTCCGAGAAGCAGACCAGACTTCGGAGGAAGTTTGTTAACCAATGCACTATGATCTCTATCATGGATAGTGAAGTACGGTCGAATGTCTCCAGCAGTAGGAATAGGACGTAAGAGGTCCCTGAGCCACCATATCGCCTGGCTTGTCTGAGACGGAGATGGGCCGAATATCAATATGGGTTCACAAAGAACCAGGCATTCCCATATTGACCAAAGATGTGAGAGGGAAGCTTCAAAGAGAAGCACAGGCGGGGGTAAGAACGGGGATGACGATGCTAGGATCTGGTAGAGAAGTGTCAGTAGTGTCCCCAACCGAAGAATGAGTGGAGTTTACATGGGATTTGGGATTACATTCCGTAAGCTGTTGTTCGTCGGCAGAATGTGGTACCTCCACTTGGAGTACCGAGCCTAAGAAACCCAGTTCGACAGTCGCTCCGGGCGTCGGGTCCGACCTTTTCTTCGCGGACTGCATCAGTATTTATTTCTAGCAAGGAAATAGTAAGGGGTACCATGTAGCGATGTTATGACAGGCAGTCTCTAGCATCGGTAGCCCATGCGCTGAAAACAGTGGGCCGAATATCGAGCATAGTGATGTGAAGAGCGCCGGATAAGGGAGATGAGTAAGAAATACGAGGGAGCGCTGAAGAGAATATGAGCCTAAATACACGAACTAAAAGGGGAGACGTACTTGCTCATAGCCCCGCTTCGATGCAGGATCTCGTCTTTGACTAAAATGAGAAAAGCCGTATATATACCCATCAATGGGAGGCGGGCGTTTTTCACTTGATATTGAAAGTTGATGCTCGCGGATACGGAAAGAATGGTTCTGCGAGCCTTGATCAAACTGTAACGAATCAGGAAACGACAAAAATGCGCTAGGCACTGTTTAGATCATCGTAAAGCAGAAGAAAGATTCTGCTGACATGTTTTCCGACTCTTCTGGTAAAAGAAACAAGGGGGGAAATATCCCGTTGACGACAGGACCCGAGTCGATGTCAAAGTCGACTAAAAAGGCCATCAACAAAGGCTTTTGGACACTGCAGAAACGAACCTATAGCTATACCCAAAATCCACCGTCTGATTTTTTCCAGTACATCATCGGCTACCACAAGTCCTTCTATATCAGACCGCCCCCTCCTTGGTTTGACCTCGGTTTGAGGAACGCGTGGCAATGTTTGAGAACGCGATAGGGCGTTGGGACGTAATACTTTGATCAGTTCTGGAGACGAAGGCGAACCGAATGCCGATTTCAGGGATATCGCAGGAGATGAAGGTGGTAGGTCAAAGGAAAGAGATAAAGAAGATCGAGAACGGCCGGTGTCGAATGCTGATGCCGTCTGTATTGACCCCAAGTCGACCTCGCTATCATCGTCCGTCAGGTCCTCCAGAGTCAGATTTGCTCTAACCATAGCTCCTCTTTGCACGACGATTATCCTGCTTAGTCTTTAGAAATTGTGTTTCCGTAAAAGTGGTTCGACAGATCTATTGAACTTTTCAGATGCATAAAACTTGGAATTTTACCAGTCAAAGTCACCTGGGCATTCGGAAGTACTCGACACTGGACGAGAATACACGAGCTCCCTCGAGCTCGGGGGAAGGTGGTGGTGCCAAGACAAGGAGCGACAGGCCATGCAGATCACTGGCAAACATTCCGGCAAGCTCGGGCCGGATAATTTCTCGAGAATTTGGGCGGGACACAAGCGAAGGGTAAGTCCGGCTGCAACAAAAAAGAACGACAACACTGTAGCCATTCAGTTACCGTCCTTTCTCCTATATTATCGTCTTGACCATTTCCCTTTATACGTGTAACTTTACTCACAATGAGCTACCGAGGCAGAGGTGGCCAATAAATCTAGTTTTCCTGTTTTCCGAGTCCTAGATTGGGAGGCTGGCCACTACTGTGCTTCACATTACTCGTCCCAGAAAGCTGATATATCTACGAAAGGAAATCAACCCGCAAATTTAAATAGTTGGATTAAGAGAGTAGATATGTCATTATTTCTTGACAAAAAAGAGGTGTGTGGGAGTAAGAAGTACGTAGATAGCAGGTATGTACGAGCGAGAGCAAATGCAGGACAGCAAAAACAATCCAGAGAAATTATGTAAAACACAGTTCCAAATCCCCATCTTTATTCATCCAATCGTGTCCTCTTCCGTGGCCCATCCGGTATACCGCTGCCACCACCTCGCATGAAAGCGGGATTAACATGTCCTCCACGACCTTGAGGCATACCTCCGCGTTGAATAGCATTCATCATTCCCATACCTAATATAACGAACAAAAGCACAAAAGCACGACGTAAGCACAACACGGAATGATACAGCAGCTAAAGGAAAACTAGAAATCCGTACCCATACCGCCACGATCATTCATCATGCCTCCTCTCCCACCATGGTTCATCATTCCATCCTGGCCTTGAAATTCGTTGCCCATCATGTAACCCCCGCCCATACCCATATTGAGCATGCCCATCCCCATGTTCGGCATTCCCATCATTCCCGGGTTGGGTACCATGCCTCCTCGCACAGCACCACCCCTGCCACGGAAGTTGGGGTTACCACCCCTGCCCATGCTTCCATTCTGCTGCACCCGCGGAACCGGGTCTAACATGTGGCTTCAGCACTACGGAATGAATCCCAGGTAAAAAGACCTACCCTTGGGCAATGTACGGTATGGATTACCATAACCGCTGGACGTCAACTCGGCCGCAACCCAACGTTTCTGGAATTCGCTGTAACGGCTATGATATCAGGCCCATAGTAGGACATGAAAACGGTTCCTCGTACTTGGTAGAGAACCAGTTCTTAAGGATGGCCGCGTTTTCGGGTGACCCACATTCAATATACGCTTGTCTACAGAATCAAACTGATTCAACACCTACTCAGGGAGCACAATGAATTTGTACGTACCCTTTACTCTTCCCATTAATTTTATGTTCCGAAAAAGTGACGTTCTTATGTTCAATGTTTACACCGACGCTCTGGGCAACCTGACGGAGGTCTTCATCTGTAGTCCACTAATCTAATATCATCAGCGCTACCAACGTAAGGACCCGAGAAATACGAACCCATTGCAAGTCGCTAATGAGCAACGCGTCCTTTTGACCGATTGGAACAATCGCTTGTCGCAGTTGGCTTGATCCCCCTTCAATAGAGCCACCGCCATCCTCCCTCGGTCGTTTGTTGCCTATCTTCGGCTCTGGTGACGACATTTCAAGCTCAAGGTTAACCTTTATCAATACGATCCGTATAAGGAAGACAATAAACTCACCTCACGTTGCCCGCCTCGCTCAATGTTGACGGCCGACATTAATTATACAATAGCTGACACGGCGCGGCTCAAACAGAACTGAAAGTTGTTGAGAATTTTTATAATGACGCCACGCGACCGAGGTGCTTACATGCAATACTACGGATACAAGGTGTAGTACCGATACAGGCCGTTTACCCTCCACGGATAAATACAGATCACAGAGCGCTAAGTACGGAGTGAGTCAGACAAAAATGTGGTTAGTGTGCAAGTGAGATTTAGACGCCGCGCCGGTCCAGGCTGTTTACAATTTATCCTGATAAGGAAGGAGGCTTTCCATTTTGGGTACATAGGCGCCCTCCGTTTCATAGGACTTTTCTTTTGTCGCCTTGAGGTACATGTTAAATTTTGTTTGAATCAATTGGTGTCGATTCTTGGCTGTCATGGCAGAACAGAAACTCAACAATCTCATTTGTACAGATCAGCAGATGAAATGATATTATCACGAATCTATAAATGCTACTAGTAGAATACAATTGCGATATTCATAAGGTATTGGTGTCTGTGTTGTTACGGGAACAAGGTCCCAATCAAGAACGGCCGGGTCCACAGCCCTGTCAAACCATGCGCCGTAGCCATGAAGGCTCGCACCGTTGCGTACGTGTCGCGGAGTAGGGAATCTTTATGGGGTACAATGAAGAACAGCAGTGAAGCATAATGATTCTTATGTAAAGCACGAACAATCCCAAAAGCATTACACATAGCAAGCTAAGATTCGAAACGAAGATGCAGTGATGCAGGCAGGTATTGAAAGACGTGGAATACGTCATAAACATACTTTGAAAAAGAGCAAGGGGAAGGGGAAGATAACATTCGGGAAGGAATCGCAGGCAGCAGGTGAACATGCCAGACGAAGCATACGATTTCACGGAACAGCGCGCCTGTACAGCAGAGCTCAAGCCTTAGCCTATGGAAACCAGCGAACGCAGGTGTCGAGCAAACCACACACAACCAAGCCTGCTATTTGCATAGCAAACAGCGTGCCTGTAGCGGTGCCCGACCTATGCAGCGACACAACGCAAGCATCTGGCGACCGTGAGGAGCATTTCGACAGGAAACAGCGAGCCTGTAGCAGTGCCAGAGCCTATAAAACCAGAAACATGGTAGCAGTATAGGCCCGAGGGGGGGGGATGAGAATGATGGACAATAGCAAGGGACGGGAACTGGAAATGGGATGGGGAATATGGGAACAAGATCACAAGACCGACAAGAGCAATGGACATAGCAAGGGACAGGAACTGGATATGGTAGGGTAGGTAGGTAACGAAGCGAAGATGGGGGTTCGTCATGATGGTGCATGGTAAACCGACGGTGGTACGTGGTATCAAATAGATAGAGTTCCGGGACCCGTGGGATTGTCCAACCACTCTGGAGTTATTCATTCGCCCAGAATGCCGAGGACAGAGTCAAAGGGGGAAAAGCCGTCGCATTTCGTGGAAGTTTCAGTTCCAAAGAACAAAACCAAAAGGAGCCTAGTTCGATAGGAAGGGGCAGCGCCTAGTAAAAAATTCATGAGAAAGCAATTGAAGCGGCCGTAATGCGGAACACTCATCGAAATGATTACGGTCAGTGGCAGCCTATTCGGCAAGCTCGATATCTCGCAGCTCTTTTATTAGGCCACGGTACCAATTATATATCGATGTTTATCTCCGATGGAAGATGCTGTAGAGATCACACTCATAATGAGAGGAAAAGGAACTAAAGTACATATGTGCTAGGGATATAATGGTGTATGCTGATAAAAATGAATGCGCTTAGTTTAATTGTGTAGTAAAGCAGATATGCACGTCATGAAGATCCTCCAGCCGACCAGAAGCGAAAACAGAAAGGGTCCATGAGAACCAACCAGAGTAACGCACCTAATCACCACGCCTCTCCCTCGCCAACCGCTTCTTTCTTTTCTCCTCTTCATGCCGACGCTCAGCAGCCAAGGCCTCCTCTTCCTCGCGTTTGGCGATCTTGGAGCTAGAAGAATGTCAGTGGCAGTACACCATGGCCGCCGGAATGTAACAAACCTATATAGCTCCTCTCGCTCTAGCGCCGATGCATCCGCCTCCATATCTTCGTCGTCGCTAAAGTCATCGTGCCCAACATAAGCGCTACGATTCTTGCCGAGTGCAGCCCAGATCTGGCTTCGCATATCTTCGTCCAAGCCACCTGAGCGCTTCTTCGGCGGAGGTGGGGATACAGAGCTACTCGGAGAGCGAGGACGCTTCTTCGCAACAGGACGAGTTTGGACAGCAGCCTTTGTAGGAGGCTTTGACGAGGCCGATCTGGGTGCGTCGGTAGACCCGAATCGCTTCGACGAAAGGGAAGCAGCCGGCTTCGTGACAGGCTTAGAGGACGAGGATGGTGTTCTGGGAGGTGGTACTGATGTCGCTTTCTTTGGAGCACTCGGTATACTTGATATAGGAGTATTTCGCTGACTGTTATTCTCTGAAAGGAGATTAAGATGAAAACCATGACAATAATGGTAATGGACTCACGGGAAGAAGATGCAGACGCAGCAGTCTTGGGAGTCGCAGAGGCCGTTGTTGGTTTCTTCTTATCCGAGAACCAGTCGCTGAAGGCTTTGGCATCCTCTCCGCTCAGGGTTTTCCTCTTTTTTTCCTGCTGCATATCCTTTACAATCTCGTCAATGGTCCGGGTATCGCGCTTGTTAGTGTTAAGTTTAATCAGATGCATGGGCACAGCAGTCAAACGCTCCTTCGTCGTCATTCCAGCAGACGATGGTAATGAGGGAAGTCCAGGAGTCGTTGTCATCACATCTATGGCGCCACCAGGCAGTTGACGTCCTGCCTTAGAATAGCCTTTCGCCGGAGTACGTCTTGGTGACCGGAACTCATTGCGATACTGTGCCTGTTCCCTGCGCTGACGCTTCTCCTCCCGGGTGAGAATGCTGGCACCCGACGCTTCATCGTCTTCAGAAGGAAGTCTCCTCTTGCGGACGCTCTCTTGCGTTTGAGTCTGCGACGACGACGAAGGCCACTTCGCGTCCGACTTCCCAGGCTTCTTTGCACCGTACCGCAGATGATCCCGCTCCTCCTCTTCACGCCGCAGACGAGCAGCCTCTAAAACCTTGGCCTTCTCCTCCTTCAGCCGCTGCCGCTCCTTCTCTTTCTTCTCCTCCTCGAAGTGCTTTAAGCGCAACTTCGCCTCCAGTTCCCTTTGTTTCCGGTCAGCTTCATCCTGTTTCTGTCGTCGCTCCCGCTCTCGACGCTGGCGCTCGGCAAGGGCGGTCTCTACGCTCTTCTGAGATTCCCGAGTCTGGGTGGCACTGAGAGCCATAAGAGCCGCAAATCCAGACATGGTAGATTGTCGCTAGATATAACAGAGGCGCCTAGGAGATAGAATGATGGAGGTATAAAGTAGAGTGAAAGCAGTGGTCGAAGTACAAAGGAAATCAAGCGTGGCAGTGACGAGTGGCTCTAACTCAGCCTTTGGCATTGTTTGTCATCGGGAATAATCACGGCCCGATTTTCCGCCCTAGGGACTTGAACCGCCTCATGCATTTACTTCCCCGGGAAGAGGTAAAACTCCTCTTGCACCAGGTATGAAAATCCGAAATGGGATTCTACCTGAGATAATCTTAAAGAAATAAAGGCAGGGTTCTTGGCCCAAAAACGACTCGCCAGGGGGTTGCAGCTCAACCAGGGCGAGGCGATAGCACTTATTGCCTCTCAGTTACAAGAACGAATCCGGGATGGTAACCACTCGGTAGCCGAGCTTATGCAGCATGGAAAGGATATGCTTGGTCGCCGTCATGTCCTTCCAAGTGTCGCTGGTCTGTTGCACGAGATTCAAGTCGAAGGAACCTTTAAGGACGGGTATGGAAATAGTTCTTATAATTCTTTCCTCTTCGCTAACATATATAATCCATAGCGTTTTTCTCGTAACGGTTCACGATCCTATTTGCACGGAAAATGGAAACCTTGAGAACGCGCTCTACGGTTCCTTCCTCCCTATCCCTGCTGATAACGCGTTCCCTGTTGCAGATGTCTCAGAGTATTCTCATGAGAAGGCTCCGGGCGCCATTATTGCCAGGAAGGAACCTATCATCATTAACAAGGGCAGAGCAAGAATATCCCTTCGTGTAACGAATAATGGAGACCGTCCTATTCAAGTAGGCTAAGGACATTAAGCTCTAAATACAGCACTTATCATTCTCCTAGATTGGTTCACACTACCCTTTCATCGAGACAAACCCGGCGCTTTCGTTTGACCGAGTCAGGGCGTACGGTAAACGACTCGACATACCTGCAGGTACCGCGGTGCGCTTCGAGCCAGGTGATGTCAAGACTGTGACCCTATGTGCTATCGCTGGAAACCAAATCTTCTCGGGCGGGAACCGTCTCGCTTCTGGGGTCGTCGACTTGGGTAGATCAGACCAGATCATCGATGCATTGGTGCAAAAGGGGTTCGCTCATGTCCCCGAGCCAGGCGCATTGGATATCAAAGTAGACACAGAGATCAGTCGCGAAGCTTATATCTCCATGTTCGGACCTACAACTGGTGATAGAGTCCGACTTGGTGACACAGCTCTATGGATCCAGGTTGAGCACGACGAGACCGTGTATGGCGACGAAGTCAAGTTCGGTGGAGGCAAGAGTATCAGAGAGGGCATGGGACAGGCCACTAATCGATCCAGCAAGGGGACTCTCGATCTCGTCATCACCAACGCCCTTATTGTAGACTGGTCTGGAATCTACAAAGCAGACATTGGTGTCAAGAATGGTCGTATTTGCGGTATTGGCAAGGCAGGCAACCCGGACGTTATGGCGAACGTTCACCTCTCTCTCATTATCGGTTCTTCCACCGAGGTTATTGCAGGGGAAAAACTCATAATCACTGCCGGAGCTGTCGATGCACATGTACACTATATCTGTCCGCAGCAGGTCGAGGAGGCTTTGGCAGCCGGAACCACTACTATGATCGGTGGTGGTACAGGGCCGAGTGCGGGCACAAATGCGACGACATGCACGTCGAGTCCGTTCTACATTCGACACATGCTGAGTGCTACGGATGGCTTGGCCATGAACTTTGCGTTTACAGGAAAGGGAAACGATGCTGGGCCTACAGCTCTGGAAGAAATTGTACAAGCAGGAGCTGCAGGTTTGAAGCTGCACGAGGATTGGGGGTCTACGCCTGCTACTATTACCAATTGCTTGGATGTTGGCGATAAGTATGACGTTCAGGTTTGTATCTTCTCCTCTATGATTAAGTCAAGCGATGAAAATCTTCATTCTAGGTTAATATCCATACCGACACATTAAATGAGAGTGGATTCGTGGAAAGTGAGTCGTTCCGTCGTTACTCTATAAGTGTTCTAAATGTTTGAAGGCACTATTGCGGCCTTTGGTGACCGGACCATTCATACATATCACAGTGAAGGAGCAGGTTCGTATGCTCTGTGTTCATGTGAACGCGATATCATCTAAACGTCATTAGGTGGCGGTCATGCACCGGATATCATAGTCGTTTGTGGCCAAGAAAAGGTCTTGCCTTCTTCTACAAATCCAACGCGTCCATACACTAAGAACACTTTGGACGAGCATCTTGACGTGAATATTCCTCCCAATTGATCCCACGTAGCTTCGTCTGACGTACCGATCGTAGATGCTTATGGTCTGCCATCACCTGGACAAGTCCATTCCTGAGGATCTCGCTTTCGCAGAGTCTCGTATTCGAGCGGAAACCGTAGCCGCTGAGGACGTCCTTCATGATATCGGGGCAATTGCGATGATTAGTTCTGACTCACAGGCCATGGGACGTGTGGGAGAAGTCGTTAGTAGGACCTGGAGGACTGCAAGCAAGATGCGGGAGTTCCGTGGACCTTTGACATCCTTAGGTGACTCTGAGGGTGTTGACAATGCTCGTGTGAAGAGATATGTTGCCAAATACACCGTAAACCCGTGGGTCCTCTTTTTCCTTCTTGTCAACAAAATCTCATCGTTTTGGCTCGCTAGTGCGATAACTCATGGAATCAGTCACGCTGTGGGCCATGTTGCTGTTGGAACCCTGGCAGATCTAGTGCTCTGGAAGCCTGAAAACTTTGGTGCTAAACCTGAGATGGTTCTCAAATCCGGTGTCATTGCCTGGTCTCAGGTACCTCTCTTACGCGTCTTTCATCCTTGGATTTTAATTCATTTCAACAGATGGGCGATGCGAATGCATCCATACCCTCCGTACAGCCATTCTACTCCAAGCCAATGTGGGGTGCCAAGCCTGGCTCGGCAGCTCTAAATTCTGTGGCATTCGTATCGGAAATTTCCATCTCATCTGGCGCGATAGCTTCCTATGATCTCAAAAAAGACGCAGTAGCTGTCAAGGGCTGCAGGAATATCACCAAAAAGGATATGAGATGGAATGATCTCATTCCTAAAATGTCGGTGGATCCGGAGACGTATGAAGTGTGCGCGAATGGAGAGCTGGCGGATGTCGCGCCGGCTGAGAAGCTGCCCCTTTCAAGGGCATACAATTTCTTCTAGGTGATTAAAGAAGCGAAACAGAATTTGCGCTTGTACTTTTACTGATGGATGTACTCGTTATTGGAAATGTACTGATATTCTGGAAGGCATAATATGAAGTAGAGAAAAACCTTGATCAACGAAGCAAACTGCGTTGTGGATGCACTACGAGGATCGAACTAGTAGTAAGCCTCTGTAGCTGCTAAGCATCCAAGACGCGATCTTTTGGCTCACTGGAGGTTATCAATCCCGGATTAGAGAGTGAAGAGTGAAGAACTAAGAAGGGAGCTTATGTAGGGAGCTTTACTCCTAATACCGGAATAAAGAGGTAAGGAAGGAAGGACGGAGAGGCACGAAAGGAAGCAGCGTACTCCGCAATGGAGGAAGGGAGAAATCTGAGAGGGGCAAGGCTACGGTATTGATAATACAGAGGGAAATCACGCTCATTCGTCGCGGGAATGAGAGCGGGACCCGGACAATGGGCGAAAGATATCCCTATGGGTTGGTCTGGGTCTACCCATTCTCCCGGCGCGCTCCTAAACGGTTGAGGAGGCGGAGAACTTCTTGAGACTTGAGTACTGAGTACTTCCGATGGTCATATCTATTGTTCCGCTGCGTATGTGCAAATACACATCTGGGTGAGAACCTATGACTCATGAGAACGTCCGACAGGGTGAAAGACAGTCCGTGAGGTCGAAATGTTCCGCACATGTGCACATACATGTACGCCATCTGTCGTCTCCGTGTGAAGAGAGTAAAGTGGGTCGACACGGAGGAAACAAAGTCCGTCGGGACTTCGGTATTCGGGAACATTTGATAAATCCTTGCTCTTTCAACAAAGGCCGTTGAAGCAAGTCATTTCAAGCGTTTTTGCTTCGGCCAGACGTTCTGCTGTAGCTGGACAAAGTCTTGACCACTTTGGTGAACATATGACTGAGTTTACATCAACAGCATAGTCAGACGCATCTAGTGCGCGGGATGGACCCGAGATATTCTGCGAGGTTGTGGTGATGGGTTTCCGTACAGGGACTGTACAAGGAATCAGGATTGTCAAGTGTCATTTCCAGGCGAGACAGCACGGAAAAGAGTTGGACCGCAAAGCAGAACCGAGAAAAGTACGGAGGTCCGAAGCGCATTTCAATCGAAGGAATAGGTCTCTTCCATAGTCTTCTTCTTTCCTAGCGGAAGTGAGCCGGTTTCAATCGCCTCTAAACCGATGCCATCGGACACCTATAGGGATGTCGCTCTTCCGTCCTCGCCATCCATTCCATAGGACTCAATAGACAAACCAGGAACCGATAAACAGTTAAAGTAATGGGGAGGATCAACGTTTGGCGGAGTCATGTCCCCCCCCCTTCTTCACTAGCGGTTAGTGAAGGTGATTATCATCTTAATAACAGGAGTAATGGTGAACAGCCTTCCTGACGGCGGGATCTAGCCTAAGACAAACCCGTATTATTGATCAGCTTATTTCAAGTTAGCGGGGCGTTACGCGTAGTACTGGCGCAGTGACGCGATCGACGCGATTAGGGACAGTCGCGTCGGCACGGCTTGTTTCGGAGTTTAAATTTCTCTTTTCGCCGCTTCCTCTCCGCTCCTTCTCACGTTAGCGACTACGACGCGCCGTAATTTGTCCAAGGAACAGTGAACACTGTGTCCCAATCAACCTCGCCTTACTGGAGGCTTTCGATTCTGGCTATTCGAACTTATCTCTTCAATATCCTTAGAATGTGTCAGCAAAGCTACATTATCTGCACATGAAGACGCAGCAAACCTAGCTTCCAATGCGGGTCTTCTTTCAACAGCTTGTCGACTGTATACGCGACGAATGGCTCTGAGGAGAGCAGGACAAGTGATAATCCTAGCGATATCTGCAACATTTAGCACCATCTCGCCTGCGGCCTGCCAAGAGTACGATTTCGCTCACCTGTAACCGGTAATTGCAATACACTCCCACTCGCAAGGAGAGAGAGCTTAGGGACAGGGGATGCTGAAGTTGCTGTCACCACGAGCAAGGAGTGCCCAGCCGTGTACGGGACGGATGTTAGATTGCTCGGATGGCTGCTAGTTCTCAGCATTTCTTAGCGGTCTGATATCGAGTTTTGGGGCCGACTGAGCTAGACTATTCAACATAGCTATTGAGGCCTTTGTGAGTCAATCAAGCGATTTATTGTGGTTGTTATGGATATGCGTTAACGTAGTTGCTACTGTAAGGTAGGTATTTTTACTATAGGAAGGGTTGCTGAAAAGCATAGCATGTGGTCGGTGTACACCGCCGCAATCATCAACAGAAAAGAGCTCAATGGCTTATGCGACATACTCGTAACTGTACAAGTTAAATGCGCGGTCTCTTGGGCATGCGGGGACAGAGCTGGTTCTCTCCTAAACGCATATGAAAGCCTACTACAAGTCCATCGTCCTTGTCTTCACTCTATGTCTTATCTCGTGGACGTGCAAAGCCAGGTGAGTTTCCAGCACTTTATCGATTGCCTGGCTTGCTAACGAGATCGGAGCTCAGTCCGGTTAAATCCGGAAGCCCTGGCACGATCGATACAAGTGGCAATACCGCCCCTAGTACCAATGATGATGGGACAATTGTCCAAAGCCCAGACAACACGGAAAGTCCAACTGAAGTGCAGAGTCCTGGAGGGTTCGATTCGGGTTCGCCTACGGAAGTCGACACAGATAACGACATTCCTGCTACGGGACAAACACAACAGTACGAATACATAGGCCCGTTGTTCGTGAGGCTCAAGGTAACCATGGGCAGCGCCCTCTTCACCAAGCTTGTTGAGCAGGCAACGGATGTAACGATGGTGGCATTGAAGAAGGAAGCAGTGATGGACAGAAAGTCGGTGAGATCTACTTGATCTCGGCGAAACCATCCTTATTTGAATAACATATATAGGTACGACCGGTTTCGAGGATGCGAGATGTTTGAATATCTTTACAGCGAAAATAAGGGCAGAATGATCGCCGCTAAACCGACGCGGCCTGGACAGAGGAGCAGGACAGCGTATGTGAGTTAAGTCAGTTAGAGGAACTGTTAAGCTGGTATTTACATTCGCTACAGGGGAAATTTATGAACGAAGAGAAAAGACTAAAGTTGAAGGCGCAGTTTGAAATCAAGAAATGTGCAAGGGACGCTCTCAACGAGAAAAAAAGTGCTTCCTGAAGGCACGTATCAATAGCTCACGTCTCTACCACAATACTAAGAATTGTCTCGTATGGTCAGCATTTGCAATTAAGCCAAATGCATGTACTCATCTAATGATAAACGCGTTAGTTCGAGAGACTCACAATTTCGAGCTATGGAAAGGATATTAATGCAACTATGTACCTGGATGTACATTCGAAACAAGATCACATCAACTATTCTCACGTCAGCCTGTTCCGGCGAGCATAAGAACTTGAGCTGTAAATGAGAACTGATGTTGATCTTTTTCACCTATCCTGTGGTTCACTGATGAGGAGAAGAATCATCGTCTATTCATAGCTCGTGGGGCATTTTATCCAGCAAATCGGTTGTTGCTCTTGCCGATATCATCTCAACAACTTTCTTCCAACTTGTAGCCGCCGACCAGACCACATCAGAGGGCTGTATCACCGCCCGAGAGGGCTGGAGGTGTCCACGGTCCTGTGAATACTTTGCTTAATCTAACAATCTTCTAATTCTCAACAACATTCCAGCAACATTCCAGTTCATCAAGCCTTCAAGCTTTCAATCCTATCGTCCATCTTCACTAGGTCCAGATGTGTGATTGTCGAATCACAGGTGGCCTGGTGGTATATTCTGGCCCAGAGGATGCTATTTAAACGCTCCTCTTTGTCGGTTTACACTATCGCAGAACCCAATATGTCAGCAGTACCAGCTTTACCCATTGCGCTTCCTGCTCTAGACAACACTCTCGGGGCGCTATACATTGGCACCTGTCTCTCGACGCTGTACGTACTACGTCCCTCTCACAAATTATCGCCACCTCTAATAGTGTGGAAGATTGTACGGTGTTATCTGCGTCCAGACGTTCCTCTACATAACTTCAAGTCGGGCCCGATCTGACCGTTGGTGGTTAAAGACTTTCGTGTTCGTTGTATTGTAAGTGACGGTATTCTATCTACGCTGACAAGAATGTAACTTACCTTACTTACAGTGTAAGTCCTTCACCCAGCCTCATGTCCTACAGCTGCCTATTCCACGGCAGGGATTAGATACCGTAAACCAAGGCATGATGGTGGCTGGCATGTATCGCTTTTTGGTGAGCGACTTTGCCAATCCAATTGCACTGGAAGGAAAAGGAGCTGGTGGTGGTAAAGCGTACGTATACGTACTTTATCCATTTAGCCGCGTCTCATTAACAAGCTAACTAGATTGACCACATATGCGAGTCCCACTTTTTTCAGTTTGGGGTTACTTCTGATACTAATATTACGACAGGATGAATCCATTATCGGGGTCAGCATCATTTCTTAGTCTTCTCTCAGTATGCTTACGATAGGACCAGGTCAGCTCGGTGCTTCTCATACAGCTGCGAGTAAATGTTTATCACCACTGTTCGTCTTATTTATGCCAGTTCATAGCTTCTTCTGTTGGCGCATATGGAGATTCAGCACTTCTTCGCTAAGTGTATGGATGCGAATCAGCTTTGTAGCTATCATGGTGAGCGTATTGTGCTATACCTTTTGCCCGGTGTGATGTCTTCATGTCCCACAATAGGTTCCATTGGCATTTTTTAACTTTGGTCAGTGCGACAATGCTTGTTACTACTATTGAACTTAACTGGTCCTTTGAATTCAGCATCATATGTTGGTTCGTAAATACATTCGGGAAAAATCTGAACCGGCGCTGATGCTTCACAGCTATGGGCATCTTTGGGTTCCAGCACTCCTTACACAGTCCCAATGCGCCGAATTTTACTGTGAGTAACTATTATTTATAGAAACCAGCCAGTAAAACAAACATCTTCCAGCTTGTGATTAAACTTGCGGCTTCAAGTGGAATAGCCTTTGACGTGATCATGACTCTGGCTATGAGTGACTAGCTCGTCTCGTCTGTTTTGAGTGACGATCTAACTGTCTTGTAGTTATGTCTCTTCAACGAGCTCGATCAGGGGTCGTCAGGTGTGTGCTAAGTTGGTCTCACGATGGACGGTTATCTGATATTTCCGGTACAGAAGTGATCATGTTATCACTCTCCTTACATTGTTCACTGTCAACACGAACCTTATCACGACGTCAGTACTTCTGCCGCCTCTGTATATCATCGCCGCTGAAACTCGCCGATAGTTTACTCTCAGTAGGGTCGCTGGTTACGGTAGGATGATTTCAATGCGAAGGTCTACATTTGCACTCAACAAACATACCTCCAGTTCTTGGTCCTTCCCGATGCGACAATCTACGGGGGAATATTTTTCTTAATTGCAAAATGTAGGGTCTGTTTCCTCAACTTCCTTCCATTCACTGATTCTCATCTCTTCCAGCATACTTGAACTCGTTTTTAGCTATGTAAGTCTGATCTTTTGCAATACTTCGAGTAAAGCTTACAGCTTCATCATCCATTAGACTCAATTCTAGAGAATACCTTCGAGAAAAGATGGACCCATCGATGTCGAAACACGAAACAGAACTTTCGCGTCCAATGTTTGCCCAACCTGCTGTACGTGGTAATTTTTAATGCTTAAACATCAACTTGACAGTCTGCTCAAGCCTGCTCATACCATAACAACTCGACAAATGGAGGAGTCGGGGTCGGGGCTAGCACCTTCCAACGATTCCTCCACCAAGGTTTAATTTTTTCCATATCTTATCTCGGATAGCTGACGTTGTTGGAATCGGCTTGTTTCGATATAGTATTTAATAAAGTGTTTGATATACGTTGTTCTACGATAAGGATATATTCCTTCACTAAGTAACAAGGTACTAACTACAGCCAAGTAGTAAGGGCAAAAAGTTAGGATGTCCCTTGTTAGACGCTTCTTAGCGCAACCGCGGGTGAGTGACTTTGACTTCGGTCGATCTACCTATCTGTTCAAGTTTGAGGCTCAAGGAATACAATTTGAATTTAGGAGTGTCTCAGATCTCTGAAAAATTATGGGTTCAACCCTCTCAAAGTGCGTAGATCGGTGCTTAAGCACTCTGAAAGTGACGATGATCGTAGGAGGTGATGACCGAATATGGAAACTCCACTCTACTCCTTTCAAGTTCCCACCTTTTCCCCCTGAGTCGCGACGACCGAGGATCACACGGAAACCACATCATATCCTCCTTATACATAGAGCTAAACACTCCTGACTTGTTCCTGAGATACATCATGCCTGTTGAACCTATCTCCTTTGAAGCAAAAGAGGCAATCAAAAGACGAAAGGTGCGTACTCTTCTCTGATAGATTCTGTTTTATGTAACCAATGAATGGGGTGTATTAGAAAGAGCATGACTGCGGCATCGCGCACATAGAAACATCCATCCCGAGTTTTCAGCTACTCGGCAATGCGTCTGCATCACCTGAAGACCCATTATCACTGATCGTCACTAGAAGGGCGCATCCGCGAGCACTCAGTTATTTAGATGCGTGGTGGGGAGAAAGATATAGGTAGCCATAACGTAGATTACAGGGAAGGCATCGTCATTGCAGAGCATCATTTCTACATCTGTACGCGTAAACGGATGAAAACTCTGTTTTGGTGGCATCCCGAGCCTAAATCGGATTCAGCACCTGTAACGCTGTGGTAATCTAACAAAATCAGCAAATAAAATTAACGAGATAATTAGCAAAAAGTAGTGATAAACTGTAAAGGTGACAGTATCGTCGGAGGGTGGCGAGGATCCACTGAAGTATGAATCCCATCGTCTCCGCCTTGCCTGAACATTTCTGAGAGCTACTCTGGTAGCATCGCAAGGCTCCGCGCTAGATTATCCAGAGAAGAACTTATCCCGCGGACATACTAGTGAGGTGCGAGGCTAAAGCAGAACACAGTTCTGTTCAACAGTTCAACAAGGCCTCGGAGGTCGGACCGATACCCACGTGATTCCGTCAAGAAAACTCGTTCTGAGTTCTCGTGTTTGACTTCCACCACGTCTGGATTCTGTGTGTTATTTGTTTCCTTCTTTCCACCTGTGCGCCAAACCTTACCATTTCAGTATTTTTATCGCTGCGTCTGCAGACTCTTCGCATCACTCGCCTTTCAGTTGGTAGTTTTTGCGTCGTTCTCTGAATTTTATCGATTCCGCTGCAGTTTATCCTTTCTTGCTTCGCCGTCCGTTACACCTCTGAACTACATGGACTTCTCAGCCTCGAGACGCAGTCGATGTAGTCTTATTACCCCCCTCGTTGGCCACTCGTCGAAGTGCCGACCTGCTGCCTGCTGTACTCGACTTATGAGTTGACATCTGATGCGAAGTCTTCATATGACCTTAACAGTCATTCACAACAAGGAATCCTCGGTATGTCTTTCCGACGCTCTGATTCATGTCTTCTCATTCCGATTTCGCAGAAGGTCAGCAGCACCGGAGTACGGCCTCGACCATCAACACGTACGTACTCAGGACCCTCGATGTCTCCACATAATGATGAAGCGGTGCATTCCCCACATTTATTTGGGCTGTCTGCTCGTTTCCGGCCTCTTTCTGCTGTAGCTCAGGGTTCCTAATTTGTGTTGCGAGCAATCTCCGCTCTCATCCCGTGCTAATAAACATAAAACTTGACAGTACTTGAAAGCTAGAATAGTGGCGTCTTCCGCCATCTATGTCAGGATTTATGAAGAATGGGAACCGTACTATGCCTCCGTACGTGTTATAGCTAACCAACGTGTTTTCATTTTCATCCACCTTCTTTTGGTCTCTGAATCTCGCTGAACAAATCTCTGTGGCTGTTTACGATGGGGATCCTTTGGTGCGGTATATTTGCCTCGTTGTAAGTGCAGGCACATGATTTGATTTTCCAGGCGCTTGGCTTTGTCTGTGTGCATTACCAGCGGATGTCCTGTCAGAGCCTGTCAGAGCAGATTGGGCCTTGACCGTCGAAAACGGAAACGACCTGATGTTTTCAGTACTTTCCTTTACTTAAAAATGCAGGTGCCATTGATTGCAAGGCTGTAAGATTGTGGACTGTTTGCGTGGGTATGCAGAGAGTAATTCGCCGTCAGTGCCCGTGCCGTACAGCACATGGCCCCAAGCGTCCGGATTCGGTCGCCCGTTCTTTCACCCTATGTTTTATTCCTTCATCCCAGGCCGCTGATGAAATATACAACATTTGTAAAGGAAAATCGATTTAATCATGGGACATGCAGATGTGGCCGAGACACAGACGGAATGGATAAGATAGGAAAAAGACGATCACATCCGCAAAGTAAAATGCCTGGCGAACCGCCTCATGTCGGCTCATGATCACGCTCTTTTGGTGAGGAAACAGCGAGTTTCATAATGTCCTTTATGGTGAGCTTCTTATACCATTCTTATCCGCATTGTAGGCTATACAATGGGGTTCTTTATCGGCCCGCATTGGAGTATCGACCCTGATCATTAACCTTCTCCTTCGACCACGACCTTCTCAATTGAGCCTCTTATAAGGCTTAGTGACGAAGCGCTCGCCGCTTGGCCTCTCTCTTACTTACGACGTTTACGACTTATCACGACTGAGTATCTTGACGACGGCTCGTTCATGGCATATTCATCCTGGTCCCCATCAGAGGCTCGCCTTCGCCGAAATTTAACCAGGCGATATTTGCATAGATTAAACAAGGTGAATAAGATTACGATTCATTCCCTTCCTACATATAGGCTAATGCACCTCAAGAACTTGCACAAATCAACATCCCTCCCTGTCCTTCGCCTAATTCCGACCGACCGACCGTTTTTCACTTGTATCAAGTGCGGCTTTTCGAGTACAACATCCCCTCCTTGCATGTACGGCCACTCTGAAAAAGGATCTGAGCGCGCGACTGGACGCATTCCACACCGTAGATGGACGTTCACAGCTTCCACAGGAGAACATGTCAATTTATGTGCACCAGCAGGGAAGCTGCATGTATCTGTACATCAAAGATTACATGTGCCTCATCTCCTACCCTCAACACCGCCACCCGCATCGCCACACAGACTGCGTCACTCTTGGACCCAGGCAGGCAACATCACCGTCGATCAGTGGACCGGGTTGCTATCTTCTACTGCCCCTGTTATCGCGGACAACAAACGACCTTTACTTCCGTGCGTTGAGGAAGACGATCCCGCGGTAACAGATTTGAATCTGTCTCCGTTACCCACTTTGAATCGGCCATCTGATCAGCTACATGCTCTCATCAACCCCAGTACGGTATGCAATGAGACCGTTGCTAGTGAATGTCCTCAGGTTGCCACAGTGACGGCTTCGGTGCGCGATATATATATGGCCTACTCCGGTTAAAACTGACAGCTCACTCTTAGTCTTACCACAAGAAGGTGAGGGACGATACCCTCGCCAAACTAACTGGCCGCAGCACCAACCGGCTGAGGGTCGAGAAGGGGACGCCGACTCCACCGGACTTGGAATGTGCACTGTCGGTCAACGACGTTAATCATCGGAACACTGATAAAGTTGCCATGAACGCTATGACCGTCAAACCATCTACGATATCTTCACGTCCTTCCACTGCTCCCCATTCAGGCCATTCCCATCACGATGCCCTTGTCCAAGAATTCTCAGCAGGACAGAGAGCTCTTCGGAGGAAGCAACCAATGGGAAAACTTCGCATGTCAGCGCCAGCCTCGCCCGCTCCAACCCGTCCGGCTTCTGCAGAAGGGCGAACCTCACGGAGACCAGCATCACAACCCCCTCAATCGTCTCATGACTCTCTTACATCCAGCATTTCGCTGTCTATACCCATCACAAAACTGCAAGGCCCTCGCCGTTCCAATTCGCAGTCCCACAATATACCCCGCTTGGGCCACCCCCATAGGCCATATTATTCTTCAGTCATTCGCAAAGACATGTCCCGTCCTACCTCTCCCCAACCCGAGTGCAAGCCCAGCGAAAGCCGACCAACGTCTCCCATGTCATTACGGCCCTCATCTCCTGGGCACGGCATGGCCTTCTCAGGACGGACCTCCAGCCTGGGCCACGACTTCGACCTCCCCACGCCACCAGATCTCGATTATTCTAGCACCTTCCCTTCTGCATCAACGGCATATTCTCCGGGAGAGTTCGGGTACATTCCACCTGTCGACAAGCTCAACAATATGGGCTTCTCGATGAGCGGAGAGGCGGAGTTGAGGATGGCGCTAGCGAGCGGAGACGACGCAGGCTCCTTTAGATTCAAAGATATGAGCCCCAAACCACGTTTGGGAGTTCGTTCACAGGTCAAAAAATTTGGGAAAGGACTGAAGAATCGGCTGTTCGGCAAATGACATTTCAAGCTATACACGACATGATGATGACCTTTACGATGTAATTATTGAACTTGTAGCTACTATAGACTACCCCCCATTTCAAGATACCACTGATATCCTTTGTTCCTGCTTAGCTCTGTTGTATTACTGTATGGATTATGCATAGCTCCATGTTTGGTAGAATAAGTTTTTGTGCTCATGGATAGGCTCGCGGATTCTATCACTTTACTTATATATTACATGATATACACTCCGGGGCCCTGCCAGTGGGCAAAAAACGCGGTATCTCTGTCACCGGTCGGTAACTTTAAAATTGGACACGACGCTCACGTGATATATTATTAGGCAGTTACCGCCGCCGGTCCGTACCCGGAACCGTAAAGTTGATCTTGACAACCTCCATTTTCTGCCTCATTTTACTCTCTATTCTCCGAATGTCTCCCCTGGATCTCTTGATTTTGGATGCTGCAGAATGGCCTGCAGAAATGCAATGTCTCGCCGGTTCACTTGACTATCTAATTCCTTCACAACTTGCCTGTGGTTCCCAGTCATGCCCCTCTGTTTCTTCTCGAACATCTCCTATATTTCAAGAACTAGCGACTTTATACAAGCGCTCTCCGGGACAGTTTTCCCAATCAGACGCACATTCGGAAGTCCTGGACATTCTTGACTTGGTGTTTTCTACTGTTAGCGCGCTCCGGGCTCTTATATTGAAGCACAATGTCGTATAGCTGATAATACCTCTTGTGTCTGTCGGTTATGAGGATTATTATGCGAGGTGAGTGTGAAGAAGTTGTGCGTCACACACTTCGATGACAACCTTTTCAAGGAAGAAGCTCCGATTGTTGGACCACGATTATCGCACACCACAGTATTATGGAAGACGTTTATGCGTCGCTGCTGATATCCCATACTGTCGAAGATATCCAACCACCAAGACCAACGGTAGAAAGCAACGTACCTACACTGACGTTTGATAATACGGAAGATCACTCGGATGGCAAGTTCAAGTATGAAGAATATCACTCACACACTTTGTACGAAATGATACCGGCTACGAGCATATGGAGGCTTCTACGGAGAGTCAAACATCGGTTTAATCATCTCGTACTCTTCTTGATGCGCGCATGTCCTCCCATACTGGCTGTATCTGCATTCCGTTGCTCTTTTATTCCTTTTGCTGCCGGAGAAGAACATTATGAACAACAGTTCGTTTTTGAGTCTCCGTAGCACTGCTCTTCCAGGGCAAGCTCGACATCTAGAATAGAAGGTACGAGTCCCCTATGATAGTTGTCTCTTGTCCCCCTCTTGCGTCCTTCCAGAGGAGAGCATGAGAAGGACAAGCCTTCTTCGGGAATGAATAGCAATAGATCAGAATGCGTGGATTGCTTATCATGCTCGGTGTTTGTCGTCCTTTGCTATCATGAATTGAAGTCGCAACTGACATCGTATGCTTAGGTCGGGTGCAAAATCCCTTGCCGGTGTAGCTATGCGCGGGGCTACCCTTTCCTTCTCTGGCTATGTCGTGATCGTAAAATGGTTAGCCTCGCCAACGTCAAGTACTCTCATGACGCGCACGGTCTCGATTCCGAACTTCTCAAAGAAGTTAGTGGCAATCTTACTTTCTACGAGGACATGACAAGACTTTGAAACTACCATCACCGATCCTGTCAGTCACGCATGATTATTTTTTTTCTAATTCAGCCTCATCATTCTCACTTACAGGGTCAGGTTCATGAACTTCTTTTTAGTCCATAGCGAACTCGAGATGAAGGCTATTTCGAGCTGCTACAAGAACGCTACTGCGCTTTCCCAGGACGATTGGAGAATCACCGGATCTTTTCTTACTTTTAGCTGGCTTCTTTGGGAGCGTGTTCACAGAAGCTGGGAGGACAGCGCCGCAACCCGACAAGATTGTTGTAGGTTCGTCCGTTGGTGTCGTTCCAAAGGCATACTCACATTCAGGTAGACTCGAATGGTTATCGTCTCTTTCGTGCAATGGCCTCGCGGATCTGATATATTCCCCCGGAAAGCCTAGCCGCAAAGAGTTCATAGACTACGCCGACACTCCTTATCACTTCCGTGAAAGAATTTGTTCGAACCGATGAGGAACATGTACCTTAGTGATGCACTGGTAGCAAGAGAAGCCTGTAACCTGGCAACGCATCACTTCGAGGAAGTTGTGGAGCCCCTTGTTCGTATCGCGGAAATTCGGCAATTTTTCCGCTCAGTCAGGCTGCACCTCTTGAGGGTTGGTCGGTCCTTTCCAACAGGTTACAAGGACGGATGAAGTCAGCTTGAAGATCCGATCTCGGTACAACACGAAGGTGTCGAATAACTGGCAAGGACGGATAAGGACGAACATCCTTCTGAAGATATCTTTAAAGGAGTTGTCGAAAAATTGTCGACCGAGGTTGACAAAGCACTAGCAATAATCAAAAAAGGACCATTTATCCCGAAGAAGGCAAAAAAAAACATGGAAATGAGAAGCCCGAGACCGACTTTCTCAATACCTTCTTAATCACTTGTTCAGAATCCGTATCTGGTCCCGATGAGCCGAAGCTACCCCTCATCGTCATGAACACTGAACAATCTAAATCCAAACTATTATTCGCCGTCTTGACCGTGAAATACGAGGCGCCACGCACTTCGTTTACTCAGGCCCTTAGCCAGACCAAGATGTATCTCGAGACTTCGGTAAGGCTCCATGCCAGTTTTGGAATTGCCAATCGTGCAGTCTTTGGTCTCGCGACAAATAGTGTCAACGGCGCGGTTTTAATGGTGTGGTGCTCCATATCGACAGACGTTCGTGCCCTTCCTAATTTATAGATCGTTATACTAAAGTTCTTACAGGCCGTTTCTATCGTAGAACGGAATGTACGAGCATTTAATATCTTCTCGCCTTTACAGGTCTATCACTTTGTTACGTTCATTTTGCGTCTTCGCAGAAGCAGCGATAAAGCGCTGGGAAGAATAGTTGAAGACGCGTTGGAAAATACCTCTTTCAAGCAAAGTAGCTGGAACAAACCGAGCAGTCTCATCGGCTTCCAGAGATATCATTCAGCGGCAATGATGTAAAGCAAAAGTAGAAAAATATGTTTAACCTTCTACCTAAAACACTCTGTGCTGTCGCCTTCGATATGGCTTTGATTAGCTCTGCTCTGAAAAGATTCCGACATAAATAAATTCATAAGTGAGGAGTCATTGTGAGATTTCGAGCTTCTTATGGCATTGACAGACAGTCGCCGTTTGAGTTCTCGTATGGATTTGCTTACGTGTTTGCTTATTTCCTCGGGGATTTCTAGTATATAGGGCTGTGGATTCCGTAGTCAGTCCCCATGTCGCGTTTGCCAAAGATGTAAGCTATTCTTGCCAATCACTTCGTTTGAGAACGGCCCCGCGATTCTAACACTCATCCAACATGGAAATTTTTGTTTGAGTGCCAAATGTAAAAAGAAAATGTACGGTTTGTTTGCTATTCATTTGGGATTAACTACTGTCTGCCGCCTATTTTCGAGTACTAGTAGTGCGTCGCCCATGCATCAAGGCAAAAATAGTTCATGCGGTCCGCCTACGGCCCGGTCTAATAATATTTGATCAGCATCCCACCTCATTACTTTCGTCGCTACTACCATCACGTATCTATAGATATCATATATCCTTTATCACCACCATATGCGCGACTCCGATATGCTTTGCCAGGCACGGTGCTTTCGCTGAAACGTAAGTAAGAGCCAGGCCCTCGCGCTACTCTGGCAATTCTAATTTCTCGGAGCTGCTCTAGAAAAATACATACTTTCGTTTTCTAACTTTTATTGACTTTGTCATGGTCAACCTTGCACATACTCTGACTACGGATTATGACCACACACTGAATCTGATCATCTCTCGGCATCTATCCACAAAAGAATCGGACCCCGCCGCTTCGCCTTGTACTGCCTAACCTTATTCACTACGTCATTTTGATAGTTGTCTATTTTCCCTGCTGGCTGGTCTCTTGCAAGGTGCCACTTTTTAATGATCAACTCTGACCGCGCAACGTCCATACTCAAATACTGGAGCAGAGGAGAAATAGAGAACTATACATCTAGAGACGTGTATTCATTCTCACCATGTGCCGCCATCCTGAAGCATTCCCCTTCTGATGTGCAGAACCCTGCTTGTCTCGAGATAGAGAGTCAGTGACCTGGTTCCTCGCAATAACTTCGCGATGTTCATCTCCGCAGCATCGTTTTAATTAGATGATGGCCAAAGAGCTGCGGCCTGTTAACACGGTAAGGCTGTGACATCTCCCACGCTACAGTGAAACAGATAGAGACGCCTATCGTTGGATTTGGACTTCATATTCCATTGTTTCAATGTCAAACGCGCTTATGACGTCGGGGTTTGTTAAATACTTATTTTTTAATGGTTTACTGCTATTTTGAAACATATGTTCTTTGTGTTGTCCAGCTCACAATTACCCTGATCGTTCCAACTGTTCATCCCCGCCGTTTACTGCCCACGATAGGTCAGCTCTCTCCATTTCTTTAGGATGGAGCAGTGTTTTGAGCGTTTCTCATAGATTTATTATCAATCGCAGGTTAATCCCTACGTGAGCTCGTCCGTCTCGCGGATGTGGTGTGCTTCTGAAGCGCCTCACCATGACAGCCAAATGACAGCCTGTGTGAAAACAGCAAGGCTAGTAGTTCCCCCGTAGCTGTGTATAGACCTCTGCCGATCCAGGTCACCTATTCATGTAGGACGTCGTACACGGCGAAGAAGGCAAGATAAGGAATTCTCCCAGCCTGTGCAAAGTCACAAGAGCAAGTGAAAGGGACCACCGCTCCAACTTTCTTCCTGTTTAGATTTACCGTCAGATCGTCCAATCCAGGGTACTTGATAATTGATATTTCTCATGAGGTTTTACTATAGTTGTTCAGGTTCATGCTTGAAATATTTCTGGATCCACTGGTAGCGCTCATGACCGTTGCCGATTCTATTTATAGCGACAGTAGGTGAGTTCAACGATGAAACAATGATATATATATATAGATTTTTGGATCATAGCATCGCACCGGTTGTTTTCAAAGACTGTAGTAAGTCGTCTGACCTGCGCTCCATCCCTCATTGTCCTCGATGGTTTCAAGACGGTGATTCGCCTATTCAAAGAAAACTGTGGTGAAGATGCCATCAAGAATATCTGCCCATGTGCATACCATCGCAAATGCAGAAAGGCCTATTGCAGCCGGGCCGTGTTCCACGATAAACTTAGTACATGCTTACTTTGGTGCTCGCGGGCAATGAAGGCGTACAGCACCTCCCTTGTAGAGTAAGATACCTTCTCTTAGAGCTGTTGATACGTAGTTTGGTCTTTCCAGGGGTTTTCAAGTACTACACCGAAAGGTTATGATCGGATTTTCTCGTGGCATTCAGAGCATTACTCAAGCATTTCTCAATCCTACTCGATGCCGTGTTTTACGTGCCTGGTGTAGTACCTTCATCCTCTGCTGAAATGCCTGACAGACGCATAAAACTCACAACGATGACTTTCTTGCGCGACAACTACCTGCGTTTTGCAAAAATTGTACGAGATAACCACGAAGGCGATCCCAAAACTCCGAGATGGATGTTTATGTTATGAATTGGTCCGAAACAAATTCGAATTGAAGCTAAAGACAAAACAAGAAGATAGAAACATTAGATGTTCGGATTTTACATTATTTCAAGAGTCTTATACCATACTCTGGTGAGTTTGAAGAGTGTTCGACGCAAGTCCGACGTTTCGTGGACGCTACGGAATAAATAATGTTTTCTCCCGCTTTCCCACACGAAAATCCGATCATGACCTTTTGGGACGAAATTTCGAATTTAAACCCAGAAAGCCGGCCTGCCACAGTCACATGATTTGTTGTCTCCTTCGAGAGCGTCATCCTGCGTAAAATTCTTCTACAGTCCTTATCTAGGTACTCGGACTCTTTCTCCTAGGATGGCTTAGAGGATGTTTCTTCGATCGTTGTCAAGGACGATTCCTCGTGGGTTTTTTTCATGATTTCTTCTATCATATGCCAACTTGTTTGTTGAAGAAGCGAATTTATGCTACTTTTCACTATTTTTAAGCATCAAGGATGAATATCTTTACGCCGTCCGCGATTCTACAACACCCGTCGTCCTACATGACCATTTGGCGCTGGAACTACAGGTTCAAGCGGTAGTTTTAAGACAATTTTCTTCCGCATGGACCCATTTTCTATTCAATAGCTGAAATGGTTTCTTCGCGTAAGCTCGACCTATTCTTGAACCGTCTGCATCTTACGCTCGTATAGTCGTCTTCTTAATCCAGTCGACGCATCAATATCATCCCTTCTACTCAGTACCTGTGTTTCGTCGTCTACTGCCCTGAGAACGAGCCATTTCTAGTGGCCTTCTCTTCCTAATTTGCCCATAATTGGGGTAACGATAACCCGAGCTGCCCTACAAGGTGGTCAACAGGGCATCGGTCGAGTCTCTAAGAAACGTATAAAAGCCTCTCAAAAACTCAGCCACAGTTTATTCAGCAATCTGTCAGCTCTTTCAATCGTGATGGTCCAAATCTCTACTGTCTTAGTAGTACTTATCCTCCTTGCGCCGCTCGTCGATGCTGCGCCTGGAAAGCGCTCTACGTCTTCGGGCGTGACTGACTCTGAGACTTCTGCGCCTTCTAGTACTGTATCGAATCAGACGGTCACCGCATCGTCGACGGACACAGCAGCGTCGTCAACCGCGACTGTTCCTTTTGCCAGTTTGGATCCAAATTTGGCACTTTGGAACGAGACCAGTGATCCCTCGGTCGTCACTGCGGAACGCGGCAAGCTTGGAGCATCCGTCCTTGGCCCCGACAACCTTCCTATTGACTTGCAAAACCCCGACTTATTAGCCCCTCCGACCACGGACTCTGGCTCCATGTAAGTGGATTCTGTCTTTGCTCGCGTTTCCCGAAATAGGACTCAATTGAAAATCCCAGTTCGAACGCGAAATGGCCTTTCTCTTTGAGCCACAATCGTTTGCAGACGGGGGGCTGGGCCCGTCAGGAGAACAGTAAGATTGTATTCTATTCCCACTGATTCTTTGCCGCTGCTTACCGTTATGAATCTAATAGTCGGAGTGATGCCAATCGCCACCCGTAAGTACTGAATAATCCATTAATCATACACTCACTCTTTTTTGTATAGAAATGGCCAGCGTCAATATGAGATTGGAACCTGGGGCCATTCGGTAAGTTGATCTCGTAAACATTGACATTGATCAGTACACAGCTCACACTGGACTCAGTGAGCTGCACTGGCACAAGACTTCGGAAGTAAGTGGATCGATTTTTCCTGGAGTTGATAACTGATTCTTGTCAGTGGGCGTACGTTTTGAAAGTGAGTGACTTCAATATCAACAGCTCTTCAACGCTGACACTTTCACCTAGGGTTCTACGCAGATAACTGCTGTTGATACCGAGGGTCGAAACTACATTGCTACGGTGGTTAGTTGTGATCCTTACTTAGGTCTGATCTGCAGGTGAACGTATATATTCACTAGGGTGCCGGCGATCTGTGGTACTTCCCTCCTGGTATCCCACACTCCCTCCAAGCTACTGCCGATGATGCAAGTGGTTCCGAATTCATCCTGGTACGTTTTTGGTTGTCTCAGATTTTTTTCTGGATTTTGACGGTGTTATCATAGATCTTCGATGATGGAGCATTCAGCGAGGACTCCACATTTTTGGTGAATAAATATCCTGTTTACTAGACCCTAGTAAACCACTGACCTTTGATTGAAGTTGACTGACTGGCTTGCTCATGTTCCAATGGAAGGTGTGTTTTCTGTACTTGAACGGAACCATATCTGAAACCCTGCTTCTGTAGTCCTTGAGAGGAACTTCCTCTTCAACAACTCCCAGGCTTTCGCACACATTCCGGCTCAGGAGCTCTACATCTTCCCGAGCAGTTCGTTCGTTCGCTTTCCCCAAGCGCTGCGATACTGATTCTGTCGCAGCTCCGCCTGCCGACGATGCATCTGCCCCCCAAAGTCCGCAAGGAACGGTCCCGGATCCATTTTCGTTTGCATTGTCCCAGGCAAACGCCACGCAGTTGGCGGGTGGTTCAGTCAAAATTGTGGATTCTACAACTTTCACAGTCTCGACTACTATCGCTATGGCTGAGGTCACGGTTGAACCCGGTGCCATCCGGTACGAGTCGAAGGTTACCCCGTCGTTTTTTTCCCTACTAATACTTATCGTCGCAGTGAGTTGCACTGGCATCCAACACAAGACGAATGGAGCCTCTTCCTGTGAGTCTCATGAGATATCTGTGAATTCACACTGAATTCGAATTCCAGTGAGGGAGAAGGCAGAGTGACGATATTTGCGTCCCAAGGCACAGCTAGGACATTCAACTACCAGCCTGGAGACATCGGTAAGTTTATTGTACGCCTAATTAAGATTACTATCTCAGCTGGCGGATTATTAGGCTATGTTCCCGCTTCTATGGGTAAGTCGACGGAAGTTGGCCCAGAATAAGACACCGTTGACACCTAGGGTAGGGCACTACGTTGAAAACATCGGAAACACGACGATGAAATACCTGGAAATCTTCAACACGGGTACGTCTTGATAAGGATGGAATGATAAGCTTTGTATCTCATGTCATGATTCTGCAGACCGATTCGAAGATATCAGTCTAAATCAGGTGGGCTATCTACAAATACGGTATCATTTTGAATTAGTCGTAACTGACCGAATCCCCAAGTGGCTGGCTTTGACTCCGCCGGACTTGGTAAAGGCGCATCTGGACTTCGATGATGCCACTATCGCGCAGCTCTCCAAGACTAAGCCGGTTGTGAATGGGCCCGGATCATCAGATTGATTATTGTTCGCTCTTTCGAGATTCCTGTCGTTTATTTATCCTGGGACTCGAAGGGTGCTGAATATACCACTAACTCTGTGCTATGAAATTATTTAATAGGCTTTTGTCACCTGTGTAGGACAGCCAGACTGTCTTTTGTCGAATCCAGTACTAAACCCTCGAGTTACCACCAATGAAGGTCGTTCTGACGTCAGAGTCGGATGTCCGCACCGGTAAGCCGCGGCAAGTTGTGATTTCCAACCGCCACGTTCGTCGTCGTCCACTGTCGTTACTGCATTACTATGGCATCTTTTATTCAGCTATTTCGCGCCATTTGGGCGTTTATTGTGTCGGTTTTTTCTCCTTCTATGGATAAGCAACCGATACTTCCTACCCACATCGCTACCACACCGGTCGAACCCAAAGTCCAGCCTCCCAGTCGGCAACGATCATTGCTACATCCTATTCATGCACAACCTCTGCCGCAAAAAGTCGAAAATTTCACCCAAGAAACGGATCCAAGCGGTAATATTTCTCGATATTTATGATAAACTTGACGGCTGATATTGCTCTGTAGCAACAACACTTCCTGAGAAGCAGAAAAGTACCACGCCTGTGTCAGGAAAGACTGGGAAGACACACTCTCGTGCTCGTCATGAACCTCGCTCGCCACCGCCAGAGATATGTATTCAGGATTGGAGTACCGTTGGGATCAACATGGCTGACTTGTACATCCCGACGTTGTCTACCATTCCACCTCCTCCGGGTTCTGGCGCTGCTGCTTCGTCGAATTCACCGCAAATCCCTTGCAGAACTTCATCAACACCGCCTTCACCCGCTGCACCCTCCTCGAACACTGTAGTGACATCCTCGACTGCTCCTTCACAACTGCCTCCTACAGAGTGTTCCGACAATGGCCCCCCTCTTCCGTCTGTAGTTGCTAAGAACTCTGAACTACCATCGCCTAACTCACCTTCGTCGATTTTGTCACCAAGCAACTTGTCGTCCTCCGGATTGCCCTTCAACAATAGCGAAAATAGCGCTGACGGCCCGAAATCAAGCGTTGCTACGGAAAACACCAAAGAAAATATCACAATCAAGTCTGAAGAGCCTTCCGTACAAACACGTTCTGTTTCTTCTCTTGCTGGTCTCTCCAAAGCTCTCCCTCTTACCGCATATGCGACTAGCGCTGTTTCCGCAATGTCTAGTTACTTTTGGGATCCTAGTCTAGCGAAAACTGATGAAACGCACAATATGCCGTTGCCTCTCTACTCAAGTAGCCCGCCACGCCGTCGATGTCTTTCGCACGACGCCTCGGATTCCCCGCAGCACCTCAGTCTCCTTCCTTATCCAGATCTATTCGACTTTGGCATGTACAGCTCTGAGTTCCCTTCAAATGATAGTCTCTGCAGCGTCAGTATGAACAGTACAAGGAAGCCCTTGCGAAGATCAGACTTCAGTGGAAAATCTTTTTCCAAACAGTCTCCTCAGCGAGATTCGTATCGAAGTGCTGCGTTCTCACGAACGTTGTCTGGTCCTCGACACGGCCCCTTTACGTTAAGGAAGTCAGTGGTGCTGATGCAGGCAATCAAACAGCAAGAAGCGCAACCCAACGCCAGTTTCGGGTCTAGTACCGGCAAAGAAATCACGCATGACTTTGATGTATCCATGGACAGCAGTACGGAGGACAGACTACAGGAAGCTTGCGCGGACCTCTCCCGTGGGGAATGGACACAGGAGGAGTTCTTGAAGATGTTAACAGAGGTTTGACTCGAAGAGGACATCTTGCAGGGTTGTATATTTCTGGTACTACCGGTGTATTCTATCGTCTTTCTTTACGCTCAATGTGCCTCTCTATACCATTTCTGGGTAATACGTCTTGGACTTTTTGAAGCAATGAGTAATGGTCTTGAAGATAGGACTTAGTTCTGCAAGCTCCGGTATTAGATAGCTGAGAACGAACGTGCTCGTTGCGTGCTCTAGAACAGCAATTGTCCGGTGTGATAGCAGAGTTTTATTTCAAATCTTTTTTTGCCGATTGTGCCTGCCATTGCCAGGAGAGATCAAGAATCAGTTTGAGAGAAACTGACACCGTGGAGTCCCCATCGCTCTCAAGTCAGGAAAAGTTCAGTCACAAGCGAGCAAAGACATATTGCATTTCGACTTGTTTGGTCTGAACCGTTGAATGTGGCACCGAATACAGCGTAATGAAAGCCAAATAAATCTATCCCATCTGACTACGCTAGAACAAGAAAATACCAATAATGATAAGACATTCACAGCGACGTTCGTCAAATTCCAGCAGAAATAGCTGATGGTTGTTCCGGTGCAGTTTACTCTTCTCCCCGGCGCTCTGTTTAGCGCCGATGCGCTGTAGGCTCTACATCAAACACGGCATATGTAACCTGTCGCACCCGCCTTGACTCAAGTTTTCGGTGATACCGGTGTGGAATTGGTGCATTATCACCGGAGAAGTTGTGATGATTAAAAATGAATGGAAGGCAAATGAAGTGCCAGCACTAAGAACATCAAGCGGCGCTGATAGCTCCGTAAAGGTGTGGGAATACTTGTATCTTCGAATCCAGCGTCGTCGTTAACTTTTGTCATATACAGGGAAGCGATATGGAATACACATGGACCTCATGCTCTCCTCAATGACGGAAGCGGGGTCCAGGCACCGCAGGGGTAACCATGACGAAACGACTCCCACTCCACGGATAATCCATCAATAATGAAATTCATCTTGGCGACGGAACACGGAATGCGGAAAGAGAGAATGTATACAATTATTCACGACCAGGACTATTACTTCGACACCTCCATCTTCTCCTCGTATATGTAGGGTATGTGAATAAATATAACGGTGAGTAGCTGGTGGTAAGATAGGCAAGCATGGCTAGGACGAAACAAGAAAGCGGGTGCGGGTAAGATACAGACAGCAGAGGCGATGAATATGATGTCATGATGGAAACGACGCCCGAACGCGTGGTGGGGGAATGTGATCTGACAGCAAGGAGAGACCTCGTGAGCAACGGCAAGGGGGAGAACAAAGAAACTGAACACACAGGACAAAGAAAAAAAATGATTCGTGGGATCTAGGTTTCAGCTCCATGATCTACTTGAATGGGCAGTTGGGAGCATGGGCCCCGCGCCAGCCGCAGTGGCAGCATTGAGGAGCGGATCCTCCGGCTTGATTGACGGGAGTCGTCGTCTCCTGGGCGAACGACTTAGACGAGAATTCGGTGCCGGTCTGGTAGTTGACCATGACGGAGGACGAGGATGAATGGGACGAAGAGTAGCACATATTGGCGTTTGGGATGGGTAGTAGCAAGGAGGTCTGCAGAAGAATTGATAGGAATGCAGGATACGAAGCGGGGCTTGACTGAGGAAAGTCCCTACAAACTCAACTGCCTTTTAACTGTTTCCCGGTGGCGCCTAAGTAAGTATCAGTTTTCTCTCAAAATCTTTTTTTGTCGCAATCACGAATCAAGATCCAGATGCGCCCGGGACCACTCCTTTCCCACTCCTTAATAGGGTGTCTAGTCCGATCAAGATAACAATCCCCTTGACTCCGAAAGGCTCTCAGGAAACGCTGGCTGTGTGTTCAACATGAGGCCGGCGACCTGTTTGATTTAACTCTAGGTCATGAATCAAGTTACAGAGACATGAGCTCAAGAATGAGACACCGAAAAAACGCGGACGGGTTCCTCCGAGTCCGGTCGTTCGATCATCATTGAACAATAGCCTTGGGCTTGGCTTTAGGATTGAGAAGCAGAGTCGTAGCATCGAGATTCAGTTTCTGACCTAATAATGACGAGAACGGGCGTAAGTATAGTTAGTGTATTCACAGCTAGAACCTACATCATAGAACCGCCGTAAGAATAGGAATTACCAGTCGAACTACTCGCAGAAGGAAAGCGCCGCTATACTCGGAAAGGGTCTCGGCCTCATCACACGTATAATCCGAAGCGAGTAGACCTTCACAACAGATAATGGGGAGAGGACAGCCAAATCCAAAATAATAAACCATGGGACAACAAAGAAAATGTGACTAAGACACACCTACTCCGTCGGCCGCACCCGCTTGGGTGCATCCTTATACCATTCCGGCACTTCATGAGCTTTGGGCACCGCCTTTCTCCGCAATTCTCTGACCTCCCTTTCTTCTTCTTGCTCCCTCTGTTTCCTGCCTTCCTCCAATGCCCGTTCCATCTCCGCCTCCTTCTCTTTAATTCGCTCATCAAACATACGCCGCTCCTTAATTCTTTCATCCGTACAAAACTCCTTTGCTATCGGCTTCACAGGAATGATATGTTCCTTCCGAGCTGCCAACTTTGCCTCCTCAGCGGCATGAAGTGCCTTAAAATCAGGGATTGGATAGCGTCGCGAAGATGACGACAATGTCTTGTTCGTACTCGCGGTCGGTTGGGCATTTACAGACGGGGTCTAGAAAATACCAACAGTCAACAATAAACTCCTCATTAACTCCAGACAAAGGGAAACGAAAAAAAAAAAATCCCACGTGAAACTGATCGAAGATCGACATGTACCTCACACTTGGATATCCCAGATGCTTCGGCCGACAAACTAGACTCGTTTTGGCTACGCGCTGAGGTGGAGCGTGAGCGCGACGGACCCAGGGAGGCTGTAGTCGTAGTTGGTTGTCGTGAGGGAGGTGGCTGTGGGCGAGGCTTTGATGAGCTGGTCGAGGCCTTGCTGCGCGAAGATGTCGGCTTTGTGATGACGGGAGGTTTCGCTTTCGGTTGAGGTCTCTTCTCGCGCTTTGGTGGTCTGTCGTCTGTCGTGGATGCCCGCCGCTTCGCCGCCGCCCGTATGGGGGAAACTTCGCGTGTGACAGTAACATTTTTCTGAGGAAAATGCTTTGAGAATGTCAACCTTTCTTGGCGTGGAGGAATGGATGAAGTTGTTGCAACGTTTTCAAAACTAAAAATATCAGGTCGGGTTTCAAAGAGAAGAGATAAAGAACACACCCTGCAAGCGTGCTCCCATACATCAACAGACGCCCTGCAGCTCCATCCGTATCAAAACTTTCGTCAATCACGCTGACATTCACATTCACAGGCTGATTCATGTCAATACAAAAAAGAAGAAATGAAAAAATAGACACACATTCAACAAAGAGATAGCCGGCGCGTCCCTGGGTTTTGTCGACGCGAGGTCGTCCCTGAACTTCATTGATGTGAGAGTATCCACCTCGGCTCGCAGGTTCTCAATACTCCGTGGCGTGAAAGGATCTACCGCGGCGAACGATATATGCGTCTTCACAGGCGTAGATGAGACCGCCGATTCATAAGTCGTCGATGTTGGCGGAGAGTCGGACGGATGTGAAGGAGTATCTGCTTTGGCGTGACGCGCCACCCTCGGATCAAAACAGGCTTTGGGTGTAGCTTTAGAGGGCGAGTCGGACCGTAGTCCTGGGGTGGCTGAAAAAGTGGCTTTAGATTTCGAAGGCGAGTCAGGCCGTAGCAGTAGTGAGGGTGAAACGTTGAGCCTCCGCGGGGTCAGTTGGCTGACCGTCAGGTCGTCGTGTACATGTCTTCTCGCTGGCGCTGGAGTTGCCAAACTCGAGCGCCCATCGATGCCGCGGAAAAAGTCGTTATCAATATCGTTGAGCAGGTCTTCTCCATCTTCGTTGAGGACCGGTATCTGGAAGGACGTGTCTTCTAATGCAAAGGTAGAGCCAGAGATATCGGGAAGGTGTCGTAAGCTAATCTCTTGTAGGCGTCGCATCGCGAAGTACTGACTGTAAGACACCGTGAGCTGAGATCTCTGCAGAAGGCGGCGACGCACGAATAAAACTTTCTCAAAGACGTCTGCACCGTCGGCGAGGTTAAGATTGAGGTAGCGCAACAATGGCAAGATGATGGAGCTCGACGTTGTGGTCCAAGACCTGATCAACAAGATCAGGTGACCCGGCGCGTCTTTGCACGTGACTGGAAATCGCGGGATGCCTTGCACAGCCACAGACAGTCTGCCAGTCTGCCACCGACTTCTCTGACTGCTCCGAGTTCGACATTTTGTTCGCCACGCTTGCATAGGTATCCGGCGTTTCGTATCTTGTTAAGGCTTTTACTTACATATCCGATACTCCAAATTATATTCCGCTTCGTCCCCAGTACACGCCAAATCGAGTCAAACCTGTATCTGTGCGATTCTAATTGGACCAATACCCTCGTGTGAGTGACTGCTAAGCATATGGATAGAGATATCTTTTATTTTTGATTTAAAGGGCTCCAAATTCAGGGTCAATGGTATTGGGCACATTAAGCTACATCTCGTTGAACCCTCGAGGCTTCAGGACACCTTGAAACGTCCTTGACACTCTTCAGTAAAAATACTTGAGGAGCAATTTCACCGAGGGCAATCGGAGTAAGTAGCGCAGCATGTGCATTTGTGAAATCATTTTGATAATCTCGTTCAGTCATTCCGTTCCATTCATCAGCGGCAGTTCTGTCGCGTAGATTTCCTGGTCCCGGCTCACAGTGCGTAAACTTGTTCCGCTGTCTATATCCGGCCCGTAGGTTCCTTTTTTCATTAGGCGGGTGGCTTCTTTACAGCTTCCTCCTGGAAAAATAATGAAATACCGTCGATTGCCATTGGTTCGATTTCATCACCGCAGCCTTCTTTTATGTTAAGAGGCTGCTGCCCCTTCGTACAGAAGTGCTTATACTTAGACCCTGCTTTCCAGAACCTTCGAACTCGGAACAAAATGCTTCTCTAGGTTGGTCCGTTCTGAACGAAAGCTACATTACCACGAGGAGAGCGGAATGTGAATTTTGGTCCCTTCACGTCTCCGCTGCATGAGGTTCGCATTCAAGATATTTCCGTGCGGACTCGTAAATGCAGGTAATTATCTGAGCTACATCACACACGGATGCGCGTTTTCATAAACCTTATTTTGATGACCCAGCTGCTTCGGATCGAATTCCTAGCGCGGCTATGCTCAGTATCTCTTCAAAAGGTGTATTCACTACTTTTCACAGCTTTGGCTATGTACTCTTCTTCGCGAGAGTCGGAAAATGATCGGCGTGTAATTTCATCACTGCGTAATAATTCAAGTATGTGTTTGAATGCTACGTATTCTTTTTTCTTTCAACAACTTTCATTATTATTAACAAGTCCGTCTGGGGCTCAAGCAGCCGGCATCGCGGTCATATCCCCTGGTGCTTTGGTTAACAAACTGTAATGCTGGCGCTTGAACGGTCAATGCGGTTTTCACCAAACGCCATCTCCGTGGACTCAGTCTTTCGCATAAACCTTGAGGCAGGCTACTTTCTTTTGATGCACTTCATCCAGACCGCTGTTTGCCTTTTTTTACTTGGGAGACCTGGGGATAGGGTGGACGTTCTCTAACAAATGGATTTGCCAGTGTTCCAACATTGCTCTCGCCTTCCGTCAGATTGGGACGTCCGCCTTGCTACCGAGATGGTCGTGTAGCTCCTCGTTACCTCGTTCCTTTATATCAACAACTCCGCGGCTTTCATTATCTTGGATCAGTTATAATGACATTCCTATTATCAATGATTCTCTGCAGGTCTTCGTCTAAAATTAAATATCAGATCGCCAAGGGTTAAATCTCATAATCTTCGCCGTCAGGTCTCTTCGTATTGGATAGTATTGGATACAGCACCGGTCTTTGCTATCAGGGACTAGGCTCTATACATGGGAAGATAAGTCCGGGTACTTGTGCTAACCCGTCTTCGAATTCCCACATGTACGCCTACCCTTACACTTGTTCGAGTTTATTTTCGAAGATCGTACATGCTAATCGCCTCAACAACGTTACCAGGTACCTCCCATTCATTTCTTTCTTTGAGCGGCGCCTAGGACTTCTATAAACATCAAGTGCATGCAGCTGGAAATTTTGCAATTCAAATATGGTCGTGGCGGCGGCCCCGACCTGCCATCTTCCTAGATCACGATTTTTTTCTATAGGTGGCTCGACTCGGCCTCTTCAATGAATGGCAGGCTATCCGGAGTATTCTCTTGGCCAACTGCCAACATGCTGCGTACTCGACTACTCTGAACCATGCATACGGCAGTGTTGGGCGGAGGGACTCATAATTCGCAGGCCGCAATGCAAGGGTTGGATTCTGCGGCACCGCCGCATTGGGTGTGACTTAGACCTGCCCCGTCACGATTCTCAACAAGAGCTTCGCGAGATTCCTACAGTGTGGTGCCAATGCCTTGTATCTATTCGTAATTTTTAGTCCTTCCATGCCATTGAAATTTTTTGAGGGTGTGTAATGAGCTTGGATCGGTCGATTTGCTATGTAAAGACCATTGTAACCGGTTCCTTACGCATCATCAAGTGGAATTCCCACTGCAGGACCTGCATCGCATGGAGTATCCAGGCTCAGGCTTCACTAAATTCAGTGTCGCCATTGACCTTGGAGAGCGACTACATTTAGGCTCACTATTCGCCACTTGGAACTGAATGCTCGAGTCCCAAACTTCGTCATCCTCGTCGTCATCATGCATGACTTTGACAGCGTAGACGAAGGGTGCAGACGATAGCACCATATATACCCATCGGGATCCCAAGAAGAAAAGGAAGCAGACGCACAGACACAATAGTTAACCTGAATGTCGTGTCGACATTCGTTCCTGAATTGAACCACGTCTTGGTGGACCTCTTGAATAAGCGTACGGATATGCCGATACGAATGAACAATCTTAATGTTCGCTGTCAGCCTATGCGCCGCTGAATGTGTGCGGCATTTCAGGAGAGGTTCCTGCACCGATGCTCAGGTTGTGCCGATGGCGGAAATTAAAAAGCAAAAAAGATCTCAGACGAGTCTACCTCGCTTAGAATCAAGAGCATGCGTGTGAAGTAAACAGAAACATGCAGTATGCGACTCAGCTCAAGAAGAGAGTCGGTGGCCCGAACGCGAAGCTTTAGATCTCTGTACGTCGCCTAGTCTTGCCAGTTTTCGGCATCAATCGCGTAAACCTGATCTGAGTGTCATCCAAGAATCGTTTCAGCAACACGACTCTTGACACACACGCATCGAACACTCCAGAACGTCAATATTTCCCTTCCAACGTTTTGTCCGCAAGTTCAATTTCACCCAACCGTTATTGGTATTACAGGCGTCAAAAATGCTCAGTAAGCTTGGTTTTTTACTTCGTTCCTTTAACAATAGAGTCCGGCTAAGAAATTGCTCCGTCAACGGGATTTTGTGGGGCATGAGAAAGAGCAAGAGATATACGGTCACTTAAAAGAACCGTGGGAATATCTGCGCACGAGGCCAAGTCATCAACCACGATGGCGCCCAAGGAGCCAACGCGCGCACAGCTCTCTTCACGGCTATCCTACAGCCAGCATACACCAGCATTTCTGCAGAAGCTCCAGAATCGAATAGCCGGAATACCGGACTCTGACCACGAGGATGACGACGAGTGGGAGTATGATGGTTCAGGGCGTCCCCCGATACCACGACGACCGGCAATTCCAGAGCGCCCTGAAAGCCAGCCTGGAAGTGAAGACGAAGATGATAGAGATGAGAAGCCTCAAGTCGTAGTCTTGAAGGAAGGGAAACATTTGACGGAGAGGGAGGCTGAAAATGTTAAGCGGCAAGGTATTTGTGCGCTATTCTCACGTTTATCCCTCGTTACTGACGGGGATTGTAGAGAAGGGGTTGCCTCCACTGCCTCATGATTCTACGAGCGACACCGAGGCTCCTGTTGTCGAGACTACGCTCAAACAGAGTGCTACTGCCAAAGGCAAAAAGCCAGAACCGAGCCTGTCTTTCTCTTCATCGAAGACCACTGCAATAAAGTCTTCCACGTTGAAAAGGAAGCATATTGGAGCTCTAGAGGATGCCGGTGTCTCTTCATCAAAAGCATCATCGAAGAAGAAAGCAAAGAAGGCCAAGAACAAAACCTTGCTATCGTTTGGTGACGATGCTTAGCTCACTAAGCCCCTACTTCCCTGCATCATCTCGTCCGTTCTCTGCTAGTGGGAAATTACTGATAAGGATAGGTAGCACGAGAACGACATCACTCTAGCACATGTCAGCACCAGATAACTCTCGTGTCTCCTCTGCATGACGAACACGCGTCGTTTTCCCATTCTTTTCCCATCCTCGCACTTCCTTTCGCTTTGGAAGTCACCAATTACAACTCGGTACTCCTGCCGAACCAAATCCTCGGCTATATAGCCGCGGAGCAGAGGAGAACCTATATAGTACATACAAAGGGATGTGGTACACAGATATCGTATCTTGGTTGTATCGTCCAAGCGTCTACTACCATACAGATTGTTCATACCGGCGTTACAAGTCTATTCTCATCGTGGGTTCGTATAGCGGCAAAGGACTGGGAATTTTGCCGCGCATTTCGTCAAACTTGGAGTCATGTATCAAGCCATGGCCAGATTCGCTAACGGAGCCGCTGCTTTCCGTTGTATTCGGTCGTCGACAAAACCAGAATCGGGTTATGTCCTGGAAGGGAAGCGTGTCAGAATCAAGGTGCAACATGGAGATCCTGGGAAGCGTACATGGTGAGGTCCAAATATCAATGCAGTTACCAGAGGTGCTGCCGAGGTTTACGCGTCAGTCGCATTTCAATTGATATCCTATTCAATAGTGGTCACTCACGTCCTGTCAGAAGTAAAGACCATTTCGCACTCGACTTGTTCGGATTAGCCAAGATAAATGCGTACAGCCTGTGAAACAAGATGGATTAACTTACCATGGTAACTTGGTAACTTGATGCAAATGACATTCACGTACCCTAATGCGAATCCGATGTTCATAGTGTAGATAATCTTCCTTACAAAAAGGCCGATTGGAAAGGGAGTGTTAGACGCAGTCACTGAGTTGCCCAGCTGCGTCTTACGCTGATAGAGTAGTATTCCCGTGATCGCTTTAGAAGGAAGACGCGTCAATCCATGGAACGTGTACGCCTCCATCGGTCCAGATACGTACCTTCGAGAATGATCATCAGTCCAGCTTCAATGGTAATGACAACTGCGCTAATCAGGGCACTGGGGTTCGATATGTCAGTCAGTCCTATAGTGCATGGGTACTTGGAATGTCGCTGACGGTGTACTCGAGTGTAGATGACAGTAAAACATCGTCGGATCTCGTTCAACTTCGTTCTTGTTCGTAAGTGCCAGCTACAATCAAGTTTTAACGAGGATCGCATGAATGATAAGATATTGAGACGAGACAGACCACCAAGCCTTCAATAATAATCACGATATATACAAAAAGAGGGAACATTAATAGCTGCAATAAGAAATCAGTACACGGACGTTATCCAGCACGAAAACTTACAGCTATATGTGTACTAGGTTTTATTTCCTCTCCCCGCGAATAAGCCCATATTCTAAGGAGTAACTACACGTCGCAGCCTCATCACTGTCATTGCAATTGGCAGAAGAGTGCTGGAAGCCTACCTCCATTGAGAAGGATAACGCATACGAGACGATTCTGATATTGAAACAGATCAACTGTGCTGAACGAATTCGAACTGGATCAACCTACAAAACAGGTGCTGCATAAACCATCACCGTCTGAGCTACACACAGACCGAACGGCGGTTCTTCAGGGCCTATTTGGTACCCAACGAGAAGGAAAAACGATACGCAATACACTATCGCTGAGCATATCAACGCATACCATATCCGCATGCGATATATATGTTTCGAGATCAATGCAGGTAGCAGCACAGCTGTCAGAAGAACCAGACTGATGACCAGGATGCTATTGAATATCGTCGTTTGAGTTTGTACCGAGATATCTGATGACAGTAGTAGGCAAAGGGAAGTCACAGGAAGGGAAAGTAAGGGTCGCACCATGACCGAGAAGAACCGGATCTGTCATGACAAGACAAACTCTTAGGACCTTGGGGAGGAGAAAGAAGGAGAGATTTGAGTCCTACTAGACAAACCGCTGCGGCTGCCATACTTATAGGTCTTTGTATAGGCTTACTCGTCTTCTTACGAAAGAGACTACTGTCAGAATTCGACAGGTCGATTCGACAGTCGAGCATAGATTGTGGAGTAGTAGTAGACAGCAGTAAGACGGCAGTTCAGAGAGGCGTTGAGAATAGTGACATTGTTACCCTCCGAATACTAATGCAACGGATATAACGCCCGTCGGGAGCGTCGAGAGATAATGTGCCCATAAATTGAAAGTTGGAAGGTTCGGGAACTTGTGTAAGCGGAGCCGTTAGCAGGTTGATAATGATGAAAGTCGGTGGCGTTCGTGTCATATTGGCTCCTTGGAGACGAAATCGATCTCAGTGATGTCGTCCATGACATTACTGCAGGAGTTGGCAATAATCTGTGCCAGATATGAGCCACTACTATAATTTATGAGTCCGATGGAAATGTATACCTCTGACTGCATTATAAGCGATTTAATAGTGGGGAACGAGTTACGATGATTGTACCATGGGGATCAAATGAGTATTACGAGGTATATTGCTGACGAAGCCAAAGGCAGTCAACGCAGGCACTATTGCTCATGGCGTGGCTTATGCATCATGATTCGACAGCATAATTGAAGATCGAAGATGGTACGGTGCACTACTACAGCAGAGACCAGAAATATCCGAGATGCCTAGAAGAACGGGGAACCCAGAGTTAATGTCGAGGAAAACGCGCGCCACAGTCAGAGCGAGGTGTCACGGTGAAGACTTAGAATAACTTACTGCTGCACTTTAGCACAGATCATATGGCGGTGAAAAGAGAAGGTGGTGGTAGCAAGCCAAGTCAGAATTCACTGACGCCGTTGTCATTTCCTATTCAGGGAAATTCTCATCTGGAAACAAGTCTCTTTTTTATTCTGGTAAAGGCCCAGCATTGAGTACTAAAATACGGTTGGAGGAACCGGCAATGCACTTCACTATAAGTAATTATGGTAACGCCGCCGGGCGGTACAAGACACGAGAAGCACTCTCTAAGCGGCACTTAAATCACGGACAGTAGTGGGTAAACGGTGGTAAACAGCAACAAGGGAAACGACTAAGTAAGCCCTTTCACTCCGACCGAAATAACTTACGAGTATCCAACAAAAGCTCTGAACTTTCATCTTCGCAAACTGTCTAGCCGTGACATTTGCGTCCTCGTTGCATGTTATAGATATGCGTTTTAGCTGTGTCTTTCTGTACTTGTCGAGTCCGGGAAGGGTCTAGCTGAAGTGTCATGTCAGGGCTATCTCCGTACTTCTGTAGTTGCTTACCGTTCTACCCGCGCAAACAAAGAGGAATATCCATGAAATGAGACGTTTGAATCGGATGTTACGGTCCATGGCGAAGGAATGCTGACATATCCATCATCAGTTGAACACGCCGTATCGTACTAGACGTGCCAAAGACTTACAAGTACTAGGCAGTCAATTGCCAAGGAGCGATTCGACGCATTTCGGAATGTCTATCCCCATTGTTGTGGAAGGAAGAGTTTGTACCTTTTTTCACCGGGCAGATGATCATCGATCAGAGACAGAGGTGACAAATGAGTGTTTAATCGAAAGACCGTTTCCGCAATCTAGGGAAATAAGACTCACGGACGACAGGTTAGATCTACGGACAAAAAGCTCCTGAAGGAGGACCAGCAGAGGAGATATGCCAGAAAATGAGTCGCATCCTGCAAATCACAGGTCATAATCCTTGCGGGAGTGTGCGTCGACGCCGGAGCTGTGACATCTTCGGGGTGCACATGAACATTTCTGCTTCCAAAGCAGCCATCTTGGATACGGGTGTAGGGAGAGATAGCGTGCGATCCAATAGGGAGATCCTTGGGTGTCTTCCTAAGCTATGAGGGCAATATTTAGTCCTTATGGCACTGCTCCCATGAAGCCAACAGAAATCGCTCGGAGACAACTGGTACTTCCCCGGTGGTGGCAATGAATTTATAAGCGAAAAAGTTTTACGTGTGTCGAGACTCGGCCTTGTGAATTCATCTTTCAGTCCCCTCGGTATGGAACCGACCGCGGCCATGTTCAGTTGAAGATCAAGTCTGCAGACTTCGTCACTTTGCCACCGGCTCGATAAGACCAAGAAGCCCGGGGGATACAGGCAATTGCATATTTCTATGGTACAGTTTGTGATGTTCGCAAGGGCCAGAGCTTCGACGCAGCCAAAAAAAAACCCTTCGTTTTACGGCGTAATATATGCATTTGATTTTGGCGGTAAGTCAAGGTTCGAGTCCACCTGGTACTCAGTTAGCGAGGGCCTCTCACCTAATAGTACCCGCAAAATGATCTGAATGATGTACGTACTATGCTATAGGAAACCTAGTTTGATCATCTCACAAGTGGGGAAGTTTGTTTCATATCCGCAAACGAGCTCCTGGCAATTTTTCAGGGTCAAGTCTAATCTAGATAGGAATCGATATCCATGAAGAAGGGGCTTCTGCGCCGCAAGCAATACCAGGAGTTAATATTGTATCTGTGTCACTTGCTTAGGAGACTGGAACCGCGAGCGTCAGCTGGACACTGTAGGTCTTTCAGAGAACAGCTATGAGGAAGAAAACCCAAAGTGTGTGTAGGTCAAGACAGAACAGCTAGCGCTTGCAATCAAGTTCCATGAGCTCGGCTGGTGGAAGCAGGGTCCTCGACAAGCAATCACTCGACGCCACCAATGCGAGCCGGGAAAACCGGAAAGCGACAATCGGCCGAGTCGGGACGAAGTGGCGGCAGACCCTGGAAAGAAAAATTCGAAAGTTTCCAGAAAAGATGCAGAAAAAAGATATCAAAGACGCCTGTTGAAGTTCTGAGTTCTGGCAGCGGGCAGCAGATGGCCGCGAGGACTTAGTAGTGGTCGCAATCGGATCGTGAGCGCCCGGTGCCTTTCTCCGTTGTTCACGTGGTACCTTTACGGTTCCTTCCGAACTTTGAGTTCCTCAAAATTGAATGCAGCCATCGGTAAAGAGGCTCGCGAAGTCCGTTGGGACAAGGCCACTGAGATTGCAGGAGGCCAGTGCGTCGCTGTTGCCTCCAATTGTGTAGGTTTGATTTCCCACTAAGAGATGAAGCTGAAATCTTACCTCTTTGCAGGCTGTACCGACGCCTTTTGAGGGCTCATCGTCCTTTACCAGAGGGTATGCGTTCTTTGGGAGATGCCTATGTGAAAGCTGGTGCGTGAGGTTTGAGTGACTCAGCTCCAAACCGAGCTAATAAATGCAGAATTTCGCCGCCATCGAGAGGTGACAAACCCCTTGCATATTATTGGCTTCTTGTCTCAGTGGAAGGCGTACTTGGATAAGTTGCCTGGAAAATCTGAGCCGGAGAATTTTACTGGGCAGAAGTTAGACCCTCAGTTGATAGAGAAAGTGAATGTCCTTATTCGTCCTCGGATTCATAGCTGACACACATACCGGTGGTAGATGTCTGGGGAGCAGCTGGGACAACTTTATGAACTGAAAAATGCTACAAAGGACGTGTGGAAGCCTGTTGATGATCAGGGATCTAAGGATCCAAAAGAACAGTAATCTCGTCGCTGTATAATTGTCCTAGGTCCTACTTTTGTACCACAGTAAGCATGATCTCCTTACGATGACCGACCTTCCTCATATCGGCTGGTTTTAGATGTCATGTAATATATCTCTGTACTCTACCTTTCGGTGCGTGTCGGGGATCCTGAGCAAATGGCTCAAATTTAGGACGACTGTCACGTTATCGAGTTTCGATATAAGATCATGTGTCATCCTATAGGTTATTCCCTTGTCTTTAGCAACCATGGCTCAAGCAGCGGTAATTAAGTCTACGGCCATTATCTTCTTGCAGTTCTCACTCCTGATTGAACAGACGATTCCCTCTAACAACGCGCCTTATGCTGATCTTCCTCCTATCAACTCGAAACTATTCGAAGCCAAGGCGAAGAAAGGTTGAGATAAATGCCTCTTCTGCAAGAAGAGAGTTCAAACTTTGACTTCACAGGCTTGACTTTCGATCAAATTGCTCAAGCTATAGGGAAGGATGAAGTTTGGCTTGCCGCTGCGTTCTACGGCCAGGTCCATGATTTCGATGACCGCAGAATTTGAATCTCAGACATCGATAGGCAAAGTTCACTCCGGAAGAACTACAAAAAGTAGCCGAGACGCTGGAAATTCCGAGCAGCGATTTGGTTGGTGGGCTGGGTGATCATTGGTGGCCGAATCGTGGACTTGGTCCTATGCCTCCCACTGATCCTGTTATCTATCGGTTGTACGAGGTGTGTGTAATCGGCATCTGATGTAGATGGTCCGTGTCCTAATTGTTTTCTTTACCACCAGAGTGTCTTGGTATATGGTCATGCGATCAAGGTACGTTGTCCGGCACAATTATGTGACTTTCCTCTCACAGCAGATGAACTGAAGGCCATTATACATGAGAAAGTACGCCATACGCTCTCTTCTATTTCTCACAAATTGCCAATGCATTTCACGACAGTTTGGAGATGGTATCATGTCCATGATTGATTGCAAGATCAATGTAGCGAAGAAACCGGATCCCAAAGGGGATCGCGTCGTTCTGACGTTCGAGTATGTTTTGTTCTCTTGCCTTTTTGTATCAGGAACTAATATTATACCTCTTTAGTGGTAAATTCTTACCGTATGCGAAGTGGTAAACAGAAAAAATCTACTACGTCGGTACAAACAACCAACATCTGCACACCTTAAATGACAATTTCAAAATTTTGAAGTCTCAACGGATGGTACGGCCCGAATTTAAACTCCGACCTCAAAACGGCGAGGAAACAATCTGAACGTCTCTATTCCTTTCCTTTACCTCTCCTCCACATTTCCTATCCTTCGTCTCATTCTACTATCCTTGTTATGTCTCTGAGTCTGGCACTCTGGAGCTCTTCTGCGTCATCACACGCAAATTCATCTCTATTCGAGCATAACACGTCCTCAGACTCTTCTCAAACGGACTGTTCCTCATCGCTTTCCCGATGTACTAGTGAAGCATCGACATCTGAGCGAGTCTTCGAAGTCGAATTTACGTATGAGCGGGTCTCGTTTCAGCCCCATTCGACTCATAGGAAACGCCCTGACGCGGAGACGGTGCCCTTTCTATCGTCAGACGACGATTTGGGATACGAGGCAGAGCAAGAGGAGCGTATCAAATCACCATCGTGGACTCGAGCCAAGGTTTATACGAAGAAACGTGAGGGTCGAAGAAGCTCTGGTGCTCGACGAGTCAGTGCCCAGGTACGGCATTTATATCTCTTCTGTCTCGGCCTTCAGCCCTTATCTTCCTACTTAGGGAACGCCTTTTGGAGGAGTAGTTGGTCTAGGATTAGGCCTCCCTTCACAGTATTCTCTTTCCGGTGACGCTACTATTAGTAAACCTGACGACTCGCCTATTCTTCCCGAGAAACCTCGTCTAGTTGCCGTCGATCTAGCGGACTCTCCTTCTCCAATCTTACTCCCGCCGCCCTCTATCAGCGCCATGAAATGTGATTTTCCGCTGGGCGAAACTGGCGCTGACTTTGTTCTCGATACAGTACATCAAGTATCGCCAGTTCTCTTGTCAATGTCTGTAGACGAGGCTGCCGAATCGTTGGGTGAATATCTCAGCGGGCTTAGGCTTGGATTCGTGGTTCCTTCTGGACAGGATTTACGAGGCATTAGTATTGCGATACCCCAAAGGACAACTTCACTAATGACGTCCTCCCCTGCCAGCTTCTCTACCGTACCTCTGGTCGTTCCTCATTCTCCCACAGCGTCGCCAAACTTGGCTTCTGCATCGCTATATGAAATATCTTCACCGCGTTCAATCAAATGTAGGAAGTCGAGCGTTAGGAGGCGCGGTTCACTCAATCGGAAGTGTGAACCTATGTCTCCTCGTCTTCTTCAGTCCCCCAAGCATAAAATTATTCCAAGCTTCGAGAAGGATCTGGACTTGAGGGGTAATCGTCAGCAGGTTCGGTTGTCTGGCTCTCCACAAGGTGCTGCGATAGAAAGCAGATGTACACATGTTTGATAATTATCATCACCTCGATTGTTGACGTCGCTCTCAGTTTCATCAGAAGGTTAGCACCGTGTGGTTGCTGTGGACATATATGCACCTCTCGATTCTTGAAGCTTGAAGCTTGAAAGGTATATCGTTATCCTTCATTATCCCCACTTTCATTTGGATTGTCTTAGTCTATCAATGTCATGATATTTTCACAATGGTAAGTTGCTATATGTTCTGTGAACACTGTCAACTCATGTTTATTCTATCCGTGCTTCAATCATAGGCAACACTCTCGAAAATCATTCGATGTACCTACTTCTTAGACTTATGCGACCCTGTCCGTTCCTGCAAAATTTTTATTTCAGACTGCAGGGACAAAGCAGCCAAGGCTTTTCTTACTGTGTCTACTAATTCAAGTCTTGCAGAGCGCGTTACCGTTCTCGAGTTGAGCGATAAGCGACGACGCAATCAGCATTTGAAACTTCATATTATGAGCATTGCTCATGGACTCATGAACGCTCACCCAGTGCCGAAACGAGTTCAAGTTGTGTTCACTCATAGTCAGGTCGTGTCTCTCGACCGCCATCTGGGGATTGAACAACTGATTATTGCGGGCTATTTGAGGCTGGCGAAAGCCTCGTCGTTACCGAAGCCTACCAGGCTGCTACTGTGAGCTACTGTGTCATGTGGGTTGACTGCTTGCTACCGGACCGTCCAGCCGCGAGTGTGCATGTCCTCCCCATACACGGTGGGTTGGACGTTTTGCGTAGGGCTGCCTGTCCTGCGCGATACGGTTGCCATGCAGCTATTTGAGGAACAAGGAGATTTCGGTGTTGTGCCGTTGTCTTAGTACCGCGCGCGAGTTGTGGATACATTGGGGGTATTAGGGGGTATTCTGGTGACATCGACGTGAGTGGATTCCAGGCGATTCTAGATTGAAAGTAACTGATGTACGCTACCATATAGAATTCATGCGACGCTGTCGAGGAGACAGCATCTGAAGGATACGGTGACATCTTTGAGGTGACTGGTGGTTACAATGGTGATGACGTTTTGGGACGGCGAGCAGGATCTTGGCGAGCTTATTTCGATTGTGGCAATAGAGGTATCGCAGTTTGACACCTTTCTGTGCTCTATCGGACTGATGACGGGGGAGGACGGTCAACTGGAAGCGTTGTATAGGTGGGCAATGGAAAAATTATATAAAAGGTATTGCACTACACATTGCATGTGCACTTCACTGTTCGCGCTCTGACTACCCTTGACAGATGTGGCACTGTCTTTCAATCGTGACTGCGCACGTTCATTTGCAAACTTCAAAGTTAAGCGTTAGACTTAGGAAGTTTCCGTGACGGGCCGCTGATGCCACTTCCATTAGTGAAGTTTTGCACTCTCACTACCCAATCTGTTCATAGACACCATTATAGCGACGGCCCTTCCGCCGAATATGCGTATTGTTGTATTCGCTTCCAGGCGGTTGCTGCATAGCCGCAAAACAGCATTATATTAATAAAGGCGGTGAGTCAGATGTTACAGATTTTTGTCATGTATACATAAAACACTCAATTCAATCATTCATTCTTAGATTCGTTCAATCATCCTTGCCGCCATACCCATTGACACGTTCTTGGAGATTATTTACTGCATTTTGCTCCAGGACTTACCCGCTCTCCGTCTTTGTTTATAGAAACGGATTATATGGGCGTTATACGCTGCTATACGGCATCCCAATGCAACGGAAGCCTTTCCTGTCCCGTTCAGCAACCGAGGTCTCGCGGAACGGGTCGGCTTTTTAGAGTTGACCGATGCTCGGTGGCGGCATGATGATGCGAGGAAGAGAGGGTACCTGTCCCTCACAGCATAAACCCTCCCGTGCCTCCGTAATGTGCGCCACTTAAAGTTACACATCTTGTGCAAGGGTTCCTGGGCGCTGAACGGTTGTCGAGATGCTTTTAGGCTATCTTCGTTCCGGGCAGAATTTTACACGGACGAAGACCTATTCGTGTTTCTTGACTGCTACTGTGATATTGAAGATCTGACCTATGCGCACTCGCTGCCTCTCCATTTGGCGGTTAGGAATACGTCTTTGCCGAAGCTTGCGAGATTGAATGCTGCGGCGTCGTGGGTGGTCTCCTGCCGGGACGTCGGGTGGCAGAAATACATTTCACATCCCCCCGATTCGCGCTTTGGAAGTGCCAAAGAGGACTACGTGTTCTGTGGAGATGGTGCGGCTACCGTATAACTTTGTGCAGACTACCCAGTTCGCCACTTTATGTCGCTGGCTACGTGGCGTGCGCGAGTTCTGGATCGATTCGGTGCATTTTTTCGACGAAGATGTAGTGGGTGGTTTTGCGTGATTGGTTTCATTGTCCTGAATGTGTGTACAGGAACGTTGCTTGCAGTCTTGCACAATCTTTGTCGACCCTCCGAGTCATGAGTCTACGACATCCTTTTTTGGTAGCGACGTCCGCCTCGGCGACGTATATCAACCGGGATCTTGAGAGTTTAATTACCAAGATGACGATAGATACATTGCAGTTTGAAAGGTTCACTGTGATCTATCGATTCGATGACATATGAAGATTCTACTACCAGATGACCGGCGAAGAGATGCCATAATCTCTTAGGTGCGCAATGAAGGGGGGAGCTAGCACAAGGTGCTGTGAAAATTCATGGTTAGTGTTAAATTTCTTTGACATGAGGCGGTAAGAGCTTTCTGATTGGTGATTGACAGGTGGATTGAATGGTTCTGGTCATTTCTCTGTCGCGCTATCGTGTGGTTCCAATGCTTCTGGCTTTATACCCTGCATCAATATTTCTCTGTCGACCGTCCCTGTATGAACATTTTCGAGCGCTTTATCTTCCTGGGCTTTTTGTTCAAGATCCAAGAGGGTTTTACTTACGATAGTTTTTTAACAGGTTGGAGCCCTGCAGGGGGGCACAGTGGACCAGCTGGAGATATCTGACTGATGACTTGCATCTTGGAGATATTCTTTCGAGTTTAATGAGCCAATGACGTTGCGGCAATCGCGTACTTCCACCGGCCCTTACTCAGCGCTTATGGCACCCTGATGACCTCAAGTACGGCGCCCTGTTTTGAGGTGACAAACCGGACCTGTTCATTGGACATCTCTACGTCAACGCCTCGGGATTTCTGCAACTTTTTAAAATTGCCTTCTTGTTGGGTTCATTTGCTTCCAAGGCACCATGCTGGCTCTTTGATAGCCGAGAGAAATGGGAATAAGGACACTGGATGCATTTGCTATTTCGGTTCTTTTGCCACACCAGCAGTTAGTGTTCAAACTTAGTGCTGAGCGTTGAATGGAATCTTCGAAGGGTCGCGTTTAGGGTCGTTGACCTTGCAGCTGCCTGAGATGCAGCCAGATCTCAGATGCCTACCGTTGTCATGTGTCCACACTTCCAACCGACACACACCGCTTCGACCCTGATAACTTGTGTGTACGAGCACCAGTTGAGTTGAGTTGGGCAGCTTCACATGGTTCCTCGAAGGCCGAAGCGATTCTATTGGCTGGCAGCCAGTAGAACGGATGCAGCAATCACATTGGTTCTCGAGTCTCGACCGTGCTCCGGCGTACGGACCTGATCCACGCGTCTCGCGAAGATCCTCGAAAAGCGGCGAAGGGACGAATTTGTACTTCGACGTCGACAAACGTTGGTGCCTGTTCAACATTTCGAAATCGGTAAATGATTCTTTAACCTGGGTGATGCTTAACAGGCCCAAAGGGGGAAGGAAATCTTGGGGTATGTCATGGGCTCGGATTGTTTTGGGCCGATCTTCTATGTCATGATGTGTTTTGCGAGGAAAACACACAGTTTTGGGGGCGAACAAGGCAGGACCGGCGAGCCGGTTAGGTGATCGTATCTCCAGTATTACTCCGTGGCGACGATATGTTCTGATCGGCGTATGACCCCCCTGGAAAGGACGCTGGGAATCAAGGGACTTATTGAGCATTGGTCTTGAGTTTGTCTCCAGTGGTCTCCCCATGTGCTTTTGCATCACCTTGGCATCAGCCTCGAGCCGAAATACTGCAGTTTCAAGCTGACGATGGGAATCTTGGCCATGCCGGCGAGCAGAGCGGTAGAATTTCTCATTTAACCGATAATATTGAGAGGATTTGAAGGATAAGCATGGCCCGGTCGATTATTCGTTTGAACATAACAGGATCATAACGTGCGGATTCGAATACCTTGGCTTTCATTTTCAACATGGAAGGGCCTATCTAACGGTCCAGGTTTGTACGTAAACCGCGTCAGATCCGTTTAAAAGGCTGTTAATTAAACTCCAGGAAGCAGGCGAAGAGCTCTTCTCTTTCAAAAAGTGTTCGTTTTGATAGGTTTAAAGACCGCTAGGCTCGTTTCCGCATAGCTCTTTGCTCCCCCCCTTCTCAATGGCTCCCAAGGTGTACACTTGGATAACCCTATGGTTCATGCTCACTGCCCCGCTGATGATATGGGATGCTGGATACTGTCTCATGAGGTGCGAGTATCCTGGCTCGCCAGCTGTATTTCTGCTCATCGCTTTTCGTGTCCAGACCTCGTTCAATGGTCGGCGGCGACTTGCACTGGGCATGGAAGTTGTATGATTTTTACGGACAGATAGACAAGGTGCGCCGGTTGTATTCTTCTAGCTCAAAACCTGTCATTAATTTTTTCTTTTTCTTTTCAATACAGATCTACGGTGTGAAAGCATTTGAGGATGGCGATGGCTTCGCTAACGCCGCAGGTACGTTGTTGCCACGTTCGATTCATGCTTTGAACTTCTCACTTCTGTTGTGTGCGCCACCAGCTATTCTCAACCTTCTCGAAAACTTTGCCGCGGTACGTAGCTTCGTTTATCGGAACTACCCTTCTGTTCAACTCCCCTATCAAGATAACGTATCTCGTTCTTGTATATGCTTTCAAGTCTGATATTGCGCCGCTGTTTGGCTATACTGGTGCTACGGTGACTTTGGCCAAGACAATTCTCTATTTGGCGCAGGAGTACTATTGCGGATGGTGTGCTATAGGGCACAATGACTTTGTTGACGTTTTGGCTTATTGGGTATGCCCAAACGTGTAAGTCTGCTTCAGTCCTTCCCTGCGCCACGCCGTTAACGTAACATGCGATCAATTTCTAGTGTCTGGTGCACAATATCCAGCTTGACTATGTATAGGTTGGGCAACGACATTGCCTCGTCCTTACGACAGCGCAAAACTACTGTAAAACAAGACTAATACATAGACCGTAGGACAACTCGAACGCAGCGATTTCTTACGTATATTTGTCTTTAAGAGGCGAACTTCGTGTGGATCAGATCCTGAGAATCTATCGTTTGTGACCTATCCGCAGCTTTATCCATCTTGCCTGTGTCGCTGTAAAATTGTTCTGGAGGCACGGAGCGGGAACGGAGTTGGAACGGCAAGAGCAATTCTACGCGCGATCAATGCCCGCAAATTTCTCGTAGGGAAAGAAGGCAGGCCCCAAGAGGAAGGCAAGTACGTTTGTTCTCTCCTTTTCATATCATACTAATCCGGTTTGTGCCTCATAGCAAAGCCCGATTTACTCGTGGGGCTGATCTTGGCGGACATTGACTTATTGGGAGGGGGGTGCGCGATGGCCGCTCCAGTCATTTCAAGTCTAGTGGCGAGGAGAACGAGTCAAGGTGCTCGACACGGGTAGGAAGTCCAACGGCGGCGGCGGCAATGTCGAGACAGCGATGCCCTCGTTTGCCCCACACATATGTCACTAAAGTTACTGTCTTCCGTTCCCGATAGGCCCTATCCGTCTGTCCCGGCCATCAAAAGGTGCTGGTGCCTTGGGAAACCCGCAAGAAATTTAAAAAGTCGTCGTAACATGCATAACGACGCGCCGCCATCAACTCAAAAGGCGAACTTGTGCTAATTTACAGAGGGGTTAAAACGGACCGCTTGCGCAGCTGAAGTATACGGGTAACGGTTTACCCCGGCGCTACTTGACCGCAGGAACATTGTTCTAGTTAATACGGTATTCAAGCAATGGAAGCTTCGGATCTCCTTGACCACAGCTTCGAAACTAAAGCCACAGTGATTTCGGCGGGTGGCGAATGCTTGTTCGAATAGCTTCTATGCAAAGATAGCACACTGCTCATGTAGGGCAACGTGTCGACGTATCTATGCAATCACATTTGGATCAGGCGACCCTAATAGAAGAACTAGGAAACATAATCTACATTAAGTTCAAGCAAGAAAGGTATGTATATATTATCAATATGTATCACTGATATGAATGATGAACTTAATAGAAACTTGGGCCAACAATTTCGTCCCCATCGGGTTCACTTCTACCTATTCCTGGGATGATATCGGTATGCCTAACGACACGACCATCAGTACTTAAATTAGTAAAGATCTTATATTGATATTCACCGTTCGCATCAGAGTCAAACCTGTGCGTAACAAAACACCATTTACCGCTTTCATAGCTTGAAACCTTACTTTCGACATCCTCCACCTCACGACGCCTGCATTCAAACTCAAAGTCTCGAAGAAGTCAAGGTGTACAGGTCACCCTCTGCGACTTATCGCAACACTGCTTGTTTCACACCACGAGCCGCGGGAGACAGACCCTGCCTATAAAAAAAACAAGCGAAAGAGCGGGCTCAAACTGCGGTTTTGGTATACCCATCGACGCCGCCGTATCGAACATGAGTCCAGAGAACGGAGCCTCGAAAATCCCGATATCGTCCTGACACCGTGCGAAATCTCAACGGAAATGGCAGAGCCCCGTACGATAAAGCAAGGATAGTCTCAAATCTGACCCTTCAAGGGTCGAGGATCATTCGCCTACGGGTGGGCCCTCGTCGGCCGAGCTCTGACAGGGGGATGGGAGGTTCTCCCCGGCGTATGGTGCGATGTCTGTCACAAGTGAGTCGGAAAGAATCGTTTGCAGATACTCTGAGAGCCAATGTGGTGGATAGCCGATTCGTAGAGACGCAGGAATAGAGTGATGAAGGCGACTACGTTGCTGGGGTAACGGACGCGGAGTATTTGTTGCATAGGATTAGCGAACGCAGGAGGAAACATTGTGGTCAGGAGAACACGTATCAGCCAGGTAGTAAGTTCTTCTCGAGAAGGGAGAGTGGAGAGTGGACGAGGCTCAGGCTCAAGCGCAAACTCTATGTTACTCCAACCAGGATCCATGGTTAGGACGCGACAGCCAAAGAAACGTGCGTAGTCCTTCACGCAGAGAAGTGTTGTAGCTAATTACAAGATGTCAGTCAAGAAGACAGACTTATTGAAAGCGTCTTACTTGTGCACATGGTGGTCGCCGTTTACCAGACACCGCTATTGAATATGCAATTGAAAGCTAACGCGGCGTAGGATTCGCACTCTAAGTTTGGTATAATGTAGATGCGGTATTCAACAGTCTGTGGGTAGAATCACTGTGGGGATGAGGATCAGTCTCGAAGGAGGGGAAAACCATCTTCCGACCTATGGACGTTGCTAAGTCAAATACGACCATATTTTCTTGGAAAATGGGCGGGTCTAGAAACGTCGAGTCCAATCCGCATCTTCACTAGCGCTGAAGATATGTCATCCTGGATAAGTTCGAGCAGAATCCGTCCCTTCAAGGCAATAAGAGCATCGACGACCGCATCGGAGAAGACGGAGATAACCGAATACGCGGGGCAATCCTGGTTGATAGGCGCATGCATGTTCCTACCTTTTGACGAGGCGCATTCGCTCTTTAAAAGGTCCTATGAGGAACACCAATGTAAAAAGTATTACGATTATTGTCGGGATATCCCATTGCGATGATGGATCGCTTTGGTTCCTGGCTAGGGTCCTACACAGATATGGGTCTTCATTAGTGAGCGCGTGGGGCCTCGAGGTGTAAGGTACGCACAAAAAGCGATGGTTTGAGCTTTCAAGTTGTCTCTATGTGATTGCGGACCTGGACAACATTCAACACGGGATTTCGCAACGATTAAGGAACAGTACCTTATCGTCCAAGCTGTCTGGAGCGCGAGTCTTTCCTTTGCACTCCTCCGTGAATGAGTCCCAGAGCTCATCGAAGCCGATCTCAAGATAGCCGGCGGTACGAAACATTGGGTCATTTGATACCGACCCTCCGCCAAGATAATTTCGTTGCGCTGGACTTTTGTCTGTTCGTCTCCTTTGTCTCCCAAAAGAAGATTAACCACGGCCACGCGTGTCGGCCAACCACTTCTTGCGTCGGCATAAGTTTACTCGCCATACCAATTACCTGCTCCTCGGACAACCTAACGTCGACGAAACTGTTCCCGTTTCTCTTCCTGTCGTTTGTGGTAGGTGTCGAGAAAGTTTGATGCCATGCCGGGGCTGTTAAGGAAGTGGGAATGGTCAACAGGAGTCCTGGCCGTTCTAGCCAGGTGGCGAAGCATGAGATATATTGGTGTCCCAATACTTGAGCGGTCGATAATTCCTGAGACGGCCTCTTCAGTGATGTAGATCCAAGCGGGCAGATCCGACGGCGACTGTTCTTGGAGGCGGTTGAGTAAAACTTCCATGATTTTTGTATATCTGGAAGTGAATACTCGCAGACTAGGGATTCCCTGGTCATGTACCGCGTCTGGTAGTAGGCAGGCATATGAGAATGAATCCTGCCCACATGTAAAGGACAGTAGTAGCTTTAATCTGGGCTTCTTTGAGTTTGCTCTCTTCTTGTGATCGCGTTAATGGGGTCTTCGATCAAGAATAGTAGACAAAGGTCGTGCGCCAATGTCCTAGGATAAGGGTAAAGTGGACTTTCAGCGCCCTGCGCTTCTTTGGATTAAATTTTGTGAAGCTTGATGAAGTCCAATTATTGAACTTAGAACGTGTCGACCTATGGAAGAGGCTTTAACACGAGTTAAGGTGGATTGCGTGAACTTACCGTCACCAACGTTGCCCCACAGAAGCGCCACACACAAAAGACCTCTGACAATATTCCAAGCTCCAAGGAATTGCTTCTGTCTTGCGGTCCCCAATCGTGGACAATCGACGTAGGCGGATCTTGACCGACCTGTGAATCCTTCGAGGGGGAAACGTGGGTCGATTTCGGCGCTGTGTACAGTATAGTATTCCAGACCCGTGTTTCTGGTAGAGAAGCGTCAGTAAACGTAAATAAAGCTGAATGATGTATACGTACACAATTTTTCTCCCAAAGGGAAGAGCGGCAAGTCTTGAGCGTGCATCTTGAGCCCCATTCTTAACTCTTTCGAAGTCTTGAGCGACGCGTTTCCATTCATCCCATGCACTCGAAGCTTCATGTGACAGGTTGGAGTTGCTTGTGAAAGCACTAGTCTCTGTAATGACACAAAGTTCGTTGATAGTTGACAGTTGACCTCAAGATCTTTAGCATTATTGAGCCACTCTGAACACCGCAACTTAATGCATTAATGCTTTATAAAGTCGTGTTTGACGGCAAATGCAGGATTTGGTTCACTGGCCGACATCATTTTTGCTGAGCGACAATAGCATGGTATGCCTGGGCATAGTCCCCTAACTCATAGTAAGCAGCATCGAGTTCAAAGGATATATTGCATTGTTTGGATCCAGGTTCTCCGTTCTTGTGGGAAGTCAGGCTATCGAGAGTTGTGCCATTGGGATATTACGAACCTTCCCGTACAATTTCGTGGCTCTGGCAAAGAATCACGGCGTCAGAAATATTTTTAAAACAATAAAAGAGTGGAGTTGAACCACTCTTCGAGTCGTCCAGACTTAAAATGGACATTTCCTTGATCTTTCGCGTTCAACACTGATCCGGATAGTGTCATTGCTGTCGTAGATGGCACTGAAAATGTTGCCACTGGAATAGACAAGGAATTGAGCTACGGTCCGTTATCCGAGAGCAAAAATTGGGATTGCTTCAAAGGGAAATAACTCCGGTGATCACCCTGACCTTTTTCGGCTCAAGCCGAACGCTTATCACTGCGCTTCGAACATTCAACGCCCTGCATCTGTCGCTGCGCCTTTTCCAGGAATTTTCTTTCCTATCTAGAGGCAACATCCGCTTCAATAAGCGAGGGGCCTTCGATAGCTACAATACAATGTGCTATCGCGTCGTTCAATTAAAGTGCGACAGGTAGGGCCCATATAATTGAGACTTCGAGTTTACCGTAGCACAAGATCATTCGATAGAGGTATGTATCAGGGACTGCTGTAACATTATTCTTTCCACGGACATTCACTGAGATGACGATAGAGCAGCTCCTAAACCAAGTATTGCTTTGAAACAAATGGGCTAAAGCGCTAGTCGCTTGCGGCTTGCTGAACATCATTATTGCCACTCGTCACATGGAATACTAAAATTTGATGGTATGCCAGTCCTATCAGAGGCATGAGGCTGGAGACTGACCGCTTCTTTTATGCATAGACATTCGGAATCCGCAGAATCGGGAGAATATCCGATATGTGCCTTACACCAAGCTGCAGAGCTCGCATGCAGCATTTCGAAATTCAGTTCTGGGGGAAACCGGGACTTCCAAGAGGGCTAGATTCTTTTCCAGATTCGGTGGCGTCGATCGGATCTCTGTGCAATTATGTTTTACCATTTTTCTCCCGTCCACATCACGTTGGGACCTCAACCGCAATATTTCAAATGCTCTACTCTTCCTATTAAATACATCATCACGTCGTCGTGAACAGACCTTTTGCGACAGCTTCCGTCAATCGCTATGGCGCGAATCCCGGTGAGTATTTCTGCCTGCCTCTATTTCTCTACTCAAAATCCTGACTCTACTTTTGACAAAGGGATTTAGCAATCGGCCGAAACAAGCGGCGTTACCTATAGATTTCTTGATTGTTGGCGGCGGTATCGCAGGTTTTGCCTGTGCCGTAGCCCTACGACGAGTGGGTCATCGTGTCCTTGTCCTTGAGAAGGATGCTACATTTCCATCGGTTCGTCTAATATGCTGTGGAACCGTCGGAATGCGCTAAAGACCTTGTAGATATCGGGTCCGTGCCGGATGCCCCCAAACCTCAGCAAAATTCTCTATCATTGGGGTCTCCAAGACGAATTGAGGAAGATAGGTGTTGTATCTGGAGCTATCAATATTTGTCTTCGTGAGTTTTTCGGATGTTTCCATGGTTTCTTCCTCATCTATGGTATCTCATTTCAAGAAAATACTGGAGAGCTACTTGGGAAGCACGTTTGGGATGAGGAAGTACTGAGGGAGACCCGGGGCGAGTTTATATTCGGTGCGTTATGACACGGACATTTGAACCGTCATCTTTCTCATGCCCTAGCTTCCCTAGCTCATGTACGCCGATCATTTTCTGTGCTGTCTTCTATGATCGATCTGACCCAACGATAAGATTGGCGACTTGCGACGGCTTTTGTACGATACCGCCGTGGCGGTAGGAGCAAATGTTCGATTGGGCTCGCGGGTAAAAACAGTAAACCCCGACGCACAAACGGTGACCCTCACCAACGGAGAGGTGCTTAAAGCAGACGTTATCGTAGGCTGCGATGGACCCTCTGGCATAACCAGACAAGTGTTACTGATAGAACAAGAAGAATATGATGATGAAGTGCCAATAAACATGAGCATGTACTGGTGATTACTCCTTCCGGCTTCTGTTTTCTATGCTTTTACTGATGTACCTCAGCACGACGATACCCAAAACTTTGATCATGAAAGATCCTCAACTGAAAGAGCTGTACGACCATCAAATTGTGCGTACTATCTTGCCCAAAAGACTTCGCACTCATTGTTCGTAGCCCACGATGTACACATGGTTTGGCGATAAACACGCTGTGCTTGGAATGCCCCTGGTAACGTGAATCAATCGGAATGTGGGGAATCAATCTGACGCGTCCCAAGGGTGGAAGGAATCCTGCGTTTGGATTGTGTGCATACGGCCCCCAGGACAAATATGAAGGATCCTGGGACGAACCCGCCCCACTACCTGGTCTACGTGGCATGCTCGCATCTAGTGAACCAAGGTAAAAACATCGTGAAGTCGCTGTAATACTTGTTGCTAACACAATATTGACCAGGTTGCTCAGACTTAGCAAACTAGCCACAAATACGGTTTGTGTACACGTAGATGGTCAAGCACCTCTTGAAGACTGGGTAGACGGATTTATGGTCGTCATGGGAGCCGCCGTCCATCCAATGCCCGTACGCAATCTCCCCTTTAAGCCAGATACATTACTCATATGCTGCTAGCCCGGATCGATCCAAGAATGCGCACTAACAGTGGAAGACGGCGCTGTGCTGGCAAAACTATTCTCACATCTTCATTCTAAAGACCAGATTAAAAGTTTCCTGTGGGCGTTCCAAGATCTGCGGCAGCCGCGTTGTGCAGCTGTACACCGAAAGGAGGCCGGAATTATCCACTACATGACCGCTGAACCTGGAGAGTTCCAGTCCGCTCGTGACAATATGATGCGGGCAAAACAGCAGGCTGGTGTTGGCATCCTTGACGCTACGGGTGATCTCGAAGAGACGCCTGAATGGGTGGAAATCAAGGAGGTATTTGGGTATGACGCAGAGGACGATGCGGATAACTGGTGGGTTGAGTGGGGGCTTTTGAGGGAGCGTGCGCGGAATAACAGTAGTAGCAGCCATATGGGGGAGGTAGCGGGCACGAAGAACCTCTTCAACGACGTTCACATCTCGCATGTCATTACGGCCTGAGCGTTATGTGCGATCTCCAACTCGCATCATTTTTTTAGATTGTATAGCAGGATCACTGGATGCGCAAGGGATCACTAGTTCGAACCGGGCTTCGATGTACATTTCGCTGTATACTAACACATTCGTTTCTTCACCTATGTCGGTTTTATGGGGGATTCTTGGTTGTTCATGCAAACCACTTGTAGACTTTGAATTGATCACTTTCTTTCTCCTGAACTTACGGAAGGACTCGGATCTACTTCGTACTTATTAGAAGAGAAGAAGAGATCAGCGATCATCGTTATATCAGAACATACGATGATGTGTTGCTAGGTGTTGAAGCCTTTTTAGGAAAGCCACATATTTCCAGGGTACCTTATGGCACATCCCGGTTCGAGACAATATTGCACATATGCAATTAATATCCAAGGACGACTTGGACACCTTATTCGCGTAATTCGCGTATTGAACGTCAAGCACAGCAAGTCTCGACTAGGGTAGACTGAAGCCAGTCCCTTCTACTCACCAAGACTTGTACGTATACGGAGAAGGGCGCGGCTGTACGAGGTTGATTGCATTTACAAATAATCAAGAGCTATCCGCCATCAGCGGGATGATCCTGAGCAATTAGAACCTCATTTCTCAAACTCATTCAAAACAAACGGCGAATTCAAAAAGTCCGTCTTGTCCACATCCCAATCTAAGAAAAAAACAGCCTTAGCCTTATCAAGGAGGTGACAACTGACAAGAGTGCATACCATCGGGAATCATGGTGATGTTGTTTCGCAGGAGCTGCAAGACATGTTTTGACGTCGGTGTATACCGTTTCCAGGCACCTGTCAAGGGCCGTAAGCACCCCAGGTTCTATCCATTGGACTATGGAGACACGCTCACTTCCGGGATTGAGATCCCAAATAAAATTGATATAAAAGTCCAGCATTTGATTGGCGAACACATCCTCCACATCCGTAGGCACGGGTCCGAAAAGCAAGGGCAACTCCGACGCATGCGATACTTGGTTCCGAGACCTTTAGTATTTGGACGCGAGGTGGAACAATATTACTAACCGCCAAATACCGGATTGTTCCCTGGTATGAACTCTCTGAAGTAATAAGCATACATCGGCTGCAATGAACTCGCGTGTTCAAAGAATAATCTCCTTGGGGATAGGAACATTTCGTCGGTATACCACGCCTCTCCCCTGTCAAAAAGGGAATCTCCTGTGTTGAATGGCGCTCCGAGAGAAGAATCATTGGCCGGCCATAGTTGGTGGAGTTCCGCGAACAGATCTGGGGTAAGAGTGCTGTTGTCAATCACGAGGTGATTCACGAAGTTGTCAAAAGCTGCATCTTCATCGCTGGCAGAAATGTTGAGGCCGAGTAAGCTGACGCTGAAGGTGGCTCCTTCGTTCACCTGAGAAGAGTGAGGAAAGGAAAGACTAGTTACACGTTATACCTACATTTGTACCGCCAATGTAGGGGAGGTGTAGGAAGTCACCCCTTTGAATTTTAGTTGATGCTCGCTCTGGGACAAAACTGCCTGGTGGTCCGACGGAGGGTTGCCATAATTGACTATTGAGCGTATTCGCAATCATCGTGTTACTGATACTCATCAAGGTCTGATAAAAGAGGATTGAGTATTGCACCATGCGCACAAGTCCGAAAAGCTAGTCACCTCAAAAGGTACATTCCTCAAACACTCCACAGATCCTGAACCGACAGCACAGCCCGTCTGCGTGAGCAATCTGTCAAACGGTTTCCCTGGTTTATCATATGTGCTGGCATTTGGGGAGTTTTTGCTATAACGTTTGAGAATGAGGAGAGTGCAGGGAAATCATATATTGACGTTAACGAACAAGGGTCCTGTCGATGAGTCTGCGATTCCAGCCCGGAAGAGCGCGAAAGAGGCAGGGAACACAAAGTGGGCTTCGACACTTCCGGCACCAGCGGACTATGGAGGAGAATCGGCCCTCGTAACTCATTTGAAGAAGGGCTCAGCGTACCTGTCCCCAAATCGTGACCTGTTCATATACTTGAATGAAATATAGATATTAGGGACGGGGTCATGGGACTTTCCTTGGACGGATCGCCGCCAAAAGCACGTATATTCTCATGAACGAATGTTAGGGCTTGCCGCTGATCCAACAAACCTGCGTTGAGGTCTTCCGGAGGGACGTTGGCGCTAGACAGCTTTCTTGCCTCTCAGGATTTGTCAGTCGTTTTGGCAGAAACGATTGACGTACAAAGCCAAAGGTATTGAGCCGGTAATTCCTAGGTAGAAATGAGCTGCTGGTTTGCGAGAGTAACAGGGCTTGGGGTACTAACGTAGAGACGAACAAAATAGGTTTTCCGATTTCGATACTTCGGTTCAGGATACCTGTTTACAGGGCTTGCCTTGGATGCTGAGTATGAGTGATTATGAGTCACGTACGGGTAGGGTCAAAAGAAGGACTTGACGCTGCGCTAAGCAAAGTTTCTATATGTGGCGTAGGTCACAAGGGCAAGAAAACACACCCGTTGGTATATGCGCCGCCCTAAGTACAGGTCATTGAATAATGGCACAAGCGAACTGATCCTACACGTACATGGATCCAAAACAAAACGGGAAGTCCTTCCTTACTATTGATCTCCTCTGGCCTCCAGATCTACCGGTTCCGCTTCATCCGCAAATCACGGTCATAGTAAACGAAACTACGCACATTGAGAAAGAGACAGTCCTCACTAACACTGGCGCCAAGATCACCGGGAGGCTGGGGACAAGCGTTCCCGAAGGTCGTGGCATCGCGTTGGACCCGGGAGGAATTCGTAGGGACAGGAACCGGAGCTTTGAACCTTAGATCGCCCACCGGCGGAAGAGCGAATGGTATTCCCAGCCAACGATCCAAGCCATTGATGTTTTGTCCCGTGAAAGTACCAGAAGGGAGCTGTACGTCAAGAGAGGAGCGTGCTGGGCCAGCGGCGAGCAGAACTCCGAGTATCAAGTTTACAATCATGATGGCGCCAGTTATGCCAGTAAAGAATATTTTCTGAGAGAGAAGTTATATACTGCGGACAATGGGAAACATTCGACGCTATGAGAGCGTAGCTCCTCAAATTGGGCAGTGTTCTATGTGAAGCGGCGTTCCTTCAGCTGGCGTGGGAGCAGCAGATATTATTGGCACAAATGATGAATCAGCTGCATCGAAATAGATTTTCAGAAGGAGAAAAAGTCCCAAGGAGCGAGCCAGCAGACATTCTGGATGTCAGCAGAAGCATTTTGGAAAACAGTGAACTCAGGGAAAACACGTACGTGGCGGACGCGTGACCCTATCACGTGTACATGTTACACCGTACTTCCGTCACACTCACCGGAGATGACCGATGACTCATGTTTGACGGTAGATCTAGAGTCCAGACTCGCTGCGCTGTAGGCCTGGACTGAATCTAAACAAACGATATGTAAAGGGAACGTGATATTATTTTAAGGAATGCAAGCGTAATAAAAATTACTTGTTTAAAAAGAGGGCGGGGCATCCTCAACCATTACGATTAAAGAGGAAGGCAAATTTTTAATCAGATTATGATTAAAGCGATGACGGGGTATAGGAAAAAGGGAACAGCGGATAAAGGTAATACACAAGGTAAGTAGCGGGCCGTGAGCAGTCGTCGATGATAATGATTCCGTTTCATGCAAAAGATTCAGATGTGGTTATAGCTATACAATGCCGTGATGAGATGCCATGCGAATTCTGACCAGATGAGAGTCTCCTGCCGGAGAAGACTATGGATCATCAACCATTAATAATGGTGATGATGACTGAGCTGATGCCAGGGGAGAGCGTCTACGCTGCTCGGCGCTGTTCCTTGTTGGGCGGACGACGCTGCGATCCTTTCGCCGGAGGGTCGTCACAGCGACCAGCTGCGACGGCGAAAGAACATTTTCGTGCTCCTCATTCTTTTCCGAGTACCCACGCTCGGTGAGATACGCCCCTAGCCGCTCTGAAAGCACCTTGTCCTGCGCATCGAGGTCTCCTTGACCATCGACGTCCATTCGCGTCTGCAAGCTGACATTGACACTCCTCCATACGACGGCGAGAAACCGGAGGTCAGAGTGTTTGCCTTTGAAGCGCTTTGGTGGAGGAGTTACGTGCGATGCTGGTGATAGGAGAGCGTGGTGGCGAGTAGAGGGGGCCTTGCGACGGCGCGATTGCGAGTCTCGACGTACGCGCTCGTTGGAGCGGGGCGTCGTCGCTTGCATAGACCGCCGACGAACCTTGACCCCGACCTCGGGCTGTGGCTCGAGCTCGCAATCAGAGTCGGAGGTTGATGTGGGAAAGGGGATGAAGTTGACATCAGACGACGAGCTGTAGACGCAGTACGACTCTGAGCAATTAATGGTGACACTTTCGAGCGAGATAGTACACGTAGGAGCAGACTTTCTCGAGCTCGAGCACGAAGGGGAAGAAGATAATAAAGATGACAAACGGTTTGGGCGTTTGCATGAAGAAGTAAAAAGAGAAAGTTTTCGCTTGTTGGATGGCGGCTGCATGCTGGCAGAGTGAGAATCTGAAGTATTGTCGATGAGAACAGGAAACATGATGGAAGATTGCAGGGGGAAAAGGGATTCTTGACAATGAGCCTAGGGTGAACAATTAGGCGACAATCACGGGCACTACCACCGATGAAATTGCAGCTATGGGCACGGCGACGGCGATGATGGCGACCACAGCGAGAGCGGGCTGGGCAACGGCGGGAACAGCGACGGCGGCGTCTGCTGGCAAATCCAACGATGGTGGAGCTGATGTATGTAAAACATCAAGAAGATTAGGGTCCGCGTCTTATACACTTTCGGCAAATCACGTGAGCTTCCGCCTCACGCGTTCAACGTGTTCCGATCAATTTCCAAGTTCCATTCACTTGTCGCGTTCCTCACGACGTTCGGATCTCTCGACCGTCCGTGTGGGACACCTTTTCTGCTGCTTAACTGCGCTACCTTCTATGCATACAAGCGTGTTCTCGGGGCTTGTTGATCATAAAATACAATCGATAACATGATGGCGACGGCCCGATTTTTACTTTGGGCCGGTTCGATGGAAGTGGTTCTGGTGCAAAGATACGAATCCCACCGCGCTATTCAGCTGACCGTAGAAGGCTCTAAGGCGAACAAAATAGTCCCGCGGACCCTCTTAATTTAATTACATCGCCTACAGATCCGAACAGATCCTTTGACCCGCATGTCGGTGGGCATGAGACCATGAGTGGTGTTCTGGGGCTTTGAGAGTGGCATGCAGTTAATGATGATATAGGTACATAGATAGGTACCCACGGGTGCCTGTACTGATAACTGAATTAGCCTGGCCGTCTTGTGTTTTTCACGAGCATGAACTGTTCTTATCTTCGAATGGATTTAATCTCGAGAGCGATGGGAAAAATACGGTGATTATACAATTTAGCCTTGTTCATGAATTGCGCTGATATAATAGTACAAGTACCCTCTCGAAGCAAGATATGAATAGAAACAAGAATTATGACAGGATCATTTAAGACAGTAACCATCGCTGCATCGCTGTCAGAATACTGTGACTCCGCCGTTAGGCTGAATTTGACCCCCGACATCAGTGAGCAGTGCTTGTAGTATGTAGGCCAGACGACATGCAGATTGGAGGTCGGTTCCATAGATCTGCCTGTCTTTGCACTGCTGCCTCGGTGTGCTGTAAGGACGAAACAAACAAGGCCCAGATGCAACAGCATTCCGTGCTGTTTCGGGCCAAAGCACAGCCCGACGCCAAGACAAACTGCCTGACAGTCTACAGAAAGAAGTCGCATCTCGTAAAACATCGAAATTGGTCGCAGAAGCTTACTGTCGACGTTGACAACCGCCAAAGGCGATATACACGTGTAGTCGTGGGGACGATAGTAGCTCCGGTTTTCCTCTGCGACCGTTGAGCTGCTACGAAACCAGAATCGCTCCCACCACCGCGACCTGAGCTAACGCCCCAACCCTGATCATGGGCTGCACCCGCTACTGATTCCAGACCCAGATCCCGACCCCGTGTATTTGAACCTGAGTCTGATCCGTTGGCGCTCCATGAACCAGAACGTGGACGAGAGGTTGCGCCGCCGCCGGAGGGCTCGACACGCGGTAGGAGGTTGAAGCACGTTACAATTCAACAGATAGACTAGACGAGCCTCGCCGGATCATGAGTATTGAGTATTGAGTAGCCTGAACTTGGAGTTGGAAACACGAGTTTCAAAGACAAGATGATTATCTGGTATGCATGCTTTGCCTTAGTCATATACCGAGCCGTCAAGCTAGAGAGAACGTGCAGCTTAACAAGATAAAATTGAACAACACATAACATACCGAAAGAAGATGGATACGTTCTCCCGTGAGACATGGTACCAAACAGTCAACATAGCAACCTTGTAGTCGCTTTAGGAGAGGGAGTCCTAGAGAAGTGGGGAAAGAGGCCTGCATGGAGATTGCCGATATCAACGGTCGGTAATGATCCCCGGGATCTTCGAATCTACTACGCTTGTTACCATTAAGAGAATTACTCCAGTAACTTTCCTGGTGTGGCCTGGCATACAGATGAAACGATTGGGGAGAGCTGGGGCCTAGTGTTAGATCTTCCTATCCTGGTAGCCTGATTGAACAAACTTGAGCTACAGATGCGGAGCTCTGATAATCTCCGAGACAATCGATCGATCCGTGGATCCTGGAATTCTTTACGTCTGCTTAGTAGCATTTGAGCACGACCATTGGGCTAATGAGTGCTGCACCTGTGACGATTTCCTCTGATGAAGAAGCTGAGGGACAGCGTCGGAAGAAGCGTACAGCAGATGACCATGGTGCTATGTAAACAAGACACTGGCCGCAGTTCATCACATTAATTCGAAGGTGAGAGTTCGAACATAGAGCGGCGGTTGTTTGGTTCGACTGGCGACCAAGGCGATGCCAAATCAAAGCACCGCCACGTTTAGGCTTTTTCTCGGAGTTTTGCCAGAGTTCCTTCGACTCGTACCCCTTGCACTCTTTCATTGCGAACCCCGTGGGGAACGAACGGTGTGTGTGTAAATCCGTTCTCACAGCAATTGAACAAAATCAACCTTCGCTGTCTTTTGTTCCATCTCTAGCCTGCGAAGAGTTGACAAGCCACAACAAAAGTCAAAGGATCCGGCTACTTCGGAGGGTAGGTCGTAGCGGCCCCGGCTGTGGTCTTGAGTTTAGAAGGATTGTTTCTTTTTCTTGCTCCGTATCGGAGCGCCCTCCGGGTTCGGGCTGACGCCCGTTACGCTGCCGTACTATGAACGTACTGACAATGGGAACAACACGTTGACAGCACGACCAGCTGTTTGATTACTTGGGGCAGTGACACAGGATGCCCCCCAATTCTCAGGCAGTGGTAGCGGTATTATTACTCTCGCTCAAAGGTAAGTAGCGAAATGTACATTGACCAACTACGGCTTTTTTGAACCCGTAAAAATGCCGGTGACCTTCGAAGCGCGTCTCTTCTGGGTCCGCGGACGGCAATGCATTGCACACTGCCGAGGCTTGTATAGAATACGTGCCTACGCGTCGGCCTTTGTCAACGGTGAATTATCTCGATCTGGTCCTTCGGCGTCTGTTAAGTACTAGATGCTTGCAAGCTATAATTAAGGGGGGACCATTAAACAGCTGTCTCTACAGCTGCCGAAGCACTCCCAGCACACGGTAGTTTGGCCCGATGCCATACTCAACAATATTGAAGATGGTTGCACGTCTCAGTGAGTCTCGTACGTCTCGTAGTCTTGTACTGATTCGGTCTTGTACTTCAATGACCTACCTTATAAATTGAGGGATTATTCAGATTGCAACGTATATCATCTACGGGTTCTCTGTGTGATTATCAGCAGTACGAGTTCAAAACACCGACCATACGTACATTCTATGCTCTTCTAGTGTTGACGGCAAGTTGCGGCTTTACGGTCCGACCAAATTTGCCGGCGGCTTTCGCCTGCCAAACAACTTTCCCTTGTTCTCGACTACGACTGTCCAACTAAATAACCCGCTGTTGCTTCTACGCCGTCTTTGCCCTGGGATGCCACCACACATTATTTCCTCTACGCACCTGTCTTGCTTCCGTGCTATTTCGCAATGTTCATTCCAATTTAAAGTTTGCCTTCCTTCACGGCAGGCCCAATGAAATTAGGCAAGATAAACAAATGATAGATGGAAATAGCGAATCAGAATCACGACGATAGCTACAAGGGCCCCCGGCCTTCTACCAGCCAGGCAAGTTAGTCTTATCTCTGATCCTTCGAGTCTAACATGAGCGAAAGTTTTCGGATCGGGGTCGACGTCGGTGGAACGAACACGGACGGTGTTATTCTCGACCCATTGGCTAACTCTACTTCCAATCGAGGAATTCTAGCTTGGTATGCTTGGCTTAGGCTGTGTTCTCCCATGCTGACCGTTGTTTCTCAGGACTAAACGCCCTACTACCCCCAATCCCAGCGAAGGTATTGAGAATGTTATCACGACTCTATTGCGCGATGCGAAAGTGGACGTGAGCAGTGTGGCTAGTGTCACTATTGGTACAACGGTACGTAGATCTACTCCTCTACTTCGGGGTATCTAATCACCGACATTGTAGCACTTCATCAATGCCGTAGTGGAGAAAGATCAAAACCGCTTGAAACCTGTGGCTGTCATCCGTCTGTGCGGTCCATTCTCACGAGATGTGCCGCCGGGCATAGATTGGCCGCCAGATCTACGGGATATAATCTGCGCGTATTGCGGCTTCGTTGATGGTGGACTGGAACTTGATGGTCAGCTCATCAGGAGTATCAATGAGGTCCAGATTGCCGAAGAATGCAAAAAGATCAAGCAAAAGGGCATCAGGTCGATCGTCATTAACGGAATCTTCTCACCGTTGGATGTGATTGAGAAGCAGGAAGAGGTAGTTGGAGAATGGGTGAAGAAATATTATCCGGAAGCGGATGTCGTGTTGTCTAAAGAAGGTTTGTTTGATTGTCGGATTGCTGCGGAAAAGCAGGATTTGAACACCTTGTTTGTAGTAGCCAACCTTGGGTATGTGGAACGCGAGAACGCGGCCATCCTGAACGCTTCCATCCTGTCTTTTGCACGAAAGACAATCTTGTCGTTCCAGAAAGCGATTCACAGACTTAACCTCGCATGCCCTGTTTTCATCACTCAGAATGACGGTACAATTCTGACCGCACCCCTCGCAGCCATGTTACCCATCCGTACCTTCTCCAGCGGTCCTACGAACTCAATGTGTGGCGCTGCTTTCCTTGTTCAGGGGCGTCATCACAAGGAAAGTATGCTGGTTGTTGATATTGGGGGTACGACTACCGATTGTGGTATGCTTCTTCCGAGTGGACTTCCCCGGCAAGCGGCTTCAGTGACAGAGGTGTCTGGGGTGAGACTCAACTTTTCTTGTCCTGACGTGAAGAGGTACGTTATTTTATGTGTTACTGCTATACCACTGAATGAGAATTTGTAGTATCGGTCTGGGTGGTGGCTCTATCGTCCGCAAGTCAACCCCCATCTTCCCCGTTGACTATTGGCCCCGACTCTGTTGGTCATCGTATCCAACAGGAAGCTCTCGTCTTTGATGGCAAGGTCCATACGGCGACGGATTATGCCGTCACTTCACAGAACCTTACCTCGATTGGGGATGCCGCTCTGTCTCTCAGCATCCTTAATGAAGATTTGGTTAAAGAGTATGAAGTGGTTGTTAAGAGTATGCTGGAACGAGTTATTGACACGATGAAGACGAACGCTGAAGATATTCCGGTGCTTCTGGTTGGTGGAGGTGCCGTTCTGGCTCCCGATAAACTTGATGGTGCGAGTACTGTGGAGAAACCAGAGTATGCTGGTGTAGCCAATGCCATTGGTGCAGGTGAGCCATCTGTTGATTTGAGCATAGCATGGAATTTACATGTCTTGCTTTTTAGCTATTGCGAGGGTTTCTGGAATTGTTGACACCATGGTAAGCACTGCAGAAAAGTCAAACCACGCTGCAATGCAGGAGGTATCCAAAGCTGCTATTGAGAAAGCTGTTGGAAGTGGCGCTCTTCGAGAAACAGTCAGTATCGCTGAAATGGATGATATTCCACTCCCGGTAAGCTTTTCCACGTCTGTTAGGTGGAATTGTATCATTAATGCGTTCTGTTAGTACATAGCAAATAAATCGCGAATTATTGTCAAAGCCATCGGCGACTTCGACTTTTCTGTTACTTCTAAAAGCACGTCTCTTTCTCCGCTGGACGGTGATGACGCCGACGAAGACGCCATTGCGGACAAGAAGCCTCTTCAAGGTGGTTCCATCATTCAAGCCATGACGGCAGCCGAGATAATAGCATACAGGCCAACGGTGAACTCTTCGAGAGAGTGGATTATCAGCGAAATTGATCTGGAGTGGATAATGATTGGATGTTACATCCTGGGTACTGGTGGTGGTGGGACACCATATCCTCAATTTATCAAGTGTCGGGAACTGCTGAGGAAGGGTGCCATGATGAAGGTCATCTCGCCTGATGACTTGCTGGATGATGCGGTGGTTGCTACTGGAGGGGGAAAGGGTAGCCCGGCTGTTGGCATTGAGAAGTTATCTGGGGATGAGTGTGTTTGTTCTGAATTTCCAGTGTTTTCCTCACTAATTATTGGGATAGAATGATGCAATCTCAGAGGGTTTTGTATGCTCAAGTTGGATATCAGCCCACTGCTACCATTGCGCTAGAAATCGGGGGTGGGAATGGATTACAGGGTATGGGCCTTGTGCATCACGTCAATGAGATCCTTCATTGTTATTCTGCAGGTCTGTTTTTAGGAGCCTCTTGCAATATGAATCTCCCCACAGTTGACGGTGACTGGATGGGTCGTGCTTATCCAGTTGGGTGGCAGATTACGCCTGTTGTTTGGGGAGGCGACAAACCGCAATTCATCCCGCAAGTAATCTGTGATGGCAACGGAAACACCATGGTATTGATAAGCATCCCTTGCGTCTTTCTACGTCGTTTAATACTATTTGTTAGATTTTCCTCGAGGGTACAACAGAAAAACTGGTAGAACGCGCTTTTCGTGCAGCCCTGTCTGAGATGGGCAGCCACGTCGCTTGTGCTAGAGGGCCTATTACTGGGGCAAAGACCAAAGCTTACGCTGTCCAACACACGATCTCTCTCTCATGGCGAATTGGACGTGCAGTCGCTCTCTGTCGAGCCAAAAACGAGATCGACTACGTGTCCGAAGCCATCATCTCTGAAGCTGGAGGGCCTGAGTCCGCCAAAATACTTTTCAAAGGCAAGATCGTCCAAATCGAACGTCGCACCGTCATCGGGCACCTGTTTGGAGAGATCACCATCAAAGCTGCGGACGTCAGCGGGAGCAGGAATATGGGAGAAGAGTTTAGTGGGAGTATGAAGATCCCGTTCAAGAATGAGAACCTCGTTGCGAAGACTGTGACGGAGGATGGGACGGAGGAGATCGTTGCATCTGTACCGGATTTGATATGTGTGTGCGATGCGGCGAATGGTGGAGCGATTGGTACGCCAGAGTACAAGTATGGGCTGTTGGTTGTGGTTATTGGGATACAGGCGTCGGATAAATGGACTGCGATACCGAGGGGTATAGAGATTGGGGGGCCGAGAGCCTTTGGGATTGACATCGACTATAAGCCGCTTGGGAAGTTTAATCTACCGGTAAGTGTTATTGATGAATATGTTAAACATTAGAAGGATATGTTTAGTAGAAAATACTACCAAATGACTACAGATGTATTTTCGTAGATCAGCGTGAATGATTGTATGTAAAAGTGTGTAAAGAGTGGAAGTCGCAACGGTCTTCATTGTGGATATCTTTTACAGATACGCTGCTGAAGCGGATGTAGAAGCTTGCCAAAGAGTCTGAGGATCATTGAGGAACTCGGAAAGAGTCAAATTTCGCGAAATATTGCGGCCTTAGTAAAATTTATCTGCTTCAATGCGGTTGGCAAGGTGATGAGGTAGTAATGGAAGGTAAACGGAGACAACAAATTCCCGTACATCATGTTCGCTGCCACCGCCGGTGACCACCGGCGTCTTCTAGGTCGGACCGGAACTCCGGTGGACCTTCAACGCAACACACGTCAATAGGGCGGCGCTGTCGACTTGCACCCCAACTCCTTCACGGCGTTCGGGATGGCTCCATTTTCCGACCCCAGGACTGTCATCACAGGCATAAAGGAAAAGGTTGAGTCCCTTACGGTCCAAGGCGTGTATTCCAACGATATTTTTGTGTGGATCGTCTGACTTACCCCTGGCTAGGTGACAGGCTATACGTGGGCACGGCATTGGGAAACTTGTTGGTATATGGCATCGATGAACTCGCTGGTGAGAGGGACTTGGAAATCAGACTTTCGGATAGTATTGGACTCAATGGCTGGAACAGAAAATGACAGCGAAATTGCATCCTTGGTTGAAGTGAAGAAGAATCTGACACGAAGAGCCATTGAACAAATGGGGTTCATTCGGGACATCAACTCGTTGGTCGTATTGTCGGGTACGCGTCCCGAAGTTTATTGTCGTTTCTGGCTAAGCATTGAGTAGAAATGACGACAACACTCTTTCCTTTGCCCACTCTCGCTCCGTCGACAGTTCTTACTCAGGCAAAGGCGGCCTTTTCGTTTGTTATCCACAGTTTTACGCAGCATTTCGATGCAGAAGGAAAGCCAAGCGAGCCGAATGTAAAGACTATTCCGACATTGATCACGTACCTCGTAGTGGGCTGCCGACGTAAGGTAGTCATTTACACATGGAAAGATGGTGAAGCACAAGAGGTCAAGGTGCAGAACAAGCGCTTTTGGTCGAATTATACGTTGACTGTGTATTTTAGGAAGCACCGTTAGCACATTCACCTAGAGCGATGTCATTCATGACCAACGAAGGCATTTGCTTTGCATATTCCCCAACAGAATATGCCGTCTTCAACATGTCCTCTATGACAGCTGTCGATGTCACGATGCCAATAACTACATCCACCACGGTGTCTGGTATGGGTGCTTTTTCTGGTCTCACGGGGTATATGACCCTTGGTCTTGGAGCCAAGGCGAAACCATCGCTCGCACAAGTTGATGAAGACAATACTCTTATCCTTAAAGACAGTATGTCTTCACCTCATAGTTCCTTAATGATACTAATGTGGGGCTCTTTTAGACGAAGGTTACTTCATCGGACACGATGGCAGAACCTCAAAGACAGGTTCCATTGAGTGGCCAGCGCCACCAGAAGAAATAGGCATGTCATTTCATAATTTAGGCGTTTTCCGCGTATTCATTGTTATGTACGCGCAGCATTTGTCAAACCTTACATATTTTCTGTACTTCCGGCAGGGACAGTTCCAGGTCTTGAGCCTACGTCTGACCAGCATCAAAATCCAAGTTTTTATCCGACGACTGTACTCCAGATCCGATCGGCATTGACCTTACGTCCGACACAGACCATTTCTTATCCGTTTGTCCCTCCTGTAACCCCCACCGGCCCCACGCCACAGAATGCGTCGGTTCGCTTGCTTACTGCCAGCCCCGCGTCAAAATCCCCGTTGTATCTTGTTACGACACCTACGGACCGGACCGCAGCTGCAGCCGAGGGCAGTGCAATATGGCAGTTCTGCATGAAGTCTTGGTCTGAGCAGATCGATGAACTAATTCTGGGTTGTCAATATGCTGATGCACTGACTCTTGTCGACACGATTGACGCAAAAATACTTTCCGACAAGGTATGCAAAACATTGACAGTCGATTGATTCATTTTTCATGTCCATTGCAGGATGCGAGGAAGACGAGAATACGTGCTCTCCACGCTGTTTCCCTGTTCCGGACGTCAAAATTCGATACAGCTATCGACACCTTCACCGAACTAAATATTAATCCTGCGAAGATTGTCGCACTTTACCCTGATGCTGTGGCGGGACGATTGTCCGTAGTGCCGGACCGGTGGATACCTTTGTTTGGCGGACCGGCACCTCCCGATGATGTGCCTTCAACGCCTTCAAGCGACAGTTCAAAAAATGCTAGCCAGGACAATGTTCCCATCGATGCGGTCGAACAGCTGGCTGCCTTCCCCTCAACTGGGAGTATCAGAGGCAGATTCAAGACTGGACTCAGCGCTTTGATAACCCCAACACAGCCCAAAGATGATGATTCGGCATCCATACGTAGTAAAACAAAACGCACTGTTCCAGGTAGGACTCTCGACTTCAATTCTATCAAATTCTCACGCTCGCCGAAGATGATTTTAAGCGGTCGGTTGAGACTTTGGTCAGGTACCTGTCGGATCGTAGGCCCAAAGTCGATGCTGCACTGGCAGCCATGGGTATAACGCCTGCGAACCAATCTCACAAGACACCGTCTCTCAATGAGACCTCAGTTGAGGACCTGTTCGCTCTGCCTAATGCACCTTTGTCAGCACTGACACCTGAGCAATTGCTTCGCTTCGCCCAAATCGTGTACACTGCACTTTTTAAGTCGTATTTGATCATTCGCCCTGGTTTGCTGGGTCCCTTGTGTCGAGTACCTAATTGGTGTGAAGTCTCCGAAGTTGAGGAGGAACTTCGGGCCCATCGTGTGAGTATCCTACATTCAGTGCGGAAATAATGCGTCATTTATTTTCCCTTCACCAGAAATTTGGAGAGCTTATCGATCTATATAAGGGGAAGAAAATGCATGATAAGGCACTGGAACTTTTAAAACAGTATGTGGATACCAGCTTTATCCCACAGATTGTATATTTACTAAAGTTTCATTCCTTTAGGCTCAGCGAAGAAGAAGAGGATATGCTGGACAGATTGCAACCATCTATATTCTATCTCCAGAGGCTTGGGCCGGAGTATCTGGAGCTGATTTTCAAGGCTTCACGTTGGATATTCGACGCCAACCGGGATATGGCATTTGAGGTGGGGCCTGTCGTCTTGTTTTACTTTCATACATTCTAATTTAAGCAGATCTTTACCTCCGAGGATGTCGAGCTCCCTCGACCAGAGGTGGCCGACTATTTGGAAGGAATCGATCCATCTCTTTGTGCGAAATATCTGGAATACCTAATCGACGAGAGAAAGGAGGAGTCTATGGATTTCCATGATCGTTTGGCAGAACTATATCTATCTATGACGCTCATTGCCAGAAAGCGGGGTGACAGTGGCAAGTGGTATTTGACCGGGAAATTCTATTACAGCTATTCATATCAACTTTCCAGACCTGCACAAGGAAATGCACGGAAAGCTCTTACGGTTCATTGATTCGACGAACCATTACAACGTCGACCACATGTACGGAGTATTGTCGTCAGAAGGTACGGTTGAACTCCAATTCTCTCGTCGTCTAGTCAATCATACTCTGGGCCAGATCTTTTCGAAGCCCGCGCAATACTGCTTGGCCGATTGGGACGGCACGACCAGGCCCTCGAGCTCTACGCTTATAGGTTACATGATCACATGAAGGCAGAGGAGTGAGTTCCTTAATGATGTCTTTGTTTCATAACGGCTGATTGATTATTTGTAGGTACTGCAAACGGTATTATCAGCCAGAAGGTGAAACGAGCAACATTTATCTGACCTTGTTGCGTATATACCTCCGACCCACGGTTAAGGATACGCACGACTATCTGCATCCTGCACTGGACCTGATTAGTCGACACAGCCCTCGACTTGATGCCGTCGAGACGCTCAAGCTTCTCCCTCCACTTGTCACCGCTGAAGATATCCGCACCTTCCTAGTCGATGCACTGCGAGCTCCAATTTTTGATAACCGCGTTGTGCGCGGTATCAGCAAATCCCGTAATGACCAACTATCGCGTAAGTTGATGATCCTGCAAACCAAGCGCGTCAAGGTTACGGATAGCCGCATGTATGTCTTCCTTATTTGTGGCTCAAATGTCAGTCTTAGATGCTTATCCTTTGCAGATGTCCACAATGTCATAAGCGGCTGGGTAATAGCGTCATCGCTGTGCATTCGCCCAGGTATTTCGAGAATTTCGGTTCCCCTCTTTTTGCGCTAACATGAAAGTTTCTTTAGAGGTGAGGTTACGCACTATCAGTGCCGTGAAGCATTCTCCCGTCGTTTGAATGAGACGAGGCGGTAGCTTGTTGAACATCCATTTCATTCACACGGGACTGACATGTATGAACAATCCGGATGCTATTCATTTGTACAACAGTGCTATATACCAATACAACTACTAGATTACATTTCATCTACTTTTGTAACTCTACTATAAATACAGTACTTTTTTTTACACGTGTAACGGTACACTTGCATGTTATTGAAGTTAGAGGTATGCCCTCCTTTTTACACCACGCACAGCTTCTTTGACAATACGAAGCCAGCTGACGATTGTGTCAAGATCGTCTAGTGCGCCACCGATTCCTGCTTCTATCTTTCGTAAAAGCAGACGACGAATAGCACGTGTCTCTTCATCGTCATTCTCGACCATGGTTTCCGCCACAGAAAGGGTGGAAGATGATGCATGTGACGCCAATGACAATAAGGACGCGTTGCTGACGCGTGTTGAGGGAAGCTGAGAATATCCTGGCGAAACTTTAACGCCGCCTTCGTTTTCTTCTAGGGCTTGTCGGTAATCCGAGATCATAGCCCTTCTTTTCTATTAAGGGTTCAGTCACAACGAAGAAAAAAAAAAGATAGAATGAAGGGACTGACTTTGACTGCCCTGCAGATGATCCTTTCCGCGCGAGTAATCGATTGGTTCGTTTTTAGTATGATGTGCTGAGCCTACGAGGTAAACTTTGAGTTTTGCGGCTACAAGATTGACTAGGCGGGACTTACACATACGATGGCCTCCGCGATACCGTTCAGATCGCGCTGTGCGGCAGTCAGGACGACCGATGATGTCCGTAAAGCGTTATCGATGGCCATGCCACGGGGCATGGGGCCCTTGCCGGAATCTACCTGCACGTCTTCGGATACCCCCGATTGAATATCCGTGCTGGAAGACCAATCCGATACCACTCGCTTGAACCAGGCTTTCCACTTGGAGGCCGTTCGAGACCTTTCCTCGTCGCTCGGAGGGTCCCTCTTCTTTTTGGAAGGAGACACGTCAAGCGGAGGTATATCCGAGGGAGTAGGCGGCCTGCTACTCTTAGTAGGCGTCGAGGGCTCAGAATCTGTCCATGATAACGACACCGCGACAGCCGTCTTCTGGGAATCTTCCGATTCCCTCTTATCCTTCCTGCTGGGATTAATAGGCTCAATCCCGCGCTCCTGGATCTGCTTTTCTGCATCTCGAGTCACTACGTCAAGGAGCTTCGAAAGTCCACCCGCTGCAGAAGACAGTTCGATAAGTTCGTCAGAGGCTTCCCCGGCGCGTGCGCGAAAATTCTGCATGAGAGAGGCGGAAAGTCGGGTGAGGTCAGAGAGGAGGCGGTCGAGGTAGTCGAGGTAGGAAGGGTGCATGTCGTGCCGAGAGGTGAGGGATGTAAGGCGGAGGTTGTTAATGAGCTGATGCGCCGCGGTGGGCATGTCGAAGTCAAGAGAAGTTAAGCGGTCCTGAGCGTACATAGCTCGCAGGTCGGAGAAGGACGAGAAGGAAGGGATGGAAGACGTAAGTGGACGAATCGTGCGCATTGATAGGGACGAAGCGGAACGTAGGCTTTCCGCATCTTCTCCAAACGCTACTCGAAATTCTGGTTTTGCCACTTCAAGGGCTGTGAGTCTGGAAGGGTAGGCGTTAGTGGCGAGTATGGCGGCGGAAATAATGACGAGACCCACCCTCGAGAATTTCGTAGTTCACGGACGGCGCCAGTTTGGTCATAATCCAAGAGAATCATCAATAGATTGATACAGCAGCCATGCTCGGCAGCAATATGAATACATGTCTCGTCCTCCTTGGTTCTGGCTGCCAAGGGAGCTTTAAAATCCCAGATGAGACGTGAAACAAAATGGACCAATGAAGAAACACGGTCGTCGTCCTGGAAAACATATGCAGAGCTAGCAAGACAGTGCAGCGGAGTGAAATGCTCATGTCTGGTGAATAAAGAAACGTCGGCTCCTGCGTAGTAGAGTGCATCTAGAATTTCCAATGAAGGACTCCGGACGGCGGCGCAATGATGGATGGGGCTCCAGCCCTTGGGATCAGGGGCATTGACGAGAAGATGCGACGAGTGAGAACTTGTACAGGAAAACAGTGGAGTCAATAACGAATGTAAAACTGCCAAATCAGAGGATGTGACGGAGCGAATGATTGCACGAGTTAATTTTGATGTGAACGAGGGAGAAATGGTAGCGGGAATTGAAGGATCAGATCCATCTTGCCCACATGAAAGTTCGAAGATACAAGTTGAATTCAACAATAACCTGCTTCCGGAAGCGGACTATAACAAGATGTTCAATTGTTGCGGCGATAGTGGAGAGAGAGCAATTTACCTTGGCTTCACGCCAACGATGCCGGCGCAGAATCTCTTCGCAGAGATAGAGTACCCGCGGATGTGCCATAGCGAATTGCACGGACGTGCGATGATTCCGATCCCTGAAATCTGGCCGGGCACCATGATGTAACTAAAAACAGCAAGGTCACAGCCGGGGTGCTTTTTTACACCAGGTGGGAACTTACTAAGAGTTGGACGACGCGTAAATTACCATCTCGGGCGGCATCTGCCAAAAGGCCCTGTCAGGACGCGAAAAAGATGAAAACGACGCGTTCGTACACATGAGCGACGTGGCTCCATGGGTGTCCATGCCGTCGACGGAAACGGTGTGGAGGCTGCCCTCCAAAAGGAGACGGACGACGTCGTACATGTTCAGCCATGCTGCCATACCGATGGGAGTAACGCCCTTGAAAGCCTCTTGTGGAGCATTGAGAGTGTACAGGGAAATCTCGGGACGCTCGAGAAGAATCCTGATGACATCCAGGCGGCCGGCAGTCATCAGGGTTTCGTGTGGGACATCCATGTTATCCCAGCTGATGATTGATCTCAGCACAGTTGGACGTGTAACTTCAAAACAGTACTCACTGTTCCCCCGCTACAGCACACATTATCACGGTCCTCTTAAGCGAGTCAAGGGCATTCACGTTGGCACCATCTTCGAGAGCGCGACGGACACCCTCTGCGTCGCCTACCAGTGCAGCCCGATGCAAACCAGAGTTTTCAAAAGAATGTTGAGCCATCGACCAGGAAGATTGAAAGAAAGAAAGAGGAGTGTGTGGGGGAGAAAGCCAAAAAGAAAAAGAAGGATAGAGCCGCGCGCGAAGGGGAGAAACCAAGTCAAAGCTGTTTTTTTGTAGATTTTCTTAAAAAAGTGCGTGGTGCGCGAAGGGACGATCGAGAGAAGCACGAGTTCGTTATATAGCAAGAACGAGGCAAGGCATCAGAATCTTCCCTTCAGGACGGGCTCATTTTGGGCAAGTTATGCGCACATAATATGTCCAGATACAAATTGTTCACACGAGGCAAGTCCCGGCTCAAGGTCCCCGGACGACATGCGTTTTAGGCCCTCTGTTTTAATTTTTGCAGCTGACGTACGGACCGGCGAATTTTGAGGGTTGGCGTGCCTGTTTTGGTAATGTGAAGGGTTACCCACTTGGAACTGTTCTACGCCGTAATAACCATGAGAGTTGCTTTCCGGAAAATGTGTGCGGGTATTTAGAGACTAACCGGATGTAATCATCCCTCTTCAGGGAGGAGGCTTCCCGTCGGACCCGACGTCGAGCAGGCAGATATTTCACCCGACGCTGCCGGCTGCGCCTGTGGGGACTGCAGGAAGAGGAAGAATATTAGGCGTCAGGAAGAGGAAGAGGTCCAATAATCTTCCTCGTACCCACAAATATCTTCTTCGAACTTAACAGCACATGCAGCAAGCAATTCATTCAACAGAGAAATTCCTTCCATCGGAAGTTTAGTACCAGATATTCAAATATTCATACGTATAGTGATGAGATGCGGTTGTAAATATACAATGACGGTTCATAGAGGATGTGCAGGATCGTGATATATAATTGTGATTGTTTAAGAGTAGATGAAAACGAGAAAGCACGGTGAAAACGCGACAGATAGAACACAATGAAGGGAAATTACGGAGGCCGAGGATCTCATGTGAGGTTGATGAACATCCCGGAGCGCTTGTTGGCAGACTCAGTTTAGACAAATGCTTCCCTGCCTAATGTTCCCTGCGATCACGGAGTTTCAGTGATACAGCAGATGAAATCCAGGATAAAGACACGAACCTTCACAGCTTCAAAATTCGCAATAGCAGCCTCCAAATTCCAATTGTTTCTTGACAGGCAGTCGTATCCAAACGGCACAGTCATTCCGGTTCGCTGGCAGATTTGGAGGACAACAGATCGTGCGGGCTCCTCCTACAATATTCATGAGTGTTGCTTTAAAAATGAGGGTAATGGAGACGTACAATCTGCTGCAGAAGCTGTTCCTGACTAGGTTGCTGTTGTGGGGTCGATTCGGCAGGTCCTGACAGATCCTGCGCCTTCTTCGGCATTCGTTTCTGAGCTTGTACGAGCATGGGACCTGGCTTCCATGCTTCTGGACTTGAGTAGCCACGTATTGTCCACTGATCTGACACTATAACAACATCCCAACCGTTCATCTGCGCCCTGACCAACACTTCCGTTAGATATGATATAGCAAGCCTGCGATGGGTACTTACCTGGACCTCGCCGCAGCCGGCGATAGTATGAAAGTTCTATCGAAAGACCTCAATCCTTCTGCTGGCACTACAAAACACGTATTAGAGATCAGGACTCCCTTGTAAAGTTGTTTAAATGGCGACTTACTTTCTGCGAACTGTCCGTGAATCATGACCATCAAGGCAACATCGGTTCCGTGAGGTACGATGATCCCGTCCACACAAAAGTTCTCTCCTGGGCCTGCTATGTCGTGATGTGTTTCTGGGAGTGACAGCAGTGCCTTGATTGTCGCCTCGGCCCCAACATTGAGTCTTGTGTCCTGCTTATCCGCCCACGACCGCATTCTGGACAGATTTCTAGAACCACCATCTTTAACATCCAACCACTTACTCCAATCAAGTTTCTTTTGATTGGGTAGTTTACTGTGAAGACCTTGAAGTCGAGCACGCTCTGGTATGACAGTGTTGACACAATAGGAAAAAGTGCAGGCTGGATCATAGACGTCCAACAGCGACGCGCGATTCTTGTCGAAGGTGTCGAGGTAACGGAAGAGGAAAGAGTTCACGAGATCTGGACTTGCCCCATTAATCATGGAAGGACCCATGTCGAAGGGGAAAGAAGTGGCGGATGGCTTAGGAACAGGAGTCGAGGACGATGACGCTTGAGGAATGTCGAATGCTATTCGAACAATGGGCTCTTGGTCGAGTAATGTAATCGCAGGGAAGCGTCGGGTAACCTCGCTACAACAACCTTGAGAAACCGGAATCCTAGATAAGAAAAACTCTCACACCTCTTATACAACTCTGCGCGACCTTTCTCATACTCGCTCACTTGTAATGGATTGCCAGACAGCATGAGCTCTTGCAGCCGTAGCATTTGCTCTTTTCCAGCTCTGCCGACGATGACGTCAAGGTCCTTGTATGTTCTGATGCTGTTGTTCTGCAGTGACAGTGCCTCGAGCCCTCCCAGATAATGAGAGAGAAGGCTGAGGTGTATGCCGGAAAGACGATTGCGACTGAGATCAAGTTTCATTACCTAGCCGCGAGGTAAGACTTGGACATTTAATGTAAAATGGATAACGCACCGGGGGCTGGAGCTGTTTTGCGAGCTTGAAGATGACGCCCGCCTCTTTAGCGGACCCGCCGTGACCTGGGGGTGTCAAGTTGTGTCTCTTGACAACTTCGTCTTCGATCATGTTCTAGAACGGACAAGTAAGATAAGTGGCACCAAGCAAAAAAAGAATGAAGCATACTGAAAGGTCGAGCAATTGTAAAGCGGGATTGTAACGTTTCGTAACGAACTCTTTCCACGGTTCTATTGCGCTCCTTCGACTACTGGACACCAGCCCCGGACCTGCAGCAGCAGCACCACGGCGCCGATCGCCGGTCCTCCTCAACGATGCGCCACGGATGGACAAAGCTGCTGGTGTCAAGGGCAATGATGATGATGATGATGATGGTGCCATGCGCGTAGCCAAAGAAGACTGCGAGCGAGCGTAAGTTGCAAGATTACAAAGTCCAGCGACGGAAATGAAAGCGTCATCCCTGCGCTGCTGAAAAGATGAGTAGAGTGACAATTACCGTTCGTGAAGGACCCAAATGTGCTTCTATGGCACGCGTTCTGTGCGAGCGAATCTTGGAGGAACCCTTTCGACCTCCTGGTTTGTCTGTAACATCCCGCATCGTGGCGTCTCTGTCGATAAGTCCTGCTTTTCGGAGCGTATTCGACGCGAGAGTTCCAGGTGCGGGAGTTGGACTTGAGAACATGTTATTTGTGGGGATTTTCGGACCTCCGATATTACAGAAATTGAGGGAGAGGGGGGCACCGAAGAATATGTGATGGTGGTCAAGTGCAGAGTCAAAGTCGACTCGCATCCGCGACAAGTGGCAGTGCGCCACAATATTCCCACAATATTTTCTGGATTATTTCCAAAATAGGGAGCTTTATGAGGAAATTATGAGAAGCGGCCGGTCTTTTCTCCCGTCTTAGGAACGAAACGGCCATTCGCCTGCTACCCACCTCGTGACACTCTCTTCCGGTTACCGTCCTAGCACAAAAAAGGACTGTATGGCCTCAGAGCATCTCTCTTATCCAGCTCTAGAGGCGTCCTCGTCAACTTCTACAACAACACCGGCAAAGGAAAGGATCATTAAGGATAGGATCTACGTTGGAAACTTGCACCCATCTATCGACGAGTGAGCCGGTCCGTCAGCTTGAAGTAGCGCTGGCACTGATGCTGCGTAGATACTCGCTACTCCAAGCCTTCTCAAAATTTGGCAAAATCTCTAAATTGGACTTTCTCTTCCATAAGGCTGGTCCCCACAAGGGCAAACCTCGAGGCTATGCATTCATCGAGTACGAAAATGCCAACGTGAGTGACTTGCTATCATTAAGATTCCTTGTTTCTGACCCGGGTCTTTTTCTCTTTCATGCTTTTTCCATCAACTATCACTACCATCTTCGTATCAAAAGACCCGGGGGTAGCTGCACAAGATGGAAGACTAACGATTTTACACATCCAGGATGCTGCTAAGGCTCTCGCATCAGCGCATGACAAACCTCTTCGCGGTCGCACGCTTGTCGTGACATATGCTCATCAGGCGCCGCTAGATCAAGCTGGTGGGAGCAGTGGAGTGGGGGCGAAGCGGAAGTCGATGATGGAGAGTGGACGCCCCACGACGTTGAGCATGATCAAAGGACGGCATAGGGACAAGTACGTCTTCTATTCCATTGCATGTCTCTCGTCGGACAGCACTTATTTACGTTCATAGGACGCAAGACAAGATTGCTATGATGGAAGCGAAGCTTCGTCAAATGGAAGGCGTCGAACATACTACACAGCACCATCCCTCGCTGCCTGCGAAACCCCCTGCTCTGATAAATTCATTGCCCACGAAGCCGGAGGAAAGCGTCTTGCAGGCAGTGCCTATGTCTGACGCGAAGATGAAAGTCATAGAAATCCCAGTGACAGCGAAGCTTCCAGAAAGACCGAAGCCCATGGGCAAACAGGTGGAAGTTAAAAAGCGAACGTCTTTGGCCGGGGTGAAGATTGTGAAACCGCAGCGGAAGGACGGATGAAAGATCATCTTATAGGTTGTCGCGATGTATTTTAAGTTGGATATCTTCTAATCAGTTTGCCGACCATTCAGACATACAACCTTTCCCGCCCTAGTGTTTTAGAAGAATAAGTAGAAATTGGAGGCAGGTATATCGTGCGTTGAAGGCCAGAGCTGCAAGGCAGTATTACGTAGGGAATGGCCAGCAACAATGATGATATCCTATGGGTGTCGGTTTCCTCATCTTCGTGCGCACACTAGTGTCTTCTTCGTCATAAACTCAAACAAGCCGCCAAAATTAGACCTGCGAGAGTGTGTGCTCCACAAATTTCCAGGACATGTGTGAAGCAATGAGTCTTCTTCGTACGAAACGGTAAGCACGCAGGCAAAGGTACTGTCGGGCACTGAGAAACAGGTTCAAGGCAAGTTCAAAGCATGGTAGATAGAGCTGGACATGCCACGCCACAACAAGGAAAACAAGTTCTAAGTGTTTTTTCATACTTAGCAAGCAAAGAAGGATCTGACAAAACCTCTACGCTTTCATGCCTGCTAACTGTCTAGCCATGATGTCGACAAGCCTCGTGTCTGCCGACTCAGCCGCCTCTTTCTGCGCTTTCCGAGTCCAGGAACGGTCCGGCACAAACGTCTGAAGGACTATAACTGCTCTCGTCATGATTTAATTCTGTGGCATATGGTTCTGGAACAGAGGACGGTTCCTCGGCGGCTTGGCCCGCAACCTCGCCTCTCGGTGGTTGAAATTGATCTGCGAGATGAGAAACCAGAAGAGAGGCGTGCCCATCCAATACGACGAACTTGAAGTCCGGTTGTTTCGGTAAAGCAAACGATACATTTCCCTATAGATTAGTATTAAAAATATGGATCTTCGTCGTGATGGTGGCTACTTGCAAGATATATGACTTGTCGTAGCAGGTATTAACAAGTGGCCGGAGTAGCAACGACCAGAAAAGAGTGGTTGGACGTGATATGTCGTTCGTTGACAGAGTCTCAGAAATAGCGCGGAGTGTTGCGACAGTTGAAAGTATCAAGTCCAATACTGACAAGACCTGAGAGTTTCCATTGTTGCAAACTATTCTGGCGAATTCTTGAACACTGCGGCAGATTCTTCGAGCAGATCAAAGGACATTGGTGAAGGCAGCGCATGTTCTGCCGGCAAGCTCCAAAGGGATCTTGGGATCCAGAAGACACGACAAGGGAATTGTTTCTAGTGGCCAGTATGACGCGTCTGATATAGGAACCTAGTCTGAGTCGGGCATTCTAGTGGTAGTAAGATCTGTCTGCTCACGTGCGTGAAGGCATCACTGGTCAAAGTTTAAGTTGTTCCTTGGTTGTTGCTCTCGACCTCCACAGCTGCAATTCATAGGCTCATATCGCTAATGGCAGTCAGCCTCCACAAAGCTAGTTCAGACATCCTATTTCTTTTCAGTCAACGCAAGTTGATTCGGGTGCTGTTCTCAGCCCCGTCCTAAAAGGACTCGGATTTGTGCGAAATACATTTTATGTTCAATAATTTGCAACAGGTTCGACGTACGTTCAAAGCATGGATAGAACTGGGTATATTATAGCAAGGAAAGCAAGTACTAAGCAAACTTCACAGCAACTAAAGAAGAATCTCGAGCTCACGATGCCTCTAAACTTTCATCTCAGCGAACTGTTCAGCCACAATGTCTGCATCCTTGTCAGGTTCGCCTCTCGCTAGCTTTTTGTCTGCTAGCTCCTTCTTAGCTGCCTCTTTCTGCGCTTTCCGAGTCCAGGAGCGATCAGGCAGGAATGTGCCATTAGCGTTCGCTGAAATCCTATCTTGATGCTTCTGAAGCTGCTCATCGCTCCACCGACGTAATCGAAGCAGGAATGTCATGAAATGGTACGCTTGAATTGGGGAAGAGATGTCAAAGAGCCGGATATTCCGGTCCATGATGAAGACGCGCTAGAGTGGTCGTCAGTTCAATGCCGCCATGTTGGATGCAGAGAAAACGTACATCCAATCTTCTCGAGTACCAGCAACAAAGAAGCGCACCCAATGTGCCATTAGTGGCCAAACCAAACACAGGGTACCTGGTTATACCGAGGCTCTTGAGATGCATCACTGCGCTGACAAGATACATCTTGCACTGATTCACGGCCTTTCCATCCTCCTCGTCAGGCTTCTTGTACTCGCCGACAAGGACAGAAATGAGATGTTTTCCGAGAAGGTTCTCGACGATCTTCTCGAGGTCAGCCTGGGTAAGCTTGAAAGTTTTTGTCTCTGAGGCATTGGTGAAGAATGGGCTCTTCATCCGCCGCTTCTCCTCTTCGGTAGGAGTGGAGTGGATGATTTTCTCCTCAATCTTTGGCTGGCTTGGGTGATCGTCCGATGATGGTGGTTTGAGATTATCCCAGCCACGCACCAGAGGCTCTGGTCGGCTGCGTTTCGGGGTGGAGGGTGGGATGGAGAGTGGGAACGCCAGAAAAGAATCACATTTAGCATTATCAGGCTCTTCCTGGGCACGTTTCTTGATCACCTCAGCAGCATTACCAGGATCCTGCATCAACGCCACTACTTCTACCACGTGCTTAGATGCATCGTCCAGAGTCTCGTAGGCTTGCTTCCAAACAAGGTCCCGAGGTCCGTACTGAGATTGAACAGCGCTGTAGGTTTTCGTGCAAAGTCGCACCGCAGCTTCTGCTCGCTCTTCAGTCCTCAACCAAGCATTATTAATGTCTGACACTAAGTCAAGGATGGTGTTTCTCGGAAGTGACAACAGTCTTTCCAACCTGAAAAGCAGTAAACAGACCGAACAAAGTATAATGAACATGCACGTACAGGAGCCGCTGTGAGACAACCTCGCCTGAAACAACAAAAGAGATGTAGAGAAGGAAATCCCAGCAATGTCTGGCTTCGGCCTCATTAGGTTTGTAGGAAAGGCCTTTGGCGAAGCTTCCCATAGAGACACATAAAAGGAAAGAGAGCGAAGAGGAGACGATTTTCATTAGGGAAGGATCAAGTGTGGCATATTTATCTGATTTCAACTTGAACGAAGGAAAGGAATCAGCCACTAACGGAGGATCGGGAGATGTCCCACTCACATTCATTTTCTCCACCTGGTGCATGAGTAGATCGAGAGAATGTTGTACGGCGACATCGACAGATGGTAGAGTATCCTAGGATCATCATATCGTAATTGGCTCTTCCAGGATGCGGGAGTACTAATGCTCACCCATAATGGTTTCTGATATCCAGTCAGTTCGTCGTAGATTTTGGCCATGGCGGTGACCTCTTCATCCTGGGCGGCATCGATGGCGATTTTCTCATCATACGAAAGCGCAGGTCCATCTTCCTTCACCAAAAATTCTCTCGGATCCATCGCGTCAGCTTCAATAAGAGGTAGGCGCGCGACGCTAAATGCGTTCCGGTCGGACAGAAAACTTCCGATGCTCAAAGGATCACTGCTCGTTATTCCAGCTTCAGGCACTTTTGCCATCCTTTATAAACAATGTCAAGTTACGGTGGAACAAAGGCAACGTGGAAAGGGAACAGACGTTGATGCGGACTTGGAGCGAGTGGATGCTCTGATGAGAATAGCTAAGCGGATGTCATGAAGCAATGTCATAGTTTACTCACGAACTCATGGTTGAAGTTTCGCTGCGTAAAATTCAGTGATACTACTCAACAAGACTGAGCTTGAACGTACTGGGATTTATGCCGTTGCTTTGTATTGACGGGGGGCTTGAGGCTACCTTGCGATGTCGATTTGGCTGAGGCAGATCGTTTACTGGACTTGGAGGGCAGCGACATTTTTGTAATTTCAGCGGTGGCGGGAGGATCGATGTGTGCAGACGCCCTGTACAAGAAGGGCACTGAGTTTTTAAGTCCAGCATCTATCGATTAAAACATACGAGTCACCCTGGGATGAAGGAACACCGCGTAACCAAATGTGGATCCTTCTTTCTCTTCGTTCTTCCGGTCCCGATCGATCTTCATCCAATGGAATCGAGTCGGATCGCCATAAAATGGGCTTGAAAGTCGGGTTGGATGATTTTGAGGCAATCCTTTCGACATGTGTACGAAGGTTGAGGATGAATTGCGCCAGTTGAATAGTTGAAACTGGGTCAGTCAGATCGTAGATTCCTAACGAAGAGTCTGGAGAGCGCTCGTCGGAGTATGCAATCCTGACTCCGGGCTGCGGAGATACCACTAAGGAAACATCCAGTAACAAGAAGCAGCAACTCACCAGAGCGTGATCTGACTCAGTGGATCCGTCAACCCAGCCTATCACCACTCGGCCAATGCATCCTGTTTCTGACAAGATGATCCCTACTACGGGCTCAGATATTCCCCACGTATATCGCTGATAGACTGTGCTCTTGACCAGCGGAATAATGTTCTCTCTATCGGTAATGCAGAGAAATGGGAGAGCAACGGAATCAGATTGTCGCCAATGAGAAAGCACATGAGCCTCTAACGGAATATTCGACGACGGCGCTGAGGTCAGCTCTGTCGAAATATCCGTGCTCTCATAGGCAAGATCTTCATCAGAATGGTCAGATAATGGCTCCTCTTCGTCTGAAGGACTATAACTGCTCTCGTCATGACTCGGATTTGATTCTGCGACATATGGTTCTGGAATAGAGGACGGTTCCTCGGTGGTTGGGCCCACATCCTCGCCCCTCGGTGGTTGAAAATTATCTGCAAGATGAGAAACCAGAAGAGAGGCGTGTCCATCCAATACGACGCACTTGGATTCCGGTTGTTTCGGTAAAGCAAACGATACATTTTCCCTGTAGATTAGTATTAAAAGTATGGCTCTTCGTCGTGACAGTGGCTACTTGCAAGATGTAAGATTTGTCATAACAGGTAATAACAAGAGACCGGAGTAGTAACGACCAGAAAAGAGTGGTTGGACGTTGGATGTCGTTCGTTGACATCTCAGAAATTGCGCGGAGTGCTGCGACAGTTGAAAGTATCAAGTCCAATACTGACAAGACCTGCGAGCTGCAATTAGTGTCACCGAATAATCCTGGTGAGCTCTTGAATAGTGTGGCAAATTCTTTAAGCAGCGCAGAAGACCTTAGTGAAGTCAAGGTGAATGTTCCGTTGGCAAGCTCCAAAGGGATCTTGGGACCCAGAAGACAAGACAAGGAAGTTACTTCTAGCGGCCATCCTGATGCGTCAGATATAGGAACCCAGTCTGAGTCGGACATTCGAGAAATAGTGGCGGTAAGTAATAAAGGTACAAAATTTGATAAATTCCTATTTTTAGGTCTACTCACGTGCGCCGCGACGAACGCGACTTTTTGTTCAGTCAAACTTGTTGCTCTCGACCTCCACAGCTACAATTTTTAGGCTCATATCTTCGCTCGAATGGCTGACAACGTCTACGAAGCTTGCGCAGATGTTCTATCTCTCTTCCAATCAATGCAAGATGACTTGGCCGCCATCCTCGACCCCGAAACAGGATTTGCGCCTCAGCTAAGAGCAATCTGTCGGAATCTGTAATCATCATTTCTTCAAGTCCGTTTTCTGTTTAAAAATTAACCAAAAACTACAGAATAGCGGAGTACGAGGAGCAGACTCCCGAGCCCTCAGCTGGCAGTACAGTGGACTTCTTGCGGTTAGAGGAGAATACGTGGGGATTGCTGCAAGCTGTCATGCCGTACGCCTATTCCCTATAAATTTTACTCTCAATCTGATTGATCACAGCGCCCGAAAGACAGAATATCCCCCATTTGACTCTGCACGCGATTTGCTGCGCGAAAATCCCTACACGCCGACGTCGACGGTCGCACAGGCTATCATGAACGCTTCACCACTCCTTTCTGAACTAATTGTCATACGCGAATGGCTACAAGAGACTGCGCCGGCACCACAACATCCTGAAGCCACTACCGGGTACTGGACATTCACGAAGCACAATGTGGTTCAAGCCACTCGAACTGCTGCCGGGGGTAGAAGCGGTCTTGTTAAGGAGATGGATCCAGATGCTGTCAATCGAGGAGACGGAAGAGCTTTGGCCTCGGATGATGCGGTGAGTTATGTTTGGTCTTGATTCATGGACACGGACTGATGTCAAGCAGAACTTTGAAAAAAATCTCACTCAAACGCTGTACTCATTTGTTCGAGCAGGGCGGTTGGAAGAGGCCATTGAGTTGTGTCGAAAAGCGCACCAACCGTGGAGAGCGGCTAGTATACGTGGCTCGCGACTGTTTCAGTGGCGTCTACTATGTAAGAGTTCACTTCGTCCGGAGAGCCCTTGGTCGTAACCTTCTCTTTTCTCAGCGCATGAAACAGCTGGTGATGAGTCTGATGACGATGACCCTGATATGTGGGTAGGAAATCGCAATCGCAGGTTGTGGAAAACGACATGTACAAGAGCTGCCCTCAACACCAACTTGCCGGAACACGAAAGGGTACTCTATGCCGCTCTTGCGCCTTCGCCACAGACGTTCAGTGTACTGAAATCAGCGTGTCGCACATGGGAGGATTATCTATGGGCGCATGTCAGTATTATGTGTGAGGAGAAGGAGTCGATGGAGATGAACAAAATCGGTGGATGTTTTTGGGAGGGTGGGAAGGCTGCGGTAGAGAAAGGTGTTACATGGATTGCCGAAGACAAGCAGGAAGAGGAGGAGGAGGAGTGGCAGAAGGAGGTTTTTCAGGTGCTGGAAGGTCTGCGAACTGTTCCTGTGGAAGATGGGTAAGGAATTCTTTTATATTTTATCGCCCGTGTCTTGATCTGGTCGGCTTTGTTAGACCCAATGCGGACCATCCCTTACATTTCTCCCAGCTGCACATAATACTTGATCGGACTAGCGTGCTTTTGACTACTTTCTCTGATGGTCTAACACAAGGCTTGTACCAGAGATCGTCTTTGGAGTGAGTATTCTTGTTATTTGTCATTCACGTATCCTTAATTTTTGGAAAAGATATGCACCAATGTGCCGATTTTTCGCTCATCTCTGTCTCTTCTTGCAAATGATCGAAATTGCTGTCCCGCCTGCTGCTGTACAGACAATTTTGGAGGCATACCTCCAGGTTCTTGAGGTTTGTCTGTCTTGCGTACTAGTTACTCCGAAGTTGACTGTGTCTAGGCTGCCGGCCAAAGAGATCTCATCGCGATGTACGCGGGTGCTTTGGGAGAGAACGCTATCAACAGATATGCAGTCTTCCTCGTCTCACTGGAGCTGACTGCAGATCCTGCTGAGAGACGGCAAGCCTTGGCACGGGCCCGGGAACACGGACTCGATGTGGATCGAGTAGCGGTTGCTACCGCTGAGCAGACTATCGTCAAGGCCTTCGATGTTCGTAGACTTATACTCATCAGCGATTTTTTGCTAATGAGATAACGTGCAGCTTCTACCTCCTCTAAAGGGATCACTACCTTCGCTCGCTACTTTGCAGACATCGCCCACTGATGCGGAGCTGCTATTGCTGAGGTCGATTGAGTGGACAACGTTCATGGAATCGACATATGATACAGCTCTGGAGCAAGCGAACGTGATCCTACGTTATTTCTTGGGTGTGTCCATCTTGTTGTCGGCGTTTACAGGACTGAATCTTTTTATGTGTAGCGTCCGGAAGAGTACAAGTTGCACAACAGCTCCTTGGGATGTTGCCCTTGGATTTGGCATCAATCAATGAACCGGAGGAGCAAGCCACGGAGTACATGTACTACCGGCAGTTCTTTGTGATATGGGAGGCGCTGGAGAGGGTAGTCGAGATCCAAGCTATGGAGGTGTTGCAAATGAGTAAGGAGACGAGAAATGATTGGCTGGAGGATTACAAGGTATGATTTTAGTCGGCTCGGGGCGAAAAACTCATTGGTTTGGTTTCCAGTCGTCGATCAACCAAGCAAAGTTTCTCATTGTGAAGCTATTAACTTCCGAATGGCTTGTGTCAGAAACCGATCCGTCGAACGCAGACCAACGGACGAAGGATCTCGTACGGATTCGCCAGATATATATTCCTGAGCTGATCATACGACTGCATTATCTGTTATTCAATTCACGGCAGTTTTTCCCTGAGTATGTGGCCTTTCCCTTCCCATTTCGCCTGCTGATCATTTTTCTCTTTTTAGGAATATGAAACAAACGCTGGAGCTCGTCAACATTGTTGCTGATTCACGATACAAGCTGTACAGTGACTTCGCTAATGACGATGGGCGGCGGTTGGGCGACTATTTGGCCGCGGTACGGCAAGGTGTACTGGGTGGACTAGAGGGTGGGGGTTCGGATCCATTTATGGTATTGACGATCTGACAGTTCGGCTCTTATACACCTTCTATGATCCAATGCAGATTCTGTGGCTGACAGTCCACCGCCGCTCTTTCCGAAGAATGAGGAAACGTAACTGTCTTGAGAAATCGTCTGGACAGGTGCTATACCGGTCTCCCCCGATATCTATTCAAATCCTTCCTTTTTTCAGTTTCTTTATGGATTTTCGGACATGAAACACTCAGTGTAATGGGTGGAAAACCAATCCCGCCTTCTTGCTTGCAACGGCTAGTGTGATCAGACGATCGGTCACCAGTCTACCGAAGACCCACATGTGCTAGGCTCTCTTTGAAGAACTAGGGAGAGGACATGTATCGACGGTACACGAGACAACCAGCCAAAAAGAAGTTCTCACTTTGTTGTACGATCAGCTTCATCGATGCGTCTGGGTTGCTTCCAGCTTGCCTGTGCTCAATCCCGAAGTTCTCAATTCGTTCTTTGTACTCTTCGTAGATCACCATCGTAACCGGGTGATTCTCCATTGCCAGCCTCAGCTCGAAGGCAATGTACGGCTGGACATCACCTCGACTCACTATCGTAAAACACAAAGTGTAGACTAGGTCGCGCGTTTACAATCCCTCTTTCCAGTTGTAACTCGATGGGAATCTCGGTCGCCTTGGCCACAACTACCGTGCGCGCAGGCCACGAGAAGATCTTGATCATACTGGGCTTGCTAGGGGAATGCAGGTGCTCAATCCGCGTAGCAACGAGGGTATTAATGCGTCTTATCACTTCATGAAATCCAGTGGTTTTGAACAGGAACTTGATCGGACCAGCCGTTGGCGCAGACCTCGAGAGTCAAGCCAAAGAGCTGGACAGGGACTATGTGGCATTTTTTATCCGGCGATAGCGGATATCACTACTTGCGAACTGTTCCAGGAGGCGTACAAATAGGCGATGAAGGCTTGGTACTAACCGTGCCTGGGTCAGAGTCTACGCGATGGAGTCCCACACAGGACTTGCTCGACCAAGCTCGGAAGTCAGTGCACCGGACCTTTTCTTTTCTAATACAGGACATCTAGCCAAACCGCCCATGATATCATGTTCAAGGAAACGAGCGATGCATTTTTGAACCGTGGAGCATCTCGTTCAATTCTAGTTACATTGAACGAGGACTCCAACTCGGCGTCAGACTCAAGTGGCGTAACGCAAAACATTGCAGAGAACACTACACAAGTGCACGGCACACTGGGTGAAGTCATGCCTCTGGACCAGCTGCCACTCATTTTTGTCAATGATATCAGAGTAGGCCAACCCGAGCTGCAAACTCACTGAATGTGACAGGCGTGACAAACCTCACTTGCCACCTGCCACCAAGGTCGTCCTCAGCTTCATTCTTTACTTGCCTGCATTCCACGAAAAGGTATAAAATTGCTCAAATACATAAAATTTATGACAGAGCACCTTCCAGAAGAGTATGGATGACCACGCCAACGAAATGGAGATCATCGGCGGATATAGCTACACCTTCGCTGACGTGAAGATCATGTCGGCCAGACTAAACCCTCCTCCTCATCCTTTGTGCCCTCCAGAGTCTCTGTTTGCCAAAGTGATACTTTATCTCACGAAAAATAGGCTCTTGGCGACTTCATGCGAGGATGACACTGTACCCGAAAAACGACGCCTAGTTGTAGCCACTCAGTCGAAATGGGTCCCAATCAACAACAAAGGCCTCGCTACTCGCTTTTATCCTAGAGATCCTGAAGATACGCTGCTGAAGAAAGAGTTTTCCAAGATCTTCCCTGGTCTGACTGAAGACCCTGAGTACGTCACCTTGGCAGACCCCTTTTTTGAAGTCGCGTTGTGCGTCCTGTTTTGCGATTTTTCCAATGTCAGGTTGATCCCAATTTATTGTCTAGGAACCCTCAGCAACGTTTGCCTGTTGTGATGACGACTCCAGGTCTAGATTAGCGGTTGATTATGCAGTCTACAGTCATCCACCGGTCCTTGATACGATGAAATCGAGAAGGGCTTCGGATTTTTTTGTACGAATTTGTAAGACAAAATTGAGTACGCAGATGTCTGCTTCTGGATCTGATGTATATATTTCATCACTTTCTTGGGCACGTATGGTAAGAGGAGCATGATATAGACCAAGATCAGTAGTAAAAATCCTTATCAGCTGATTCACCACTCCTTGATATGCGTCACGTCACAGCTGATATGCCTTTTTTGGGTACCATCAATTGAATTAATCATCCCCCATCACTGAGCCGCTTTCACCCATCTCCTCATCTTCGTCGACTTCTTTGGCCTCGTCATCATCAGTACCTCTACGAAATTACTCATCCTGGCCATCTGAGCCTTGCTCATCTATCTCTGTGCCAAAGGTAAGCACCTAGAAAATATTGTTCCCGATTTGGCAATCACATTGTGACACTGCCTAATCAGTCTAATTAGCCTCGCACTGCTGAAATCTCAAAAGCTTGGGGTTCATGCACCTGCTTCACCTTTCAGATTTTGTTTAATGTTTCTTTATGCTATCAAAATGATATGCTCTCCAAATAATCATGTCTTTTGTTGGTTAACTGCCTCTAGATGCAATTTAAATTTCATCTTTTCTTAATTTTGCAATCATTTCAAGGACTGTGGTTTGAGGACCCCACAGATACTGTCGAGATACATATATGTTATAGGTATGATGTATATATATATAATTTAAAAAACTCTGAGGAAAAAGGGTATGTTTTGCAGGAGTAAAAGCCTACTGTATCAAGGAGTGGTGCCATATCAAGGACCGGTGGATGACTGTATATATTCTTTTTGAGAACTTCCATTCAGTTATGTGCCAAAGCCTGTCTCTTTTTCTGTCATGATGTAATTTTGGTATTGTAATTTGTTGTCTCAAAATCATGAGGCAATTATCAAATATCCCCGATTTCTTCCAAAGAATGAGGAAATGACAGAGGGTTCACCTCTGGCAGGGGGATTTGAAATAAAAGTAGACCACTAAGCCCTAATTATATAGCCATCAAATGGGCCTAATGGGCCTGCCTCACCATGATGTTCCCGCTGTGTGATCCGTATCGGGCCACCAGATCTGAGGGCGTGCATAGATGGTCTCTACCGATGTTCCATGACATTCACATTTGGACTGTCGCCTGATGTTCTGATGCTCTTCTCTGAAAGTATCCTGGTTCTGCTATTACTGTTGGGCACTGGTTTATCAGTCAAATCCATCAATGAAGCCATATCCAAAATGAAATTGCTATGGGGGTGTTTGACCTTGTAATATCTAATCACGGTGTAGGCATGGGGCCTCTCCATGGCATTCTAACGATGCTCATATTTTGAGTGGGGGGTAGATATATTATTATTCTTTGTACTGCTACGTAGTAATCCATGCGAAGATACTGTTGAACTATCTTTTGGATGTAGATAATCATCAGGTATGATGGTCCCACTGTCGACTGAAGATGTTATCTGAGGCTAAAATACCAGAGTATCATCCAATATTAGCATACTCCGCATTGCCCCATGCCACATGATTCAATACAGGTCCTGTTTGAGTCAAGTGCTCATCATCTGAATTGACCTCTAAGTATCTGCCACCTGGGAGATCTTGAAACTCATATGGACTGCTGTAGAAGGGGTCCATCTCACTGTCTTGAAGTGCAGGTGGGCCTGGTACTTGAAGCGTGGATGGGCCTGGTACAGCGCTGATTTGTCCAGTTGTCATGGTCTGTCCAGTTGTCATAGTCTGCTTGTAAGCTGGACGTGGCCTTGGATGCTCCCTGACATTCTTGGATGGTCCTATCGATACATGGTGAGATGTTCTACTGTGACAGAAGAGTGCAGCCATACCTTGGTTTGCCTTGCCTGGCTGGGGCTGAGCTGTCTGTATGTTGACAATGTTGCCTTGGGCCATTCGAGGTGCATTACCACTGTTAGTAGAAGTCTCGGTGACCTTCTGTATACTTGACACCATCACTGTGACCTTCTGCTTCTTGGCTCCGTGGCTCTTCCTCTTCTTATGTCCTTTGGGCTCGACGTCAGTATCATTCGCCAGTTCTTCAAATGCGATCCTCTTCTCGCTGAGCTTTGGATCAGGACCATCTTTCTGCTTGTTTGTGTTCTAGGAATGAACCAATCTGAGCATCCATTGGACCTTTGCACATATATAGTACATTACCTTAGTATTCTGTCTTGTGCGCATTCGTTTGGAATCTGTTGGAGCAGGTTTTGGTACCGCTGCTTGCACAGTCCGAGAGTGCGATGTCTCTGTCTCTGCACAATACACACCTTCATGATATGTATTCGTAGTGATATCTATAGCCATGCATACAAAGACATATGCATTAGCATCTTGATGGCCAGTAGGAGCTTCTGTAAATGAGACTCAGTATGAAATAAGAGTAATAGTCTACTAAGTGGGATTATACGAGCTATTTGGATTTCCGAATCTTCAAGAGCCTTTGCGAAATGTATTCTCTGACTGTTGGTCAAAGACAATGCACTTTTGCTTAGGTATGTGGGATCCAATTTGTCATTGATAGGAAGCGGTACTATTGGCGGCCAGCCAGTGAGAATCATGTTGCGTTCCTGCAGCGATTTACCCAAACGCCTCCAGGGGCATGATCTGTAATCAGGATAGCCATCCCGCGTTATAGGCAGAGCAAGTGTATCATGAATTGGGACATCATGGTACACTGTCAAGCCATTAAACAACACTTTTCCTTGGTGGAAATTCGGACTACTTACCCAGTAATGCACTAAAGTTGACGGTGTAGGAAAGATGTGCCGATTTTGCATTATCTGGCCTGTATAGCTTGTAGGTTGAGAATGCCTCTCTTGCTTTGCCTGCATCCTTCATGACGGTGGTTGTAGCAGTGGGAGATTCTTCATATGGTAGGAGAACTTCACCATTGACAGAAGCGGGAATGTCAGAACCACTAGGACTCGTGATCTTCTGCTCATGCTGCAGCTCTCTCTGTCGGTGCAAACTGACTATGCTGTCTGATTTTCAGTTTCTTTTGAATAATAATAATTATATTGTAATAGCATAATAGTATCTTGACTCACTGAACATATGCCCGAAGGTGTGTAGCGGCCCAATCATTTTTCAGACATAGTTTCTGATCTGCAAACTAGTAGAGCCAATATTAGCTGTAGATACCCATGAAAAAAACAACACAATACATACCCCTTTTGCAAGGCCGGTCTCATGGAAGGTCTGTCGTCCTTTGGATTAGTGCCAACAATAGCCATGATGGCCTCGAACCCATCCCATTGGGCATGATATTCCAGCTGACAACCTATCATTAATAAGGACAAAGATAGACACCTCAAGACTTACCTGCTTTGCAAGCTCTTGAAATGTATTCTTGAAGACTGACTGATGCTTTTCACATGTTCTCTGCCCTGCATCGAGGTCCATAACTTTGGCATATTCTACAAGAATACCCTTCCACTTGTCATTTGGGAAAGACTCCTTGAAATTGCTATAAGCCAGAGATGCTTGGTCTTGATCCCAAGACTCGTTGGGATGTTCCGCTTTGTACTTCACAAGGAAGACATTCCAGTACGACATTTTGTGGGCGACAACAGTCAGGAATGCGCAGTTGATAATGTGTGATAGTTGAATGGCAGCATTGATCTTTGTTGTCTCCTTGATAACTTGCCAGATCTGATTCGCAGCTTCCTCAATGCGAGAGACAGTCTCTGCCTGCAAATGACCAGTGCGACAGGGTTCAGACAACTCAGCTTCAACCTCTGAACATGGTGAAGGCTTGTCTTCCACCTCAGATGCATTGTCAGGTATGCCTGACTGTGTCAGAACATCCATTGGAACATTGTTCAGTGCTTCAAACCCATCACCGGTCTCTATGAAGGATGCCTCATCATGAGCAGTGGAAGGATGAAGATAGGTATTAGCTGGTGTACTTGGGATGCCGGTGTTGAATGAGAACTGATCAAGGTTCCTAGTAGCTACTGGAGTTATAGGTGAAGGGGCCATCACCTGAAGCATAGGCACAGCAGGCTGACTTGGACTTTTAGAATGCCCAGCTATGCCCTTCAACAATGGTTCGACGTTTCCACCAGCTATAGGTTGACCAGCAAGACTTGGGTAGGATGTCGCAAATGTTGCAGTAGAGCCCAAATCTGTAGGCCTTTCTGTTTGCAGATGTTCCTGGGAGGTTCTGTGAGTAGTAGAATGACTGATGGAGGCAGCTGAAGATGGACAGGAGTGAGCATGGTAGTAGGGTGACTTGGACCATAGATATCCCAACTTCGTCGGCCTCACAGATGGCAGTTGTTGAACTGGTGGACCTGCAGACAAAGGTCGAGTGGATGGTAATGGAAGACCCTGCCTACTAGTCTGTTCAAACACCGACTGTGAATGTTCAACTCTTTTTCTTCCAGAGAAATCGATTGGAAGGATTTTATATCCTTGTAGTGGTTGTCGGGGGAGTGGAGATGGAGAATCAGGGTCTCTGCATGCATCCATCTGCAATACCAACAGTGTACTGTCACTCAGCTGCAGAAACCTGATGGGATGTGGCGAAGCCATTGCTTCATTGAAGATTGACTCATCCTGCTGATCTGAGCAGCATTGGAGAGCACTGGCACCTTGCATGTTGGGAGGGTTTTGTGCAGAACTGGCCAGGGCTATACAACAATGAGCATCACATTGTCTCACAAGAGCAAAAAATCGCTCCATGGTTTCCATTCAGATTCTGTCCCTCATTCAGATTTTCAAGTGGTCTTGATGCTACGGGTGAAGAGAAGAGTTCATCCTCCTCTTCAGCAAAGTGCTGTATCGCAATGGGTGGGTGCAAGAGGGTAGGTGGATGGTCATTCTCCAGGTTGCTGCTTGCCTTGGGATCGTCGTCTTCCTCCTCTTGCTCAGCCTGAGCATAGTATTCTTCCCTCGACATGTATTCTTGACCACTATCAGCAATTTCCTCCTCTTCTTCTTCATCCTCTGAAGGTGTCAGGATACCCTCATGGACCTTTGCACTTTTATGAGGCCTGGACATCTGAGATGCAAGCTGTCCCAAACCTCCGATAAAACCAGAAGATGAATGAGTGTCCCACACAGCCTGCAATTGAGTCTGAGACTTTAATGTTAGGAGTCCATTGATTCATATTTCGGAGAAAAAAGACCCATGGAATGATTCATTTGAGCTTGGCTCTTTGGACACACTGGAGGCACTTGGCCAAATTGAATAATTCCTGGATCATAGTGCCTGAAAGATGCCAGAGGAGGAGAGTGCGACATAATAGCTTTTAGCACACCAATCCTACTGTCTGCATAATGGAAAATGAGCCCCTCTTTTGTCCGATAGCTCAAATTAATTAGTAGCACACTTATGACGCTGTTTTCCATCTAAATGAGAGCGTTTCGCTGTCCTTTGAATACTTGGGAAGGTTGGAGAATGGAGTACAGACGAATGTCGAGGTGAACCTCCTTTTCTGACATTCGCTAACTGCCGTTTGGGACCATCAGTGGAAATTGCGAACGTCTGGGAGCATCTGGGTTGGCAATATCCAGGTGAGTATTTCTATACCCCTTCATTAGTTTTCACCGTATTTCCTTGACCAGGTCTCGGGTGCACCTAATAAGTAGATCAATCGATTCATAGACTTCTGCCCATTCACAGATACCATTCTTTTCCAGCCTGTTCAGTCAATCTGTTAGTGTCTCGTACAACTCAATTTTGAACTAATTAGACTTACGATCCATATAGATTTCTCGTTCAAGTCTAGGGTCTTCTGTAGCAACATAGCAAGACACTTGTAGGAGCTTCATAGAGTGCTATACATGGGCCGGAAATCAAAATACACTACCGAGGAGGACAGAATCAAGACTTGTTGCCTATCTAAAGCCAAGTATAGAGCTAGTGAATGGTATGTCCACACCTGTGGTGAGACTCTTGCAGCGATTGATGCTGAGCAGAGGAAAAGAGAGCCAAAGAATGGAGAACCATAAGATGAATAAACACCACTGTGGTCGGCAAGGAAGTTTGCTTTGTTGTAATTCCTGAGAGAGTTTGCCACGCACACAACTTCTAGATTCGCTTGTACGTCAATGCCGTTTGATAGATGGCTGTATCGTTGATGTAGATCCTTTCTGCAACAGACATTTAAGGATGCCCGTGCATACTCAACAAGTCTCCAACATCAAGAAGAACAAGCAAAAGGTGAGAGCCATTATAGTCACTTAGCTTTTGGAGATTGGAACGAAGGCATAGTCAAGCTCACTAGGTCAATTGCAGAGATAGAGGCCTGCATATCAGAAGGTACAAGACAAGATACTACATGGAATAAGCTCCGTTTGCACTGTCTCCAGGTGGAGATGCAAATATGCAATAGCGGTCAATTTTTTCTAGATGAAGCGTACAAAGAAAAGCATCTACCATGGCAAAATCTATAATATATGTATAAAGCCTACTTATTCTGACATTGAATTCCATGTTGCGAGTGCTAAGACCATAGAGAGGCAGTGGGTTCTGAACTTTGAGATGTCAGATTCCGTGATTGCTGTCTGTCAATACCCACGAAGTACTGCACAGATCTGTGACAGCACCCAAACCCCAGAATCATAACCATTATGCTGTATGGGCATGGCCTGTATATGTATGCAAGTTAGGGCAGCAATGGTAAATGAAAGAAGGCTCACAATCAATCTTATCATGGTCCATGATGCCAGACTCGAAGGTGGAAGTTCATATCCTTGCTTCCTTGCACATGCAGTAATCATTTTGACGAAGTGAAGAACATCCTATGATGCATTAGAACTTATCATGGGAACATCAGTAGTAGATATCCAGAACATACCTGAATGTCTCGCTCAGACTCAAGAGCATCAGCGAGGCTGTCAAACAGCTCAAGAGTTTTCATTGTAAGATTCACCATGGCCACTGTCCAATGAACCTGATGTTTGCAATGTATCGGAATGACCCACTGTGTGTACATCCAGAACTTGAGTTTATGTGTATACCTCCATATCGTCTCAGATTCTGACTCGTCCCTCAGGGCAGCAAGATCATACATTGAGAAGAGAACAGTTGAGGATTCTGGGAAGGCATCAGATAGCAATGCTGCACATCCATTCATCATGTCATCATTCAAAAGTGCCGTAGAGGTATACAGACACCGTAAAGCATCCACATCAAACACAAGTTTGGCCCAGTTCTTCTCCTTGCATCGTGGCCGATAATGAGCAATGTCTTTGGTTGCGAGACACTCAGGAGAAGGAACATTGAATATAATATCGATATCCAAGTTGCCGTTTAAGCCAGACTTCCGAGGCTAGGGAATATTCCACATTCCGTCAACAGATGAAGACAGGTAAGTGGGAGAGAACTTACGGTGCCCATGTCGCTTGCTTTGAAAGACTCAGAATCATCAGCACTAGATGTCACTGAGATGGTATCATTTTCTGAGTATGACAGAACTTCCCACGTAACATCAGATGGACTCAGACTTGGGTCAAGATCATCAAGAATGTCTGCAAGGCAGTCTGATTCATCGTTTGAGATAGTGTCCCCATCGTCTTCATCGTCGTAGTCACTCTCAAACTCTCTGAGTATTGAGGTGAAGGTCTGGCCAGATATATCTGGGAACATTCCAGAGACAGCAATGATGGTAGGTGGGATGAAGTGGATGGCCAAAGATGAGATTCCATGGCATATAGAATGTGCAGTCCGCGGTGCAGATTGAACAATAGCATGCCAGCGCATATCAGAAACGAGTGGGTTCTTCCATCGGTGCTGAAGTGCACATGTTTGTTCGTATCTACGTTTCAGTGGAAAGAGGAAAGGTGAATCTAGAGAGCGTAAATGGGCGATTTGATCTTTCAGACAGAATCTGCTTACCTGCTTCAATGTTCTGGAGAGATATTTGCAGAGCAACAAGTTCCTGTTCAAACCATGTAAGCAGGTTGTCTGCTTCCTGCCCTAGTCAATGATGTTCCTCCAAACAGCAGTTGAGTTGGAGTACCACCCGAATTCCCTGCCAGACATTCGCATCCACGAGCCATGCAGGTGGTTCAGTGGGTACCATCTGCATCCAGACATCTTGCATGAGGTCATTGTCATTTCTGAGATGTGCCAAATCCGTTGACAGGTGGCGAGGCAAAGGGAACTGAATATTCTTCTCTGTCGCAAGTTGCTCCAGCTCTCCAACATACCCATTGAACTTCTGAATAGCTGCAAGGAGAGCTGGCTTCTGGTGACTGATTGATTTTCGTTGATGAGCCTAAACTTCCATGGCAACGGCAAAAACCAAAACTCTAGAGGAGTTCATGGCAAATGGCATGTAGTGGCAATAAAGGCTTTGTTGTTGTGTGAGTGTTTCAGTGCACCTCCGTGTGATGAATTCCTCAAGAACACAAGTATACACTGCGACTTTTCAGTCAGCGAAGTAGTACCCTTAACGATCAAGTACTAGAAAGTGTTGGCTGTAAGCCGGGAAGGGTCTCGATAGATGAGAAGGAACGGAATCCAGTATAACTGGAAATACTGGTGATGAGCCTCCAGGCTCTGTACACTCAGAATTCACAGATTTTACCAGATATTTAATTCCCCAGCCACCACACAAACCTACTATTTCGATCCCGGCAATATTGCTTAATGCTGCCAATTATCCTTCCCCACTTGTACCCCACATCAATTACGTGCCCCTTTCACTAATTCCACCAGTCTTCTTTCATTAATTCCACCAGGCACCTGATTGTTGATCTCACGGATTTAGAATCCCATCTGATTGCCTAGCACAGCCGCAATTCCACAGCACAGCCACAATTCCACAGCTCAAATAGCAATTCTGTTACGTGCTTTTTCCTTTTTCTCACATTTCGGTTCTCCAGTACCCTATTGACTCATATACGCTTAGTACCATGAGACACGGACGTCACACTCCAACTTCTATTCAGACTATGACTGCCAGCTCATTGTACCACTACGGACTTATTAATCACTATTCTTAGAACTACTCTTGTGTATTTAAGCAAGCCAAACTGTGGCCTTAAGCCCCAGCTTTGGCTAAGGTTTATATACCTAGTTATCGACTCTATCTCTCTTGCCTAGGCTGTCTAAGTCAACCGCTAAAAGACTACTTGCGCCTGCTCGTTGTATGCTTGACCGAAGTGCGAGTCATGTCACGAGTTTGACCTTGTTTGTCATACTAGTGGCTTACATTTAGCCAAAGCTTTTCTCAAGGATCTTCATTGTCAACCATGACAGTGAACATCACCTATGAGCAGCACCACATCTAACACGTTTAACATCTTCGCCGATTTCTTAACTGCTATCATCGTACTCATATTCTGTTTCCTATATGGATACCTCCGATATAAACAATGACACCATGCCAGAGTCCTGCAGACCCCCGCTTCTGGGAGAGTATACTATGGGCTCGATGGGCAACCTAGACGCACCCCATTCCACTACCGAAACGCCAGCACCTTCAGATTCAGACACAGCACTTCGACGTCAAGGAACGAGGACGTCCATGCCGACATCCCAGTCCAGCGAGACAAAGAAGACGTGGAAGGAGAGGTTCAGATTGGCGGAGTTGAAGAGCAAGACGACGCCGACAGAAGGGAGCAGCGGGTCCTCACAGACGGGATTCTTCGGGCATCTGCAGACCCCTCGGATGAAGAGTACGGAATCACCGAAACAAGGGTCGACCCCAGCACTGGAGGAATCATCGTTGGACCAGGAACTCGTCCCCATGCAATCTGCATCTACCGCAGGACAGAGCAAGGGGAAGAAGCTGTTATGGCCTACCATGAATTCTTCCCCCACGCCCCCGACCCAGACGAAGTCCTCCAGTCAGAAGAGTTCTACTCGCAGCAGCAGCACGACTGGGCGATCATGGACGCATGGCACCAAGCCAACCGGCTCCCCCCACTCGAGGACGGGGAGATACCAGAGTTCGACCTCCAGTACCCAGACTCACCCACTATCCCTGGATACCCAGATCTCAGTATCGCATCCGGAAGGAGCAACGTCTCCACCAGAGGAAGCCCACCCCTCAACCCAGGAGAAATCTCAGATGTCAATCCCCGAGACACCTCAGGCCCAGACTCCTACGTCTCATGGGTCACGAACAACGGGGAACATAACCCCTACGCAGTTCGGGATGAACTTGCTGACCACCACCTCAGCCCCTATGGAGAGTGCCACAGAGATCTATGCTGCCGGCTTCAAGCCATTGCTGAGGACAGAAGGAGAGACTGGGAGACCCCCGAGCCCCTCGTCCCCTACGTCAAGTGGACCATGGGAGAATACGGAGAAGAGCCAGCACTGGCCAACTTCTTCTTCAACAATCCCATCCATTCAGAGTGGGACGTACTCTACAGGAGATTCCAAGACTTCGCCAGAGGAATACGAAACCAGAACCGTGCCCTCGCCCATAGGGGAGGTGCCCACGTACCAGAGAGACAGGAATACCCTATACTACCACGACCCGAGGACCAGCCCCTCTATTTCTGGCCTCAAAATACTGAAACCCGCATCTGGAACCGCTGGTACCCATGGGAGCGGGCAGCCCTCACCGACTACCGCTACTGGCTCACATCACCAGACACTGAGGAGTCCACGCCATATCCCTGATCAACTCCCAAACCCTGTGAAGACGAAGACCGTAGCTGAAATGGGATGGTTAGAGCTTCTGGAATGGCAGGAAAGGTCCCTGGCCAACAAAGGGTCATGGCTGATCTCGGAAGCCGCCGAATTTATGTACCGAACTGAATTGCCCAATAAAGTCCACAGTGCTATCTATGAAGATGAAGTCAAGTACCATGCAGCGAAGTTATGGAACCAATTACATAATGACCATGCCAACATACTACGACCATTCGAGCAACGGAGTTACCCACCCTATCATTGGGCGGTGATTCCAACTGCACCCAAACAGGAACCGCCTTCACTTCCTCCAGAAAGCAAGCTAATCAGAGGAGCACCAGCGGAAGGAGCCCAAGAAAGCGGGGACTATGGGGACCCCCCCACAGAGCCAGTCTCCCAGCACGCAAAGGCTACACGTCCAAAAAGACCCCCGCCTCCACCTCCAATGCCTCCAATGCTGCCATACAACCCACACCATGACTATGACCTATGGTCACTGCCCGAGCTAGTAGACCTAGAGCTACCCCCCGATCCACCTGGACCGCCTCCAGATAGCCCTGAACCATGGGAGTTAGAATCCGCAGAACTGCCATGGGGGGCAGTTCGACCTAAAATGATGAAGACCTCGGCACCTTTCACCGGAGCCTCTAGTGACGTAAAGAGGTTCCTGAATGGTTGCGAAGACTACTTCAACATTTTCCCACAAGAATTTCCGATGAGCGCAAGGGGATACGCCCCCTCCAGAATCATGTTCGCCACCTCCCTAATGGAGGACAAGGTGCTGGAGTGGTGGACGCAGAAAAGAGAGCAGCTATATGACCCCATCCGTCGCCACACCCGATATCCGACATGGCCCAACTTTGATGCAGAAGTCAGGGAGAGGTTCTGGGAAGTGGCAGAAATAGAACTGAAGAAGGTCAAATGGAAGGCGTTATGACAGAAGAACTTTAAAAACGCCATCAAGTTCTTCCAGGAATTCGAGATGTTGGCTATCGAAGCCAAGAAGTTCAGAAACGATGATGAGCCTCCAGGCTCTGTATGCTCAGAATTCGTGGATTTTACCAGATATTTAATTCCCCAGCCACCACACAAACCTACTGTTTCAATCCTGGCAATATTGCTTAATGCTGCTACTTGTCCTTCCCCACTTGTACCCCACATCAATTACGCGCCCCTTTCATTAATTCCGCCAGGCACCTGATTGTCGATCTCACAGATTTAGAATCCCATCTGATTGCCTAGCACAGCCACAATTCCGCAGCTCAAATAGCAATTCCGTGGCATTAGCTCTAATGCCGTGACCTTTCCTCAATCTTTACTAATGCTGTTATACTGCCAAGATATTGCCGCAAGCATCTACTTCAGTACACTTGCTTCGATGTACTTTGCCACAGCAACACAGCAGCTCAAAATTCCGGAGATCGGTGGCATTCTTGCTAATCACTTCATCTATATGCGGTAAATCCATATGGGTGCTGTTACTTTCAAACCACAGTACACAGTAAAACCGTGTGGGTGCTGTTACTTTAGAACCTTGGGAACATGTGTTTGGCATCATTTCTTACCAATCTATGTACTATGGACTTACTAAGGACTCGCTTCAAGTATTCTAAACTTATTCTGGACTTGTAGTATAAAAGCTAGTATACACCATGGAAAATAGGTGGTTGCTAGAAACAAGTTACTGGACACTAGCCATCATCCACATTATTGACCACCGTTATCGCTTGTACTCGCTAGGACATAGACAATAACAACATAGTCACTCCAAGTTATACTCTCTGTCACAGCTTTTCTTCTAACGGTATTGGTGTATGCTCATATTGCACCAATACACGGAATTTGGTGTCCATAACTCGCTTTTATCTTTTAATCTGCCAGCATCATTTCACTTTCACCAGCCAGGATCGTTTTCATCAGTTTTCACCTTCTATGTCGCCATCGTTTTACCCAGTTCAGTTCAGGATCGTTATGTCCCCGTGTGGACTCAGATTAGGATCATTATTGCTGCCAGCAGCATCTGTCATGGAATTTTGGTCAACAGCTTCAGTATAGGATCATCAGTCACGGTATTTGGTATCTTGCCGTCAGTTTCAGTATAGGATAGTCTCCGTGTAGACTCAGGATTAGTATCAGTTTCGTTTTGCCGTCGTTAACCTCAGTATAGTTTCAGTTTCAGTCCAGTCCAGTCCCAGCCATTGTTTTGCCGTCACTAGTTCCCCCTCATATCATTGCCAGTTTGTCTTATCTTCGTTTTACCGCCAGTTTCTCGTTTCTCGACTACAGTCTTCGTCTCTTGCCGTCACGGTATTTGTTATCTTGCCAACAGTATTGCTCTTTGACGGCATTTTCTCTAATTCCATCAACATCGCCCACGGCTTTTACTAGTTAAATTGCTGTCACTTTGTTCATGGTTTGCTGGTATTCCCAGTTATACCGGATTCCGTTCCTTCTCGACTATCGAGACCCTTCCCGGCTTACAGCCAATGTTTTCTAGTACTCAATCGTTAAGGGTACTACTTCGCTGACTGAAAAGTCGCAGAGTATACTTGCGTTCTTGAGGAATTCATCGCACGGAGGTGCACCAAAACACTCGCACAACAACAAAGCCTTTATTGCCACTACACGCCATTTGCCGTGAACTCCTCTAGAGTTTTGGTTTTTGCCGTTGCCATGGAAGTTTAGGCTCATCAACGAGGAGGAGATGACGGACACGGTGAAAAATGCCATTCGCACCTGCACCAAGGACATCATCATGCACGGAGATAACAACTGGCCCCGCACCTACAAGGAATGGAAATGGAGGGTGAAATGGATCGATGAGAACTACCACGTTCATATGGCCGAAGAAGGAGCGAAATGACCCCCGACCAAACTGGCTACCCAGAAAGCTAGCAACCCCGGTACTACCGACCATAAAAAGGACGCCACTGGTGATATGCCTGGTATCAGGCTACCCATAGATTTTGCGATTTTACATCAGTTTATGCAATCTACAAGTGGTACAGAGAGCTACAGTGGAGGCTTCGCGCTGGTAGCTAAATACTACATAAAGAATGAAAGCATGGTAGTACAGAACGGACTTAGAAACGACATCTCAAAGAGTCCATTCTACCAGCCGTCAACATGCCAAGCTAAGCCCCACCTAAACAAGACTATTACAGTCAAATCTCGGGGACTCGTCTGTATGGAGTATAAAAACCAAGAAGTTAAAGAATGGAATGAACTAGATGCCTTGTCGCCTTGACGAGTAGAAAGAACCTGTCAAGAAAAATTGCTAAGTTGAGAAACAGATCAGCTTTCGAGATCAACTCAGGCTAGGAAAGGAATAACCTTGGAAGAATGAATAGCCGCGTTGGGTACCAAGATGACCGACCTTGATTGCACAGTGATCAACAGAATATAATCTCGGACCTGCAGTTGATCATGATCAGTGGTTACATCCTTGAGATCCTGTGCATACCGCAGTATTCCATACATATGGCACACGGCAAGCCTTGCAGACGGAAGAAGGAGCACCCACGGACTAGTAGGGCACTCCTCGGCGACAAAATAACCTGGTGCAGTCATGTCAAACTGAATAAGAACTATGGAATGGCGCGATACTTGTAGGATAGTGACTCACCGTTTGTATTAATTCCAAAGCTCGTACCATAATTACTGTAGATACGGGCTCCTATACCTAGAACACGAATCATATAAATTAGCAGCGACTAGACGCATAACGGCAGGAAAGCATTCCCCCACGTTTGTGCTAGTAGCCTGTATAGCTACCTAATCAATCACTGGTTTTATTGCATATCCTCGACTGAAGTGAATTAAGTTACCAAAGTCAACCCATAAGGGCGACTACAGTAATCTAGAAGAGTTAAGTAGGAAGTAGAGCTGTCCCCGCATTTGCGTCTTGCTAGTTAATTGAACTGCTCTGCGGACAAAGGCCTCATGCTCTCTCTCTCCGAGATTAGCAATCTAGACATGCTGAGTCAACTTTAAGTCAAAAGACCTCATCTAGTTGAAGTAAAATAAGCCCTAGAATGCTTTAAGTTCGAACAATCGTCGAGTTCAAGGAACTCCAGAGTCTGTGTACTCTTTGCAAGTCTTGTACTTGAAGTCAGAACCTGAGCGTTCTTTGTAGAGTGATTTTGCACTCTTTGTAGACCCCGGAGTCTTTGGTTGTTTGATTATTTGAAGTGTCTGCTAGAAGCTCTTCTAGACAACGTCGAAATGAGTATAACTTGCTCAACTATACCTTACAAAACAAGTTCATAAAACCCTGCTATCGCGGACTAGTGTACTTTGTGTAAAACACATTGAAAGAAGAATTGAAGTTGGTTTCAGACAAAACCCCACTAGATTATCTAAATCTAAGTACATCGCGAGTGCTTCTATCGTACTCACCCTCGAACTTATATACATTGGTGATAGTGTGTGTGTGTGTGTGATTTAGTATCTAGATTGATGATCTAGATGCTTGTTTCATTTGTGCGCTGCCCATTACTGAGCACATCACCGGCACCACTTATGGGGGGCAGGGACTGCCCATGGAGGTAGACCGCTTGAAGCAGAACAGGCTGTGCTTCCGTTGTGGTGGACCCGGTCACATGGCAAGGGACAACAAATGTGACCCTGACCCCTCTAAATGGAAGATCACCCCAAAATCCAGTCCGAACGCCCCGAAAGCAGGGCAATACAAACTATCCAAATCAATGATCTGCACTATGTTAAACGACCCAAACTGACCAGAAGACTTGGCCGACACCACTCAAGTAGAAGAGGTAAAAGACAAGCCGACGAGGAAGTAAGCAATTCAGTCGTGTCGGCCAGGACATTAGTTTCAGATATACATGTACGTCACTCAGCGCATTCGAATATACCCCCGTTGCCGTTAAAGACTACAGAAACTAAACAAGAATCGCATGGTAAGGATGGCGTAGAAGGGGATTACCACCGTCCAATGGACAATGAACCCCGAGGACCTTCGAGTCCGACAGACAGGCTGGAGCCATACCAGTGCAAGGTGGCTCCTGACATCCACAGAACCAGGCGTCCAGGTGAGGTGAGGGATGAAGCCGATGGCAGTACTCAAGGCCCAGCGGACCCAGTGCCCAACTGTTTTAAAGCAGAAGGGAGACCCCCAGCCTCGCTGAACTCAGGTGTACAGGGGATTACCACCACCGACACAGGTACTGAACCCCAAGCCCAAACTAGCGGGAAACTCAGTAAGCCAATTGATGAGAAGACTGGAGTAATGCGGGACGCAGATGCGGCAGCGAAACAGCACTCACAATGCGCGGCTGCCTCAAGAAAGGTCGACCCTTGCCATACCCTGACCAAGAGCAAGAGCGACCAAATGCCACCTCTGGGCCTATCTTGCCCCAATGACCAAATGCCATCGCAAGACTTGCACCACTGACCGGTCACTATCGAGGAAGTACCCGACGAAGAAGACAATTACAGCTATTTACACCCCAAGGAGGCATATGCGGAGGCGAAGGCCCGACTCAAGGTCATGGAGTACCCTCAGCGAACTGGGACCAAATGCCCCCAGGCCTACTACCCATACCAGGACAGGCCGGAATGGATATGCAAAGGGCTCTGGAACGCAACCACGCTAGGGGAACAGAAGGAGATACTCCGAGCATGGGTGCATCCATCCAAAGTCAAGGACGTGGTGGCTGAAATAATATGGAGGGTTAAGGAGGAAGAAGGGGAAGACAAGGGAAGGATAAAGCAAGGATTAGACGAACTAGAAGAGCTTTGGGCACCTCCACAGTACATACGGGGAGGGAAGGGATACCACATAACCATCCAATTACAACTGGAGACCTTGGATACAGGGGAGGCACACCAAGTAACTGCTCTCATTGACAGCAGCTGCACCGGGAGCGCGGTCAACCGGCAGTGGGCCAGACAACACCGACTCACCCTGCGACGAGC